TATATAAGCTTATTTTTAATAAATATATTATTAATATTATATATTTTTTTATTTATATTTAACTATAAATATCTAATATCTTTAATTTTCTATTATATATTATTATTAATTTTAATTACTAATAATCTTATTACTTTATTAACTACTTATTATAATATCTTTATTAATATAATAACTATCTTCTAAGTTTAATCTAGTAAAGCTATTTAAAATAATAATATTATAGATTTTTATAATATTAATATAGTTATTATTTTATAATTTTAAAATGCTTATAAACTATATTCTTTTAAGATAAATATTTTAATTAACTTTAATTTTAATTAAGCTAATTTTAGTTTAGAAAGTAATAATATTTTAGTTATCTATAAAAATATTATATTATTAATATTATCTAATAATTTAATAACTTCTATTTAGTAATTTAGAAGTTATTATATTTAATATTCTATTCTATTTTAGTATTTTAATATAAAGTTTATTATCTTTTATATTACCTTTATTATCTATTATATTTTTTCTATTTACTTTAAAATTCTATTATTAGAATTATTATAATAAGTTCCTATAGAAGTCTTTTATCTTTATATAAAATTTAGATTATATAAGAAGTCTATTATATTAAATATCTTAATTTTTAATTTTTTATTTTTATTTTTTTTATTTTATAATTTCTAAAATATTTTCTAGCTTTAAATTTAATTTTAGTAAACTTATTAATTTAATATTATATAATACTATTTCTATTTCTTCTACTAAAAGTATAATTAATTTAACTATATTATCATTTTTAGAAAAAGATTTAGAGATTATTTAAGGAGCTTATTTACTAGGGGTTTTAGTAAAAGTTAAAAATATTAATTATAATAATTACTTTTATAGTAGTAGGGTTTACTAATAGCTAGATCTAAGTACTTATTAGTTAGTAGTAGTTAAAGTAATAGTAAAGGTAATTTTTTTTTTAATAATATAGATTTTAGGAAATTATTAAAGTTTTTTTATTATTTTTTTATTTTTTATTTTTATAAACTTATTATTTTTAAATATTTTAGTAAACTATAAAAGATATTAGTTTATAATTTAAAACTTATTAAAGAAAATTTTTTTAATATAAGATAATAATATTTTATTAGCTATTATATATTATTAGTTTTATTAATACTAATATTATATTAGTTATTAATCTTAAATAAACTATTAGATTAATTTTTCTATAATCTATTTCTATTTCTTTATAAAAGCTTTATAATTAAATAAATAAGTTAATTTAATAATATAAGCTATAAAAGTTTTAAAAAGAACTAAATAATATTACTATTATTATAATAAATATTCCTATAATAATAATATTATTAATATTAAAAAGAAACTCTACTAATTATAGTAAATATAGAGGTTTTAATAATTATAAGTTATATATTAGTAGTTTATAATAGTAAAAGTTAGTTTTCTCTTCTAGAGGGTATATACTAGGAGTACTTCTTATATATACTAGTTATACTTAGGGGAGTTCTACTCTTAGTTAGAACTAGTAGTAATTAGTTCTAGTAGGTACTAGATCTAAAAGTTATTAGTTCTACTTCTTATTACTTCTTATTTATATAATAGAAGGTATATAAAAAGTAACTAAGTTACTTTTTAATTTAAAGGAAGAAGAAAGATAATTATATATAGACTTAGATTTTTTTTTCTTTTTCTAGGAAAAAGAAATAGAAGAATAAAGACTTTTTTATATATGATTTTAATATAATAATTATTTTTATATAATTATTTTCTCTTTTAACTTTTTTATTTTTTTAAAATTTTAATAATTTTATAATTATTATTTTTTTAATTTTTAAAACTTTTTATAATTTTAATATTTTTTACTATCTAGTTTTAAAAGCCTTTTTAATAATAAAACTTATTAATTAATTAATTTATATTATTTCTCTTTTTATAGCTTAGGTTTTAATATAATTCTTATTAAATAGCTTTTTTCTCTTCTTTACTTTTAATTACCTTTTTTTCCTTATAATTATTATTACTTCTTAATTATAAGATATCTAATTTAACTTAAAATTTAAAAACTCTATTTTTAAAAGTATAGAACTACTTAGTAATTATATTACTTAGCTTTTTAAAAAAAAAAGTAGAAATTAAGTAATTTATTAATATTTATTTAAATAGTTCTTATTAAAAAACTATAAGATTTCTATATATAAAATCTATTAATTAATAAATCTATCTAAATCTTACTTATTTTCTTTTTCTTATATATTAAATAAGCTAAGTTTTTTTTTTAAAAGAATATTTACTATTATATTATCTTTTCCTTAAATATAGTAGACTTTAAAGTTAAATAGTTAAATATATATAATTTATTAAGTAATTAAAATACTTAAGATTTTAAAAGATTACTTATTAAGCTAATAAGTAAAAACTTAATAATTAATTTTAAAAATAAAATAAATTTCTATTAGATAAGTCTAGAGCTTATAGAAAATAGCTAGTACTCTTTAGTACTCTTATTTAATCTAATTATAATTTTACTTTACTAATATCTATATTCTATTTTTAAATCTTATAGAATATTATTTTATTTTAAAAAGTTAAGTTAAAATAGCTCCTTATTTTAGTAGTAAAGTATTAATAGTTAAATAGATTAAACTAGTATCTATAAAATAATGTAAAACTTTTAAAATTAGTTTAGATAAAAAAGCTTTTTTTAGAGAATTTATAGCTTTCTATTAATTAATAGTCTAGATAAAGATAGCTTTCTTTTTTTAAGAACTTAGTAAAAGGTAATACTATAATAGTATATTTAAATATCTAGATCTTATAAAACTTAATAATATTAAGAAATTATTAAATATATTTAATATTTTTATAGATTTACTATTTTATAATCTTCTAAATATTTTAATTAATTAAAGATCTTTTTTTATAGTTATAATAATTTTTATTTTAATAAAAGTAATATAAAATAAAATTATAATTTATTAAAAATATTAATTAAAAATAAAAAAATTTTTATATCTAAATAAAATTTTAAATTAAATAATATTTTAATAAAAAATTTAATTAAAAGTAGTTAAAAACTTATTAATTAGAGCTATTTTCTTATATAAGAGAAATAAGTTTAAGGCTTTAAGAATGTCGATGTGAGGAAAGAGAACAACATATCTCCGTGGCCCTTGATTGAGCACATTGGCCCCCGCAGTACAAGTACAGCTTCTCCACGGGCACATTTGTTTCCATTGTAGTAGTACTTAGAATCATGTAAAACTACAGCTTCTAAAAAGAGACGACAGAGGTAACTTTCCCTTAAGTGAAGGTTAAAAATGATTTCTATACTTACTTCTATAACTTCTAGATTTAGCAAAGTAGTGTACATAAAAAATGTCAAGAGAGTAGTTATTAGAAGTTGGTCCGTTTAGAGAAGCATTCGTCGTGGGTCCTCAATATATTCCTTGACCTTGACAAGGAATTGAACTGCCTCTCTGCCATCGAGAAGGCGGTGGTCGTATGTTAATGCCAGATACATCATCGGCCTCACCTCGACCTTACCATTAACAGCAACAGCACGCTCTTTGATAGCGTGCAGACCGAGGACAGCAGTCTGTGGGAGATTGATAATTGGGGTACCCATCAGAGACCCGAACACACCACCATTGCTGATTGTGAAAGTTCCACCAGCCATGTCCTCAATAGTAAGTTTGCCATCGCGAGCCTAAATGAAAGGGTTAGCANCTCCCAGTAAACTTATTAATTAGAGCTATTTTCTTATATAAGAGAAATAAGTTTAAGGCTTTAAGAATGTCGATGTGAGGAAAGAGAACAACATATCTCCGTGGCCCTTGATTGAGCACATTGGCCCCCGCAGTACAAGTACAGCTTCTCCACGGGCACATTTGTTTCCATTGTAGTAGTACTTAGAATCATGTAAAACTACAGCTTCTAAAAAGAGACGACAGAGGTAACTTTCCCTTAAGTGAAGGTTAAAAATGATTTCTATACTTACTTCTATAACTTCTAGATTTAGCAAAGTAGTGTACATAAAAAATGTCAAGAGAGTAGTTATTAGAAGTTGGTCCGTTTAGAGAAGCATTCGTCGTGGGTCCTCAATATATTCCTTGACCTTGACAAGGAATTGAACTGCCTCTCTGCCATCGAGAAGGCGGTGGTCGTATGTTAATGCCAGATACATCATCGGCCTCACCTCGACCTTACCATTAACAGCAACAGCACGCTCTTTGATAGCGTGCAGACCGAGGACAGCAGTCTGTGGGAGATTGATAATTGGGGTACCCATCAGAGACCCGAACACACCACCATTGCTGATTGTGAAAGTTCCACCAGCCATGTCCTCAATAGTAAGTTTGCCATCGCGAGCCTAAATGAAAGGGTTAGCAACCAAAGTATTTCATACCAACGGGGATATAGGAGCTTCAACAGACCTTCTTTCCAAGTTCCGCGATCGACTGTTCGATTGTGACTATATCCATAGCCTCCGCATTCCGTACAACTGGAGTGACTAGGCCCTTCTCCGTCGCAACTGCCACACTGATATCAACGTAGTCGCGATACACAATCGTGTCACCACTGTTAGGTCCTTCAATTGAGGCATTAACTGCGGGGATATCTCTCATTGCCAAGACACATGCGCGAGAGAAGGCGCCCATAAACCCGAGTTTAACACCTGTTTTCTTCAAGACATCTTCCTTATAGAGCTTGCGGAAATCCATAAGCGAACTCATATCAACTTCGTTGAAGGTAGTAAGAGACGCAGCAGTATTCTGAGACTGCTTGAGGCGTTCGGCGATGCGCAATCTCATACGGTTCATTTTCACCTAAATGCTGATATTAGGGAACGTCATAGGAGCTGCGAGACGGGCCATATACGTACACGACGCTCCTCACGAGACCCAGGGATGCTGCCAGTGCTACTTATCGCTGTTTCGGATGGACGACTGGCCGGGGATGTCGGGGTGCTGGCAGCGGCGGCCCGTGGAACGCTTTGGGCGGGCTCATTCGCTGTCTTGCTGCTGGGAGGTTGGTGTTGAGCTTGCTGGACTTGGACATCACTCTCTGGTTGCCTAGCCGGAGCTTCTGTGGCCGGAGTGGCCTGGGTTTGAGATTCGGAATCGCGAGGTTCAGCTGCTGGCTTGGCACCGGTGCCCACGCCGCTGCTTCCGGGCTCGAGACGGACGAGATCTTGGCCAACTATCACTGTATCCTCCTCATTGACGAGGAGCTCCTTGATCGTTCCAGCTTCAGGGGCGTTGACCGCCACATCGATCTAACCAATTAGTGCCGTTAGAGAAGGGAGCTATTTGTATGTCGATAAAAGACGGAAACACACCTTATCAGTTTCAATTGTCGCGATCTCCTCGTCTTGCTCCACGAAATCGCCAACTTGCTTGGTGAATTGCTTCAATGTTCCTTCAGAGATGGACTCTGCCATCTGCGGGACTTTGATCGTGATCGCAGCCGCATAGCTTCGAGCTTGATGCATCATGACCGGAAGGTTATACTGGCACCGAGCTCGTGGTAGCTGGCCTAGGTAGGCCAGCTTAACGAGACGTCTAGAAAGCATGATTGGCGAAATGTCGTAGGAACCTTGGGCGCAGCTTCAAAACCGAGATATCCGAGGGGAGAAAAAGAACCAGTTTACTCTTGAGGCCGGGCACTGTCGCGCCTTTTTTTCGCTCTTTTTCTTGCGAAATGGAAAGTTTAATGAAGGGAGGATAATAAGAAACGATCCAATGAGATAACCTTTTTCAGTCCTGGTACAACCTCGGGTCAATGGAGCGAACTCATTGGCCAATGACGTGTATTCCAAAAATGCAGTGCCTCAGGCACCATTAGCGTCGCAACGATGAGCTTCTGCAAAACAATTCAACACAACCATCTAACTTCCCTCTAACGCAACGACCCTCCAATTGACAGATCCCCCAGGGACCTTGCGACTCTTTGTGAGACACAGCCGACTTGGACACTGGCACAATGGCTACCCGAAAGGCAACTCTGTATGCTCTCTCCGTGATATTCGCTCATCGTTCAAACAGCTAACGGGTTTTGGCTCACGCAGATCTTTATATCGGAGAGCGCTGAAGCTGTCGCTTGACTGGGCAGTGCATCGCCATGTCTGGAGAGGCCAGGCGCTCTACATTCGCTCTCTCTTCGAAGCGAACCGGACTGTTACTGATCCCAGACAACAAAGGGCAAGTACAACTATCAGTTCGAAACTTTTTGGCACAACTGACTCCCTAACACTTGACAATGAAGGCATTGCTTGCGGAGACGGAAAAGCTTCTCGAAAGTTGGAAACACCCCGAACCCTGCATTCCGCCCTGCGCACCTGGTGGTATGGATCCCCCTTCTTGCCAACTGCTTGATAGACCGTGAGTCTCTTACTAAACCGGCTTCTCCTCCTGCAGGCAGCAAGTACGAAAGAAACCTGCCGGCTCCTTACCTTGACCGTGAGTTTTCATTGATCTTTATCGACCGATTCCCCAGATACTAACCCCCTATTCAGCACCACGCGCCATGGACCATTGACATTTACGAACTCGGACAAATTGATAGATCAAGATAAGAGGCCAGGGAAACCAGTAGAATGTTCAATAGACACTTTAATTCATAACCCTAACCGTGGGCATTATTGTACAACCCGAAAAAAACAATGAAAAACAACCCTGGACCCAGAACCGTATGACCCCAAATTTCATGACCGAAACAGCCAACCAGCCGGAAAACAAAGAAATTGTGCACATGACGCTTAAAGAACCTGACTGCCCTTGCTGGCACCCGCCTTCGTTCCGGTCTTCTTGGGCAGAAGGTCTGTTGAACTGTTAGTATTCGTTTGAATAGACCGACTAATCAAATATCAAGGGACAACATACTCTGGTGGATGTTAGGCAGAACACCACCTTGCGCGATGGTCACATGACCAAGAAGCTTGTTCAACTCTTCGTCGTTTCGGATGGCGAGCTGGAGGTGACGAGGAATGATACGCGTCTTCTTGTTGTCACGAGCGGCATTGCCTGCCAGCTCGAGAATTTCGGCAGCCAGGTACTCCAGGACTGCAGCGAGGTAAACAGGGGCGCCAGCACCGACACGCTGGGCATAGTTGCCCTTCCTCAACAGACGATGAACACGACCGACCGGGAAGGCGAGACCAGCCTTGGAAGAGCGACTGGGAAAACAGAGTTAGCCGAGCCAGGAGCAAGAACTGGTGATATCACTTACGATTGCGCGTTCTTGGAACCGCTAGCCTTGCCACCAGATTTTCCGCCTCCAGTCATTTTCGCGGTGATTGTTTATTAAAAATGGGGTGAGAGAAGATTTGTGCTTGAAAAGCTGCGAGAATGCGACAAGTGCTAATGTTTGAGTTGGGCGCGGAGGATAGATCGAGAAGAGCTGATGAAGAACAAAGTTAAAGGTGTGGGTTTTTGGGGGAGGAGAGGATTAAGTAGTTTTCGCGTTCTGGCTGGCGCGGTCACGGATCACTGGAATCTGACGAGCCCCACTAGTCCGAAAATGGAAATGCCTATGTACCCTTGAGAGTGAGTGCAAAACACGCCCACCACGGGCCTGTTTGATCTGACTAATTCGAACACACTTCATGATAAGCTCTGCTTGACTGACAAGGCGGTCCATTCTGCATCAGTCTTTGGAAACCACTTTTCTCCCATATTCAATTTGAATTCGATTTTTTTTTTTCCCTCAAGATCGCTGTAGGCGCTGGCGTCCAGACATAGAATAAAACAAATTAAGCATGCTGTATTGATCTTTTGATTTACTTTATTTTATTTTATTATTTGTTTCTTATTTTTTATTTCTTCCTTTTCTTTGGCGAGTTCCCTCTCACTGTCAATGGCGTCAGATGTCAAGGTACACAATTACTTGGGTAAGCCACGCGTGCCTAACGCGTCAAGTTAACTGAGGCTTGAAGCCCCAGAAATTTCCGCTTTTGGCAATGTTGTGGTGTGGCTCGGCAACGAGGACAGTAATTCGCACAAATTTAACTGGTATTAAGTACCTTCGTACCCCAGTTGTCACGCAAATACTGGAAAGGTATATTATGCACCTCCGCCACGCCGCTCCCTAGCCAGTTGCTGAATCAGTACTGGTCGCGTCCACCTACAAAAAGGTTCAACATCCCCCATCCTCTTCCTCAACATCCTTCTCCAACTCATCTTTCTACTATCCATACTGCCAATATTTTGACACCAACGTCGCCCTCACGTAACGCATCTCATTCATCGCACGACTCCCAGTTTCTTTTCCAAATTTTCATAATGCCCCCCAAGGCCGATAAGAAGCCCGCCGCCAAGGCTCCCGCGACTGCCTCTAAGGCTCCTGAGAAGAAGGATGCGGGCAAGAAGACTGCCGCCTCTGGCGAGAAGAAGAAGCGCACCAAGGCCCGAAAGGAGACGTACTCCTCGTACATCTACAAGGGTACGTGCCATACAAATATCACAACACTAAGTCCATTGTTTTAACTCTTCCTTAGTTTTGAAGCAAGTTCACCCCGACACCGGTATTTCGAACCGTGCCATGTCAATTCTCAACTCGTTTGTCAACGGTAAGCCCCCTGAAGCATCCGCATTCGTAAGCCAGCCTCTAACGCCTATTAAGATATTTTCGAACGAGTTGCCACCGAGGCATCGAAGCTTGCTGCGTACAACAAGAAGTCTACCATTTCCTCGCGCGAAATTCAAACTTCGTAAGGCTTCCCCCATTATGAGACCACGATGAAAGGTTACTAATATATGGTAGTGTTCGACTCATCCTCCCCGGTGAGCTTGCCAAGCACGCGGTGTCGGAAGGCACCAAAGCGGTTACCAAGTACTCCTCTTCTACGAAATAGGCGGGTTTGCATCTTTTGGACTTGTCATCTGGTGTCTGGCAGACCATGCTTGGGGCGGGTAACACATGTCTCCTTTCAGTGTCTTTAATGCGTTACGGATGGTTTTCTTTTTTTTCGGGGACAATGATTTTTTTCTTGCACGGTTAACGGGGTTCGCGGCTGTACACTATTGAGATTAGGGATCCGGTCGAATTGGAACGTATCAATTTACATGTTTTACATGATGTTCTTTCCCTTGTCTTGTTTTTCGGCTTCACTGGCCCAACCCTGCCTTGGTCCGTTTTACAACTTGGGGGACGGGCTGAAGAATGCCTTTGTTATGAGATCCCAGTGCCATCCCGGTGCTCCATCCCATCTTTTCCAGCATCGCTCGTCCGCGGTTCTCTGTACCGATTTCCGGGAGACCGTTGCCGACAATATCGCCATCTTTATAACGACCTAGCGCGTTGCGGTTCTTTGGTATCGTGCCTATCTTCATTTTGTGTTTTTCGCCTAGGAAGCGATTGGCAACCCGCTTCGCTACGGTTAGCGTTGCGGGGTGGAATTTCGGGGTGGCTTTGGTTCGGTAGAGCACAGGACGTCGTGTTTCGCCTCGTCCGACAGACTTCGATTTCAAGCCAAGTGGTCGAGCCATTTCGTGGATGGCTTTTCGGAATGGCTTCGACAGCGGTGGGAAGGAAACTCTGCACACTTTTTAGAGATGGCTTTCGGAGACCAGAAACCGGTCAAAAGATGGTGCACTTCTCACTTACTGTTCTTCCGAGGAGATGAGGAAATTTTGCAATTCCGCTATAATCTGTTCCATCGTCATGTCGACCGGATATCTAGCTGCTAAAAGCTGCGCATTGGTTCGCTTTTTACTCAGTCCTCGGGAGGCGCGACCGCCCGGTCTGTTGCCAACTCGGGGACTTTGGGCGTCGGCTATCGTGGAGAAGAAAGCATCGGGGCTAGATATCTCCGCCTCGCTCTCCTGGTAAATTTGCTCGTCGGAATCACCAAGATCTCGAAAGTGAAACTTCGAGACACTCAGTTGCTCCCCACTGGCAAGTAGGTTTGCGAGATAATCCTCCTGTTGCGCGTTGCCATCATCCAACTCATTTTCCTCAACCTCGACGCTGTCATTGAGCCAAGGACCACTCTCATCCACATCAGATCCTTCGCCTACCTCTGCTTCTGCTTCCGTGGCGGACAGGGCTTCTAATTCTCGAACCTCACTACTCATCTCTTCCAGCCCAAAGGGTTCGACGCTACTAATCTGCGTCTTCCTACCTTTGAAGAGAATCACAACCTCGTCACTTGCATCGGAGGAAATAGAGTGACGCGAAGATCTGTTGGTATGGGGTTTGTAAGGTTGCGTGTGGCTGGCATGACTATTCATTGCGTCCATGGCTCCTCGTCGCCAGGAATCCGCATTGCCTGAGTGAGGGCTTTGGTCGGCTGAGGGGAACCCATCGCAATATGTCTCTTTCCTCGGTGATACTCTGTTAAGCGTAGGGTCGGAGATACCATATTGATTCACCATTCCATTTTTGGAGCCGTCAGGAGGCGAGTCTTGGTTCTCCTCATTCTGAAAGGGATCCTTGAGGCCGGCGGTGGTAAATGAAATGGGGTTATCCCTAAGCCTTGCATTGGACGCCCAGGCGGATTGGGACCGCCGGGAGGTCTGGTTGGCTTCCTCCGTGAGTGTAAAAACCCGTTTACGCATCCCCCGTGAGTTTGTCGGTGCCATGTGAGCAGTGACGAATCGGACGTGGGACAAACGATTTCCGTGATAGCGCCTTAACTAGCGATGGAATGGAATAGAAGGAAAAGCAGACAGTTGGACAGTTGAAACTGAGTAGTTTATCTCTGCGGTCGTCTCGTTGTTCAATCGGAGCCTTCTGCTCCCAACCTCACACGCTCCAAGACGTGGGTTTAATTGTAATCCTTTTAAAAGCGAAGGGGGGAATAAAAATAAAAATAAAATCAAACAGGTTGGTGGTCACTTTTCCATCCTATCAATGATGCCTTGCTCTTGCCTGGCGGCCCTTCGGAGAACACTGCTCCTCGTATCTACCCCACATCGAGAAAGCCATAGAGGCAGCGAAACAGTGGTGGTGGCGGGTCAAAACTAACTGCAATGCACAAGTAGTAACAATCAATAATTTTCACCTGAGGAGTCCGAAGGACTCGAAGTACAAGTACAAGTATTTTAGTGCTTGGAGATCAGGATTCAGTCCAGAACAAGGTTCTTTGTCGTGCAGCTTAGTTTTGGAAGGGTGTTTGAGCTGTCCTTTGGTGCACATGATTACCCCACAGATGGTCCCCACCCAATGCGTCACTAGACACGCTTGGAAGCTGGTCTCACATCTCTTGATGAATGCCTGCATCTTGAGCTTCGAACGTGGTTACCGAAATCTATAACGACATTAAGAATACCACGACAAATTCAAGCAGTTTAAGCAATACCAATGGCGACGGTCGACTTCAGTCGCTATCGGCGAATAGTACAGAGGTTCTGGGACCCCGAGCCAACGAACGATACCGCCGTTGACCAGCCTGTCTGGTGCCTTGGGTCATCATACACCCTCGCAGAGAGTGCTCGCCTGGCCGAAACTAGTGTTTCGCCCGTACTATTACCATCATCGTCCGCGTCGTTTGATGCCGGTTCTCGGTCCGCGGAGAGGCCGGAACCTCCAAGGGACCAGCCAGAAGCATGCCCGGAGACTGATCCTTCGAGCCATCCTCCAGCTCCACGGTCTGATGGCCATGATGGAGAGGGGGGTTGGCCTCCTCTTTTTTTAGATGATTTTGAAGCTAAATTATGGATGACTTACCGCTCTGGGTTCGAACCCATTCCCCGCTCATCACACCCCGATGCCTTCTCCGCCCTTTCGTTCTCCATGAAGATGAAGAGCCAGCTGGCGGACCAAAATGGTTTCTCTTCTGACAGTGGCTGGGGTTGCATGATTAGATCTGGGCAGAGTCTCTTGGCCAATGCCATGTCCATACAGCGTCTAGGAAGAAGTACGGTATACTTCCTTGGTCCAGCTCCCATGCCTGCGCTAACAGGCGGCTACAGGTTGGCGAAGGAACAAACTCAGTCTCGATGAAAAATGCATCATTGCTATGTTTGCAGATGACCAAAGAGCGCCGTACTCTATCCATAACTTCGTACGACACGGCGCAGCGTGTTGCGGTAAATATCCCGGAGAGTGGTTTGGTCCGTCGGCCACCGCTAGATGTATTCAGTAGGCACACCGTTGAACAAGGAAACCTTGGCCGTGGATAGATATCATAATCTAATATGGGGAACTAGGGCACTAGTAAACGAGAACGATGAGGGTCTCCGAGTCTACTCGACTGGAGACGGCCCCGACGTGTACGAGGATGAATTTATGAATATCGCGAAACCACAAGGCGGGCGATTCAGGCCTACGTTAGTCCTCGTTGGCACAAGGTTGGGGATTGACAAAATCACCCCGGTATACTGGGACGCTCTTATCGCTTCACTCCAACTACCGCAATCCGTAGGGATAGCTGGGTAAGTTCTAGCTCAGCGCGCTCTCGGCTGCTTGACTGACCTTGGATACAGGGGCCGTCCATCCTCTTCCCACTACTTCATTGGCGCACAGGGTCCCTATCTTTTCTATCTAGATCCGCACCACACTCGGCCTGCCCTGCCCTACTATCCAGACCCGCAGCAGTACTCCGATGAGGAGGTGAATTCCTGTCACACTCGACGATTGCGCAAATTGCACGTAAAGGAAATGGACCCCAGCATGTTAATTGGTTTTATCATTAAGGACGAGGACGACTGGTTTGAATGGAGAAAGTCAATCAAGCATGTTCAGGGAAAGGCAGTAATATCGGTCTCGGATCACAACCCCCTATCTAGTCGCAGTAGTGACGGCCATGCAACCGTCGATGATGTCCAGTCGCTAAGTGAGGATGAGCACGACGCCGAGGAAGTTGTTGATGACGAAGGCGTCATGGTTCTGAGCTAGCGACTGTTCTACATGCTGAGCTGTAGGTTACCAGCGTCACAGAAATAGTAGCGGGCTAGTTGGAATTGTGGATGGATTTTAGATGAGAGCATGGAGACTATTCTCGCGGCGGCCTCACCAAAGCAGTAGCCTGCGGAATGTTTTGTAATAATCTTTCATTTCGATCACTATACCTCCTGCTCTATGACTATGTCATGACCCTGGAAGTTGGGTTACGAGGGGACTGCATGGCCCTGCGTACGGATATGGTTGAAGAGCTTAGTACGCGAGACGAAGTGCTCGTTGCAAACATTGCACGCTAAGGTCTGGGTAAAATTGCACAGTTAGACGGGGGCTTGAAAGGTATGGCTGAAGGCAAGTCATAGATAAACGAATAGGTGGCCTACCGAAGTCGATTGCCGGGCCGCAGCCTCTTGGCGGGCGGCTCGTTTATCCCTTTTCGCTTTGGCCTTCCCAACTTTGGGAACCGGAGGGGCTTCATGGTCATGGGCGTTGCCAGGTCGATGAATCAAGCTGTCTATACCAGCTTCGTCTTGGTCGTGAGTTTTATTCTCGCTTATCGTGGTGGTAGCAGAAGTAATAGGTGGCCCCGGGGTACCGACGGTACTGTCACTAGACTTATACTCCGGTACCGTCTCGAGGCATTCCTCAGGATCTCCCGGGCCTTGCGTATCGGGTTCTCCGTCCGAAGAAGTGATGTCGGGCTCGGATGTTCTCTCGAGTTTTGGCTCGAGTGAAGCTTGGTTATCAGTTCGATCAAGGTTGAGATCCCGGTTTTCTCGTCTCATCTTATGGCGCAGCTGCTGTACCGCCTTTGTGTGTTTCTTGCTCCTTTCATGTGCTTCGTACTGGTTTTCGCTCTTGAATATTTTATTGCAAATAATGCACTCGATGTGCTCGATGTCGACTTCCGACTCCTCATCCTCGGAAGTAAACGCTGCGTCTTCATCCTTTGTTTGTATCCACTCAGCAACCACGGAGCCGTGAAGCTTTTCTTGATTCGCCGCCCGTGACCTCGCGGCTTGGGCAGCAACGACATCACGTAGGGCTTTCTGTCGGTCCGAGGTAGAGACAGCATTCGCGGTATACCGCGGGTCACGTTTCCGGGAGAAGTTAACCAAGAACCGGACAGCCTCATTGAACTCTTTGATCGCATCCTCCCGCAGCTTCTTATTTTCCTTTTCCATTAACCGACGTACTCTCCTATCCGGGGCGTCGGATAGCCTATATTTATCCTTCCAGGTAAAGGACTTGTGGGTGGAAAATGACAGCCACGCCGTGTAGAAGGGCCGAACCACTGTTTCATAGGCATCGGTGGATACACCGAACGACGGATAAGTTGGGACCTGGCTGTCTTCATAGTCGCCTAATGCCACCTCCTCTGTGGCAAGGCGGTCGAAAACGCCTCTCAACTCGCCAAAAAAACCGCCCGGCTCATCTGAAAACGGAACGGCCGTATTGAAACGTCCGACAAGAGACACAATTTCGTCCGCGGAGGTGACACGGACGTTGCGAAACTCGGAGTTCTGAGATTCTCCAGTTCCTCGGCCATGCAGAATCGCATCCTTGTGAGAATCATACCAAGCGCGCTCCTGCGGATCGGAGAGGATTTCGTACGCAGCCTGCAGCTGGGCGAAGCGGCGGCTGGCGTTTTCAGAGTCCTCTATATTCTTATCTGGATGAAGCTCAAGCGCCCTTCTCCTGTAAGCCTTTCGAATACTATGTTACACAGTCAGCGCTTCGGGGTTATGAGTTTGAGCGAAATGCCTACTCACTCATCACTCGAAGCAGTTTGAGAAACTCCTAGAAGTTCATAGTAGCAAGATGTCGGAGGTGGGTTGCTCGCCCCACTACTTTCAGAAGACTGTTGACCACCCATCTTTTTTTCCTTTGTCTTTTCCTTTTCCTTTTTCCCTTTCTTTTTCCCTTTCTTTTTCTTTCTTTCTTTCTTCTTCTTCTTTTTTTTCTTTCCAAGCGTAAGATTGCACAAACTTGGCTTCAATCAGTGGGAAACGCCTCACAAATGTCTTGTAGCTTCAGCCTCTTCGATTGCTTGTAGACTCGCCACTCCCTTGGTACTTAGGAGGCTGACGAACCCAACCTTGGCTTTGGATGGAACGTCGGATGGAAGTGACTTTGACCTGGGTTGCTGAAATCAATTACACTGGCATGTTATTATGTAATGCGCCAACACCCGCCAAGCTCTCGGTGACAAACATTGGACGACATTGGGAAGGACATCAACCGATGCTAAGGAGAACGAGCCCTCGTGATCCCTATTGAGGTGCTAGCAAACTGGAATAAAATAGGCCCCCTCCCTTTTTTTTGAATTCTTCTTTTTTTTAAGATTTTTTTTGGGGCGGAGGTCCAGTTTCATTTGCATTTATTTTACTCACAGAGATAGTAATAACACCCACCGTCGCCCATCATGAAATTTGCCCACACATTCGCCGAGGAGCTGAAGGATCAAGGTTTGTACCGAATGAGTGAAGGCAAAATGCGTCACCTTGCTTTTGGAATGGGCTAACAATGCACACCAGACTTTCCACCCCAATGGGTGGAACTGGCGATCCCGTATAGGCAATTGAAAAAATGTCTCAAGATGGTGCAAAAGGAGCTTACTGACCTAGGTCTTGGCCCTGATACTTTACCTGATCTCCTGGAGCCTTCTTCTGGATCGCCAGTCGTCCTGAAGTATAACCTTGAGAGTACTGTCCGACCTTTGCGGTTTGGGGGTTGGTATTTGGCTGTCACTGACTCGTGTGTGTTTTCTAGCCTCCACTCCGCACACTTTGCGACCACAGCTTACTGCTGCAATCCAATCACGGCACGAGGCTCGGGAGCTTGATTTTGCATCCCTCGGCCCTGCTACTAAAACCCTCATCGATGCCCTCTCAAGGAGTCATCAACGATCAAGAGATCCTGGTGCACCCCCTTCTGTGAGTACGACTTTATGCCGGCATCATGGCGTGGCCATCGCACGCAATACTACAGATCCAGGAGACGACACTTACAGTCACTTTAAAGTACCACTCACCCATGACGATGAGTTCTTTAAAATCCTCTTGGGAAAAGTAACCAAGCTAGACGGGCTTCAAGCGACCCAAGAACGCAGGATGAGTTCTGAGATTGTCGCCCTCCGCCATGACGTTGCTCGACTATCTAGACCAACTCACATTGCAAAAACCGACCTAGAGAAGTGGCGCATCATTTTCAGTTTATATCTAGATGCTCAAGTTTTTTTCTCCACGCTTGAACATGATCACGGATTTAGGGAACTAGGCGTCGCCGCTCGACAGCTCGCCTGGTTCAGGCAAGAAGTAGAAAAGCTAAATCTCATTCAACGATTTCGGCTTCCCGAGAGTCGGGTTGCCCTTGACAGATTTTTCCGGTTGAACGTGGACTTACTCCGAAATCTCCGGTTCCAGGAAATAAACAAACTTGCCGTCACCAAGATTTTGAAAAGTATGTTCTTCCATGCCCAACAGCCCTTTCCTCCTTTCATGACGCGACGGACTAGTCGGTAACCTTCCACAAAGAATTCGACAAGAGAACTGCATTGGCTGTGACCAAGCTTTTCCCGGGTGCTGTCGGGTCTGGGAAGCTTCTCACTGGCACCTTGGCACGAGATATGTGCGCCCAAATCTCAACGGAACTGGTGCCTGTTGTACCCCAGCTATCCGACTATCTTTGCCCCGTCTGTTTTTCGATTGCATTTCGGCCGATCCGCCTTTCCTGCGAGCATGTGTTCTGCATTCGATGTGTCGTGAAGCTCCAGCGCCGACGTGAAAAGCATTGCCCACTTTGCCGATCTGATACGGTCATGACAGCATCGCCAGGTAAGTTGGGAACGGCATGCTGTTATTTTCATTTCTATTTTCATTGCCATTACACATAGCCTGACATGCCAAAGCCAATCTCGATATACAACTGGAAAGATTTATGCGAAAGTACTTCCCCAAGGAAAGTAGGGAGAAGAGGAAAGCGAACGACCTTGAACGTGGCATCGAGACGTACGGCCCTGGCTATCGGAATGACGAATGTCGCCTCATGTGACACTCTCAGCGGAACCCCCATCACACGCACTTCAACAACCCTTACAATCTTTTCACCAATCGCCGGCTTTCAAGATGGAAGAAGCCTCGCATGAAGCACTAGAGCCTATTTTGGCTCTCGTTGCGTTAGCTACACTATTTAAGATACTTAAGCAGAGTCGTCCTCCAACCCTCAACCTGCCAATCAAGGCCGTCTCGAGACACGTCATGTCACGCTCAGTGCTCCACGTTTGTTGTTGCACTTAGTGCGTTTTGAAAGATTCTCCTCAGCGCTTCGGTTTCTTCTAAGCCAACGCTCACTCGAATAAGGCCAGTCTCTGCGCCAAAACCAGCAGCCCAGTCTAACTCCTGATAATGCGCGATTAAGACATACGGGCAGGTGAGTGTAAAATTCGTTCCTAGGCTAGGGCCTTTGGCGGTTTCTAACGCATCATAAAAGGAAATAGCCTGGTGCTGGGAGTGGAACGTAACGGACAGCAATCCTCCATATCCACCTGTCGGTAGCTTGCAGATGTCGTAATTTGGTCGGGATTCATTGTGCTTCGGATAGTAAACTCGTTTGACCGATGGATGGGACCTGAGGATATCGCAGATGGCTTCCGAGTTTGCGTTAATTCGGCCAACTCTGGAAAGGAAATCCCGGCTATTGCGCTCCATAAAGACGACATCCTCTGGCCAGTACGTGTCCTCGAACACGGCCTCCATCGCAGCTTTAATATCTTTATAATAGGAGCTGTTAGGGTTGAGGATTGCGCAGCCTCCCATGACATTACAGTCGCCCGAAAAGATCTTTGTCAGACTGCTCACAACCACGTCTGCAAACTGAAGCACATCGACATTTGCGAAGGTTCCAATCGTTTCATCCACGACTACGAAGAAGCCAAAATCGTTTGCAAGCCGCCGGATTCGCCGCAGGTCGGGACATGTCAAGAGTGGGTTGCCCGGGAATTCGCAGAACAGAGCTAAATACCGCTCGCCAGCGCACAGTCGCCGTTCCAGGTCGTCCAGATCTGCGTCTGAACCATGGCCATAGAAAACGCAGCCCGCCCCGAACTTCTCTAATATTTTCAGGGTGTCGACGTATGGAAAACCAAAGTTGATGCTTTTGAGCGAGTTCCGGAGGGACCGCAAGGCGTAGTGAATATTAAAGATGGCATTCATACCACATGGGAACAGATAAACGTCGTTCTCTTTGAGATTTGTAATCCCTCGGGAGTTGGTCATCATCGATGGGCTGTCTGACGTGGTGCCGTCCACATCGGCGGCCACTGCACCAGCAATCCTTCGCTTAATGGCGGATTTGGCTCGCCCAACAAGGGCCAAATCCAAGTTCCGACCGAACCGCTCTTCGAGGAACCTCGACCACTCCTGAGGGTCGTCACCAGCAACGACATTCGGTGACGGTTGGGACTTTGGCGGATGCGTCACACGTCCACCTGCGGATGGGGGCCGGTGGTACCTTCTCGGAGCTCGACAGGATTTCGCGACAGATGGAGAAATGGATGCGCGTTGGCTCGGCCTCACGACCAGGAGTTCCTGTTTATACAATTCGTGGCAGAACTCTGCACGTCGGCTAGAAATACCGTCTCCAGTGTGCTGCCAGTATGCTTTTGCAAGTGCAAAGAGCTCTTTCGGGCACACTACAGCTGAAATCGTTGGTGATAGGGACGCCAATAGTGTAGCAGAGCTAAGGTCTGTCGCCAGGCTGAAATCGAGAACAATTATATCGCCAGAGTCCGCCGTTGAACATCTTGCCTGCATAAACTCACGACACCTCTTTGCGATCCTGGGCGTCGGGAACAGCAGTGCCGTCTGGCCGGGGCGTCCGTGCTGGTCGACGATGTCTTGCGCAAAGGCGGCGATTTTCTTGTGAATGAAGAACCTATCCACCGTTGGTTATCATCAACTCGCTCCCGAATACCCTAGGTAGCAGATTATGCCCAAGTAGGACCAGTATCATGCATCTCGTGGTGCTGGCGCTAATTACCTTGGATAGCCTGTCGCTAGTTTTGACATTACAGAGTCCTTGCCTTCTTCGTATCCAACATTTGCATTCCACGTGGGGAGTGATACGCTAACGGCCTAGATTCAGAAGAGTCGGATGTTAGACAAGCTCAGTTAATACTCGGGTTGGAAGCAGTGGAGTATCAGGATGTGGGATGTAGGTCGGGGGCGCGACAGGGGCTCGTCGATGGTCGAGAATGGGAATAGAGGGGAGGTGGAAATACGTGGGCCGTGTCTGGCGGGATCGCCGCTCCCAACTCGAAGGATGGCATTGTTGAACGACAGTCGACGGTCCCCCAAGTCTGAGCACTTGGGCAGATTACGACAATATGGGTGTGGGAATAATTGAGTTTGAGTAACCCGACCGCAAAAGACGAAAACCCGTGAACGCTACTACCCAAGGTCTAAATCAACGTGAAGGGTTCAGAGTTGGAGTGTTTTAGCAGGGTGAGTCGCATTGGTGCAAAGCCATAAAAATTTTAGGAGGAGAAGACAATTATACATTCAAAACACAGCTTTGAGTGGGGTAGACAATAGCTTGACACAATAATTATTAAGGGACCGAACCAAGTCATTGGCGCGGTCATTAGTGCGTCTTCGACGATGAAGATTAGATTCTCCGGTGCGTGCTTCCTATAAGGTACAGACTCATCTCGGCCGATAATCGGAGGCGGCCCCCACAAGGTAGTCGGGTCTAACAGCTCCGATGCCAGGACGACAACGCTAATCCTTCCCTAAGTATACAATCGCACCAGAGCGCCCCATCGCTTTGTGAAGACGAGTCCCAAACACGTCGGGACAGGCTACTACAATTTTGCTTTGGGCGTATTGGGGATTCGCTGGCTTTGGTTGAAATATTTGTATTATTTTCATTATTCCTTTTCAAACTATCATCAGGAGACATGGACGACCTTGGTAGTGTTGTTGTCTTGGCTCAGGTCCTGACCCGAGCGTCGCTGCTGTGTGGCCGAGAGATCGATATAAACACGTGCTATGATGAATTGTGTGGACTCAGGCACAATTGAGAAGACGGATGCTTTGCCCTCGGAAGCCTTTCTAGTGATGATGGACACTGGATCGACGACTTCCAATACAGCTGATGCTGTCGCTTGGGGCAAGGCTTTCGGTGTCATCCATGAGGGTAGACCTGCTGCCGCTGGCGACACTCTCTGGTAGTGCAACATACCGAGCAGAGACCACGCTGCCACCGCGACCGGCACGCGCGGTGGCCGAGGAGCCACAGCGAGAGGCTGCCGGGCCCTTGATAGTAGAAACCGAGACGGTACTCCCTGGCTTGGACGGCGCAACGGATCTCGTCACTTGTGAGGATGGTGGCGGGACTGTAGCAAGCCTGATTGTGCTTGACGACCTTTGACTTCGAGCCGAGACATAGCTCGCAGTCTCCAGTTCCGTCCGCGGATAATTGGGATTGCCCCTCGGGGCAGCACTATGTTGACTCATCGCCTGGCTCCCGGCCAGACTACCCACTTGACTCCTCGCCTGGCTCCCAACTCGACTTCCAACCTGGCTCCCGACTCGGCTCCCGACCTGGCTCCCGACTTGGCTCCTGACCTGGCTCCCAACTCGACTCCCAACTTGACTTCCAATTTGACTTCCAGCCCTGCTTCTATGCTCCGATGCTACTAAAAGTAAAGGTTCCTGGGATTCCGAGATAACGCTTCGACGGCCCCCGCTGTGGAGGCTGCGCGGTCCGCGAGCTTCAGCGTATGGGTGGTCTTGAAGACTGTATGTGCTCACAGGTCCTTCCCGGGAATAATGCTGCTGGTAGCTTGCCACCGACTGACTCGGCGCGAGAATGGTGAATCGTTCCGGACCCTGGGACCGGTCCACGAGCGAGGGTGCATATTGAAAAGTATCTCTAGGCAGCTGCTGCATGGGTTGGCGGGTCGGCTCGTTCTTCATTGACTTGTAGGTCAACGCCGCCCCAACGCCCATGCCCACTGCTACACCGACTCCCAATAAACCAGCAACTGCACCTGCACTGACACCTGACGAAGCGGCTGCGGTGGATGGCTCAAAGGTCGTAGTCGTCGTAGTCGTGGTCGTACGTCGAATTATAGATGGCTGCACCTCCTCTCCGGAGGACGGGCTCCCATAGGCCATGGCATCACTCATGGCATCGCTCATGGCATCGCTTGCATGTGACGAGATTCCGTGGGAGCTTTTGTTGTCCCAGGAAAGCATGCGAGAGAGCTCTTGACCGCTTGATTGAAAGCCCCCATCAATACTTTCAACGGGTTCTGAGGACTGGGACGGCGGGTAGTAAATCGATCCCATGATCACAAACTGGCTATGAGATTCGTGGAGTGGGTTGTTGGTGAAACGCAGTCGAATAAACCGGGATGCTGGTGTGACGCGCTGATGGATTTGGCAATGTAGGTATCCAATGGTGCCGTGCCGTGCTAAATAAATACTGTCCCAACAACTACAGGGAAGATTATTGTCTTGTCAGATCTTCTGGGGGGAGGAAAGTATGATTCTTTTTATGGGATGCGAGGTTGATGAGTCGACTGAACTTAATCAATCGGACCGCCTTGCCTCATTATCAAACCCGTCCTCCTGAGAGGGCGAATGAGGGGGGAGAAGAGGGCCCAACTAATGCCATATTCGAAGATGGCATTGCAAGGTTGGGTTAAAAACAATAGCATTGAAGAGGCCAAAGACCCAAGATGCGAATGGGGACGTGTGCACGACTACATCCTCAAAACATAACCCACCATACAGTTGGACACAAAGGACGTGTAGTACTGTGATTTGCTGATGCAAGAGAGGAGTCGGTGCCATGCAGCTTTAGTCTGCTTGTCGGCTACTACAATTTCCAGAGAGCGACTGCTACAGAGAAGAGATTGCCGGCTGGGGTGCCCGACTTGTTCTCGAGAAAAGGAGTGGGACAACAAGATGGGGCGATAGAGATGAATATGCATCGGCCACGTTGTCTTCCTCGCCATTGTCAACCCGAGAGGCGGAAACAACACGTCGGTACTTGCAATACAACAATGAATATCACTGCCATGTCCTTGAATGGAGACCCAATGCAAGCCCAGAGCATCGGGTACCAAAACATGGTGACCCGGGCTGATCAAATAATATGAACTTTTAGGCTCCTTCAAACCGAGGCATGTAGGTCACGTGGGGACAGAACAACAGCAAGATGCCCGATTGCTTCGTAGGACTCGGTGAGCTCTGAAGGGCGGCGGAGTCGAAGTCGCTGCAACACGGTCCCGGCCCGATAAAGGTTCAGTGCATATGAGGTGGTCGCCCAGGAAACAACACCAAGAATGGCGACCCAATGTTGCCCCAGAGTTCGTAGTTGAAGATCGATATCCCGTGGGTAGCGGATGTTCAGTTCTCAAAACTAGGGAGAGAGCATTTTACTGGTGCATTTTACTGGTGAAGGGAGGAAGGTGAGGTGAGCTATGTTGAAGTAGCAGTGAGGGATGGTAAAAGCATCTTTTTGGAACCAAACGCATCTTTTCTTCTTTAGAATACGCGCAGGGCATGAGCTAGCTGAGGTCCAGAGAGTACCCAGAATTACGACGCGGCGATGTTGTATGGCCGGCCGGGGGTAACTCACAATGCTTTTGCCACGAGAAAGTCCTCGAGATATCAAGGCGCGCCTGGTGATACGAGAGGCCATGAATACCTTGCCTATCTAATGCGAGCTGAAAGGGAAGTCTCCATGCCGATGCGAAATTGCGATGATATGGTACCACACCAGCCCTGTGACCCCATTGTTGTCGAAGCTATACCCGCTTAGATGATGTCCCAACAGTCTTCCGCAGCGTGACAAAACTTGCTGCATGCAACACTTGCTGAAAGACTATAGTTACTTATGGATATTTTCTCGTCGACGAACTCATCCGCGAAAGTATCAGCACCTTTGGCCATGGCGCCGACAAAGACACAACAACTTTCCTGTGGGCCCAAGGTATCAATGTAGTCTTTGACGCGGACAAGCGGCGCATCGAAACTAAGTGTCACCTTGCGACAGTTTGGAGGCAGATGGTCTGTGATCGGGTTGGGGATGACACGAAGTAGCTTTTCCTGTGACGTGGTGGAGCGAATAGAAAGACGATGTAATAACTGGACCATCAATCCCGCGAATCTTTTAAACGTTCGAGGTATTCGAACTGAAGGCGATACCTCAATCAACACACCCTTGGCAGTGTGTATGTAAATCTGTAATCTTCCCGCTTTGTTGACCGGAGAATCGATCAAAGTAAGCAAGCACTGATGTAGATATAGTGTCAGAGGGCATCCGGCATCGGTTGGTGCGGTGAAAGCAAGGAACCGAAGGACGTGATGTGTGACTAGGGAATGGGAAGGGTGGTGGCGTGCTGGGGACTATAGGACTTCAAGACAAAGAGAAGGTTTCGAACCTGGTGGGTGATATCCGGCCGAGCGTCACTGATGTCGCGGTTCATTTTGCGCATGACTCCAATATGCTCATCACTGTTGAGTAATGAGTATTTTTCGTCCTTGTGGGCGCCATTTCGACTAGTCCCAGCATGTGCAGCCTTGTAAGTTTCCAGGCTGGCATTCGAGAGAACAACAATCAGTCTTTTGGTGTCCTTGTCACTCGGAGCGATCGTTGTGTGCTGCTCAGCAACAAGTTGCGGAAGAGCGGGTGGGGGGAGCGATTGAGTCCCTGCCATGTCGAAAACTGTCAGATCTCGTCCAAATACCAGACTTGGCCCCGATGCGGAAGAACGTGAAGATTTGATAACGGTTTCTGAAATCCGGATTGATGCGCATCTGCAAAAGGGGGGGAAACTTACGCGGTCTCTTGTTTCCTACTCGATGATCCGGTGACGCCATGGCCATTGAGCGTCTTTTTCAGAAAAGCACCCCGCGATACAGAAAATCAAATCGTACGTGGCAATTATCCTGATCTATTCGTATTCACCCTGTTGATCTAGAGTGACAGTTACTGACAAAGTCAGACTCAGCCTCGACTCCTCAGATTAGGGCACATTCACGGACTCCAGGAAGAAACGGCTAAACTTTGGCAAGAAACTGCAATTTTACCCCGAGGATAATCCGAGGCAAGTATATATTATGTAATCAGAGTCGAACTTCCGCTTTCCTGTCATCAATCGTCACTGGTGCATTTCGATGATGATTCCCTGAAACCCTCCTCCAGTTAGGCTAATAAAGTTGTCTCATTGTCGGTCTCTGTTGTACTTTCGTCTCCGCGGGCCTTCCATGGACTCGATCCCGAGAAGCTCCTGATGGCAACGAATAAAAGTACCTGGCCACTAACTCTTAACGTTTGCGCACACCTTTGCCCTTCAACTTCGGAGGACTCATTAGTTCTTCGACATACTTAAGATGTAAGCCTTCCAAATGCCATTCCTCTCGTCCAAGAAAGATGCCATTAAATTCATTGACTGCAATGGCCTGCTTTGTTTGGATGGAGAGCAGAAATCGCTCTGACTTGCTTTGTAACCTGCGCTTCGTAGTGGGTCGAATATTGTTAAGGTACTTCGTAGTTCGTACTCGGAGGTCTGGTGTATGCTTGCGATGAATTTTTGGCCCCAGATATCATGTACCCTTGTTCCTTGACAAATTATCCGCCTGACAGAGCCGGCCGGCGTGATCGGCGTTTCGTGGCCTTATGCACGGATATCTTGCCTTTAAATTTTGTCTGGAGGCGGGAGAGGTCACTGTCACCAGAAGAACCCCTGTCCTGGTCTCTTGGTCTAGAACACAGATGTCAATGTTGGAAGCTGTCTGCTCTGCCTGAGATCTTCGTTCTTCGGACTGTTCCGCCTGAAGAGTGGCTCTAGTGGAGATGGCCCTTTTCCTTCTGCGATTGTCTTCATTTACTTCTTCTTTCATTTGCTTTATTTGGTTTATATTTTTATAATCAACAGGGAGCGCTTGTTGACGTAAACTCGATGTGTATTTGACGCCCTGAAGTCATCTGTGGGTTCTCTTCTTTGACAGTTTGTTGGGATGAGTCAATTCGGTGCTCTGATATTCTGCAACCCGAACCACAAGCCGACTCGGTGAAGAAATTAAGCTCTTTCCTAATACTGATGGGATCCAATTAATAGTTTGTTTGCCAATGCTGAATCCACCTGAAGGACCCTTTATCCCAATGTTCCGCATCGAGTGGAGACTTCAACGATGGGGGTTTCTTGGCGAACCACAAAACTGTCAGTCGAGACCACCTCGACATCCTAAGATAGATCAATCAATCAACCACTCCTAACCCCATAACAGATAAAATGGGAGACAATCTAGTGACAACCATCAAAGTGCGAATGTGGATCGTGGCGGACGCAATTGTGAAGGAAGAGATATCACTGACTCAACTCTCTGCCTTTCCCTGTTGTTGATACCTCCTGGGCCAGCATCACTCGTAATCCTGGAGCAACCTTGTTTTCCTCCTCCCTTTTCCCCCTCTTTCTTTTTCCTTCTTCTTTTTTATTTCAGTTTATCTTTTTTCCTAATTTCTATTCTTACTCGGGCTTGTGAGTCTAACTCGTCTCTTCCGGATGACGGCGAGCCTACTTACTTGCTCGGATCAACACCTCCGACAACTCCTGTTTCCGAACATCCTCAGCTATAGACAGCAAAGAATGGTTGCAGCAGCTAAAATTTTCCGATCTCCCGCCACGCAGGGCTTTATTTTATCAGACTAAGACCCACGAGGGACAGGCCGCCAGGGCCAGGACGCAGTTATGGTTATTGGGATCGTTCTATCCACCCCCATCCTCCCGGCGCACGAACCACAGAGACGATGGGGTGGAAGGAGGTAATAGGCTTTAGACCCGAGAACAATGCATTTCTGGCAGGCATCTGCCCCATTTCCACCTTTTTGTGTCGATGTGACGAGGCGCTTGTCACATCTAGTTTCAACACCACCATGCGACGGCGGGATCGCCATTTCCTCGCTATGGGAAGATCTCCGTATCCATATTCCTTCTACCTCATTTACAATCATGCCGAGGAGTGTGTGAAGTGCTGGACTCCTCAAATAATCCTCCCGTCCCAAACCCCCCCCATACGACCTCCGTTCTTCTCTTCCCCCCTCACCACATTCTTTTTGTCGTTTTTCCTTTTTGCTGGTCGAAATAAGATCACGTTGACCGTGAGTCTGTTTATATTTGTCTTAATTTTTACACCATAGCGGCCTGTCGTTCTTTACGAGTCTTCTGTTTCCTACGGCTCGGGGAGCTGTATCCTCATCCTCCTTCCCTTTCTATTCGATCGCTTTGAACCTATCCCGCTGACATTATGCTGTCCCGAACCCTTCTCGGCGCCTCTGCGCTTGCTACGGCGGTTTTGGCCCAGAACCTCAACCTCCAGGGCGCTGACTCACTTACATTGCTGGACAACGCCATTCAACTCGGCTCCCAGTTTGATGGAACCGATGCTATTGGCGCCAGCGACGAACAGGTCCCGTCTCTGACATCGGTTAACAACTTCATCAACTTCTGTGCCGGGAAAGAACTTACAAACGGGCTCCAAATCACGACTGGTTCCTGCAATGGCATCCGTAAGTCAACCCAGTAGTTCCGCGCATCCCGTTCTCGGCCCGTGGCACTAAACCTAGCTCTCTAGCCCACGGTGATATCCCTGCGAAGGATAAGATGATTTCCGCCATTATCGTCAACCCTAAGAATGGCGATGTCATTCAATCGGGTCAGACTTTCAACATCCAAGTTCAGATGCTTAACTTTGAGGCGGGCTCGTTCACGAACGCGTTTGCGACCTACTACGCCGTTCCCCAGTTCCTCAACAACCAAGGCGTGATTGTTGGACATACCCACGTCACTGTTCAGGACCTAGGAGCGACTCTGAATCCCACCACCCCGCCAGACCCCACCCAGTTCGCCTTCTTCAAAGGTATTAACGATGCTGGTAATGGACAAGGTCTTCTTGCTGCTACTGTTAACGATGGGCTCCCCCCGGGTAACTACCGGGTTTGCACTCTTGTCTCGGCCTCCAACCATCAACCGGTTCTCATGCCAGTCGCACAGCGCGGGGCTCAGGATGACTGCACCAAGTTCGTCGTTGTTGGCGATGATTTTGACGTCAATGACGCGGCCAACAACGGCGCAGGTGGCATTGACGCCGCCGAGCAGGCACAGCAGGCTGTAGATCTAGGCCCGGGTGCCATTGACCCCAATGCCGATGATGCCGCTCAGGATGATAACCAAGACAACGCTGATGATAACAACAACGACAATAACAATAACAACAATAACAACGACAACAACAACAACAACAACAACAACAACAACCAGCAGCAGCAGCAGCAGCAGGGAAACAACAACAACAACAACCAGGGACAGCAGGGAAACAACAACAACAACCAGGGACAGCAGGGAAACAACAACCAGCAACAGCAGCAGCAGCAGGGAAATAACAACCAGCAGCAGCAGCAGGGAAACAACAACAATAACCAGCAGCAGCAGGGACAGGGGGACAACCAGCAGCAGCAGGGGAACAATAACAGCCAGCAGCAGCAGCAGCAGGGACAGGGGAATAACCAGCAACAGGGCCAAGGAGTGACTGCTGAAGCTTTGAGGGAGCAAGCTGAGCGCTTTGCCCAACAATCACAAGGAGTAAGTCTGCCACTAAGCTCAAAAAGATCTCCTTTTTTCCTCCAGTGACTAACAACCGAGTAGAACAATCGGCTGGCCCGTTTTGCGAAGAGGTCGTTTGTTGCTTGAAATGAATTCGAAACAAGCAGGTGCTAGACTTCGGCGGGCGTATGTTGTTGAAGAGTTCCATGGCCCAAGTGATAAGACGTAGTTGGGAGCATCGTCGGCAGAGGTGGCTATAATTTGTATATAGATTGGACGGGAATATCACAGCAGTGATAGCTTCAGGTTCTGGGCGTCATCTTTGCTCACGAGAATTTAAATATTTTGTTTTCTGTTAAGTGTTGACTCAGGGATGCAGTGAAGGGCACTTCTTCCGGCCGATAATAATGGCAAGACGGAAGAAGAAGTTTATTTCATCAGAGTCTGAAGAAGTGAGCTTAGATGAAACGCGGGCTCTCGGACCTGGCAGTTCATAATCTCGGTCTTCTTGACGGAGCACTTTGTAGTTTAGGCACGTGATGAGATCGTTGACATGCCAACTCCTCACCTGGCCCTTCCTACGCCATCGAGTACGTCGCTCGTTAAAGCTTCGGCTAAAATCCATCATGTCAGTTTTTGACCTTTCGAGGCTACATTGAATTGTCAACGATCTTAGGTGCTACTCACAAAGAAAACGTCAAGTCAATCAGAGCCAACAATGCTTAGCCCATTTACTCGAGCGGCCCAACGGGTTACCCGCGAACTACATGGAGTTGTAGTCTCCGCCGGTGTTATGCAGAAGACTGTCAAGGTACGGGTCGGAGGAAGGAAGTGGAATTCACAAGTTCAGAAGGTTCGTCTATAGACATTTTGACGATAGTTGTAGAAGAATGGGCTGACTCTGATGCTTTAAAACGTAGTGGTTTTCCAATCCTCAACAGTATTTGGTTCACGATCCGAACTCCTCCCTCAGAATGGGCGATGTCGTTGCTATCACACCCGGTTGGAGATCCTCGCGTCAGAAAAGACACGTTGTGAAGCATATCATCGCTCCCGCCGGGTGCCCGATCGAAGAACGACCCCCGGTTCCTTCTTTAGAGGATAGAATCACTGCCTACGAAGAGAAAAGGGCGGCTAAAGCTGAGAGGAGAGCAACGAGGAAATCTAATGAGCAGAGCTGAGATGGTTCGAGAAAGAATATTGATGACTCCACCAGTTAAAGAGAGCCAAACGATGTCCAGGAAGGGAGGATTGCTAGGATAAAGAGCCGGCTGCACTACTGTACGATTGTCGAGTCTGGGATTCCTCGAGTGTATATTATATCTGCCCTGTCTACAAACCTACCCCTGCACACCTGTCCTTCGGGTGCGCAGAATTTGCTTCGTGTCTTCGACGGAATAGAGCCATTAGAGAAGGTAACACGGAGGATAATTTACAACCTTGCAACTTAGGGCGCTACATGTGGCGTTGCACCATATATTTTCTGGGGCGCAAAGAACTGCCGGTTCGGTTTCGAACATCGAACACACACGCACATTGACCCCGAAATGAAAGACTCGGTTGAAACCCCTTCCCCCTCTCGCCAGTAAGTAGACAACTTTTCCTTTGCCCGTTGCATTGTGTGTGGCTTCAATACAAGCCATACATGGTGATGCTGGTGATAGGGAGCATCGCTACAGAATCAAGGGTTGAGTCGAAAGTGTTTGCCTTATGGTTCAAGAGGCCAATCTTATGGTAACACATCCCTAGATAGTGCGGGTATATTGAACCATATTGTAGAATAGTGTAACAAGACTGACGGTTGTGTGTATGTATTCTGGAGAGCTTTTGGGGATTAAGACAGAAGAACGCGGACCTCGGCGGCAGTCCGTGAGAATATATCTCTAAGCTTAACATCCCGAGGCTTGTCATTCTCGTCGTAGGTATCTGCCATGATAATCAATTCCTCAACTTGCTCATACCTCTCGCAAAATCTCTTTATAGCCGTTTCTGTTAAGCGACTCGCGAGAGACGAGTCTTGCAGTTTGTTCAGATTATGGATGGCATCGATGTGGGCGGAGGGTAGGAAATCATCCAAGGTTCTGCTAGCTTGGCTTAATGCGTCGGGTTGAAAGGCGGGGAGAGAGGACAGTACTCGCCCGTCCCCCGGTGCGGTATGTAGGGTTCCCACTGCTTGAAAGATATCTTCTACGCCGGAGCCCTTGCAAAGAAAGGAGAACTGGCTTTCTTCAAGGACAGTCATGTCCTTTGCGACGCTATTTTGAAGCCGGTTGACTTTATCCCTCGTAAAGTCAAATGGCCGCAGTACTTCGACGGCTGCGAGCTTGCAGTTGATTAGAAATATGGCCTGGGACAAAGGCGTCATTCTGTTTGCAAGTGTTTCGCAACCGGTAATGAAGGGGTCCAGGGCCTCAACAAGAACAGGATCAAAGTTAGATTCCCGATCCAAGGATTCATCCAACGAGGTATCATATGTCTTCATGATGGCGGTAAGTTGGGCGAGGGCATCTTGAAAAAAGATGGGCAACTCCAAGTCTTGGGGTAGTCGTTGAAGGTCCCCCTGCAGAGTCCCAATATGATCTCGAATCAATGAGCGGAACTGCCGGGTGGCGGCAGACTCCAGGCCCTTAAGACAATCGAGAAGGTGAGACTGCATCCCGAGTAATTTGGAAAATAAGACGCGGTAAAAGTCTATCAGATTGGCTAGCTTATAGGCGCATATGATATCTTCGTTTGCCTGAATCGCTTGCTCTATTCGTTGACGTAACATTCGTGATACACCGGTCAGATTCCGGTCTACCAATTCCTTCAATATCTCAGTAGCATTGAATGCAGCTGACGCGTCATGGGTCGTTGGTAGAACTGCCCAGGGCTCACGGTCTCTGCCCGATTTAAGACCTTTTGCAATCTCATCACCCTCGGAAATGAACAATGCCTCGAGGGATTCCTTTTCACCAACGGTAGCCGAATGCGTCCAGGCCAACATGTCACCTACGTATCGAAGCGGGTCATGGGCTACCATTTCGATGGGTTTCACCGAGTCTCGAGCCCCCTTCACCGAAGAGTCTCCGGTAAGAGCAGAGTGAAATGCATCCGAAAGGGTTCTCTCACGGGCCTCTGAGAAAAACCCAAGGCAGTTCTGAAATAGGGACGGTCGTTCGGAAAGAAGGCGAAGAGCGCGCCTAATCGACGGGTTCATCTGAGGCGTCTCTGAGCCGGCGTCCTTGAATTCTCGCTGGATCCATTTGTAAAGCTTCTGGAATGCCTGATTCAGATATTTTGAAGATTGCTCCATTAACTCTAGACCTAGGGTCTGGTCTTCAAACCCCAGGAGAAGCTCGCAGTCCCGCTGGATAGCTTTTGATTTGGAAAGAGCCGAGAAGAACTCCTCGTCAATCGGTTCGGAGGAAAGAGTCAAAGCATTTATCTCCTCCTTGGATAGCACAAAATGGGCCCGGAAACGGTTGAGGACGTCGGCCTTAGCCTCTACGTCTTGCCTCTCGGTGATAAGTGCCGATGACTCCTGCAAGACTGGGGAAATTTGCTGGTGAGTCGCGACAATTTCAACCTTCATCTCGCGGTACACGTGGCTGAGTTGCTCCAGAGTGGATCCAAATTGGCGGAGTTGCTGTTGGGAATAGTTACATACCGGTCCAACGCGGGATGATGAGGAAATCGGGGCAAAGGTTCTATAAATCGGATCCTCGTTTAGACGCTTACCTCGGCCACTCGCCCGAATTCTCGGATAATCTCCCCATTGCTCTCTATGACTTCCCGTTGGAGCTGGAGTCGCAGTTGACGACGTGTGACTGGAGTATTTACCAAATCACATCGATCGACTGTAGACAGGACATCCCGAAACTCGGCATCGGTGAAAGACGTCGCGAGGACAGCGTTAATCTTGGATGAGAGAGGATTCCCGATGCTTCTAGGTGAAGGTCCGACTGGTGAATCAACAGGCGGATTCAAGTCATGGGCGGCAGAAGAGTCCCTGACAAGGAGAGGAAGTGGGCGCTGGTGTTGAGAAGGCATGGCGGTCTTCCATAACGTATGGGTATGGGCGACTTGATTCCCTTTCATGAAATCGGCAAACAACTTTGGTTTCTTCGGACTTCAATGTTATGAAGTTAAATGCAGGGTGTTGGATATGCACCTAAACGAATGATCGCTTTAGAGTTCATCTGCTTCCCCCATGTTATTGAAGGTGGGCCAACACGATGGAATTTGTACACAGTATGTATGTATGTACACACTAGAGTATCCCGTCACCAGACTCGATGGAGTACAAAGCCAGGTAGCTAGGCGTCAGTGACTCTTTCATACCCTGGTAAACCACAAGGCTTTTGACCGAGTATTGCACCTAAACTAAACTAGCAGCCGGACTTGCCTCCCTCCTGATCCATCATGTTTCTAACTGTGTCGATCACATGGGCTCCCTTCTAAACCGAACGTAAGACCTGTGCTACCGTACCTGCTAGAACGGAAACGCAGGTTCATGGTCTTTCAGATGTCATTATGCCTGGCAGCCTGCATCTGACCCCCAAGGGTGTTAAGTGAAGACCTCCCCTCGACTAATACTTATGTGAGCCGGCCAAGATAGGAGACCTCTCGACTTATTTTCCCACCACTAATCTCATGGTGTCTAGGTTCAAAGAATGAACTTCAATCACCCGTCTTCACATTCCACCAAGCCGTCGAGATACTCCCGCATTTCCTGAGCTGTCGACAACCCATGGATTCCGAGAGCCTTCCTCGCGTGGACCAACGGCAGCCTATAATGTCACCATTCCGTAACGGCCTTGGACCTCGAGGGGAGCAGGGTGACAATATGCAGGGTTTAGGAGACAGCGCTCCTTTCGATTTGGAGGGTATAGCTGTTAGAGACCTCGCTGACAATCGCCCCGAGCTAGATAGAGAGCTCCTTGCGGCATCACGGGCCCGCCGAAGCGGTACTCATCACCCTGGCTTCCGGGACCAAAGTCACGGCCGCTGGCAACCGCAAGACGATGACGAAGAAAATGAAGTACCGCAGTCTCTTCTTTTGGAACCGAATGATTCCCATGGAATCCACAGCCCAGGTACCACTCAGGGGGACTCTGGGGAACATGGGGTACAGGCAAGAGCTACAACCGAGTCTCGTTTCGGGCCTGCACCACCGCTTGAGGCAGCACGGGTCTACGAGGCAAATAACCCAGCGGAACATCTGCTTCCAACATCAACGACATACCGGCCTCCCCGTGTCACTTTGGGGACGAAAATCAGTTCAACCCGTGACAAGGCTGCCTGGAGATGGGTGAACGTATCCAATCTAGACCACTTTATGTTGGACGTCTATAACTACTACGAAGGAAGCGGATACTGGTGCATCCTGACCGACCGAGCCTTGCATCTTCTGTGAGTAACCCAACCTACTTCGGGTAAACGTAGCTAACCGGATGCAGGGAGACTACATTTGTTGCGGTTTTTTTGACGTTCTTAACTCAATGCATCGATCATTCGAAGATCTCTGGAGGGACCACCCTCCAACATATCGTTATTCCCCACTGCACTGAAAAGATGTCCGTTTCATGGAGCCTCGGACTCTGGGTGTTTGTTTTCTACTTCATCTGGAAGGTGGTGCAGTTTGTGATCGATCTTCGCCGCCTCACACATCTTCGAGATTTTTATGTGTATCTCCTTGGTATCCCCGAACAGGATATGCAAACCGTATCCTGGCAGGATATTGTAGCACGTATCATGGCCCTTCGGGATGCCCATGCAGAGACGGCCCGAAACTTGGCTCCTGACACCCGCCGATACCTCGGGAGCCAGTCGAAAAAGCGTCTTGATGCTCACGACATTGCCAATCGTTTAATGCGCAGGGAGAATTATTTCATTGCCCTTATCAACAAGGATGTGCTGAATTTCTCGTTACCAGTTCCCTTTGCTGGACGACGCGCGTTTTACTCGCGCACTTTGGAGTGGTATTTAAATTTCGTGATCATAGACCTTGTCTTTGATCATGGAACTCAAGTCAACCAGGAGTTTCTCAAAGCTCAACGGAGGGGGATCTTAAGCACCAAACTGCGCCAGCGGTTTGTCTTCGCCGGTGTCATCAACCTGATATTCGCTCCGTTCGTACTAGCCTACATACTAGTCCTCTACTTCTTTAACTCCTTCCTCGTGAGTCCAGATGCCCATTCTCTCGCAGCTTTCCTGGGGTTGGGTTTTAACTGAAATTCCGCAGGAGTTCAAAAGCGATCCATCCAAAATTGGCGCTCGTCGGTACACCCCATTGGCTGAATGGAAGTTCCGCGAATTTAACGAGCTTCCTCACCTCTTCAATGAGCGTGTCAATATGTCGTATCCCTTTGCCACCCGATATCTGGATCAGTTTCCTAAGCAGATCACGGAACGTCTTGCAAGAACCGTGGCCTTCATATCCGGCGCGCTCGCTGCTGTGCTTACGCTAGCGTCGCTAATCGACCCCGAAATATTTCGAGTAGAACTAACCCCAGATAGGACTGGTTTGTTCTATATCGGCGTGTTGGGTGCAGTCTGGGCATTCGCGAGAGGGCGGGTCTCGGAGGATGAATTAGTCTTCGACCCGGAATACGGCATGAGGAACGTCATCGAATACACGCATTATATGCCCGACCATTGGCGCGGTCGGCTTCACAGTTCAGATGTAATGCAGGAGTTTTCGGAGCTTTACAAGCTCAAGTGGGTGATATTTCTTGAAGAGGTTCTCGGGATTATTACGACGCCTTTCATACTACTCTTCACCCTCCCAAGTTGCAGTGACCAAGTCATTGACTTCTTCCGCGAGTTTACGATCCACGTTGACGGTCTTGGATATGTTTGCTCCTTTGCGGTCTTTGATTTCAAGCGCACCGCCGACCAACTCGGAACGGCCGCCGACAAAGACGCCCGCGAAGACTATTATTCTACTAAGCATGGGAAGATGGCCGCATCCTACTACGGGTTCCTTGATAACTACGTGATAAACCCAAAGACAGGAATTCCCGGTCATACACCCCCAGGAATTCGAGCCACGTTCCACCCACCCCCAGCATTTCCGCCCCTGAGTTCTCCTCCTTTCAATACAGATGCTCACGCCACTCGCCCAGGCCGCGAACGAGATAAGCCGAGGAGTCGTATGCCTGGCACACAACCGCCGGGGGGTTGGGCGTCACGTCATGGGGCTTCTATACCCGCACCATCACCGATGGCTTCCGCACTCCTTGATCCCCACCATCAGCCGCTGATCGGTGCGCCAGGGGGTCGCAGCGTCTATCGCACGCGCCAATCCCGAACTGCCCATGGAGGGTTCTACCCCGGAATTACGGAAGGGTCTTTTGAAGACGGGACAGATCAAACAGCTTCTCGGAAAGAAGGGACAGAGGACGAGAGTGGCGGTGACCTGGGCGAGTCTATGTGGGAGACTTCACCCACCAAAGCACTTAGCCGCGAAAGTAGTACAGCGGTTGATAGAGAGCCGGATGTAGGGGTGTTGGATCTCATCTATCAGTTCCAGCAGGCCCATCAGTATCAGAGAGCTCGAGGACCACTTTAGTCCTAAGCTGAAGGATACTTGAGTTGCCCTCGGATCGTAATATAATGACTGCCTGTCTCGTACGCGACATATAGGCGGATTCATGGCCCTTCACGTCTTCAATTCTAATTTGGCGTTGGCGTGATAAAGTACTGAATGCCAAAAGACGGTACCACTCAGCAGTTGCTGCGCTCGTTGAGATTATGGTACCGTACCTCATGCTCCGCTAGTGACCCCAGGCTTGGTAGATTGATAATCTTCAAATGTACCTGTAAATCTCAGATAACTTTATCCAATCTACAAAGGTACATTGATGCGATTGGTCGCCATTAATGCCATGCATTTTGAGGAGTAATAAGAGTAATAGATCCGCTTCCACAACAGCACACTTACGAAGTACATGGACTCTCGTCTTAGCGTTCTATCACTTTGGGGAGGAAAGCCCAAACGCTCAGGAGCGAAGACGGCACACATTAATGTAACGCCAAGCATCCAGAAATAAGGGTGAGAAAGTAAATAATTTCTCGGAGAAAAAAAAATAGAATAAAATGAAATAAAATAAAATAATAATAAAAAAATTAAAAATAAAACAGAGGGAGGGGAGAAAAGCACAATACGAAAATAGAAGTCTTAAAGCCGAGCGGCCTCGGTGCGGAGCTCTTGTTCCCCCCCAAGCCCCCGGTCGGGTCAAGAAAAGTATTTGTCACATAAAATTTGGCCAAGAGGTACAAGCCGACATTGCCCACGTACTCTAATTTCTTTGTTTCTCCAATTCACCGAAGCTGGCCTTGAACTTCTCAGGCCTACATTACCTCCGAGTCCGCAACGGCAGAATTTTTTCCTTGACTGATCCATCACGCAGCAGAAGAACAACATCTCTCTGGGAGCAGCCTCATCCTGTCGTTATGAACTGTTTGGCACCCTTCCATTGACTTTATCCGTTCTTCCCAAATGAAGAAGGAGTTTAACTAGTCCGTCTTCCGAATGTAGCGTTCCCGAGCTCCCTGCAAGAAGAGTAGCTCGAACGTCATCGAAGCGCATCACCGAACATCGCCCCCGTCGTCCGTCATTGTCCCCCGCAGCCCGGCCACGCCAGATACATATTCTCGAGTTCCCTAATTGAATCGCAAATCTCTGCATCCTCAAACACCCCCCGCAGAAGAACCCCTCGGCGACCTTCGCCTCGCGATTATTTCGCGGCTGTCACCCTGGCGGCCCTCGGTCCTAAGCCTTTCGGCAAAGCATCTGAAGCTGCGGCCGACATGGCCCAGCCAAATGCCGAGCCCGCAGAGGAATACGAGTGCGTTTTTTCCTTTGACCTTTCGCGCAGGATCATCTTTCCTAGATACCACCCTGCGATCCTAGCTATGCTGTTCGACAAGCTGACACGAGTGGCGTTTTCCACGAGTCTCTAGTTATGAGTCCCTGCCCCCCAATTTCTCGCTCCTCCAGAACATGGTAGCCGGGGCTTTTGCTGGCATAGCAGTAGGTTTCCCTATCTTGCCGTGTTTAAAGCTCCATCACTAACAACTATTATTCAAGGAGCATACTGTTATGTACCCAATCGACGCTATCAAGGTAGGACCAAGGAGCTAATCCCCCCCATCCGAATGCAGTCTATCCGCAGATTATATCTGAGCTCTATAATAGCATTGAATCGTTGTCCTGTGTTCCACTGACGTCATACTTTCAGACCCGCATGCAAATCCTTAACCCTACACCTTCAGCCGTCTACAATGGAGTCATCCAAGGAACATACAGGATAGCGTCAGGGGAGGGTATCTTGAGCTTATGGAGGGGCATGTCCAGTGTGGTTGTCGGTGCCGGTATGAAGAACCCATGTTCCTATGGGTATTGTCCAGCGAGCTAACTCTGTTGACCTAGGACCCGCTCATGCCGTCTACTTCGCAACCTACGAAGCAGTAAAACATCTTATGGGCGGCATTCAGGCGGGCGTTCACCATCCCTTAGCAGCTGGTGAGTTCGCGCGCTTCATCTATCCCAATGGAACTTTACACGGCAGATGCTGACTTCTCTTGTAAGCAACGAGCGGAGCATGCGCGACGATTGCGAGCGATGCGCTCATGAATCCATTTGATGGTTCGTCCTCTCGTATACCAAGCGCATTCCATCTTCCCGGCTAACCCGCCGCTTTTTAGTGATTAAGCAACGTATGCAGATACATAACTCGAGCAGGATGTACCGATCTATGCTTGACTGTGCCAAGTATGTTTATCGGCAGGAAGGGCTGGCGGCCTTCTATGTTTCATACCCAACAACCTTGTCCATGACAGTGCCGTTCACTGCCCTCCAATTCCTTGCATACGAGTCCATATCCACGACGATGAATCCCCGGAAGATATATGATCCCTTCACACACTGCGTTGCGGGTGCAGTTGCTGGGGGATTTGCCGCTGCTCTCACAACGCCGATGGATGTCATCAAGACCATGTTGCAGACTCGGGGAACCGCAAAGGATGTTGAGTTGCGGACAGTAAACGGCTTCGCGGCTGGTTGCCGTCTTCTCTACCGACGAGCGGGCTTGCGTGGCTTCTTCAAAGGAGTACGACCTCGAGTTCTAACCACAATGCCGAGCACCGCCATCTGTTGGTCGGCATATGAAGCATCCAAGTATGCACATTGAATATTGACCATGTCAACGAAATGCTAACGAGTGAATACAGGGCTTATTTCATCCGGCAAAATGACCTAGACGCAGGGGCAGCGTAGTAAGTCCATCCCACCCGCCTTTCAATACACTTGCCTTGCATGCTTCCAAAAATATCGACCAAGCTGGAAATATCACGGATCATTCAATCATGTTTAGTGACACCCTCTGATCCTTGGGCCCAATGCCTTATTATTTGCACCCCCGGCCGCATCTTCCTCTTCCACGGCAGATTGCGTTGAAATGCATTTGAAGAGGACGAATGAAACAACTAAACGGAACTAACGAGGCTTCGGGGATGTTTAGGTTGCCCCCACTCCCACATCGCGAGGAATCCTGGGGCCAGTCCAAGCATAGCCTGATGGTCTCCTTAGTCGAGGCGGCTTCGTCACGGCCCAGCAGAAGAATGTGCACAGCCACTGGTAAACCCTCGACTTCGCAAGGCGCAACTACGACTTGTTAGTGTGACGGTTTACCCCAAAGGCGGTGGAATCTGGGTATTCAGGACGGTCATTAAAGTCGCCGCGACATTGACATTTTAATCACACCATTGTGTTCTTGAAAAAAAGAATTGTATTATTTACCTGTTGCTTGCCCAAGAGAGGAACGGATTGGCAAATATTTAGAGTGTGTGGATAATAGAGCACCCAAATCTCAAACTGGGAAGTGTGACAACCCCCAACTCTCCCTAACTAACTAATATCGACGCTCTCCAAGCCAGACCCTGAAAATGCTCCGTTGCCCAACCCTGTGGCTACTATTGGTGGAAGGTGTTCGACCCTGTCGTCCGCTTTCGAGTGCTACTGTCGTGCGATATCATGCGCTTAGCCAGCTGGCTCTCTAATCACCGCGGGTGGCAATTGTTACGGGCGTGCCGTTAAGCGCCCCAGCATCTTCCGGGTTGATAAACCACCGCACGGTAGATGTGCCCTCAGCGTCTGTGGGAATAAGGAATGCCTCCCCCTTTACCTTGCCGGACCGGGACCATGGATACAAGAAGCCCTCGATGTTGCTAAACATGTATATGTCATCGTGGGTCAGGCCTACAGCGGAGTGGGCGAAGTATATGTCCCCGTCCGAGTCGGGGGCGACGTTGATAACGAGAAAGGTCGGTTCTGGGAGTGGGCGGGTGGCATTCGGGCTGGTGTCGGCGTCGATTTGGATGAAAAGTAGATCGTCACGGACTTCATTGACTAGTTGTGTTCACAGGAGATGTTAGGGGCCGAGTATATGGCATGGGCTTCACAGGGGAGAAAAAAAAAAGAAAAAAAAAGAAAAGGGGCCAGTATTGGTTTGGTCGGGTGAACCACTCTTCCTTACCAGTTATATTAAAGGCGCTCTTTACATCTGGAGGTATCGTTGAACCGACATATGCGATCCCTTGTCACGGTCCAGTCCATTAGCGGAGCCTCACGGCCAGAATCTGAGATCCAGGTGCCTACCGTCTCCAAACCAGACCCGATCGACGACAGACGGCGTAAATGTTTCCCATACGCGCAGTTTCAACCCTGCTCGTACACTGGGTATGGCCAAGGCGCCGGCGAGGACAAATGTCGTTTGGAGTCTCATGGCAACGAGGCGAACAGACTATCTCTGTGATGAATTCTGGGTCGAGAGGGAGGTTGGTAGTCGAGAGGGTGAAGATATAGAGTCTTTGGTCATTGATTCCGCTCTGGTCTGGTATGGCTGGGCTGGGGCCAACTGATGTTGCCGCCGATGCTCTCCTCTCAATCACCAGTCGCTGAACCGGACATAGCCCAGAATTTATAGGGTTGGGAGGCTAAGGCGACGTCCTCCTCGCCGATTGTAGCTCTACGGGCAGCCTTCTCGGCCGCTTTGTGACACCTCGCACGTCTTCCATAACCACAATACCCCAACCAGACTGTGGGTGGGACTTTTGTTGGCTAGAAGGGGGGGCATGGCAATTACGGGAAGCGCAATGGGGCAGTCGCTATTCCTAGTCCGCTAGGTAGGAAAGAAAAATATATAGTATGAAGGAACGGGTAATCAATACTTCGTAAATTATTAAATTGCTGCGGGAGGATAAGAGAGGCGGATGAGGGGGGAACTTGAGCATGACCCCAAGATGGATTAAACCTCCATACAGCGCAGCAGCTCGGGGCGGCAGGGTTTGGGGTCAGAACAAGCTTGAAAGCAGAGAGGTGGCTGGGAATGGTAAATCTGATCAAATGCGTGCTTTACTTGCGAATCCCTTGAACTGGGCTGTTGATATCGCATTGCTGTTCGGGAAACCGATGGGATCGCCGTAGGAATCAATTGAGATGGTCACCAGTCCTCAGTTGAAAAGAGGCGCCATTTATAGAAACACAATATGTATCTCCGGATCCTACAAGTAATACCTTTCACGGTTCCCACTATATTGTCCGGCTCGGTTTTATTACATTTTCCACGTTCCCATCCCCACCCACGCCTTGAATGCCCTCCAGAACTGACCGTCAAACGCGATCGGTCAATTGATGTGCCGCCCATCATCCCATCACATGTGCAGATCACCTGCCCTGCGAGTCCGAGATATGGGTAGGATTGATCCGCTGAGAAGCACATCGCTCCATGTTCGCTCAGGCTGAGGATTTGGCGTGGTCCGCGGCATATGGATGGTATCACATCACCAGGCAGGATTCCACACAGCATGGAAAGCCAAACCTGCTTCACGCTCTCCCAAATGCCAGAAACCCTTGCCCAAGGCGGTATCGGAGCGGACCAAAGTAAACTAAGCGAGCAACCCCGGATTGAATCGATAGGCAGCCTGCGCAAAGCGGTGTTCTTCGTATGCTCCGGGCTCAGTCCCAGGTCGATATCCTGCGCGTGTGGGCTGTCATGATGAGCTCACGATACGGCAATGCTCTCGCCGACTGTGCTCGGGATACTTCATATCGTAGATTCTATGTTCCGGGCTAAACTAAGTTTGCTCCTTTTATTTACACAAGGCATGTCAGTCCCTCCATGAACCCGAGGACTGCATGCCGACGGTCCAATTACATCCAAACACCATTAACTCCGCCCCCAAGGCTCCACGCCAAATGAATAAGGGTACAATGAACACCTGTTGCCACTCTGCTGTCGGCAGGACGAGACCGGGTGATGCATTGCCCCTAAAAGCCGTAGTGGAATTCAAACTTTTGACCACCGCCGTGGCCATTCTGGAAAAAGAATGGGTGACCGCCCCCATGGAACGGGTTGCCCTGGAAAGGATTCGACTGGCCAGATTGGTCGTTCGGGTCGTCGCCTCTGTCAAAACGAGCTCTGAGTTCCGGATCGCTAAGGACCTCATAGGCTTCGTTGATGGCAGCCATCTTTTTCTCCGCTTCTTCCTTACTGAGACCCTGGTGCGCGGCTTTGTCAGGGTGAAACTGCTTTGACGCCTTTCGATACGCCGACTTGATCTGTCTCTCATCGGCATCGTGAGAAACGCCGAGAACCTTGTAGTAGTCCTTCGTCTTGCTCCGTTTCAATGCTATCTTTGCCTTTTCGAGGAGTGATCGGACTGTGTCTCTTCTGTCCGGGCGCACTTCTGCCGCGCGCTCGAAAGTCCTAATAGCTGCCTCATAGTCTTCGCTCTCAAACTGATCCTTCCCCTGCTGGAGGAGACCGTAGAATGAATTTTCGTCCATCTGCAGAGCCTTTTTACAGAACTCAGGTGCTTTCTTGCTATTCATCTGTCGGCCGTGTGGTCAGCATTCGCTATGCGTGGAATGATATGTCCGTGAGGCGGACGGATGCAGGTGTGTATTTCTCTTACCTCGTAATAAGCCTGGCATGCCATTTCTAGAACTCTCTTTTGTAGCTCCACAGGCCCCCTAGGTGGTAGGAATCCTTGGTCGCGTAGTTCCCTGACCTGCTCCTCAATATCCGTTATCAGACCGGATTCGTCTCCTGAATCCACCAACACCTTTACGGCACTCGCTGGCTTCGTGCTTTGTAGCGCCTTGGTCGCTTTTTCAAGCGCCTTATCGACCGACTTTTGTTGCCTGAACAACTTTTTGCAGGGTTTCGAGTCAGGGTCAGATTGCAAACACTTTCGGGTCTGCGCCAGGCCCATTTCTAGGTCGCCGAGGGAGTAGAACGCCATAGCCGCAACCTTGAGATGGGGGGTGACATCTCCCGGCATGAGATGGAGCAGATGCTGCATATCCGTGATGGCGGCCTCGAGGGCCCCCGTTTCGAGCCGACAATGCGCCCTAGATTCACGGAAGGAGGCGGCTCTCGGCGCGGCTGCGATCGCCGTATTGAAATGGTTAATACAGGCTTCCCAGTCCCCATTCTGCTCAGCTGCACGTCCGAGTTCGCTAGCCACTTGTGCTTCATCCAGTTCGCTTATCTCTTGCGAACCCTTAGATTTGCCACCTAGTATAAACTGCTCCCTTGCTCCCTCCCAGTCGCCGGCCTTGGTCCGTATTTTGGCAAGCTGGACATGTGCTCCTTCGAAGCCAGGCTTCAGCGCCAGGACTTTGTTGAAATCTTCGGTGGCTTGATTCGTTCGGCCAAGGGAGAGGTAGGTGGTTGCCCGTTTGAAAAAAGTGAGGTAGTTGGAGGGGTCGCGAGCTACCGCAGCGTCGTAGTAGACCAGGGCTTCGCTGGTTTCGCCACGTGAAAGATGAGCCTGGGCCGACGACAAAAGTGAGGAGACTGGAGTATCGGTGGGTATATCGCTTTCGGATAGTGCGTTTACCGCATAGGGAGAGGCAAGGAGGCCAGCGGCCACCGCTAGGGCTGAGAAAGGAATGTGCATGGTGGAAAGTCAAGTCAACGTCAGCGAGGCGCCGAATGAAGAGAATGTCGATTTCAAGGGATTGGGCTGGCGTTATGAGGAACGCTGGGGATATCTGGGGTGCAAATGAGCATGTCAGAAGATGGAAGGTTGATTTGACATTCGTCGGAAGGAAGCCAGGTTGGGGGGAGTCGTGGCTGTAAAATGTTGATTGTCGACGTTTGCGAAGTTGCAAACGACGCGAGGTGCAACTCTGGCCTTTTCCAGGCACTTCCTTCCTCCTTCCGCGAATTATCCTACCTCTGATGTCATGTACTTCATACTGTGCTTTAGTGGGAGGATCTTGGCACTAATGTACAAGGAACGAAGGAACGAAGCAGCGAGCATATCAATCTCAATATACTTCGTAGTGTATGAAGTAATATCTTTGTACCAAATACACCGGTAAGAAGGACTCCAATGTGCCTCCCGATCACAGTGGTCTCCGAAGTACAATGCATATTGGCCAATATTGCTATAATTGTTACCTCAATACTTTAGGAAGTACGAAGTACTCGTGAAAGAAGTGTTCTTAATACGCGCCGCATACCTCAGTACAAACACAAAACATCCTGGCAGCACTGCTGGTCTCCCAGATAATCAGTGCGTAAAACTCAGAATCACGCACGGTATACATATATACAAGTCCTTGGAAGAGCTGAAGCCAGGCCAAACTCATCCAGAGAAACTGCGAATCCTTAACAATGAGTGAGAACACCCAGAGCCACCATTATTGATGTCAATCGACACTATAAATTCGAGGTTGTACATTATCGCCTGGTGACCTCGGACAACGTCCATTACATTCTTCTATTCCCTTTCCTAACAAACCTGCTCGTGGAGAGCCAAAAATCTTTTTTTTTTCTTTTCTTTTTTTTTCCGCTGAGGACTTCAAACTGTCCCGTCACCACTGACAATGCCACCTCCACACCACCAACCCCAATTATCGCACTTGGCGGCGTCCAGCGCCATCTTCTCCCCCTCCGTTGCCCGTATCGCGGCCTCCACTGCTCGGGACTGGAACTACGTCGATAACTGGCTAAGTACCAAGTTCCATGGCCGTACCCCTCCATCTTTCGAGCGGAATCCGGAAACGCTCAAGGCCCTGCTCACCCTAGCCGCCTTCAATGAAACGGCCGATGAGGAGCGAGACTTGTTTGCACGCGCCGAGGCTACTGCTCTGAACGAGCTTGACTCCGCCGCTACTCCGTCTACGACTGGTCCGAGTGGTGATCAAGAGCTGCTTTCTGGTGGCAAGCCGCTAGCAGAGTGTCTTCTAGACTCCATCGAGGCTGGCTTGACGAAAGAAGGGAGAACAGCCCTCGAAGTCATGGCTGGCATGGCTACCCACCTTGGCATAGCATATCCGGAGCCCGAGCAGCTCGGCCGGAAAGTCGTCGAGATACAGGGCAAACTCCTTGCCATTGAGCAAATGGGACAACGCATAGGGGGAATGGAGACCTTCCTCAAGGCGGAGGCTGAGGAAGCTGAGGCTATCCTACGAAAGCTCTACGGAGATGAGTACAAGCCCCCGACAAACTTGGCGAAGAAGAATCTGGAGTTGCAGAGAACCACTAAATCAATGGCTGACCGGCTACCGGAGCTTCGTGACCGGCTGGCGGCTCTATCTTCCCCCAGTTCGCCCAGTTACACATATCGTACTGTGGAGGAGCTTGAAGAGGAGGAGGCGGAGTATCTGACCATCTTGTCAAGAAAGAAAGAGCTAGAATCACAGATCGCCGCTTTCCAGGGCCTTCCGAGTAACTTGGACATGGCCAGGGAAGAATTAGAGGCTCTCCGCTCCGAATTGAGAAATATGGTGCGGAGGCGGGACATGGTCTTTGAAGGTCTTGTCGAACGAGAGTCCCCTAAGAAGCGCCCCCGCTAAGATGAAGTAAGGCATCATCAAAGTACTGTTGCTATTATCCATTCTCCTTTCTCGGGCCTGGCTCCTCCTATCAGGCCGCAGAGATGTTCCCCATTCACACGTTATTGCTTGTCTAGGCCCTCGAGGTGCATATTTCAGGGTGCAACAATTCCTTTCTTTCAAGGAGCGTTTCGCTTTCCTCGGCCTGCCACAGCTCCACCAAACCTTCCAAGTTGCTTCCCTAACCCTGTCCTAGCCTTGGTCGTGGGCACCGGAATTGGACCGGTGTCCTTGGCGGGAACGGGTGGTGCATTCCCCGTGCGTCCTTCTTTGCCTCCCTTCGCTTCGAGCGCATCACCTATTCGTAACTCGCCAACACCTAGCGGTGGGCTTTCCTCTAAATCTCCCGCATGTCTCTGAGCTCTACGGGCGCGTTCTTGGACGCTACGGAACTTTTCCAAGAGCTCTGACCATCGAATGATACCCTCCTCACGACCTTTTAGCCTTGGTGGCCTGTCGTAAGACGATCCGGTCGACGAGGATGAGGCCCTGTTTAGTTCAGCATTAGTGGGCAATTTTTCTAACATGGCATGCCCTTTGAAAGCCTTGTATGAATCGGCCATTCGGCCAGATTGGCGATTCGGTTTGGGAGTGTCGGACGGAGTGACATACGAGACGCGAGGCGAGATGTGAAGATAGCCAATAGGGCTCACACTATTTAGGCGGTTTTTCAAGGCTGCAAAAGCCGATGACTGCGGTAGGAGCATTAAAAGGCCATAGAGGCACTTGTACAAGTACGGATATCTTTCCGGCTCGAGTAGTTGAAGACGTAGATCTGCGGACGAGGCACTTGGTGTCAGTGAACCGGCTCCTCGAGCTGTGGATGGCTGTAATAAGGCAGAGAGCTTACAGGTAAAGACCGGGGACTCAATTAGTTGCACGAGCTTGTCGACTTGGATGAGCATGTTGACGGTCATGTCAAGTTCGGCACTAAACGTACACACTGGTTATTAGCTAAAACTTCTAGGAAAAGTGACCAGCTTCCCAAGGGCACTGGGGTAGGATGGCGCACAATATTTGCAGAAGGTTGTAGGCCTGCTCGTAGGCCTGCGCGAGCAGGCAGAGGGAAAATGTCGCCACGGCGTTGTAGCACCAAGACCTGAATAGAGCGACGAAGAACGTCTGGCCATCCTGGGCAAGCAGGTTCGTCAGTCCTGTCCGCCCCCACGAAGCAGGCGAATATGTGATGAGGTCATACCTTGGTCTCGAGGTTGCGCAGCCTTTTGCGCATCTCTGATAATTGCGGTGCCGTGATCAAATTATTATTCAGATTTTGGACCATGATGCTGGCGAACTCGACGTCTTCTTCCTTCTCGATGCAGTCGGCAAGGGTTCTGTAGATCCTTTCGGGGCTAAGACTAACGCAGAGCTGCCGAATGATCAAGTTCCCCCGGGTCTCTAAAAGCTTCCGATCCGTGGAAAAGAGCTGTAAGAGGTTGACCATGAAATTAGCGAAATAGTCATCCTCCGAATTCCTAGAGATCTGAGAGAGGAGCTGAAGATCCTTCGTGACAACGGCGTCGGATGGATCGGACAGCGTTTTGAGCAGGGCAGGAAACGTTCCGTCATTAAAGGCCAGCACCTTACGTGGCGCTTTTCGGTGAAGCATAATCAACCACGTAAGAGCAGCGACCCGGGTTGCTTCGTGGTCATTAAGGAAGAGGAGAGTGAGTGAATTGACCGCGGCGGCATAGTCCAAGTTCGTCTTGGGCTGTCGGTCAGGGCCGGAGGCGGTGCTGGCTTGGGTGGATGGAGTCTTCCCTTGCGCCGCCAGTGTATCGATATCTCTTCCACTGGATAGGGATACTCGGGCGCTACTGTGACCGTCTGTCCGCTCAGCAGCTAGAGCAGCCTTGGATGATCCGGACACTGGCTCCGACTCGTCCGAGAGCGAAACGACGTAGTCCATCAGGCCGGTGTTAACTTTACCAGCGGCCTGTCTGATCGACTCAACGCCACTTGCCATGGCTGGCAGCATGTGCGCCAGGATCTTTGGAGTAAAAGGGAGGACCTCTTCCGGGCAGATGTCTAGAAATTGCACTACCCATCGGAGGGATTCTAATAATGAGTCCTCTTCTGCGATCGCAAAACACAGTCAGCTATTTACTCCGCACCACGGGGTTATTCAGGAGTAGGATAGAGACATGGTTCAACCTTACCCAACGGCGAGTCTAAACTGGCGGTAAGAATTTCAAGAATTTCCCTGTAGTTGATGTGGACATCCTGGCCAGGTATCCAATCTTCTTCACTACTCGCGTCCTCATCTTCGGAACCTATTTCGTCACCTTCTTCTAGTCCCGTTTGCACACTACCACTATCAGCTGATTGATCCTGCCTCTTGTCCCCATCCTTGGACTTTTTGCCCTCCGTGATGCCTTTCCGGATATGGGAAATCCTTTTGATCTCGTTCAAAAACTTGTCCAGGCAGTTTCTCGTGGCTACATGAACATCCCTGTTAGGGTCACTCAAGAACTTTAATAATCCGCCAAGGAAGTCGGGGAGATAGGCGACTAGCTCCAGGTCAGGGATAGAATCGAGGAGGGTGATCCAGCCAACTAGGAACTGCCGTGTGAAAGGGTTGATAACCCAGATTCGTTCTTTGAGGAGAGGTATAAACCGTGGTAGGGAGAAGGCGGTAGGCAGTGAATCAAGATTTTCAGCAATGAATTTATCCTCATCGCCCTCTTGCTCCGGAGGAAGTTGTAGGACTGATACATATGAGGCGGCGGATTCGGCCACAATGTCCTTTATTAAGCGATCAAGTAGCTCGGCACCATTCTTAACTGAGAGCTCGGAGTCCGCGGCGAGCTAGGGAAGACTTGGATGAGTTGAAACTGTTCAAAGTGGCGCAAAGGAAACCCATCACGCCGGTTTCCAAGAGAGGTGATAAGGGGAAAGGGGGAAGAGAAGGTCTCCGTACCTTGCAGAGGGAATCAAAAATGTCATTGAAAAATATGAGTATTTCGCCCTTGGCCACCTTTGCAATGTTGTACATGGCCTCACAGGCATAGTAGCGAACCCTTGGATCTTGGTCCGTGAAGCAGGCAAGGACGGGAGGCACAATGCGTGAGAGATAGTTGGGTAGTTCCTAGGAGAATAGACCGATGAATGAGTTCCATGCTGGCAAAGACGAGAAGGAGAGTTGTGTCTGAGGCAGCGGGAGCGGAATAAAATAACAATACATCAACGACAACAAGAGAAGTGAGCATACTTGTCCTAGGGCAATGGCGGCGGCAGCGAGCCCAATCAGGCCTCCGTTTCTGGCATGAGGCTGGTGAACAGCGTATGCATACTCATTACATAGCTGCTCAAGGATCGTGTTGACCTTGGCATAGTCGCGAGTTGTCACGAGCTCGCGGATGGATTGCTCAAGGCTATAAATCTCATGTGAGCTTGCTGCAATTTCACCGACGGGGGAGGCTCAACTCTCTCAAGGGTAAGGCTGGGCGCCGTGAGCCACGGCGACGAAAGGGGGTTTTGGAGGAGCATACTCAAGGGCGCCGATCTTGCGCTTATCATAGAGTTTGTCATTTAACGCGCGTTGGATGCTGGCATCCATGGTTGTGGAGGAGTCAGGTCAGTTGGACCATGACTGAGATAACGGGGGCGTCTGAATGAGTCTGTTCTGGTGAAGCTGCCAGTTCTTTTGCGTCAGACAAGGACGTTGCAATATTCAAGAGAGTACACAGGTTACATTGGTCAATCAATCGCAGCTGGTAGCGAGCGAGGTTGCATTCGGGGGGATCATGCACTACGAAGTACCAAATCTTGATTGACATTGATACTTCAATGTCCTTTCCCTGCTGAATAAACCCCGCCGGCAGCATTAACGCCTGGAGTTGGCTGCCTGACACAGTGGCAGTCAGTGTGGTGGTCTGGCCTAGCCTGGCCCAACTTCTGTGGCGTAATTACTGCGTAATAATACCAAGCACAAACAACATTGAACCTTGGGCATTGAACATTTGATTGAAGTTACACACACCTTTCCACCTGCAGCTTGCCTGCCTGGTAGGCTGGTCCTGACCATTGTGAAGACTCGCGGCAAAGGCTGTCTATCTCACACCAAGACGAATCATTTCGCCCGGGTTCTGGAAGCTTGCTCGGGTGTTTCAATTAACTCCTAGATAATCAATAATTAATCGGTCGAGTCAAGGTGTACCTCAACACATCGACGGGCCGCAGTTGTTACGTATTATTCGAGGTAGTGCAATGGCAGCTCATGCCCGTCCTTTATCTCTGGTTCACAGGGAGACTGGGATGAGGCTGAAGCTTCCCGATATATATATAAGAGTCTGAGGACTTACCAAGCGAAGGCGGTTGGGATTATCTATCAAGACGATGACGAGGATGATGGTGGAGGTTGACTTCGGCAGTAGGTGATCACCTTGTTGAGAATAGATCTACCCTGGAAGACATTAATCTATTGATCCAATCGTGTAAGAAACTTGCAAAGGTTACTGTAACCTCGACATTAATGGAATCAAGTATCCACGTATGAGGAATGGTGCGGGGTGGGGACGAAGAGCACCTTCACTTATGGTTTTGTGACATGGCCCAGCACGCTTAGGTCTGCCAGATGCAAGAAACCTCTCGAGCCTTGGGATGCTGAGATAAACTTCCACAGCAAGCCTGGCACATTCGCTTGCGAAGGGCCATCCTCTGTACCCGAATTTTCTTAAGCCTTTTCAGAACCTATGAGACTATTGCCCATGGTCTCAAGTTTTCTCAAGTTGAAAGCAGAATCTGACATCAAAGCCGGTACGCTTGGGCCGCTTAGCCGGGATCGGCCGGTCACTATCAATCTAACAAGCATGTCATTGCCTACAAAGTATTAACACCGGACCCTCAAGTCTACCTCAGCATAATGATATGTCATCTTGAGAGGCCCTATCATCCATGACCAAATTTCAAGGGCATATGCATATCTACTCCCCAACTTTTAACCCAGGACCCGCAGCACGCTGCACGCAGCACGCAGCAGGTCACCTGCCTCCTGCCTATCAAAAGTCAAATACTCCTTGACCCGTCAAGGGGTTGCCTGGTTTGGGCCTGGGGGCTGTCCATGCAACTCGCCCGAGACGCACGCGTTCCCGGTGACGCAAGTGGTGGTCGGTTTTCCTGGTGCGCGGCATCCGATGGAGTTCTCGAACCGGGTCAGGCTCTAGGGTCAAAGCTCATGGATCGGATTGGCCTGGTCTCTTCAGAGGAAGCACATCAAAGTCGGACAGAAATTTAGAGATCAGACTGGAGTAGCCGTAGTGGGGAAGTTCACCCGCCGCGAAGCGGGGTGTTGTCGAAGAAAGAGGTTACCGCGTCTCCGTGGCTTGGGACTAGACCAGCAGGCCAACAAGTGCCCAGACCCCGTACGAAGTAGTGTAGTTTACTTGTATAATTTCTTCGTAATTACGAAGTACCGACATGCTGGGATTAAGATCGTCAAGGATGATACCCCCCACGCGAGTCTTGGCTACTACCAGGTTGATCCAGAGTTCCAAGACCCATGACGAGTCGACGAGTTTTCAGTTTCATCACTTTCATGGGTGGTGCGTTGCTTGTTCAATTGTAAGTACTTTGCATTAAGTAAGCGAAATTATGACAGCGATACAGCTTTGAGCAAGTTCAACTTCCTAGTCCGCATGCCAAAAGGAATGCAACAGGGATCATATCACGACGACCCTGCGCACAGCTTGACAATTTCCCATCCCAACCCCGGTCCTCTGCGGAATGGTACTTCAAGTACTTGTAAACGGAAGATTGGTAGGCTTGGGCACGGAATGATCTGCTCAACTGGCCCTTCCTCCCCCGTCCCGTGGTGGATTCACTCTCCCGCTCCCGCTCCTGTCCTGGCCGCCGCCTTGCCTGGTTGTTTGCGGCTCCTGATTTTCCCGGGCTGCGATGGTCGCCCTCTTCGCGAAGTTATCCTGGAAGATGGTGCAGCTGTCAGTGAAAAGCTTCGTAGTTATAAATTTGTAGCTTTGGAAGTGGAAGAAGGGGCAAGACGCGGTGTTTCGTCGATTCCGTCCAGACCTACCTTCTCACCTCTAGCCTTTCGAATTCTCGCGGCCGCAGCCTCATCCATCTTGCCCTTGGTCATGGTGTGATATGGGAGACAAGGCACGGAAAACCACGCGTAGTTTGTCAACTTGTGTATGTATTTACCTCGCTAGATGAGACCGGATGATCTTAAGATGAGATAGAAGAATCTAGAGTGAGGGAGGGCTCTTTGCGCTTGGAAGAAAAGGGAGACATCTCCATTTACGCCTTCATCATTCTCCGGAGATGTCTTGATATTTATATATACGTCCAAGTTCCGTAGCTGTCGGCATGTAATTCGACATGGCGTTGGGTCCTCGACGCGCCTCCGGGGCTTTTCAAACCGCACTTGACACAGAAACTTGCTTAGACCCCCGTGGGTTTTGAGGGAACCCCTACGCCTTAGTGGGAGAAAAAAAGCAAGATGCTTCGGGCTGGAAAGAAAAAAGAGGAGGGGGGGGGCGGGGGACTACCAGTCACTGCAAAGACCAATCCTCGACCATGCCAACTGGTTCATTTGCGACTCATCGTGCTAGGTTGGGTGTCGATCTTGTCTCGACATGGCGGCTTTGTCCAGGACAAAAAGAAAAGAGAAAAAAAAAAGGCGCGGTGTCTGGCATCTTCACTTCCATCACCGACGTATTCCCGACTTCGTGGCTGCGCGTATATTCGCGGCTGGTGAGATTTCGATCCAATGGTGGGTCGGCAATTGGGAGAAATCTGCGGGTATGAGAAGATTGAACTCTTATAGTATAGTCCAGGCGACATGAACGACCCAGTACACCTCGGATGGGGAAAAAGAGAGCTTCACCCCTTTCCATGACATCTTGTAATAGCAAATCCTTGTCCACTTCCCGGTTTCCGATTGAGAACTGGGCAGTAGGAATTCACCAAACGAGGGACCTCCGAGTCCCCATGCGCCTGTTCCAGGAGGCGGGCAATATTCCTCTCCGCCGCTCGGATATCCCTGCCCTCCAAGAAGGCGAGCAAAAAGAAAGGGAAAGAGAAAAAAAATGATCAAAAAGAAGAAGAAAATTTTTATCAAGAAAAAGGGATAATAGGTCGCACATCAGACGAACGGCTGCGGATTGTTGGTCGCCCGTTTGTTTCACTGCATGACATCCTTGGTCACATGTGTTTTGCCAACGTTAGCAGCAGCCGGTGAAGAGCAACAAGAGATTATGGCTCATTGACCTGGTCTGACCGGACTCTCGCTAGTGTGGGGGCGGGGCAGGGACGACGTCTTTGAAGGAGTGCAAATGTTGCTCAGAAAGCTGGTGAGGTATTACAGGTCGGTCGAATTACACGCGCTCCCTTGCCAGCACATCGGATGATGCACATGACCGCAGAGGACCGGATAGGGCCGGGCGAGACCCGAGGGATGCGCCAGGTATGAGCATACACTTTGCGCCAAGATTACACGTTAGAAGAGCGGCAGAGAAGATATTGCAAGGAGCTTGGACATAGAGCATTCACCGGTCCCTCAAGATAGGCTAGGACACGCGGGCAGCACCCCTCATGGTTGGAACATGTCGTTTGACGCTAACAGCATCCTTCATCCCGCTCCGCAGTGGGACGCGGAGTTAGTCAAGTTCGTCACTTACTAGTCGTTGGGTCGGGTTCCAGAACCAGCACCTCTCCACTCCAGCTCTTGGGGCCTCCTGCCGATGAAGCCGAGATTCCTTCTCAAGTTCTCCCATTTCCTTCCCACCAGCCTAGTTAGTTCCGTTGCTGTATGGGGCTCGCCAGGGAGAGAGAGGGAGTGGGAAAAATCATGGACGACAGCACAAGCCCCCAAAAAGAGGCGAAGATTGTGGAATATTACATTGCAAAGAGAAGACTGAGGCAGCAACCTTAACTTGTTCGATGTCTCTCATTACCACAAGTCCGATGGAGAGTTATATGCATACTACATTGGCTGAAGTACCGACAGATGCCATCGATGTGGGGACCGAGACGGCGGCAGATATCTGATTGGCAATGGAATCCCGAGGCCGTGGTCCAAGGATGAACGTCCATGACGATTCGAGAGATGGGAACCTAACACGTTGCGGGAAGTCCGAGTCCTCACAACCTGAAAGTGGCGCCGAATTGCGTCGGGCAACAACGAGTTATTTGGGCAAAGGACGAATAACGGAAACAAGATTACAGTCTAGTGTCACGATGCGTAGAGCCCGCCAGAAACACACGCATGCGCACAAAAACGCGCACTCCCAGTCCCTCTCGCGGGTTTCCTCCTCAAACCGAAAAAAAAAGAACCAAAAATAAGGGAAAAAAAAGAATCAAACACGCGCATGCAGATGGTGAGTTAGGAAAGGGGTGGGAGACCAATGGAGAGAAACGGCCTTTCAATGGGCAAAATAGTCACCCCGCTTGGCTATGCTCCGTTGACATTTGGCCAATATCGCTCCTTGCCTAGAGACTTCGGCCAGGTGACCGACAACCTTTTTATTCCCATCCACGAACCCGTAGAGGGCGTAAGGGATTCCGACGTCGTTGCAGAATTCCTGGACCAGCTTTTGCGCTGTACGGAGGTTGTGCCGAGGGATGCGCGGATAAAGGTGATGTATAGCTTGGAACTGGAGTCCACCATGGAAGAAATCCAGCCAGGCGGGGCAATCCACGTCCATTGTGGTTCTCAGCATCTTCTGCGCAAACGATTCATCCGGTCCGAGATCTGAGGTACTCATGGCGAAGTGGGACACTGTGATCTGAACATGGAGCGGCATGGTAATGACATGGCTGATGGTGAAGAAGACGAAGCGATCCCAGTTTGTGGGAATTGACTTGTACATGAGGAAGTATCCGAACCAAGTCCAGAAAACTGCCATGCCAAGAAGTTCGAACCACCTATGCCACCAAGCAGGACCCCTCTTTGGTCCTGTGCCTCGAAGTAAGTAAAGCCAAGACTGTAAGTAGAGGTTAAGCCGAGCGACAGCCATGATGGGGTAGTACAGATATGCTTGGATTTGGGTGATGTAGCGCGCCGGTAAGTCGTATTTCATAATGTGGGAATGGTACGACGAGAAGAGCGATTCGAAAAACCGGTGGGATACTGCGAAGAAGGGCAGGTGCTGATTATCCGGGTCGTGCTCGGGAGAGTTTGTCACGATGTGATGAACATTGTGACTCCATTTCCACCAGCCAAGCGACAGACCTCCGCAGAAATCGGCAATCAATATCCCGATGACGGTGTCCAAATGGAAGTTATGAGTTATGCCCATATGGCCAGCGTCGTGGGCAGAGAAAGCACCTTGGTGCCAGAACATGCCGAGGCAGGCGGCGCTGAGGGCGTAATAGCCTGTCTTCAAGAAGAACAGCGAGAGCAGCACCAGAGTAGAATATCGGGTCAGTTCGATAGCGTATGCCCTATAATTGCAGTCGTAGAGGCCTTCAGCCTTTAGGCGGTCGTGTAGTTGGCGATATTTCTCAACTATTACTTCTTGGGTATCCTGGTCCGGGGCTGGGTATTGGTCGAGGTCTAGGCTGATCTGCTTCTTAGTCTGAACGTCCAAGTACGTCATGCCATCCATCTCCTCCTCCTCCTCTTTCTCCTTTAAGCCATCGGGCGATGGCGAAGGGGATAATGATGTCAATGCACTGCCCAGACCGTGGCGGCTTTGAAGAGTTGGACTCTCATTGTCGAAGACGGGAGAGGGTGCCCTGGAACTGGCGTCGCTCGACGACGTATCCTTGATTGCATCGGACGGCGAGCCGGCCTCCGAGTTTTGTTCCAGGGTGGTGGAATCGAAGATGCCGCCTTGGATGGGAGGGACGAAGTTCTTCCAGCGACCTTCGATACGACCGATGCGATAGCGTTCCATCTGCCGACGGGCCTCGGGTGAGTGAAGGCTAGAGGCATCGTTGCCAAGTTAGTCGGCGACAGATCTCTTACGAGGAGGGGAGGCTGATTGTGGGTGGGTGGGTAGGTGTGAGAGACGAACACATCAACTTCATCAGTCGCATCCCTCCCAACCATGTGGAGGATGGCGAGGTGCCCCCCGGGGTGGTATTTGACCCATGGGTCGATTTTTAGGACGTGCTGGTCAACGATGACAATCTTGAGACCACGGGCAATTAAGCGGCCGACCTCCTCCCGGGTGTAAAGAGGATAGGTCTTTCCTGGAGCGCTCTTCTCGGTGGAAGACATTGTGGAGTGAGGTAACTAGAAGCTAGGACCAAGCTGAGTATTGTTCGTCAGCTATTAGGGAATTATCGCATAAGGTTTTGACGGTTCGATTGCTTGGCAAGCTCATTGCGCCAGCAAGCGAGGAGATATATGGTTAACCTTACCAGGCCTGGGGAGAACGACACCGCGGTCGCAAGGAAACGAAGGAATCGGGACAGGGCAGCGACGGATTGGGGCGATTGGAGTCCTGTGAAGGCGGAACCAGACGGGAGGACAAGACGCTTATGGTGCGGGGAGCTGCTATTTACGCGGCGGGTCGGTCGTCTCAGGACTCATTCAAGAATTGATTGATCAATTGGGATGGTTTCGACCACCAGGGTCATCGTGAGCAGCGTCGGAAAGCAATGGGAACTATCGCGTGAAACATTGATCCGAAGAGACAAGTCCGGGCTAGGAGGAAAGAGAGCAGAGAGAGAGAGAGCACTAATATATTGATTTGATCCAATTGACCCCTTTCCAATGGGCAACGAATGGACCGAGCTGGTGTTTTTTTTTTAGGTCTGGAACCTCTCACATGCTCGCAACTGCAAAGAACTGCGACGGTATCGACAAGGAACAAAGGAACAAGCAGGAGCACCACCGGTTGGGCTGGGGCGGTGAGGTCCACTCAGTACTTTGTAAACTACGACGACGTGCCGACGACTTCGTGCTTTGGGGAGGAGACAAGGAGCACGCATGTATTGATCAATTGATCAATTGATGGATATGTACGACGAAGGTGGCACTCGAAACAACTAAAATGCAGCTGCAGCTTGGTTTGCCTTGGTGGCATTTGTCTCCACTAAACAATGTCGCTCAGTTTAGTTTCATTGGAAGATGCATTGTCGCAGATGCACCAACTTCCAGGCAGCAGAATTACCATCAACGACGATTATTTTCCGCAGAGAAGGCCCGCGACAGTCTGCCCAGATACGCAAAGTATCGTATGAGTCCCATGGATCAATTGGTCAATTCAGGCAAATGCCGGGGCGGTCATGGTTCTCGTCCTCCCCGTCGGCTCCGGCTGGAAGCTAGGATCGCCTTCGTGCCCCTCCCAACAAGCAACACGGGCAGAAAAATTGTTGAGCTGCGTATTCGATTTTGAGGTACGAAGGGGTTGGTGATGTTTCTTGGACCGACAGAGTAATCGAAGCATCAATTGATCAATTGATGATCGAATGCCTTTTCATCAATTACAAGCAACACGAAGCACCGACGGAACCTAAGAACACCCGACATGCCCCAGTATTGCAACTACTTCGTAGGCGCAGCACTGGAGGCATGGTGTTAACTGCACGTTGAGCATATTGAGCATATAATTTTCTAAGACCTTGAGGATCCCCTGAATGATAGCCCGAGTTCCAACCACGTGGGCGGGGACCGAACGAAGTGCTCACTGATGATATCAATCCAATCACTACGAAGTATAGCCGTTATCAATCAGTCGGTCCTGAGAAACTTGTAAAATCCCGCCCATCCCCCATTCCCCCTCAACTCTCCTGCTCCCTCAATGCATTCCATTCTTAGCAAAGCCTGGCCTGATCCGTTGGTCAATTGGTCGACGGAGCCGAGGAATATTTTTGCTATCCATTACACTTCTGAGTACATCGCACACTCCACACCCATTGAGTCTCCGAGAGACGAAGAGTAAACTGGGGAATGCTACCCCAAGATGCGGAGCGGAGGGTCGCCACTCCACCAATCCGAACCACCCTTCCGGACCGCCCGGATCTTCCTGCATTTCAATACTGGTGCTTCACAGAACTCATACTGGCAAGAGGAGAAATATTGCTGCCTGGAGCATCGTATTTGGGACCCTCCGCAAACGTATATATTCCTCCTGTCTCAAGATCCGGCTCTCCTGCGAGGCGGTGAATGGAGACACTGCGGATCATCGGAAGGCATTGATACTCGAGAGTAATCATGCACGCTTTGTATTGTAGTGCGCTGCCATGACCTTGGGATTCCTGTAGATCTCAACCCGACGTCGCTTGTGCCACGGATGCGGCTTCTTTCCTTTCCAAAGCCAGAGCTTGGGGGATCCTCTTCCCTTTTGTCCCAAATTCTCCAGAATTCGAACTCGGCGTCACCTCCGATGCGTTCTCCATCTCCTCGAGCACCAGCTACAGGGCTTTCTGCGATAGCCTTCAAAGAGCAAACAGGCCCTAACACATGATGGCAATCATGGACTCGCTTCTCGAGTGCTTTTCATTCTGATACATACAGAATGGTCCATCCTTGCTGCTCGCTCTATTATAATTGGCATATACTGTATGTACTTTTATGTGAGGGGAAGAGACGCCCCGTCCGGTAGGTGGAGATTTCAATGCCACAGTTAGACGCAAAGACAAGAGTGACCACAGTTGCAGAGTTATCCGTTGAGGTGGAAGGAAGTTCTCTATCACTTCTGAGCTGGAACTCCTAGATCTATACACTACCCTATGAACATACAATACAGGATTTTCTTTCCGCTCTCAAGTTAACAAAGAAAAAAAAAGATTGCCGTTTACTGTTAGATGATTAGAAATGGATAGCCTTCGAGTACGTAGCCATCGCCGCCTCCTTGAACGCCTCCGACAATGTTGGGTGAGCATGGCACGTCCGGGCAATATCCTCGGTCGAAGCTCCGTATTCTAGCGCAAGGGTTCCTTCCGCAATCATCTCTCCGGCGCCAGGTCCAATGATGTGAACGCCGAGGAGACGGTCAGTCTCGGGGTCGGCCAGCAACTTGACGAAACCATCACTGTCGATGTTCGTCTTCGCCCTGGAGTTGGCACTGAAGGGGAAGGTGCCAACCTTGTAGGGGATGTTCTGGGCCTTGAGCTCCTGCTCGTTCTGGCCGACCCACGCAACCTCGGGGTGGGTATACATGACAGAGGGGATGCAGCCGTAGTTGACGTGACCGAAGCCCTTCTTGATGTACTCCACCGCGGCAACGGCCTCCTCCTCAGCCTTGTGCGCAAGCATGGGTCCGAAGGTCACATCACCAATGCATCGAATGTGGGGGAGCTTAGTGCGGTACTCGGAGTCAATGATAACACGGCCGCGCTCATCCAGTTCCATGCCGATGTTCTCGAGACCGAGACCTTCGGTGTAAGGCCGGCGGCCGATGGCCACCAAGACAACCTCGGCCTCAAGCTATTTAAAATGTAAGCGAATGAAACTGATACGGACTGACCCCAATTGATGCTTGTCGGGGTGTGATTGACTTACGCTTTCGGGCTTGCCTCCCTTGGCGGAGTCCACCTCGAGCTTAACCTTCTCACCGCTAGCGTCTCCGCTCACGACCTTGGTGTTCAACTTGAACTCGATACCCTGCTTCTTCAGGATCTTCTGCGCTGCCTTGGAGACTTCGGTGTCCATTCCAGGTCCTCCGATCTGGCCAAGGAACTCGACAACGGTGACCTTAGCGCCAAGCCTAGACCAGACGGAGCCCATCTCGAGGCCGATAATGCCACCACCAACAACGACCATGGACTCAGGGACCTTCTCCATGGAGAGCGCGCCGGTGCTAGTAATCACCCTCTTCTCATCGATCTGGAGGCCGGGGAACGGGGTGGCCTCGCTACCAGTGGCAATGAGAATATTCTTGCCCTTGACGCTAGTCTCGCCTCCGTCGTTGAGGGCGACCTTGATCTCGTGCTCGTTGACGAAGGAACCAGTTCCCTTGATGTATTCAACGCCATTCTTCTTGAACAGGAATTCGATACCTTTCGTGAGACTCGATACGGACTGGTCTTTCGCCTTCATCAACTGAGCCAGGTTCAGCTTCACGTCGCCGACCTCGATACCTCGGTTTTTCGTGTCGTGCTGAATCTGATGGTAGAGATGAGAGTTGTTGAGCAGGGACTTGGAAGGAATGCAGCCGACGTTCAAGCAGGTGCCACCAAGAGTGCCACGCTTCTCGATACATGCGACCTATATCTCGTTACTGTTAATTGGCATCCGGACCTGATGTGCAAAGAAACAAGGACCAAGGGAGAGCAGTACCTTCAGACCCTCTTGGCCGGCCTTGATTGCGGCTACATAACCAGCAACACCTCCTCCGATAATGACTAGGTCCTTCTCCTCTGTGAGATAGCCGACGTTAGCTCTTGGCACTGCATTATATTTTGTCCGGGGACGGGCTCATCGGGTCAAGATGGCGCATTGAGATATACGAACCGGCAGAGGAAGCAAAGGAGCGGCGTCCCCTTGATGCGATGGATGGGAGACTATTCGCGTAGCATGGATGTCAGCTATCATCAGGATGGAAGGGTTTTCCTCGTCAAATGTCCCGAAGCAAATTTGGCGCAAAAATGCTTCTTCGGCAATGAGCCCAAATTGTTGTGTCATCGGGGTACCTTACCTGGAAGCTCGGAAAGCCGACTTCGCGGCCGTCCTGGGTATTAGGCGAGCTGATAGCATCTTGTCTGTTGAAATGTGCGATTGCTAGGAATCAATTGGCCTCCTCCGTATATATGCTGGAGAAGAAAAGAAGGCTTCGCGGATGTGAAAGATTGACGGTGACGTTTTCAATCTTTCGGAAGGCAGGAACAGGAGCTTATCGGAACTTAAGGAAATTTTGGCTACTTTCCAGGAGGTATTGTTGAGCCCGTGCTACCTTATAGGAGGCATCCCAGCCAGTGAAAAATTTATGCCTGACAAATATGGCTAAAACGGAGCGAAATCTTACCGCGAATATCCGGGGTAAGGCGGGAGCAAATCACTTTGGCAGGACCGGCACAACGGCAAGGCGGTTTATTCATCAATTGGTGCTCGGTCGAGCGAACTAACACCGACCTCCTTGTCCAAGCGTTCGCTGTCAAGACGACTTGACTGCGAGAAACAACGTGGATATTCGCGCTCTACATCGAGAGTTACAAGATCTTTCTAGCCAACGCAGGTGACAATTGCAAGCTCGGGAAATAAGAAAGACCATTTCTGGCTCTAAGTTGTAATGGCTAACTAACCAGCTGAGTACACCCGCCATTATTAGCTCCTATGAAAACCGGGGTTCTTTTATGTCATATTTCTCCTTCCCCATCCTCAGCCGTGGCATGGGTTTTCAGTATCTGTCTTGCGAGTTTACAGCTATCCTTGATCTTGGGAATTTCGCTTTTCTTGGCCCTCCCCCGTTTATCGACAGCCTTGCCGAGTTTTCCGAGATAATAGTGTAGACCAGCAGCGAGGATAGGACTTGTAGCTGCGTCCTTAAAGCATCGCTCCAAATCAGCGTTGCCCTTTCCCTTGTCCCGCTTTCCGCATTCTCTGAAGACCGCGAACATCATATGTTCAAGAAGAAGACTTGTTTTTTTCTTCATGTTTGTCAGGTCTAAGCACTTTAAAATCTTGAAAGAGAGAGCCGACGACGCCACCAGGGAGCCCATCATTCGGCCGATGTTGGCCATCCTGGCATCCTCTAGCCCGACAGCGGTGTCATCTTCTTCCTCGTCTCCCTCGTCCTCGAAGACCGACTCTCCCAGTCTCCGGAATATTTGCCACAGCCGGTCCTGGAAGGCAAATCTAATCCTTCCGTCTGAGCTCAACTTCCGCGCGATTAAAGTGTAGTAGGGGTTGTAAGGTTGCTCCGCCCCAGCAGCTTGAATCAGGACAAAAACGACCTCTCGCCGTTGGTTTTTGTTGAGATTGAGCTTCTGAAAACGGATTACGGCATCGTTGTGATCGCTGGCCCCTGCAATAGCTGCAAAAATGGCATGTTGTGTGTCCGTTTTGAGACCCTGCTCTTTGGCAACTTTGATATAGTCGGGAAAGAAGCGATCCAAATCCTCATCGTCCGAGGAGCTGTCGGCATCCGCTGTCTCGTCTCTCGGGTCCTGTTTGGTCTGGTCCGCACCGGAGTTTCCCGCGAAACTAGCCCCGACAAGCCACCACTTGCCTTTGGTGGCGGACTCGTCGATATCCCGCAGTCCGATCCGCAGGGGTCCGCTGGAAGTTGACCTCTTTGAATTCAAATTTCCGAGCAGCTTTCTCATCGTAGTGACGTGATTCGTTACGATGGCCGACTCTTGCAAGCCGGCCCTCATCTTGTTGTTCTTCAAGTCTGCGATTGTGTCAACCATGAATCTCGTCCGCTCCGTCACACGTTTCTGATCTGCCGCAGCGAGTAATGACTGTAGTCTCCCGGCAACGTCTTTCAGGGCCTGAGGGTCATCTCTTCTGAGCAGTTTTCCCGCCATGCGAACAATCCGCAACAGCAACTCGGTATTGAGCTCGGAAAGCTCATCCAGGAACAAACGAACCAGATCGAAGATAAGCCCACAGCTCACAACCTGGAAAACGTAGAGCTCCGCAAGGAATGTGACGAGATTTGACGATTCTTTTGGTAACGGTTGAGCCACATCGGCGACCGGCAGTTTCGCAGCTCTGGAGTACTCTTCGCGGAAGTCTTCGACTACCCTAGTCACAACATGCGAAGCAAAGCTTTCCCCAATAATCCTGTACAGTCCTGCGACAAAACCACCTTGGAGGATGAAAAACGTGTCAGACAGAGTTGCCGTGTTAGAGATTTGAGACATGATTGCGTCGACGAGAACAGACGTGACTTGACCCCTCGGGTTTGACGCATAGACTTTCTCGATGTCTTTTAGAATAGCTGGCATATTTGACTCCGTAAGCCTGTTCAGTAACCCTTGAAGCTGCCGCCGTAGAGGCCCTGTGTCGTCTGCACTGACTGGTTTCCTCAGAGAGGGTGGCACGTATTTACCAGCGCTTGCAGTATCGGGAACTGGCGCAATGTATGGGTTCTCTCTTATTCTCCGAGGTTGAACTTCGTCGCCAATGTCCTTCCGTGAATGCACGGATTCTTCATCCTCAAACCCTTCAAACTCCTCCTCTTCACCATCCTCTCCGTAGCTGCCATGATCATTATCCGTGTCATCGCCGTCTTCCGAGGAGCCGTATACATCATCATCAGGGCTATCGGCTTGATCAATCCGGTCCACGGGATCTTGAACAAGCCCTCGCTTTCGAGCTAGCCATTCGTCGTATTCTGACTTGCTCTGCGATTTCGCGAACGACTCTTCGGCCCTTTCGTCTCCCAGATCCCCCAGTAAATCGTCTAGGCCGTCCTCCTTAAAAGCTGTCGGTATAGATTTCCTCCCTTTCTTTATCCCCAATTTTTTCTCAAGCTGGGCGATTCGGGCGTCTTCTTCTGCAATCTGGTCTTGAAGTCGTGTCGAACTTCGAGACGAGGACTTGAGCACCTTCGAAGGGCCTGGCGAGGCAGTAAGGGAGCTGCCTGGTCTCTTTCTCTTGCCCGCCATCGCTGGTGAAGAGTTGATGGCGCTCTCTGAAGGCGAGTCGAAACCTTTCGACGTGGAGGCAAAGTGATCAATGTAGAATCCTGAGGTTACTTTTTTTTCCCACTGTCTTTTTCTGCCGAGCAGTTCATACTTTTTGGGCTTGGGTACACAAGTAGAGCTGCTAAGGCGGTGAAGCACCAAAACGAGGTACCCAACAGTACATTTAATTACATGTATTTCAGCGATGGTATGCATACAGTCAGCAAATAAAAAGAATATTAATGTAGTCAATTGTATTGCCCCTCTGCCAACCCACCAAACTGCACCAGAGACCCACAGTAACAAGACCACGAAGTAGACCCCTCTATGATCATCCTGGCCAACCTGGATTGATCCTTCATCGTCGAACTCGGTATTCGCAGCGGGTTAATACGGTCACAGACAACGCGATGGGGAGTGGTCACCTAGATAATAATGAGGTAGGTGGTCTAGCGACCCAATCTAGCCCGTCTAAAGCTCACTGCATGCTAACTGTCTTGCTCCAGTTTCTCGTGAAGCTCTCCGAGCTGTTTGCAGATAGGAAGGGAAAGGAAAGAGGATCGATATTCCTTGTCCAAAAGCGATGTTGGTTCCGCGAAACCCTTGCCTCTATTTCTCTAACTATGCGCTAACAAGAAACTACTAGTATCATATAACCAGGGCGTTCCCCAACCTACGGCCGAGAATCCCACGCCAGATATCGATGTCGAGAAACCCTTACCAGTCATAATCCGAGCGACGAACGGCAAGTCCAAAGTGAATCGGGCAAAAAAAATCAAGCTCTCGACCGTCGTTGCGCCAGAAGACTTGGAAGCTTTCTATACAAGATATGCCGACTTGTGCAAAGCTGGGATGGTAGCACTGAAACCTAGGGATAGGAGTAAGAAGAAGGCTAAGGCGAAGAAGAAGAAGAGTGCCGCTACGGGTGCAGGCCAGTCATCATTGCCTTGAGCGGAGAGAGGGAGCGAGCGAGTTTGACACTGGATGGACGTTGAACACCTTCATCTCATATAAATACGTGGGCTAGGCGTTATGCACCTCCTTACGACGTCATGCACCCTAGCAAGCTTGTCTTGCCATAGCGAAGTCAAGGATTAGACGATTTGATGTTGGTCATGTGGCGATTTACCTGGCTTCGCGGCAGGATACTGCTTAGTCGATCACTGAGCCACTTCAAGATCACGAATGTCGGATCTGAATGTGCCATATATAGGCACATGAGCCCATGGGTTCGTGAAAAGCAACAAAGTCAAAATTTGGACTCAGAGATTATCCACGCAAGGTGTATTCATGGTGGCAAGGCATTTCTACTCTATAGACGCATGCCATCTCCATGTCGTATTACCCACTGACCCTCTCTGCCTTTCAAGACGATTAGGGTTTTCCGCCCTTTAGTATCTTCTCCATCTCTCGTGACGTTCCCACCAACTTCGTGCATGCTTGACACTGCCCTCTGTGCGGTCTCCCTGGGGAGCCAACATACATGCAGAGGCTCTCTCGGCACATGACGTTAGGCTCGGCGCTCTCGCAGCTTGCTAACTTCTTGTGCTCAAACCACACCCGTCCGCAGGATGTGCACAAGAACGGCCAGAGCTCGCACATGAGGAATCGACATGCACTGCAGGTAAATCGCGACAAAAAGGGTTTCTGTTACTGGATAATCTGATGGAAAGCGTTGAGGGGTGATTGTAGGCCGGGGGTTCGAATGGGGTCCAGAAGAAGTAGGATAGGTAAGGGTCGGCGTTGCGTTGCTCGTATAGATATTACCTGGACAGATTCATGGTATCCCGCCGTAGAACTCAACGGCTTTGAGTGGAATATGACACGTAATGGCCCACGTTTTGAGGTAGGATAAATTATCCGTTCGCAGCAGGAGGAGCCGCCAGGTTGTGTCAGTTGCGTGAGTTGTATAGGCGTTTGTTGGAGTGGAGGTGTTTGAGGGGAGGGCAAAAGAAGTCGCCAACGACGCAAACAAACGTCGAACAATGACTGGTCGACAGTTTCAGGGATAATGGGTTTTGGAAATCAAAATCTCGCGCCTCACAGGCAGAGATTCTGCATGTCCATGTCGGCAGCTCCCACCACGGTGGCCAGAGTAGCGATGGTACAAACCTGCTTCGGTGGAGGTCGGCCACATCGATTGCGGAATCGAGCACCAGCGGAAACGCCTCTACTCTGAATAACTTTCAGCTCCCAAGCTGAAGGAGACACATAAATATCCGAAAATGGCGCCACACCCGAGGCCAACACGTGCGACGAAGACATGTCCTACAACAAATATCACCATCACCATCACCATCACCATCGCCCAGTCCATACGTGTTCTCGCTCTGGATCCCCTCGTGCTCACTCCCCTACAGGCTAGCCAGCCCGTTCCAAACAGCAGTAATGAGATCATCGGATGAAATTTGAGATACAGTCTAAGCAAGCCTAAGCGTCCTGAGGGCCCCCTAGAGTTGAATATTGAAATGCCGCGGAACGAGGCACACCACCACATGACTACTTTGACAGACCAGTGAGGTTGCTGCCGTCGCCTCGCCCCCTTCCACGCTTCATTACCACCAATCGGGGGGATATAGGCCGTCCTGGGAAATGACAACTTTTTGATAGACTATATGATCGCGGCCCTATCCTCCACATAGCTGGACATCCCCGAGCCAGCTATTGATCTGTCTCAGGGATCTGTTAGCTGAAGCCGCACTGGGCATCCTCCGGCTGGCCGTGGCAAGACTAAGGGTGTCTTCGCATCATTACCTTGAGAAAAGACAAATTGACAAGTTATAGTGAACCAGGCATCAAGTAAGAGAAATAAAACAAGGAAAACCCTAATTGTGAGGTGGGTACAAGAAGGTCGAAAAGGTGGGAACCAGACGTGTGAATGTGCCGTAACCGTTGAACGAGAGCGTATTCTCGGGCAAAAGAACTGCTGTTGTCCGAGTGCATTGTGCGATATCGAGAATAATCGCTTACATAATTTGGTCCTGGGTAAGGCCACCGTGGGTATCGGTGTCCATGCTGTCTTCACCACCACCTGGATGAAGGTATCTGACATAGCTCAGGCCCAGAGGTCGGCCACCGTATTGATATCCCTGGAACTTCGCAATGGCGGTTTCCGCGGTTTCAGCCGTATCGAAGCGGACGACACCCGTGCCGCGAGAACGGCCGCTTGGCTCATACTGGATCTCGGCCTGCTCCACCTTTCCGATAGTGGAGAACAAATCGACGAGGTCCTCATTACTTGTGGACCAAGGGAGCTGCTTCTGCATGAGTACCAGATCACGAAGATGAGGGTAGTAGAAGGATGGGGTGGGGGTTGCTAGGTACGGACATTCTTCACGTAAATAATCTCGCTTCGTTCAGTTCCGGCCGTGGCGTAATCAGTGAAAGGATTCGGTTGGGCTGCAGGTCCTGCGCTGGATTCGAAGCCGCCGCCAGGGTAGTTGCCACCACGGGGAGGGTAGCCGCCACCAAACCCACCACGACCCCCTCCGAAACCTCCGCGACCGCCATATCCACCGCCAAAGCCACCGCGACCACCACCAAATCCGCCTCGGCCACCGCCGAAACCCATCGGGCCGCTTCCGGCGTATCGATCCTCACGGACTTCTAGGAGTCTTCCCTGCCAGTCATAACCGTTGAATTGGGCGATGGCATTTCGTGCGTCGTCGGGGCTCTCGAATACGACGATGCCGGAACCCTTGGGCCGGCCATCTGGGCCAATATGGACGTCCGCGCGAATGACGGCGCCATTGCGTGCTGTACGTGAAAGCATGAGGATGGTAGTCTATCATAAATCGCTGTGATGGGTTCGCACTTACCGGCTTGGCGGAATAGATCCTTGAGATCTTGCCAGCCTACGTTGTAGGGAAGCTAGGATGGCGGGTTAGCGAAACCATGTGACGGGAAGAATAGATGGGTTACAAACGTTAGCGACATAGATCTGTCGACCACCGCCTCCAGGGGCGCCGCCGCCGTAGCCAGAATAACCGCCCTGCATGCCGCCTCCAAAGCCTCCTCGGCCGCCGCTGGAACCAATGAATCTGGGCTCAGCTTCTCGATCCTAGGGACGGTTAGACGATGTCGTTTCCAAAAGGGAAATTCATGTGAGATATCTAGGGGGCTCACCTCTCGAACGTAAACCAGTCTTCCCATAAGGTTCTGGTTGCTTAGAGTGTTGACTGCGTTCTGGGCTTGTTCCCTCGTTGCATATTCCACAATACTGGTGAGATAAAGAAGGGAGGTTAGTAAAAAAGAAAGACGGAGAAGTCAGAAATAGGATTAATCGAGTCGGCGGCTGCAAAGGAAGGTGCGAGGGCAACGAAGGAATGTTCTGGGGGAAGGTGCCATGGAGGAGCTTTCGTTTGGGGCGGAGAAAAAAAAAATAAGCACTTACCCGCATCCCTACAGGTCCCAGTGGACAACAATGACCCAACCCGTCAATCCAACCATTTCATCGAGACCATGAAGGAAAAAGGGAAGGAAACCACAAAAGAAAAACCAGCCAATAGACTACGTGTAGGCGCCCACCTTCGACATTCCATTCGGAAGCAACAACACCTCGGCGAAGAGAACCTCTCCAGCTAACGGCAGGGTCGGTCAGTTAGTCACTATCGACTTTAAAAGCCGGCGAGAATGTGGTATGTGCTTACCTTGTCTCATAAAATCTTTAAGATGGTGCCACTTCACATCGTAGGATAGATTACCAACGTAGACCCTGCGGTCCTGCTGCGAGGTCTCTCTGATATTGCTCATCCTCTGTTCTTTTGCAGCTTGACGTTCCTCAAAAGACCTGTGATGTTGGGGGCCCCCAGAATAACCAGCACTAGATCCTCCACCTGGAGCACCGGCTCCCGTCATAGGACTGCGCTGTCGACGAAATTCGTCCCTGCTATCACCCCGCGATCGGCTGCGTGGGGAAAACGACCGACGTCTCCCAGAGCGACCAGGGCTGCGTGAGCGTCCGCGACGAGGGGATCTAGACCTCTCTCGCTTTACAATGGTGTTAGCTGCTGCATGTATGAGGAACGGACAGGTTCGGGAACGGCTTGTATGATAATGCAGGGATGAGTATGAGGACTACGAAAGAGATTCGTCGACCTCTACAGATAAGGGACGGTGAAATGTTGCAAAAGATGGCGCCACTAGACTAGCGCAAGAAGCTCGGGTAAGGAAAATAATGGAAATGTGGGAATGGGAGAGATGGTTAACCATATGCACTGGTGTTGGGTAATGTAGATGTCCACAGGAACTCCCTTCCGACGGGGCAAAGGAGCTTGAGGTTGAGGGTGGGGCAAGGAGTTATCTTTCACAGCTTTGCTTTACTGCCAAAGGAGGGTGCAATTCGAGCTCGAGAGACTGAGGTCATGGCAGGGTAATGGAGCACTCCAGACACAATACGACGAACGCGACCATCAGATAAGTGGTATGAGATGGAGCGAAGGGATCGGAAGGTTGAAGGAGAATGATAGTACATTGCCACACTTACAGGTCGATAGGTATCTCCAGAGTCAGCTAGAAAGCGATTTGGTTAGAAAAGCGTGTTATACTCAGAGCGCGACGAGGGTTGAAGGGCGTTCGGCTTGATGGTGAGTGGGGGAAAAGGGGAAGAATTAGAAGGAGAAGACAGCTGAGCCTAGGTTGAGCCTAGGCATGGGAGGGGAAATGGTGGTATTATTGGATTCTGGAGGGGTCGAAGGATAGAGTTAAACAGAAGATGGGCACGGAGAAACGATGCATGCAGGTAAAGGGGGGAAAGAGGTGTGAGGGTGGTTATAGAGGGATAATGTAATGCGGGATGAGGTGAGGGGGGAACGAGATGGGTTGAGAGGCAAAGGGAGAAGACGAAGGGACCTTGGGGGTTCGGAGATCCAGCAAGCCGCTTAGGTTGGGGACCCTGTGGGAAGGGGAAAGTTACATGTATTGGGAGGAAGCAGTATCAGGTAACACGTCACCCTGTCCGTCACATAGCAGCACACAGCAGCATACTGGAATGTGCATTCGAGACTGGGGCAACCTTGGCGCGTAAAGCTGGCATTCCAACAGGTGGGTGGTTTATACGCGGCTGGAAGCCGATTTGATGTCTGTTCAAGAGGCAGACGGTTCCAGGGGAAGGCTTGGGAACGAGGCTGAGACGAAGGGAAATGGAACCAATATGATGAAAGAGAAGCTATTTAGATAACTTACCCATGGTTTATGACTGGGCTTCTTCGGGGGGAGGGTAGAGGGTCGTGGGCACCCGAGGCTGGCGACGCTGCAAAAATTTTGCGGAATTGGGATGAGAATGAGCTGTTCTACGCGCCTCTTCGGCGTTGAGCAACAGGACGGAATTGTACTCTCGTACAGCGGCAACCTGGGGCAGCGATTTCGATAGAATGGCTCAATGGAAACCAAGTCCTTACTCCGTAGGTTGGAGACGAAAGAAGGGCACGTGTGGCTGCCGTCAGAACCACGGGGTGCTATCAAGTCAGTAATAATGTACAAAAGAAAAGAGCTAGCGAGAGGGGAGCGATGAGGAAGGGGGCGCGGCGGGCAATGTCCAGACGCAAATTCGAAAGTGGGCTGCGCAGGCGAGCTGTACAAAACAGAAGCAGGCAGAGTTTTGGAGTGCAGCTTGCAGCTTGTATCGGGATAGGCAGAGAGGTAGACAACGTAGACAACCAGCACAGTCGAGGTTTACGCGCAGCTACGGTGGGTGATAGATTGAACAATGGGACTCACAATCAGGATCGATGGGATTTGGTTGGACGAGGGCAGGACAAGAAGCCAACAAGGTGTCTGCACGGTACGCCGATACACCTTGCCCAACCTTGTGGATTGTGGAGCTGCGATTCGGACTTGGAGTGGTATGAGAAAAGAGGTTGTCGGTTTTAACCTGGCGTGCTGCGAGTACGAGAACACGAAGCGGCAAAGAAGGGTGGATACAATTGTTGTACGCGCTGGTTTCTTTGGGGGAAGCCAGAAGGAAAGAGCTGTCATGACAAAGAAACTCGACCAAGAAGGTCCTGGGAGCCAATAGAAAATCGAATGTGACCAGATCCAATAAGACGTGCGAGAGGATGACATCAGCATCCAGCCAATGAGAGGGCGGTAAGTCCTCCAGTGGGTGGCCTGAAAACGTTGGACTTGCCGCAACTTCAACACCATCTGACGATATGACCGACGGTACTCCGTATGTACACTGTCCCCATACAGAAGTACTGGAGATGAAAAACTAAGGACGACGCATCAACTGATATTACAGGCGGGTACTTGTAGCTCGTGAGAAGTATCCTCTCATCGTCTGGTGCCAGGTTGCGCTGTTGTGGCATATCATATGTTATCTCGTACCGAGGTTTCAATTCCTTCGACATTCAAAGGCATGGCGCATAGATCGATTCCTACAGTTGTAAAAAGGGTGATCAAAGTTATATACGCCTAATTCCTTTCGTCTCCAGTGGTAAGAATCTGCTGAAGAGCGAGAATAGCGAGTACCTCCTCGTGTTGGTTCCTGCGACTCTCTGGTACTTGAAGCTGACGCGTGGATGAGATATGCATCCCCTCCGTACATATTACAAGTACCTCTGTCCTCCGTCTGACGAAGGATGAATACCCCTGCCATCTTTTTGAGGGCACTGTTTTTGTTTCTTTCTTTCTTCCGCTCCCTGTTTCCTTTCCTTTCTTTTTAAGATCATTGTACAATTGCAATTAATTGATTGCTTACTGCTGCTACATATCAGTTTTTGGCTCCCGAAACGGCTTCATTTTGCTTGCACTCGGCGCTGAATGAAACTCGTCCCGTCCAAAGGGAGCACCAGAAAATGTGCGCTACTGCATACTGAGATGCCAGGAACATGCTTGCAAAGCAGGGGGAATCAATTATGAACATTAGCGTCTTTTGCTATTTCTGTGCCCGCATACTTGGGAACATGATCCGCTCGAAGGGCAGCCCAGCCCCACGATACTACGTACATTGAGATCCATTGATACAAGGTTAGTGGTGTGTATTGACGAGTGTGAAACGGAGTCCAGAGCGACTCGGCAGATGGCTCGCGAAGAAGCGTTGAAAGAACATACCATTCAAAGGAGGACCAGGATGTCCAAGGAAGTTGAATGTGTTATTATCCCAGAACGTAAGATAGAGCCATCCTATGCTTTTTTTTTTTGGCTGAGTTGAATGGCTGGTAAGGCTGGCTAGACGGCTCCAAGATAAATACCTGACGATGTTCGATAGCAGGCGGGATTCCCTCCCTTGATCATTGAAACGGCCCTGAATGGCGGTCAGACTACGAAGTAGGTAGGTAACGCCGTTAGTGCTTGCAGCTGGCTGGCTGGAGCCTGGAGAGCACATCTTACCATGAGGAGCAAGCCCTGCGTCTGAAGCCAGAAGGTAACACAAACGCACCATCCCTCCAGAATCCATTCGCCATCCCGGACCGGAAAACAACTATTAAAATACCTCATGTCCGAGAAGACGAAGTCCGAAGTCATGGATCATGGAACGTGTCGTCAGTACCTCCCAAAGACCTATAATCTATTATTTAGTTTCGGATTCACGATAAAATCCGTTCGCGCCGCCTTAAAACGGTCTCTTATACTATGCAGTATTCATCTCTGTCCCGTTCGTGCAGACTAAGAGCTGAAGGGAGCATGAGATTTTTCGACTGGTAGCCGAAGTTAGTGTTCGTTTGAAGGCCCCTCTCCTCTTGCATCTGCATTGTCACTGAACTGGCAGACCGGTGAGAAGCTATTCCCTGCAACTGCAGATGTAGCACAGCCGTGCCGCAAGGTGGAGGGAACATGCGCCGATTCGAGCATCTAACCTTCCAACCGAGAGACCATGTATGTACCCTCTTAACCGACAAAAACGTGAAAAATTGCAGGTCATGGTTGTGATAGCTCATCTACATCTTGATCGAGTAATAATACGATGTAGTAGGTAAATAGTTCATTATCGATGGGTCGGCCTATCGTAACATTGTTATGCACGGGAGCAGCATCCGACGAGGTCCTTCTCCTCATTCAGCCCAACCGCTCCACAGCTGGGTCGCTCATGCATGTCCTCAAACGAGGAGGATCTGACGAAGCATGAAAGCACTCGTATTTGATGGAGAAAGACATGACATTTTGCGCTATGTTCTTCGTAGTCGTATAGCGCTGAAGAAACAAGCGACTGAGCAGGGAGAAGCCTGTATCTTGCCATCTTGGACGAGGGAATGTATGAACCGCATGTGGAGTTGAAAGGGTCTGGGGTCTTTTAGAGGGTTTCAGTTTGCTTTTGGCCGCGAAGCATGCGTCGGACAAGCAGGTCTACAGGACCCAGTGTGTCCGATTTGATCGATTGGTTATGGGACGAAACTATCGAAGAGGCACAACTAGTTCTACCAGCCATCAATTGATCGTTGTAGATTGTAACCCTCTTCGCTATCGTGCCTGATCCAGATGGCGAGTTATCAACTCATTGGCAGACTTTCAAGCTCTGAAGCTCGAATCCGGACTGTAGTTTAGTTCCTTCGGAGTGAAGTGCAGTGTCTGCTCAGTACGTCCATTGATGGTCCGAGCTCCTGAAACTTGGTCGATCTGCCGCCTTGCCTGTGCTAGCTCCACAATATTCCACGCCTTGGGAAAGTCGAAAATTCCACATTCCGACAGTCATTCGATCGAAGACCTCAATGCAAACCAGGGACCAACGCAGTGGCAGAATCAACCCCGTCTGAACGGACGCTTTGAAACACACATCCCCGCCATACCAATTGACCTACCTTCCGCATCGCCGTCCCCATGCAAGCCCTCCGCCGAACCTCCGCGACCCTCGCGGCCCTTCCGCGCCGAGCCGCTCTCGTCGCCCGTCCTATCCTCGCCAAACCTTACCACAGCTACGATCACCCGTCAACGCAATCCTCTTTCAACGAAACCGAGACTGCCATCCTCGACGCTGCGTATAAGCATGTTCCCGATCTAGGATTCTCCCAGGCGGCCCTGAGCCGCGGCGCCCGAGACGCTGGGTACCTGGACATGAGCACGACTGCCCTTCAGGATGGGCCGTTTTCCCTTATCCGGTACCACCTGGTAACGAGGAGGGAAGGCCTTGCTGCTAGGTCCGGAGAGATATTTGCGGGGGAGGGTGGCCAAGGTGTCGGAGTCCTTGATAAGGTGGAAAGGTTGACCTGGGAGAGGCTGCTAGGAAACCGAGAAGTGATACACAAGTGGCAGGAGGTAGGTTGGAAATGGGGAAGGACCCTGAGCATCTCAGAGCCCCTCGATGAACTCCTCAGCTAACCGTCCCATCTAGGCCCTGGCGATAATGGCACAGCCCAGCTATGTCCCCGCCTCGTTAAAGGAGCTCTCCTCGCTCGCCGATGAGATCTGGTTCCTCGCCGGCGACAAGGCCGTCGACCCGACATGGTACACCAAACGCGCCTCTCTGTCGATGATTTACGCGTCCAGTGAGCTCTTCATGACCACCGACAAGTCCCATGACTTCGAAGAAACGAGAGCCTTCCTCCAGAGACGTCTTGACGAGTCAAACAAAGCAAGTGGCGTGCTAGGAGCCGTCGGCGAATGGGTCGGCTTTACTGCCAATGCCGGCCTCAACGTACTAAGGAGCAAGGGCGTACGAATCTGAGGATAAACCGAGGACGAGAAGCAGCTCTAGCTCGTGGTTTCGCAACGAGCCTGCCGCATTTCCTACACTACATTTCCCTCCTCCGTGTACAATAGAGACTTAGAGACTTATTCGCTTAAGAATATCTTTGTGTAATAGAACATGTATAACAACATTGCCTACTTTCTAGAACCACCGTGGTCATTCGTTCCCATCTAAGAAAGACAAGTCGTGATTCCCCGGAACTCCACTGCTTCCCAATAAGAGAGACCTAGAACGCCGTGCGCCGCTAGAAGATGACTGCTTGATCAACCAGTGCACCAGCATCTCCACTCTAATTGCCCCTCTGCATGTCAGGAATGGTTCGCTGACGCGGGTCCGAAAGCCTACTTGGTGGTCAGTACGAAGAAACATCGTTATTGTGGAAGATGATGATAGAGGGCCCGCCATACCGGATAATCTTCACATCCTTGGACAAACTTGCACGCCCTTCGATCGCATTGGGGGTGATGAGTATATACTGTCTCGATACTGACCGACGGGCTGCCGTTATCTAGTGGGATAGAGTCGTTAGCTGGGTGGAATGCAAAGCTGCAGCAGGGCTCACAGGGCGCATTTCTTTCTTACCAGCATGTTGGTGCTTATAGCTCGATTGATGTTATCCATGAACACATCGAATTCGTCGAGACATCTGATGGATGAACCCATCGCCTCCCAAATAGCAAGAAGCATGCAAATAGACGCGAATGACTTCTCCCCGCCGGACAGCGTCTTGGTTTCTCGACCACCGCCCACCTTACGGGTTTCATCAGGTTCAACCTGCAAAGCAAGCATTCTGCTTCGGTGGTCGATGAACATCCTGCCACGGAATCCACGCTCGCTTAGTAGATAATTGAAGTTCACCCTCGTGCGAGCCGACAGGAATCTTTGGAAAGACCTCCACCTCTTCAGCCGATCGGCCAAAGCTTGCTTAAGCTCTTGCTGCAGTTGAAGCTGGCTTTCGTGCTCTCGTTTAGCCTTGTCGTAGGCCAGCTGTGCCCTCTCTGCTCGTTCCGTAATCTCCTGCTCCGACGCGCCGAGGCGCCTTTCAAGCTTCTCCAGCTGCGCCATGAGCGCCTTATACTTTGCTTCGATGCTCTTGTGAGTGGCGTCGTCGGCAATGTAGACGCGCTCTCCTACGGTTTCCTGGGCTTGCTGCTCCAGAGCTGTGACAGTCGCCTGCTGCCGGTCTCTATCGGCCACAGCCCTCTCCCTAACCAATCGAGCTTGATCTCGCTCCTCAAAAGCCTCATTCTTTGCCGATAGTGCGAGCCTTCGAGAGTCGGCCTTATTTTCCGCTTTTCGGACCGCTTCATCGAGTCGCTTTTTAAACTGGGCGACCCTTGCGCTTTCGTCCTTCATGGCGCGGTGCAGCCTTTCGCACATCTGGTTCAATTCAGGCTTCTTGACAACCATGTCGCCAAACTGCTCTCCCTCGTGCTTGGCCCTAGCTTCCGCTTGCTCGAGCGATTCTTTGAGGTTGGTCAGTTCAATATCCCCGCCTTCGAACCGGTCAAGTTCGGCCTCCAAGTTGTCGGCGTTTGCCTGGGCAATGCGTTTGTCCTTTTCGAGTTGCTGGCGTTTAGCGGACTCTGCTCTTATGGCGCCCTGGAAGTCATTCACCCTTGTCTGCGCATCCTGAGCTCGGTCCTGGATTTCCCGCAACTGGCCACGAAGATGAGTGAGAATGTCCTGTTGATGACGAATTTGAGCCTCCACATCAGAGCGCAGCCTTGGGGCACCGGTGTAGGGCCGCACCGGATCAAGGCTTTGGTCTCCACGGCTATTAAGAACTAATGAGATACCTTCGCCCTTCTTCCTGTCATGATGGCACAGTCCAAAGGCGGCATTTCGCGGGCGGTCGTTGAAGATGACTTTCTCGGCATCAGTCCGGGAGCCTATTAGCAGGGCCTGCTCTATCTTGTGATGAATAATAAGCTGATCCCTGATCAGATCGTTCTCGAACTGGAGAACACGGAGGATCGTGTCGTAACGTGGGTCCGGCTCTTTACCAGCTAGGTCGAGCTTTCGACCGTTCGAGATCAAGACCGGTGTATTTCGGACGCCGGCACGTCGCATGAGATTGCGCAAACGAACGGCATCACGCTGACCCACAACAATGAAAGCACTTGGTGTAGCGCCAAGTAGTCTCTCGATAATACTAGACCATTCCGGCTTCAGAAGTCGGACATGGCGCCCCACCGGACCGACAGGCTTATTCTCGAATCCACGATCTTCATCAATCATCTTCAGTAGCCTCTGAATATTAGGGTCGAAGCCACCAAAATCAGAACCGCGGTTCTGCTGTAAGTCATGGATCCGTTTCTCCACCCCGCGAATGTCAGCTTTCTTCTCATTCATTTCCTCCTTCAGACCATAAGTGGCCCGCTTGGCTTCGTCTAGTCGGCGCTGAATATCCGGATAGGCACGCTCAGACTGACTAATTGCGGCGCTCAATCGCTCGACCTCTTCGTTGGCAGCCTTGAGCTCGGCCTCTTTGATGGCCCGGCCATCGCCAGTAGCCTCTGTTAGTCGTCGCTCTTCTTCTTCGATTCGACGCTGGAGAGACTTGACATCTTCCTTGGCGTTCTTGAGTCGATCCCTAGCCGTCCGCTCCTCGTTGTGGAGGGTAGACAGTTCTGCCTTCGCAGCCAAGAACGCGTCCTTGGCACTCTTCTCTTCCGCTTCCAGAGCTTCGGCCTCCCCCGTCATGGCTTGGACATTCTCCTCCGCCTGCCGTAGTGACTCGTCAGCAAGCTCAAGAACCTGTGTTCGTTCCTGGATTTTCCTCTCTGCGCGATTCATGCGTTCGTCGGCGTTAGCAATGTCGTCATCCGCCTTCTTCAGCATCCTCTCCTGCTCAACGACCTGGGCCCAAATCAGCTGATTGCGATAAAGCCGGCGCTTCTCCCGCAGAGCTTCATTTTTCTTCAGCGTGTCGAGGTCTCGCTTTGCATCACGGTGTTCTCTCTCGAGTCGCTTGACGTATTCGGCGGCTGATTCCAATTTCGCCTCGATATTATCCGCAGTCTGCATCACAAGTTTGTAATCGTTGTCAAGAGCCTCAAGCTGTACGCCTTGCACGAAGAACTTGTACTTCAAGGCTGGTGACGATGCATTAAGGAATTGCCGGGCGTTGTCCTGTGACAGGACATTGAGAGGATTGTCCATCTGGAGGCAGAAGTATTCGACTAGTTCATCAACATCTCGTCTCTTGGTGGATATGAGTCGCCCAAGAGCACTCTTGAGCTTGAAGCCACTCGTTCCGTTCTTCGAGAAATAGCGCTCGACAATTATAGACTCCCCGTATTGTTCTGGTTGATATGCGCCTTCGCCTTGGTTCTTTAGCTTCACCTGAATACTCGATTGCTCTTGGCCTTCTTTTATGAAAGTCCTCAAACTGCCTCCACGATTTGTCGAGCTAGCCTTGGCACCAAGGCACAGGGTAATGGCAGTGAGCACCGCACTTTTACCACTACCATTCTCGCCAACAATGAAGTTGAGCAGCGGGCCCAATTCAACATGTAAGCGGGTGTGGCACATAAAGTTGATGCACGTTACGGTCTCGATAATGCCATTGGCCGCTGCTCGGTTGTCCGTTCGGGCACCCGCTCTGGCACTACTGAGTACCTTCTGTGTCGCTCGCATGTCGTCCTCAGCCTCATGCTGAAGGTGGCTATAATCCTGGTCGCGATATATCTCATATTGAGTACGCGGTGGCGAATCGGGAGCATCAGGGCTGGCCTGTCGCGCTGAGGCTCGGGCATGGTCTGACTCGTTTGACTCGTCATCTTCCGAATTTGGTGAGCTCGTCGAGGCTCGTCGCTCGTCGACAACATCCGACACACGAACACGTTTGCGCTATATGAAGTCTAGGTCAGATAGGGCTCCCCTTCCCAGAATATCCGGCGCCCGGGGACACCACAACTCACGCCTGAGCCTTGCCGAAAGTTGGAGCTCGCTTGCACGACACCCACAACCTCCTCATCACCATCCTCCTCGACAACCCGTCTCGAACGCTTTTCGGGGGCCATTATTATTTCTGGTCAACTTCAAGAGAGAAAATGTTGGCTGGTGGCGGGGTTGTACCACTTGAGGTCATCGACCACTCTGAAGCAGAGTTGATAAGCCTGCCGCGCGTGGCGCATGAAGGTAAGCCGAGACCACTGGTACTCTCAAGGGAACAGAACTCCAGGAAGAGATGGCTGAAGCGAAACTGATTGGGAAAAAAAACAATTCGGGACAAAGGCTGCGTAAAGACCGGAATGTGGGTAAATTGGAGTGGCGCCTAGAGCAGTGACGTTGATGGTAAGTGTTGCTGCTCTACTAACGTGAAATATTTCACGTCGCGATCTTCCACGACGCGTTCCTCCCGCCAGTATTTAGTGGCAGACACTGCTTGTTAAGTGGCATCGTGGATCAAATAGTGGGGTGGTGCCTGGAAGCATTACGGGTTGCTCTTTACAGTGTGTGCCCGAGTTGCTTAGTCGAGGATGTTCTTACGTAATTCCAGCGGCACCTATTGTCGCTAGTCCTCGAATGTCGAGTGTGTCGACAGCTGCGTGCGCCTGAGACTTACATTCAGGTGGGAGACGGATACGAAGTACACAGGCACACAATGAAGTCATACTCTGCTGTCTTGGCATCTAACACCCTTGCTCTCGGAGTCTCGGATACCCCAGGGCAAAATGGAGGAATCAGTGAGGAGACCGAAAACCTGGGAAGAGCTTAAAGAGCAGTACGGAGGGCTAGATATACAGCTGGCCGAAAACTGCGTTGAATACGCACTCTTCCTCTTGACAGAATATCCAAACGGAGGAGGCGCACGAAAGCACCTCGCCACGCTCGAAACCATTAGGAAGGCTGCGCTTGAGTTATCGGCAAAACTAACAAAGGATTTTATCTGGCAAAGGGAAGAATTCACACTCAGTATAAAACATGACGCCGGTATGTTTATCCTGCCTCTTGATGATATTTCGAAAAACTCTTCGCAAAATCATTACCAGCTAATAAGAAAGGACAGGTCTAATATATCTACACGGTGTTTCCGACTACGGAGATTCTGTTGAAGATGAATGGTTGGTCGTCTATATCCTCCGAGAAATCTCCAAGCTGTACCCTCAGGCATGGATCCGTGTGTGGGATGCGGATGGGGAATTTCTCCTAGTAGAAGCCGCCAATGTGACGCCAAAATGGCTAAGTCCTACCATGGATCAGAACAGATCGTGGATCCATAACGGAAGGCTATACATCATTCCTCCGGACAAAAGCGCCTCTTACATTCCAGGGCCGTTGACCCTTTCTGATGCTCTTACGAACATAAAGGCCAACCCGGATTCCCTTTTCCATTCGCCTCGAGTAGAGAAAGAGGCCTTCTACCGACTAGAAAAGTACCCCCGCTACATTACCCTTTCTCTTCACCATGCTAGAGTAAGGATCCCAAGAAAGCTAGCATATCTGTTGCATGAGCAACCCAAAGCAGTCGCCCCCGCTGTGGAGAAATTCTATCTTCGCGATGCGGTGGGCTTGAAGAGCATCATGTTAGATTCTAGCTCTCTACACTTTCCACCAGAAGATTTTGTTACCGTTAGTGTCCGCTTCACCAGAGTTCTCTATGCTCAACTATACTCTCAGCGATTTGAACCACCGCCTCGATGGAAGGCCGTCTTGGAGAGGGCTATTGGAAAATCGCCCGCGGCACGAGTCACAGCTGCCGACTCCAAGTTACGTCTCCAAGCTGAGATAGGTATGAAGCTGACCTGCGGCTTCGAGCTGATGGTGAATAAAGCTAGCAAAAGCAATAGTCGGGTGGTCAGGGAAGTGTCTCTCCTTCTCCAGGATGTCGAAGAAGATGGGCCCGAGTCCCTTCCGACGGACGAAGAAATCAAGTCATGGAAAGACGTTGATAGGGATGACGACGATAGCTGGATGGATGTGGATTTCGGAGAATTGGAGAAGGAGCTCGGGGGAAGTCGGGGAGCCGACCAAGGATCAACCTCTAAACGAGGCTTTGGCGATCTAAACGCGCAAGACGATCTACGGAAGATCGTATCACGATTTGAAGACTTTTTGAATGACGAAGCCGCGGGCGTGGAGGGAGCAGAATTTGATGAGGAGGAGTCAAGTTCTGAAGAGGATGGCGAAGGCGAAATAGTGAGTGAAGAGGAGGATCGAGACGTAAGCCTAGACGAAAAAGAGTTTACCCGCTTGATGAAGGAGGTGATGGGCCTATCTTCCGAGGCGGTAAAGGGCAAATCGGTCCAACCCCAACCTACAGAAGCTGGCGGTGACAACTTCGACATGGAGGAGATTCAAAAACTGACGGAAGGCATGGAGGCCGAGCTAAAGGAACATGGAGCTCTCTCACTAGACCTAGCTCCAAAGAAACGTGCAGTCCTTAAGGGCAAGAAGGATAGCGATGATCGCGAAGGCTCTGTCGAGGAGAGTGGTGACGATGAAGAGATAAACGTGGACTACAATCTAGCCAAAAATATTTTAGAAAGCTTCAAAGGACAGGCAGGGACTGCGGGTCCAGTGAGCAACATCCTGGGGATGATGGGAATTCAGCTACCCCGAGACGAGGAAGATGATAGCACAAGTGATGGGGAAGGGTATCCGACGAATCAAGGGAAGCATCAAAGTGGCTCCTAAATAACATACTCTATTTAGACCAGATCCGCCAATGCAGAGTAGATTGTGACGCCCAACGCCATAGTCTATAGTACCGAATCGTCCCAACATGTTTATATCCAGGAAGCCCAAACTCCGACAGTTTATCTGCATGACCCCTTTTTTTGTCCCCCTCGCGCCCATGTGTAAGCCTCGCCTCCTCATGCTCAGATAACAGAGGCGTTTTTTTTTTTTTTTTTTTTTTTTTTTTTTTTTTAAGAAGCGTTACTATCGGAACCCTTATGTACATCCTCCTCCTCGTCGTCAGCCTTGTATCGTTTCGCCGGTGACACCTCTCCACTCGGCCGCCTCCGCCTTGCGCTTGAGGGCTCGGCCACCGAATTCAACTTCTCCAAGATGATGTTAAGCGCCTTCCTCGCTTCCAGCTCCCGCTTGCTGCTACCCTTGCTCGGCCGATAAAACTCTCTCACGACTCGTGTAATGGTATGATAGCACTCGTAGAGGAGCATGCGAGTCTTCGCGTTCTTCTCATCTTGGATGGCCTCGGAGTGGTCTGGCTCGTCCTCCAATGCGCTCTTGAACCCTTTCCAGAAACTTTCGGATGGGTCCTTGTGAAAGGCCTTGGCCAGCAAAGGATCCCCGAAGACGCAATTACTCCAGTCCCGGAATCCGGTAACAAGGATGTCTTCGCCGTCATCACCGAAAGAGATGACAGGAGTTTTCGCGCGTAATTTCCGTACCTCTTCGCCCTTGTCCTCCTCGTCTTCCTTCTCCCCCTTTATTACCTTGTCCTCCTCGTTGTTCTTCTTCTCAATTCCTTTTATCTGTTCGCCTCTCTGTTCCTCTCCATTCGATTCCTCCGGGCTCTCCTTGCTTTTGGCCCTGGTGGATTTGGGTCTCCGTATGACCAAAGTACTCTCGTCATCAGCCGCACCGACCACAACTAAAGCCGGTATCGTGATAGCCTCAAGCAGGTGTTCCAACTTCCAGAATTGTTGTCTTATCGTAGAATAAGGGAGAGTGATATGCATATCCTCGCCATCCCTCAGGACACCTTCCAGGAGACTTGCAAACGCAGTAACCCAAGTACTCGACCCCCTAGCCTCGCATATCTTCCCATTTCCAATTCTCTTATCTGGTGTTTGCATTCTCCCTAGCACCCCCAGGGCAGGCCCGAACCTCCCAGAGGTGGACCGGATCTTAGACAGTCGCCGGAGGAGGTGACCGCGTTGGAAGTCGACGGATTTCCGCTCTGTTGGAGTAAGGGGTGGTCTTAGGGCAGCTATGTGAGATCCGGAGGTAGGCTTCACGACGTTGAATTCGGGTTCTGATAACGTGTATGCTGGGGAGTGGGCAAGCAAGACCGGTATGGGTGTGTGTGTGGTGGAGGTTAAAGACTGGACAAAGTCTAGATCCTGGCCTCCGGTTGTGCCACTCTGCGTCGCCTGGGTTAACGGCTTTGCTTTTACAGGCACCGTCTCACCCTTGTCCTCCTCCTCACCCTCGCTCTCTCCGTCCACTGCTTTCTCTACTGCCTCTTTCACGTCAACGCCGGGCCGTACCGTCGTCATCGATGAACCGAGGTTGGCGATCCAAGCAAGAACCGCAGCCTCGGAACTTATAGAACCCCGTTCAGAACGCAAAAGCCTGGCCATCGGAGGAGGAGGCAAGCTTAAGATGAGAGTAGATCCATCGGACAGTGTGGCCTCATATCGCCTCTGGGTGCCCGGTGACAGGATGGGACGAATTCTTTCCACGGTTGCAGCGGAGGGAACAGCGCTGGCTATCATAGTAGTTACGGACATGCTTCTGTCATCAGCAGGAAGGCACATTCTCGAAAGGACTGCCGGCGAACTGGGGAAGGTAATTCGATGTGTTGACTTGTGGTTGGTCGGATGTCGTAAAGTGCAAAGGCAGCACTGACAGTTTGGGATGAGCGAAGAGATGCCGCGAATCTAGGAGGGAGCCGCCTTTGAAGCTGCGCGAGGGCGAAGGCGCAGTGTTGTCGGTGGCTCAGTGAAAGGGTAATGGATTTCTCAATTGAAAGGGTGAGGAGATCGGCATTGGTGTATAGGGTTTGATATGGGAATAGAAGAATAGAAGTCTATGTTTAATAAACAAACAATTTTGGGTTATGTACGTGAAAAGGATCAGAGATGAGTAGACTCTGGTGATAAACAGACAGTTGGCCCCAAGACAGGTCACCTTTCGTTAAGAGGGAATCAAGCTGCGAACGGCGCGTGTTGGACGAAAGCGCTGTAAGTCCGGGATCGATACTGAAGGAATGAGGCCTAAACACAATGCTGAAACTTGTCAGCCTCTAAGGGCAGATCTGCCCAAGGAGTCGGCCGTCTTTGCGGGAGAGGGCGCGTGGTGATGACGGTGGAGGTTCGCATGGACTCGAGAATAGGTGAGAAGGATGAGAAGGATGAAGACGACACAGAGCAGACTGCTCCTGGGTTTGGGATGGTGATAAATTTTGATTTAGATATAATTCAGAAAGCCCTCTCTTCATGGAACCGTGCTAAAAGGTTCGAGTTGTCCAAGGCGGGCCAGAAGTGTAATCAAATCAAATCTTTGTCCGGATATGAAGAGCCACATGCCGCTAGGCGCATGGCATTATGCAGGAAGAGATGCAAGGATGGACCTCGAGGGCAGGAAGAAACAAACGGTGAACTATATTGGGAAGTTTAGGCTCGCATCGCCGTTCAAGTGGGTAGGAACTTTGCAAGATAAGCCAGCCGGGGACCGATGGTAAGGAAACTCTGGTAATCCCAACCGCCTGCCGAGGTGAGCAATTCCTCGAGACAGCAGCGGTGACGGCAAAAGTTCCTGTCAAACCAAACGGCGTGGGGTCGTTGTATCGGCCAAGCGTGACACACATTATCGGTTAGGGATGGGACTGTCGCTTAATTCATGCCTTGGTCGAGGTATCGTAGGTAAGAAGCTGTTCGGAACGGACCAGACAGCAGGTCTAAGAGGTTGAAAAGCGAGACTGGCGGAACTAGAGGACTTGGTTTGTGCTGAAAGACCACTCTTTTAGGTGGCAGGATGAAGCATTGAAGTATTGGCAGTTTGGGGGCGGAAACATATGAGGTAGGGTATTGGTTGATTTGGGAAAACGGGAGCGAATTGAGCAAAGAGCCTCGAGGGAACAAGCGACGAGTGTGTTATTGCTAGGGTAGCGCCTCGCCAAAGTGCCGAGATCAAATGGCATGGCAAGACTTGGCTCAAGGGCAGCATGGACAGAGTCAAGTACCTCCGTACCAGGCATACTCTACTACCACGGAGGATGAGGCATCAATTGATCATTGATGGATGAGCTTAAGAGCACACTACTATAGTACTATAGTACCTCAGTACACCACGTGTAGTGTAATGAAGCATTGATCAAAAAGTAGTCGGGCAACGAGTTTGTATCCACCAAGATGGAGAGGCTCTCTCTTTCTCTCTTAGTGCACGAATAGTGTCCTTGCGCGAAGGACACTACATGAGACCAGACCAGACCAGCCCAAGTCCAGGGGCAGATGAAGGCCTCGGATGTACACGCAACCAATTACCCGCAACAGATTACTTTCAAAGACTCTGAGAGACTTAACAGGGTTTATCGTACGAAGAAATGGGCTGGATTAAGTGCGGAAGAAGACTCAAGGCCACCTTTGTAGCTAAAGCCGATATAGAAGGATACGAAAGTCGATGTAGCCCAGTGCCGTGTGTCCATTATACTGGGGAGACATGGGGTTCGTGTACGAGAAGGAGTGAGAAGTCGATGAGGTTCAATGTTGATTCTCAAGATCGGGGTTGAGCGGAATGGTGGGGTGGGTGGAACCAAGCAAAATGTTTCCGCCTGCCAAGGAGATAGGAGATGGGTTGCTTAATTGTGAACATTGAACATGCTTCGGCAAGGATTCCGTGGGAGCTTCCAATCCCTTTCTGGACGATCACACCTTCGAACAAAGTACGGAGTAGTGTACAAGGGGTCTGTACATCGTACGGAGTACCCAAGCTGCACCGAGGTGAAGATAGTTCGCCCTAGAGGCTGTTGCCATACGAAGGAATAATACTTCGTAATCTAACGAATTCGGAAAGGGCAGAGATGAGAACGAGAGACCTGGCTCGGCGAACCTGCCAGTAAGAGTAGCAGGGTGCGGAACAATGTCCAAGAACTTCGGACGAAGTAAACTAATCTATTAATTAATGTCTTTTCCAAGGTGAGCGGAGAACAGGTGCAAGCCGAAAGTGCGGAAGTAGTACTTCGTAGTCTGAGCAAGATTGATGGATTGTACCATGTTACGTGTCGTGGAATTAGACCTTCTCACGTTGCGAGAAGGATGGAATATTCCGCGACTGCGTTCCAAGGACGGGATTCAGCCGCAGTCCTAAGGTGCTGAGGTACTGAGGTACCACTGTACCTGGTCCCATCGTTCCGAGACCGCCTCCCTGAAAAATGCTCAGTCCCACTATGACCATTTCGTACCTGCCATTGCAGTACTTCGTGGTTGCCTCTACTATGTACAGCACGAGTACGAAGTACTTCGGAAAGTCAGCAGTCTTGGTTGAGGGCGAGAATGAAGGGTCAATATTGAGTCTACCGAGTATCAAGGAACCAGACGATATCCAAGTTCGATCAGCTCGATGCATCTGCTTGACCTGGATGCTCAGAGCTTGATCGCGCCAACATAATAATTGGATGGATGCAGATGCTAATATACCCAAATAAGCGAAACACCTTGTCCCTGATTGGGCAGCCCCAAGCGAGTGGTCGAGGATCAATGTGGATTGTGGAGGATGTGCACGCCCCGGGCCAAGTCTGAATTGGGGCAGTCTGTCTTGGTGCTTTGTCCAAAGTCCAAGAGACGAACGAGTGGATGAGGTACTTTGGTACTTGGAGTACAAGCTCATTCCGTCCTTAGCTCTCTCGACTTCATGCCAATTCTCACCAACCTCAACCCGAACGTTCAATTTCAATAATAATCTCACACTGGAATCGGAATCGGAATCAACCCTCCCCTCCTTGTATCAATTCATGGCAGGAGGAGTAGTGCCACGACAAGGACGTGCATCACTGGATGCATCCACAGTTCTCGGGCCGAGAGACTAAACTACAACCACCCGGCACCTACCTGCGCAGTCACATCCATCGATACAACGCCGTTTAAACAGACAAAATCATGGATTTCCAATAAAAAAACCAGCGGCCAAAAAGCAGGTGATCCATTTTGAACGTGCGGCTTCCGAGAACCGCATCTCGGCGTCCACTCCGGAGCAGGGCTTTTTGTCAAGCGCACTCTCGTCGACATCATGCGTCTAAGGCTCATCATCCCGGTCACTTGCCGGGATCGGATGAGAAAATGGTTGAGGAATATTATAGCCAGGCTCTCTTCCGCCGGCTTCTGCTATGACACTGACGACGACTCTGGTCGGAGATTGATGCCTCTGCTGCAGCACGATCCGGCTCTCTGCAATATACAGCTCCTCGTCATCTGTATGGTCTAGCTTACAGTTTACACTAACCGTCAGATCTGCCTCTATCGCCCAACTTTGCTCCTTTACTCGATCGCGCATCAGCTGAAGGAACCAATGAATCCAATAATTTCACCTCTTGCCTTACGATCTCGTCAAATTTATCGCAATAGGGCTTAGCGCCTGCCCCAGAGAATGAGAAGAAGAGCTGGCGGATGCTGACCCTGAGAGCCCCCTTCGGGAACAATTGAAACACTAGCACTTACGTATGGACGGTCCGTTGATTAAAGTTGCTGGGCAGAACAGTGCATTGCGATGCTTTAATTCAAACACCCAGCCAACGAAGTACTTACCCCACAAATCCTAGATCCTGAGTACACTGACAAGAGGCCTCGATATCGGCCACGTCTGCGTCCTGGGTTTACAAGTATATCCTTCGGCCACTCGCACGAACACCTTCGTCGACGGCTAGCTCCACACCCAGCGACGCATTACAACACCGACATGTGCAAGTGTGGTATCATTGCCTTAATTCCGCGAGCCATCTTGCCCACCGCGTTTCGATTATTCCCGCCTTACTTTCGTAGTGGAGACATTCCGGTTTCGTGATCACCATTGCAAGGTGCAAGAACTTGGACCTGCTGCATCTGGTCAAGATGATTTCTCACGGCTCTGCCTCATCATCCTGGGCGAGATTTAGCGACATCCTTCGTGTCCGCTCGCCAATCATCCCGCAGTTTCCACCTCCGTCTGCGCTGCAGCCGGGGGAGCGGCAGCATCAGACTTAGTCTCTGGCCTCTCACTTTTCTTCGCCAAAGCTTGCTTGTATATCTCGTTGACGTTGTACTTTTTCAAAGCATCCCACCTCGGGCCATCTACCACCGACATGCCGCAAAGGTTCTACGCTTGAGTTAGACGTCCGCGAGAGCTTCAAAACAAAGATCGCCTGCATTGGAAGGTGTTCAGGTACTAACCTTGTAGATGTCAATCAAGATGACCTTGTCAGGGGTCGTAAGGTTGACTTTATGCTTTGGTCCAACCAACGCGGCCACCCGGTTAATGACCTCGTCCCTCTTCAAAGAACTAGCTCGAATGTTGGGCCGAATCGCATACTGTCACGGTCCAAATGAGTCAGTCTCTCGTAATCGTCAATTTAAACATGTTCTTCGCAAAGATAATCCCTACCGAGTGTGCCGCTCCATCCGCCTCCTCCTCCGCCTCTGTGGTCGGCTCAGACGCATTCTCAGGGTTGAGAGCAAACGTGGACTTCAGGACTTCTCTCGCCACCTTTTCGATTCCAGAATCCAGGGACTTCCCGATCAGGACCACAGGTGTAAGCCGATTGATGTGCCGGAGTTTCCTCTCCGTCATATCGGTGCACTTTTCCGCGTCGTCGCAGATCCTGTTCACAAATTCGACCGGTTCCACAGGACTCCTCGTCTTCATGAAGAAGACGCACTCGATGCCCGACCGCACGGGGATAAACGTGTAGTCCGCTTTGGACGTTTTGTCTTTCTTCATGCGTTTAATCTCATCCTCGATGCTAGAGGCAATGTCTTTGTCATCCTGAGCATCTAACGCCTCGTTTTCTTCCAGTTTGGATGGTGCCTTGATGTCGTACAGAGTCTCTCCCAGCTGCCGTATGCCGTCAGCAAAGCAATACGATGATACTGAAGGAGAAGCATTGAGCCCCGTTGAGAGCGGACCCGAGAGTTCCCAATTGAAGAGAATCCTCTCACATTCCTCCACTGAAACGTACCTCGTCACATAATAAGATCATCTCAGAAATCGCCTTCTTCTCAAGGCCTCGCTGGCACGTCACCCAGATGCCGGCGTCACCGCTTTCAACGGAACCACCCATATCCATTCGTTGGGAGATCATTTTCCGTTGGTGAGGCGTCTGCCACTTGCCATCATTGCCTCTCTAAGCTCATTTCTTGGTTAGCCTGTGAATCCCAGCTTACACTACGTGTGATATGCTAGGCGCAATGGAGTGAACAAGTATTGTGGTTGTTGTAAAATGAAGTACAAGCCTTACCTTGCTCTTCTTCGTCTGGCCCTGGGGCCCGCTACCAGGCGGTTGTTTCCTCTTGTTCTCGCTCATTTTTTTCCTTGACAACAAGCCGATGATTGAAGCTTGAAGTACGAAGTATTTGAGCAACAAATCATGTTTTGTCGATTGGAAGCTTCCCAGTGGTTTATTGTCACCATCACGTGATAGCACTTCCCTTTCTCCCAACATCAGAACTCCACGACATGAATGCGAATTAACATTACTTTTACATCCTAACGTGAAACATACGGATTGGTAACAATCTTGAGAATCAATTCTGGCGGCCTTTGCTGACTCGCTCCCATTTCACCCGTAAGGAGGCCTTCTCCCTTAGTCCCTCTCACTATTGACCTTAGCACTGGCCTCCGCTGTCTTGACCAGAACTGTCGGGGCATCTTCCTTGGGCATGTAAAGTTCGACGAACTGCAGCTTCCTAGCCGCGTTGAACTCATCTTCCTTGAAGAGTTTCTCCAGTTCAGACCTAGTCTTGATCTGAATCTTGCGAGTCGTCTTGTCTGTTCCTCCGAAAACTGTTACCAGCTCCTTGAATTGCCACCCAGCAATGTCATTATAAGCGGCATCCATGCCGTGGATGAAGCGCTCAATGGTGAAACCTTCATTACAAATGACGAATCTGCCGAAGAGATTAGCAACTTGGTAAATGTCCTCGACATTCTTTTGTGGTTCAACTCACATGATGGGGTTCAACTTGTGCCTGATCATAGTGCTGAGCTCCTGGGCTGTGAGCTGGAAAGAGCCATCTCCGACAAACAATATCGTCCTCCTGTCGTCCCTGGCATCCTGTGCGGCCAGTGCGGCTCCCTGGCAGGCTCCAACTGACCATCCGATACTGCCCCATAGGATTTGATTCAGGGCCGTGACGCCGGCCGGGAACTTTGTACTCAAGATTCCGAAATTTGCCGTGCCCGTCTCGGTTACGACAATGTCACGCTCCTTCAAGAACTCGCTAACCTTGGGCCACAGCCAATCGTGCGTGATGGCCTGTGACTGTTTGGGATGCGCGATGGTGCCATTTCTGCTAGAAAGCGGCGTGATCGTCACCCTGGAGACGTCTACTTTATCGATCAACGTTTTCAGGACTCCACTCATTCGGACGCCAGGGTACTCGGCGTAGCGGACTACACAATATGTACTATGCAAATTGATGGTCTTGAGTTGCGAGGTACGATAAGAGAAGCCGGCCGTGTTGAAGTCGCTCTATAGGAGATGTCCGGTGTTAGCGATTAAACCGCTTGATGTCAAGTTGGAAGGGAGATGAGTGCCTTCGTGCGGCCTTCGACACGTCCGAGGCTACTGATTCTGGGAGAACGTAGGTGTTCTTACCTTGAGGGAGCCGACAAACAAAATCAGGTCCGAGGACTCCACCCGCTGTCTGACCTCCTCCTGTGAGCCAGACCCAGCGTAAATGCCGCCATAGAGGGGGTCAGTTTCATCCAGAGCTCCTTTACCCATTGGCGTCGCGAAGTAAGGAAGGTGTGTCTTCTCAACGAGCTTCTTGACTAAGGGAACTACCCTATGGCGAATCGAGCAGGCATCTACCAGGATGATGGGGTTCTTTGCGTTGTACAAAGTCCTCAAAATCACATCGACGACATAGCTTTCCCTCACTGGGTCGTTCTTTGGTTCGGTGAGGTCGATTGGGGTTTTGAGCCTCGCCCCTTCCACCTTCTCCTCGACCATATCCGTGGGGAGAGTGATGTAAACGGGCCGACTTTGGATCCAACATTCGCGCAGAGTATAGTCGATCTGAGTCGCAATATCTACGGGATTGTTGAGCTGTGCCACTGCGCAGGAAATCTCCTTGTTCATGGTGGTAAAGACTCTGAAGTCGCCATTGCCGAGAGTGTGGTGCAGCAACATGCCGTTCTTTTGCGACCGAGTCGTGGGGCAACCGACAATGTGAACGACGGGAATCTGTTCCGAGAAAGCTCCAGCGACGCCGTTTATGGCAGAGAGCTCACCGACTCCGAAAGTGGTGACGAGGGCGGCAATACCCTTGACTCGGGCGTAACCGTCGGCAGCATAGGCTGGTGCAGTTATTAGCAAGCGATCCTTGCCACCTTTTCTTTGCGCGTAAAATCACGAGAGTCACTTGCCAGCATTCAATTCGTTTGTGCTTCCGACCCAATTGAGGCCATTCTTGGGAATATAGTCGAGAGCAACGAGGTTGTAGTCGCCGGGAACGCCGTGAACCGAGCGGACTCCCATCTGGTGGAGACGCCGGAACAGGTATTCGGCGACCTTCACCGGTTCTTTCAGGGCGTTGGTTCGGATATCAGCCATTTTGTTCTATAGCACAATGATTCAATGGATTACTTGACGGAGGGACCAGGATTGGGAGGGTTTTGGAGTAAGTTGGCTCCGTGTGTAGGTGAAAGGCGACAAGGGTGTCCAGATCTGCGATATGATATATATCGCACAGAGCTGCAGTCTCCAATTTACTCCGTGCTTAATACGAGCTCGAGCTTCCATTTGAAATACGATTGCATTGTGCATTATCAGGTAATGGCTTTGTTATCAGCCAGGTCCACCATGACATCAGATACACCATTTGCTGCATCATATCATGATTACGCAGTTCCAAGTTTGTACCTGGAAGCACGGCAGGCGGGGGCCGAGATCCAATGTTACACCTTCAAAAAAGGAAAGGAGGGAAAAGAAGCTAAAAAAAGGAGAACCTGCGAAGCATGTGAAATGTCAGATTCGAAAAGAGCATGCAGCATGCCCGTCTGAGAGATAGTCGAGGTAAGAGCTAAGGCGCAGGAGCGGAGTAAAATTGACTTTAAGGGCTTGTTGATGGATGTCTTGCGCTATCTATTGTTCTATTTGGGAGTATATGCGAGTGTTATACAGATTTCGAGAGGAGATCAGATCATTAGTGTACATTTGATATCATACAAACCGAGGGCCACGCTCATTTTTGCGTAAAAATCCGGAACTGCGTTTAGTTTGACCTCCGGGCTACGGCGTTATTCCAGAACCTTCCCGTCGGTATAGGGGAGGGAGCTCTCCACAACTCCGCGCTCAATCGCAATGGCCATCCTTCCAGCCCGTCCGCCACCTTTGCTCCCAAAGTGAGCAGTCGAACACGGGCTTCCCCAATTTCTTGTTCACGTCGTTGTGCGCGTCGCAGAGCCAAAGGCCAAATTCGGAACGACTCCCGACTTGCGGCCTCGTCCTCGCTATGTAGGTCTGGAAGTCTTCGGCGCACGTCCAGCAGGGATAGAGCTTCGCGAACAGATGCACGAATCCGAGAAGGTCGGATTGCTGGGATGTGGACGGAGTTTCTGGGTAGGCCGCTGCGATAGAATGGAGGACAGTCCAGGAGCTGCGGCCGAGGGTTTCGACGTCGGGCGGGCAATCAGAAGGAGGGGTGAGTTGCTTCTTGGACTTTAGAGACGCGTTTGTTTGGGCGGCCCAGGAGGCAAAGGAAGTGCACGACCGACAACTGTATGCAAGAACTCTGTTAGTCTAACTGTGTGTTGTGAAAAGAGTCTCGGTAAGACGATTTCGAGATAAAGTTAGGAGGCGCGAATGCAAGTTTGAGGGAACGTACGGTTTTCCATCCTTTCCAAGTACAACGCCCTTCGGGAACTTCTTTGCGGGCTGAGTTGAGTCAACACTACCAGGCTGCTCCGTCGAAGCCGGTGCTGGATTGTTCTGGTTGGAGTCCCTTGTATCGTCGGCCATGATGTGTCTTTCCAAACTCCTGATCTCGCAGGCGCGTTGAAGGTTGGGTGAAAGAGCGAGAGCCAACGTGCTGATCTTGCTATCAATTGTTTGGCGCAAACATGGACTCCAAATTGTCTGGGAATACCCTCTTGGCTCTCAAGTGCTAGCAATTAGAAGTCGAGGGGCAATTTGTCAGCGAAGCGCAATTCAATTGCTCTGGAAGTCGGAAGTTTTCGACTGGAACGGTGATCCAAGCTTCACCTCTTATCTCCTATCTTATCGTGATAACGCCAAAGGAATGACCACCCCACCTTGCCTGGCTGCTATTAGGGCGGGGTCACGGCTTTCGTTCCTAGCTTTTTAAGACGTGCAGTCGCTCATGGCGTAGTTGGGAAAGTAATCAGTACCACGCCACTGGAGAGAAACGTGCTTCGCCAATTGCCCCGACGCAACCGGGTTAGAAACCGCCACTCGACAATGTCTTCGAATCCGGTGGGAAGCGGTGGGCTGGACGTGCCCATTCTATTCTTGAAAACAAAGTCATCTCCCAGCGACGCTTACGAGGACTTATTCAACCGGCAGCCTCTCGGCCAATGCCATTTTGAGCCCCGGTTTGTGCCAGTCCTGAGGCACAGCTTCAAGGAAGATGGCATGTCCGAAGTCAATTCCGTTTTGCAAAATAGACAGATAAACGAGACGACCGAAGCGACGTATGGGGGAATGATCTTCACCTCGCAGCGGTCCGTTGAGGCATTCACCAAGCTCGTCGAGGGAGGCAAAGGTTGTTATTCTTTTTTCGTTCCAAACCCGTTGTCTTTCGCCCAGAGGGCAATCATATCTGGACTGACACATTACCTCCAGGCGATCCAAAATGGCCACACCTGCAAAACGTGCCAATTTACAGTGTCGGGCCGGCAACATCCAGAGCACTCAGGGCGATATCTCAGGAACCCCCATTGCAAGTATTTGGGGAGCATTCGGGAAACGGAGAAGTGCTGTCCCAGTTCATGCTAGAACACTACCGGAATTGGTATAAGGACCGGCCGACACTTCCTCCAATGCTATTCCTGGTCGGGGAGCAAAGACGGGATGTGATACCTAAGAGACTTATGGACCAGAATCTTCCCGACGACAGAAGGATAGCGGTCAAGGAGGTGGAAATGTACGAAACGAGGGAAATGGAAACATTCACAGACGACCTTAGAGAGGTACTACATGAAATAAACTCGAGATCTACGGTATGGCTGGTAGTATTTTCGCCAGCCGGATGCGAATCAATGCTCAAGGCTATTGGATTCTTAGACGCGGACGGGAATGTACGACCAGACAACAAGCAGGCAGAACACATCTTGGTGGCCACGATTGGGCCGACCACAAGAGACTGCTTGAAGGGCTTCGGCTTCGCCCCTCATGTGTGTGCTGAGCAGCCAAGCCCAGATGGTGTTCTGCAAGCCATTGCCCAATACTATGACCGGAAATAGAAACAATATTTTGAGCCAGTTGTGTCCATCCCACCAACGTCAGTCGCAGGCCCGTGCAGGCCGCCAGTTCAAAGTCACGCCAAGGCGTTTCTGATTTTCGGCGTCAGGTGAGATCCGTGACTAATGAAAGTGAGAGAGAGTGCATTGTGTGTGCGGAGGGGCAATGTGGTGTGTGGTTTGTGGTGTGGTCTAATCCCGAAGTGCCCGGTCGGCGTTTCTCCGAATTGCGATGGGTGGTTGAGGCGTTGCCAATCGGTTCGCGCAGGGTTAAAACGGTCTTGGCCAATGGTAAAGAATAGATCGTATCATGCCTCTCGAGTGTATGGATTTTTCGAGAATGTGTGTCAGACGGCATGAGCCCCAATACACAATTGTACTCGTTGTAGGATTAGTTAATGTACGTGTGCGTGCTTCGTATGTCGTGTCGTGTCTGAGTTTCGAGTGTCCTCGACTCCTCACCCCAGACACTAAGACGTCAACTTGCTTCCCCTCCCCCACACCGAAAGATACTTCGTAGTTTAAGGATGCCTGAGCGAGCGGCGACGAGAGGCCCGGCCCTTCGTGGTCGAATCCTTGGAGCAGGTTTTAACTCCAATAGTATTGATGAGATTGGTGGCATTACCTCACCCCGAATGAATGCCTTATTACGCTTCAGTCCTCCTTCAATCCGTTGGAGTCAGTTTGAATTTATGGTCTAAACAACACACCAATGTCTACTTCGTAAAGACCCCCTCGCTGTCCAACCGTCGACCTTGGAATACGTCGACTTGGAAAAGGGCAAAGCCTGGCCTTCTTTCCTAGAATTCCTTGTCATGATCAACGCTCCTGCCCTCTGCTCACCTCACAAATGTATTGATTGTCATTGCATCAATCAATTTTCAAACTAATAGTATGACCAACCATTGACCAAAGACTTCATATCCTGACACTGTTTGCCCACCAGAACCTTGCCTTGACACCCAACTCTGCCTTCCTACACCACCTTTTAGTTCCATCACCAGATATTCTTCTCTTGAATCAATAGCCTCTCCAGTCATACCAACCAATTTACTCGAATTTCATTGCAATCCATAGTCATCACAAGACTCGACTCTTCTCGATTGCTTTGTACAATAAAACACGTCGTGCTCCGCCCTAATTAAAGAAGAGCTTTTTGACCCACACTACGTCACGTCACATCGCCCTATCGAACCCCAGCTCTCAAGCTAGATCCGCTTCCTTAACAACACCCCCACTCTTGTCTAAATCCCACGAACCCGACGAAACAATGCCCGAAGAAACTGGCCCTCCTCAGTCTCCCCAGAACGGCAAGGTTGACGGCAGCCCGACCTCTCCGCAGAGCGACAAGTTCGAAGAGTGCCCAGCCTCTCCCCGACTCCCCCACCGTGCGTCCCTGTCCTCCTCCCTCTCCAACATGTGGTCGGGACTCGTGCGATCCTTCTCCTCCGCCGACGGCAGGACGTTGCCCTCCCAGTCGTCCGGATCCCTGGCCGCCCATACGTCGGCGGATTCGTCGTCCTCCTCGTATGAGCTGCCGCCGCTGGAGCCCGTGAGGTTGGAGGGGTATACGTGGGCGTCGAAGCCGGGATTGAGACTGATGAGGAGCGATCTTGCCGAGGAGATTAGGCTGCTGATTCCGGAGCGATTGAAGCTAGCGGATGAGTGGCAGCTGATCTACAGCTTAGTGCAGGATGGTGCGAGCTTGGGGACGTTGTACACTCGTGCGAAGAAGTTCAAGGGGCAGAGGGTTGGATTCGTGCTCGTCCTTCGGGACACTCTTGGAGGGGTAAGTAAAACCTTCGTCGATGCCAGGGTTCACTTGGCACACCAGAAACGAAGAAGATCTCATAACAAGGGAACTGACGTCTTTTGATTACTCTTCCTCGTAGACCTTTGGCGCCTATCTCTCGGAATATCCGCACCCAGCGCCCACCTACTTCGGAAACGGCGAATGCTTCCTCTGGAAATCCACCCTCATAAAGGATCCACTCCCCGACTCCTCTGCAGGCCCGACGCCTTCCACAGATGGAGAGAGCACAACCTCTCCATCCGAAACACCTTCCAACACCGCACAAGATCTATCCTCTTCCGGTGCTAACGGCACCGCCAATGGCCCCTCTGCTAGTCCCCCAGATGCGCCCCCAACCCCGACAACCCATATACGCTTCAACGCGTTTCCGTACACTGGCCTCAACGATTTCTTCATGAATTGCGAAGCGAGCTTCTTCTCCATCGGCGCCGGCTATGGCCATTACGGCCTCTGGGTCGACAGCAGCATCGAACACGGGCATACCGCCAAATGCGAGACGTTTGGAAACGAGCCCCTGAGCCTACAAGGCGAGAAATTCTACATCATCAACGCGGAATTGTGGGCTATTGGAGGATGATGGCCCAGAAGTTGCTTCGTCGTAGACGGAGCTGTCTTTATCCTCGGAGCTGAGGCCGCGTGTCTAGCCCATCATCATTGGCTACGGAGCCCCTAAAGCGATCTCCTCTTCATCTCTTTTGCCCCTTTCATTCCCCCCTTCCTCATTTCCTTGTTTCTTTTTATTTATGGTTATTACGGCAGGCGTTCCCCATGGACGGCGTTTTGGAGTAGCGAATTTATTCATTGTTTGTCCCATGTCACCACATCATTACTGGAAGTATCTTTCGAGTACGGAATGAACCCAAGGCTCAACCCTAACGGCAAACGTTGAAGCTGAATTGCACTTCCTCGGAAGGTGGGAGACGCTGAGGGTCTAGTACGCCCTCTAGTGAGAATTCTAGTCCCTGATTGAATGAGGTGAACGGGCCGAGAAAAGGAAATGGGTGGGAAAAAAACTGAATGTCGATATGTCTAGCGATACCCTTAACTCATAATTTACTACGTTTGGCCTTTTGAAAAAGGAGAGTGAGTCTTCTCCGTTGAATCTAGCGATTAGTTGTAGTCGAGTTTAGTGGCACCAGTCACATCTATAATGCTTGTGTGTTTGTGTGTGAACATGTTTTCAATCTTTGACAAACGATGGCAGCCTCAAGCGGCGATATTAAACCCTTGAGACTTGATAACAACGTAGGGAATGGATACATGGAAACCCGCTTCGGCTTGTAAATGTCCCTAGATCCTGGGAAGACCGGCCTCCCTTTTCCCCAGGCTACACGGTCTCGACAAATGGGTATTTTTCTCATTCGAAAGCTTTCATCAAAGGCGAATATCAAACGCCAAAGAAGGCAGTGTAGAGCAGCATCTCGCGGGGCAAGGAAATAATAAACATAACGACAATTGGGAAAGGGAGGAAACGGTTAGTCTCAGGGCATGAGACAAAGTGAACAAGAATAGAAAGCAGATGCCACATATGAAGAAACGAAAACTGAAATCAGAGCCCATCTCTAGAAGAGCCTGACGAAACTGCCATTTTCAGCCGCCTGTTTTTCTGAAGAACAGGAAGAAAAAAATCACAAGGAAATAATAACAGGAAATCCATTCTCCTCCCGCTTGCTTCGCATATTCCTGCCAATTTTCCTTCAGAGGGCATGGTAATCTTTTCCCACACCCTCAACATCCTCGCCTCGTCTGTCTGGGCAACCGACCATTTCCATGATTAGCCTGGACTCGCTTCCTTCATCAGAGTGTGAGGAACGAAGTAGCCTCCAGGCGGCTGAAAAATAAAGAAAACGCCCGCGCGTGACAGTTGTGCCAGACAAATTCCATCAATCCTTGTCCATTACAGGGAAACAGAAACTCCTCGACTCCGCCAATGTGCTACGGCTCGCGACTTTTTACCTCATAATCTCTTGATAGATTAGCTGCTTGAGCTGCTCCTTACTTAGGGAATCCTTATGCTTGTCAAAGTCGAAGAATTCCTCTGGAATGGGGGGAGCGGTGGGCTCATCATCGGGGTCATGATAAGGCTCAAGGTAAGGATGCTTCAGGGCCTCCTCAACGGTGATGCGCTTGACGGGATTGAAGGCAAGAAGCTTCTCAAGGAGGTCTAGCGCAAGGTCGGAAGTCTTGGGGAAGAGGGTCCTGAAAGGGACCTTCTTCTTGAAGGGCAACGAGCGAATGTATTCCCGGGCACGTCGGGACTTGATGCCGTAGTAGTCCTCCATGGTGGGAGTACCCAGGACATCCAGGATGAGTGTGAGCTGGTGATGATCTAGCCAAAGCGGTCAGCGCTCGCCTTCAATATGCATCATTGTTGCGAGAAAGGGAGGGGCGTATACGTACAGTCCTTGCCGGGGAAAAGCGGCTTGCCACTAAGCATCTCCGCAAGAATACATCCAACGGACCAGACGTCGATAGCCTTGGTGTATTCCTTGAAGGTAAGCATGATCTCGGGGGCACGGTACCAGCGCGTGGCAACGTATTCGGTCATGAAGCCGGAGTTATCCTCTTGCGAGGCGGCGGATCGAGCGAGGCCGAAGTCGCACACTTTAAGATCGCAGTTGGCATTCAGAAGAAGGTTGGAAGGTTTCAAGTCACGGTGGAGGACGTTGGCCGAATGCATGGCCTTGAGAGCGCGGAGGGTTTGGTAGATGAAGTACTGGCAATGGTCGTCGGAGAGATCTTGGGTGCGGATGACTCGGTGCATGTCCGTTTCCATGAGTTCCTACAGAGGCAAGGCAGAGAGTACGGTTAGCGCAGGTCGATTGAAAGAGCTTCCCTCTGAAGCCTTGACCACTTTTTTGCTGGCGAAGCTTCCGAACCTCCAATCGGGGGATTGACTGAGGTGGAAGCGCGCGAAGAGTTGCTGCCAACCACGTGGGGGACCCATACCTGAATGAGGTACACCTCATTGAAGGACTCGTAGTTGCGGGGCTTCTGGATGTCGAGAATGGAGATGATGTTCTCATGGTTGAAATATCGCAGCAACTTCATCTCTCGGAGGGTTCTTAGACAGAACATCGAGTGGTCGAAAGGAGTGATCTTCTTGATGGCCACCTTCTGGCCAGATGGCTTGTGGATGGCCGAGCTTGGGGCATATTAGCAGCTGTTGCGCCAACGCTAGAGAATGTGCTGGGCCAGATAGGAACACCAGACGGCGCTGGAGCTGATAAGGAAGTATGTTACGAGATCTAGAGCTCAACTTACCAGACAACGCCGTATGCGCCTTCACCAACGACATCTTGGATATCGTACTGCTCGCTGACGTTGAACGAGATCTTTCGGGACCCCGCGGGGTTGGGTGCCTGAGAGCGCGACATGATTGGCGGTGGTCACTCGCAAAAAGCACCCTCTCGACAATACAAGCAGAAAGGTAAAATCGGAGGAGGTAAGGTTTTCGCGAGAGCCGACGAAGTGATCCTGGTCGTTCTTCAGTGAGCGGGTGGGCTGACCTATATGTTGGGCAGATGTGGGATCGACGGGGCGAGTTGAGGGGTGAAGGGAGAGAGGGGTCCTGGAATATCCCGCTTCAAGTTTCTTGCGCGCTCGCCAAAAGGTACGGGCACGTGGGGTAGAGGTGTTGGGAGCAAACTTGGAGGCAACAAAAAGAACAAAGACAAAAAGATGAAATGGAGAAGAAAACCAAGTTTGTTCTTCTCCTAGGGCTGCAGAAATACAGAACTTGGGAAAAAGACTGGACCTTCCGGAAATGTTGCAAGGGGCGCGGGAAGCGGATAAGAGAGAAGGTGGGGACAATGGGAAAGGTGGGAGGGGCCTTTGGGGAGTAGACTCAAACTGTAGAGGTGTATTGAAGAGTATTGAAGACAATACAATTGCAGGGAAAGGGCGAAACTTACGCGAGGGGGTCTCTGGTTTTCTTTTGAGGTGCTTCTGGCAAAAAGGATCGTTTCTAATGGAGGAAGGAAGGAAGAGGCAAAGACGCAAAGACACAAGGGTTGTTCGGGACCTCCTACTGGTAGCACAAGTGGATGTTGTTTGGTGAAGGATGAACCCAAGAGAAGAGACCCCGCTGAGGAAAGAGCAAGGAAGACGGGAAACCAATACCGAGCAAGAAACGGACAAACTTGGAATGGGGGACAACGGGATACACCAAATGGGAGAATGGGATACGTCAATCAATTAATACTGCACAGGTATAGCAGGACAGTTGCCAGGATGCCAGAATAACTGCTTGTACGGCCAACAGAGCAGATTGGACAGGCTACGTACCTTGGGAGATGATGTTTGAAGCCAACTCCGACTACGAAGTAGAGCATTCAGAGCAGACTACTTCGTACATCTCCTACTGTGACGGAAGGAGGGGCGTGCGTGTGGGTGGTTCCTGAGCCGCTCGGGCCTTTTTTGTTACGAACGAAGCGACTCCTGTTACCAGTCTCAAGTTCGTTCAGATGTATCACTAACCTGGGTCTTGGACGGACTGAGCGACTGATGGTGCGTTTCTTCAGAAATGTCCTTCTGACATGGCTAGTCTTGACAGCTCTGGGCCGGCTCCTTTTCGCGAGATCAATACTACCTCATATGAAGTACCTAGCTCGGCTAGTGAGCTTAGGTGTGTGTCCCAGGTGGATGGCACGTTCGAGATTCTATTCTTAGTGGCACCAAGGTGATCAGGATTTCGTCAGTTGCCTCGAGCAGTCCAGGTCTGGGCTTGCTTTGGACAGACTGATGGACTGGACTGGACAACAGGTCAAGAGTATAGCGTGGTAAACTATGTACGGGAGGGTGTCCTGGTGGCGGGGTAGGCTCAGAGCTGACGGGAGCTAGCTCTTCGTGCTCTCTCTTATTTGCACGTTGATGTTTGCCAAAAGCTTGAGGTCATTGATCTAATAGTTGTCTCCACACAGCCCACCCCAAACTACACAGCTCACCAAACCAGCGGCTACTTTGTATGTGTAGCTCTCGCTGGATCACGGATCGGATGAATCTGATAATTCGTCTACGGGAAGGCCAAAACGGGAGCTCCTGTCAGCTTGGGCACCGCCTTCGTTGAGTTGTGCCAAGAGTATCTCGAAGGAACTGGCCGTATTGGATTCCAAGGTACATTAACATTCTCGGAAACTCATTCGTGCTTCGGCAATGTGACTAGTACAACAGAGGAGTAGTGCACTTCGCACATCGACGTCGGCCTCCCTTAATATCCACATACACCGTCACCAGACACTTGTCGTGTTGCCCGGTGACGATGGAAAGAGACACGGACGACCAGTGGGTCAGGGGAGAGGGGACAGATGCAACATGACTCCTGTAAGACCTTCCAGAAGTCGATCAGAACCTAGGAGGCCGGAAAAGCCTGGAAGAGACGGATGGAGGTGGCTGAGCGGGAAAATCGAGGCTTCATGGGGGCTCCCTAGAACTCCGGGGGATGACCAGACTTCAGATGAGTTGCGGAACGTCCTCAATTGCCCTCTCGGCTGGCTTGTGTGCGTGTCTGATCTTCAAGATGAGGGGGAGTGGGGTACGAAGGGGACATTTGGAGGGGTCAAAGTATTTGGAAACGCTGATGACAGGGAAGCCTTGATCACTACACGACAGAGAAACAAATTGAACCCCTCTAGCATGATCCACCAGAGCCTGGCCTCCGTACGGAGCGCTAGAGATTAAAATTCATTGACTTCTTGAAGATAATCTGCTTCGTTTCTCTCTCATTTGTTGCCGAAACTGTCAACATTTCCCCCATTCGTTTTGCTGGGGTCCTTGTCGAAGAGATTCTCTTTTTCTTTTTCGATACAGAAATTATGGGAACCGAATACATGAATGTCACATCACGCTACTGACTTGAGAAGGAAAACTCAAGTGGCTTGAGGAGGAAAGCTCAATGCCTGCCTGGGCCAGGGATTGAGATGGTGTGAATCGGAGGGGCACGATGTGACTGTGACAGGTTGAAGCATCTCTATGTACCAATAAGATGCCCAGAACTCACTTTAAAATCGACCACATCCCTCCACAGCAGCTCAGAGTTGTGCGAGAAACTGCTGTTTAGTTGCGAGTACTGAGATTCTTGGAGAATGTAGAGTACTGAGGTACGAATGATTGATGCATCACGGAAAGATATTGGAACTTCGGTGATTGAAGTTTGTACATGTACAGAGGTACATATAGACTTGCTAGAAAAGAGCCTGTGAAATTGGTATCACACTGCAGGCACTCAGAAACCACCATGACAAGATGCATTTGTCGATAATTTGATATTGTGAAGTTACAATTGTCCGCCCATATCCTACCTCATTGTCAGCCCTCTCCCAACGACTTGACCCGAGAGGCCAGGCCACTTCCACCTCCACGTGCATTTTGCATCACGACCAGCATTGCAGTGTACCCACCTCACCGGAACTTTGGCTTCTCTCAAGCCAGTGAACGAAAACGAGTGGTGCTCGACAACAGGAGTTTATGCGACCCCATCCGAAAATATGCGGCCTCAATGTCCGTCACATCGAGCGGCTTCCGGCGAGTCCATCCGCCATCCCAACCTTACTCCTTCATTGGACGGTCGACGGACTGGAGCCTTGTCATGGTGGCCCAAAATTATTGCGGATGGCGGTTACAGGAGATAAAACAGGCGACGGGGCCAGTCTAAGCCTCAATCTCGAGGGGGGCCAATCCACATTTCGTCGCACCCACTCCAATCGTGAGATAAGATAAATCGCGACTGTGACAGGAAGCCTGGTGGTCAGCTTTGAAATCAGATGCAAGGAAAGAGACACCAAGACACCAACAGCAGTGTGTGTGCATCAACAGGTCAGGCTGTGTGCTCTGGAGGGCGCCTAATCCATCCTCTGATTGGCGCTGGAAGCGGCCTGCACGAAAACGGACAAACGTGCTTCACACCACATCGTCGGTTTAATACACCCGCCCCAAAAGGCCGATATGCACATGGGCATGATGGGCGCGTGTGTTTCACTCAAAATAGCTCCGTCGTTTCATCCGTCTGATTACCGGCCCGTGGGATCAAGAAAGTCTTGCCAGGGGGTGGGCTTGTCCAGGAAAGGATGGGAGACTTGCCAAACCTACCCCTGCTGTTCACTGTCTGTGCTTGATGTGAATCTCCAGAGTCTGAAGGATGCAGCTTGCTGTAAGAATACGTCGATAGTCCTTTGTGGAGCTGGTAGGTATGTAGTATTGCGACTGTCTCAAAATAATACGAAATTCTGCTAGCTCCTCAGGCATGGCAGCTCAGCTCCTTAAGGGGTCCAAGACCCTGTTTGGGGTTCAGTTGCCAACCCTGTTGATACTGATACCAATGCCTCCAGCCCCCCCTGGAAACTGGAGGCGGGCTTCCCGTGAGTGCCATTCCCTCGATCCATCTCGATATCGCTCGATTTACACATTCCGGAGAGGGGAGCCACAACGATTCCATTTTACTACCGAGGGCGAGGGAGATTTTATAAGATGATTCCGTCCCCGGCATTCAAACAGTCTAGGCGCGGACGGTCCCGTCTGAGAAAAGCAGTAAGAGTGAGTGGGCGAGCTTCTGCCAGCTGGTAAACCTAAAACACGACTTACTTTGTAGTGGTCCCCACACGACTCCGTCCTCTTCCCATCTCACCATTTTCTCGTATTGCCATCTACGGAGTAAGTCTCGTTTAGTTTTAACCTCGATGGGATGGACGGGGCGGTCTCTTCCTTTCTGTAAGACTCTCGTACGATTGAGGTTGTTTGCAACAACATGGCAATTCAAAATTTGAGACAAAACCAGTTGTGAAGTGCTTGCCAAATCTCTAAGATTCTAGCAAGGACCAGCATTGGGTCATTGATGTGAAAGGAAGCAGTGCTTGTACTCTATTCTTTGCCTGTAATGACATTGATCTGACAACCCCCAGATACCCTCACTTACTCCCCTCCCCCTTCACCATGCCGCCCCATGTTTATCCCCTACCTACTCCCCATAAAGGGTGGGATTCACACAGCCCTGTGTTCTCCATCGTCGTTTAGGGTCTCATTAAACTTGTCCTACTTTTTTTCTTCTTTTTCTTTCTTTTGCTAACTAAAAGATTCCATTCCATGCCGAGCTGGGCTAGCTAGTGTCGACCTGTACAAGGCATGCTTGAACTGGCTCTTACACCAAGCTCAAGAGGAGTGAGGTGTAGACAAGTGGGCTTGTGTGCGAAATCCCGGATTCAGATTGCTACTATATCTCCCCCGAATTTACTGAACAACCTAGATTTATCATCAGTCAGCAGGATGCAACAATTTACATTTGTCGTTGGACAGGGGGGTTCGTATTGGAGATGCATACCTTCTCTCTTAGAACACCGAGCCACTGAGCTGCACTCAATCCCTGATCCGCACGATCCTCAACCAGCAGGGTTTGCGCCCAAAGCTTCAGACTCGGCTCTCCATCCTCGCGGACAATGTATAGGTGCGGCACGATGATGCTTCCAACTCCCTTGGCCCGGTGATCTCGGCTCTTCTGGATCACGGCACGGACGCGTTCGTTGAAATCGTTTTCTAGCTCGGGAAGCGAACCCTTGCCTACGCGGAGCTGCGTCCTATCTTCCACGCCGAACACGTCGGCTAGGAGCTGGGGAACGGCGTCGCGTCCGACCCAGAGGAACTGCGTCTGGCCGTCGTCGATGAGGTACAATCCATACGAGACCAAGCGCTCCGAAGATAGGTTCAAGGGCGGCGGTAGCACGATTTGGCTCGTCTCCGGATCGGGCATGCCAGCATTGTCGGGCATGTCGTGGAGAGAGTAGAGGTGAGGGTAGATGTACTGTATCAACAGGGGAACCGGCAGCGTGGAGAGCAGGCATAGGGCGGCAGATCGGAGGTCAGAGGGGATCTGCGCCGATTTGCGCAAGCCAAGATTCTTCATCAATCCGAGGAAGAGCAGGGGAAGTCCACGAAGGTTCGCAGGGAACTGGAGGCCGCCGCCCATGCTGCCACCCGCAAGCTCCTTCCGGAAAGTTTGAAGAAGCTCAGTAATCTTGGATTGGAGTCCGTCCCTAGCGGAATCCAAGCCGCTGCTGAGGGCTCTCTCAACAGCCTTGTGGCTGAAGTACGTGGCGATCGCGCACTGATCCGCTGAGGCATACATGTCGCTAAGGTTCTGGGTCGTAGGCAGCGCGAGGGTTAGAACGCGAATGCGGCGCTCACCATTGCATGTAGTATGGAGGACGGCGGTTTGGAAACAGGCGACATTCTTAGTGACAGTTTCGTCAATGGCCACCTCGACGACGTAGCACTGGTCTCGGGGGAAAGCCGGGAAGGCGCACAAATCCGAGCTCCTGTTGAAGAAGTTGCCGTAGAACGTATTCATCCTAAGCCCGGTCGTAGCACGAACCCTCAGCACAGCCTCGAGACCGATCTCCGAGGATAGGTAGTCGCTAAACTCGCTGGCAAACTTGATAGCGTCCTCCGGGCGGCCGGCATTCCAGCCAGGGTAGAACCAAGTCTGACCTCCAGTGTACCTGGGCAAGTTGCTAAGAGAGGCAACATCTTGGTAATTGGACGAGAAGAGGAACATGTCAATCGAAACCTGGCTCTTGGAGCACTCTACGGCGAAACTCTTGTAGAAGCTGTTAGCCGACTGTAAGAGGCTTCCTTCCTTAGACGTTCCGAGTAGCTTCTTGTCCTCGCGCATGTCTAGCTTGCCGACGCCGAGGGTTGGTAGCGATGCGCTGAGGACCACGAGCTTTCCACCCATCGAGGAGATTAGCTTATGGCCGGCTCGGAGCGCCGATCCCATACACGACCCGTTGGCCTGGTTGTTTTGGAACATCTCGGGAAGCTTTGTCAGGAAGTTTTCGATACTTTGGCGGCTCTCGGTCAAAGGTACGAGCAGGTCATGAGGAACAGGCAGGAATGGTTCGTCGAGGTCGCTAACAACGAGCATGCTGGTCTCAGAGTTGCTGTCCTCGTCCTTGGGGACGGAGAAGTAATGGAGACTGGTATCAACGGCTATGAAGCCGAGTCTCGTACGTCGATCGGCGTTAGGTATCCGGTCCAGGCTATCAAGGATTGTGCGAGCGCAGGTGGCTAATAGACCCGAGGACACAGCTGCGTAGCTGACGTCGAACAAGAAGAGGTAAACGAGGGGCTGCGGCGGCCGAACCATGTACTCCTGGGGGGCGACGAATTCCACCACGGCGTGGTTGAGCTCGGGCCGTTCCCACCGATCTACACTCCGCTGAGACGCAGCATCCCAATCGAAGGCTTGGGGAACATCGTTGGTTAGGTTACACATATTGCACCTCCACCGGTGACCGTTATCCAAGAAAGTGACGTAGGGGTTGATATAGGATCGGCAGCGCCGACATCGAGAGATAACTTGGTCCTGCACAACCGGAATGGGGTCGTCGATATCGTGAAGGGCGCCATAGGGCTGGATGACGAGCGCGAAAGGGAGCTTTGACTTCTTAAGAAGGCTGTTGGTGGTCGGAATCGCGTTCAACGTCGAGCGAACATACTTGGGAGGGCAGTTGGCGGTAGGAGAGTTCGTGGCGCTGGTCTACAGAGTCATAGAAGCGTTAGGAAAAAAAAAGAACAGCAAGACAAGTAAACTAGCTACAAGGCAGCGCTGCGCTGAAGGCTTACGTTGGGTGGAAGAATGATCGGCGGAGGAGGGTATTCCAACTCGGCAGCATTGAAAGGCTGGCCTAGCAGATCGACTGGGTATAGCTGATTGAGAGTCAAGGCTTGTTGAGCTTGAGGCATATGTTGCTGAGCGCCGGGGCCCATATGCATCTGCGCCATTCCTGCCGTAATACCCCCTATCCCAGGAACACCGCCAGGGCTCGGGATAGGAGCGCCGGGGCCGGGATAGTACGGCTCCGGTGCCTGATAGCCACCGACTGGAGCACCAGGTTGCTGCGCACCGTAGGGCGCAGGATACCCTGCAGCAGCAGCTTGAGCATCTGGCTGAGGATACCCCCCGTAGCCAGGAGCTTGGGGTTGGGGAATTCCGTACTGAGCAGCAATGGGCGCAGGGCCCGCGCCGGCTGCTACGTTGGCACCAGTGCCGAAATCAAAGGCCTGGGCTGCATACCCTCTTTTCTTCTTCTTGTGGTCGCCTTCATGGTGATGTGCCGCATGGGGTGAAGATGGTTCTTGCGGCTGCTCAGGCTGACCACCATATTGTTGAGGGTACTGGCCGTAGCCATCGCCTGGTGGGGCCGACATATTGCCTTGTATCAAAGGGAGGAGAGCTGCTGCGGGAACGGGAACGGGAACGGAAACGGGGATTATCGAATTCGGATGAGCTGATCGATGAGGTGTTCAGAGCAGCAATGAGCCCGATTCTTGAACAGGAGGGTCGATGGATGATAAGGATGACGAAAATGGGGGGTGGATTTCGTGGAACGACGAGAGGAAGGACTGGCGATGGTTGACCGCCAAGTTTGTGATCCTCGTCTCTGAAAGGTTTTAAAGCTTTAGAGTCGCTTCCTTCCGAACAAGGTGTCCTCGACGACTCGAGGGCGGACCGAGGGCGTCGTGGGGGGTTGTGAGTCGACGGACTGATCGTGGTGTTCGGTAGTTCTCCAACTTGACAGGTGGTGTGAAGTTTAGCTTAAACCACTGCCTGGCTGGATGGCAGCGGGCTTGGGACGCTGAGGTGGGAGCCCCGCCGCCACTAAACAAGAAGCTGGCAGTTTTTTCGGGGCAAATTGTTGACTCTGTGGCTTCGATATTGTCATCGGCTAAATACGGCTAATTATCCGTCTATGTTTTCAGTAGGAGGTTTGATAAACGTAGTTATGTCCTTGATCAACTCTTCCTTGTGCCCTCTGGATTTGAATTGATTTGGTATTAGCTTCTGACTTGACCTTTGCTCCAGAGCTATTGTTGAGCTTGTGGTTGTGTCATTTTCACGCTTCTCACTGTAAGCCCGAGCACACAAAGGACGCAGATGACCTAAGTCGCTTCAATCTCTCCCTCAGCAACAATTTGAAGCTCCCTAACAAGGTACGAAGCGAGAGCTAAGGCGCATGTCAGGTTGTGCGTTCACGAGGATGGTCTTTTTACTTGTTAAAAAAAAAAAAAAAAAAAAAAAAAAAAAAAGGCTTGGGGACTTCAACGCCTCCTTCCTACGCGATCCCTCCGATTTTAACTCCACGCAGAGCATGAGCAAGCTCCCATCTCAAGCCTCGATACACGATGACATCTTCCAACCCCTCGTCTCCCGCTTGGCCTTGCTTTCTTCTTCGAGGCATGCGCCAGAGTAGAAGAACGTCAAAGTATTCCGTTATTCGTAGATCTCTCGATGGCCTGTATGCAGTTCTGACTCTATTACATGCCTATTTCCAAATTATAGAGTGATAAAGCGTAGAGGTAGGAAAGGTGATCCGGTTCTACAATCCTCGACAATGGTCCGCCTGTATCAATTCGGGATGGTGCATCCGTTGCGGCAGGCTGCAGCGGTGCATGGCTGGCCTGGCCTGTCTCCATCCTGGCAGTCCAGGCTTGTGTTAAGCGCTGGTAGGATTACGGAATTGTCAAAAGCCATCTGCCTTACACATTTGCTAATCTGAGGCTGAGCTTTGTATTTTAGCCATCTGTGGTCTGGATCACGCTCGTATCGTAGTTTGCAGGCCTGCAGTCTACGAAGAAGGAGAGAAAGAAAGAAAAATGACAGATCTAGGCCAAGATTACGGCGACTTCGTCAACTTAGACGACGAGTGCGAGGTTGAGGACGACAGTGAACCCCGCAACCACTACTGCAGAAGGTATTCCTACCCCGTCTACATAGGCGAGGTCCTCGGCGAGTGGTATCGTATCGAGCACAAGCTAGGCTGGGGAGGCTACTCCAGGATCTGGCTGACCCAGGACACGACATACACTCCTGATATACTCCGCAAACAAAGATCGATCTTAAAGTGAGTCTCGAAAACAAAATTGGAAGGCTGGGGCCTGAGCAGTCCGGTCATGGGATTGATCAATATGCGGAGGTCTCCTTGCGGATCTACTTCGTAAGTTTTTGTTTTCTTGGAGGAATGAATGTTCATGGGGGGTGGATATGAAGGTTTCACAAACCCATAATGATGATGATTGCTTCGTCGAAGATGTGTCTTGCAATGCCAGCCCAATCAATGCATAAATTCAGTTGCACACAATTGGAGCAGGCAACGTGGGACTCCGCAAACGTCAGCCAGGCGTCCATGTTGCGTGCCGTCTTTTCCAGGATTCATTATTCAAGGTATGTCTGTAAGGCTGCAATGTCAAAAGTTAAGCGAGTAGACGCGAAAACTTAACATTGAAGCTTCCTAAACCAGTCCTCGTTCCATCTCGACATAGAGTAACACACCTTTGTGGTGTCCTTGTACCCAAAGATTTGCTTCCCTTGTGTAGTGTACCTGTGCTGTGTCCATAGAACTCCAATAGAATCCTGGCAATGCAGCCAGCAATGCTTAAAATCAATTGATATTGCTCGAATCTGAGCCACAGCGTCGGCCCCAGTCGTCAGTGTCAATCAGAACCAAATCCGACAAGTGCTCCGTCTTACTATGACGCGGCCCCCATGTCGCGTCTGTCCAAAGTCCCCTGGCCCACCTCGAGCCCTCGATGAAATGAAGCCGTGAATTGTGTGCTCATTGGTACCGCAGCAGTCATAGAGGAATACGAGGGGGAAGGCAGCTCGACTCAAACAAGAATTTGACCAGAGCTCGATTGTGATTGCGGTGGTGGCACCCTCCCTGGCCAGCTCGTGCTTCAGACACAAGCTTTTGCAAAGCAAAAAATATACTTAATCAAAAAGCGTGCATAACACGGGCGATTGATGTCTTGCACCGAATCTGTCCACCCCCTCCACCTTCTCACTTTCTCAAATGTTCGTCCGTTGTCCAAACGTATCAATTCCCATTCTCGTGTGATCCAACATTTTCAATCTCGCTTCGTACCCTTCTCGCTTATCTCGCGATCTCGTCCATCATCGTCCCATTCCATTGTCGAACTTGACAGGGGGTCCCACCATTTCTAGCCGGGTCCTTAGCCGCGGACCAATATATTTTCCAATCGCAACCGTTTCTCGGCCTCCGAAATAATTCTGTGACGCGACGATGGCGAAGTCACTTCTTGGGTAAGTCCTAAAGCCCTCGAAGATGCGTCCTGCCCCGTCCTCGCTCTACCTTGCACTTTAATACCCTTCACGACTCCCCCGTGCGCGATCGGTGTACTATCACGTCCCGTTCCCGTTCACTCGTCTACCCCACGCTACCCTTAAACCCCTTGCGGCTCTGACGCGACGAGTCCTGAACCCTTGATCTTCAATCTTGTTTGGCCGCCGCCGCGTCGCGTCGCGCCGGCTCTGCCTTTTTCCTCTTTTCGGTGTGACGCCATTAGTTCCCTACAAATTTAAGCTTTGCTATGCGATTCACCGACATCCCTTTTCTTTACGTGCTACTAAGACAAGGCGCTAACTACTGAACCTTCTTTTTCTTCGGGGTCTTGCACAGCCAACTCGTGCCTCTCGTAGTTCTCTTCCTCTTCCTCGGCAGCCTCGGGTTTATCGGCTACCACATTTACCTCAGCGCGACGAAGATCCAGGAGACGGCGACGGAGCGGATGGGCCGGAAGAATGTCGTGTTCACGAAGGACGGACTGCGCGTGGGCGTCAAGGAGATGAAGAATGAGAACTATGTGGACAAGACCCAGAGCTGGGTCGTCAAGGCGTGGAATCTCAGTGGCCAGGGAATCGAAGACAAGAGGTAGTTCCTTGACTCCACCTCCCCTTTGCCCTACCAGATTAAAGGCAACGTGTCTTCCAGCGGCGACCTGTGCTAACTGTACTGCCTCAGTAGCAAGAAGAATAAGAAGACGAACTAACGCCCGCAGTTCGGGGAGGGCTACGACCTCCAAAACCTGTATGAATTTACGCTGAACGCATTTACGGACCGAACCGGAACAACAAAAAAAAAAACGGAGGTATATAGGGGCTCGGCTCGCTCGATAGGGATAGGGTTAGGGATACATGGCAGATACCAGTTTTCTTTTTCAGAGTGTTTGTGCCTGGCCATGAAGCCATGGCGTACGGTTTGTCGCGGCTTGTGAACTAGCCCTGCGTGCGAGGCCGTCTGGGGCAGGTTGTTAGTGATGATTGGCCTGTTGCACCAACGTAACTGAAGGACGAGGCCCTGAAACACCATGCCAGCACGATAATGCCTGTCGGTTTCTAGGCATCAACATCGATAAACAGACTACGGCTCGTACACTAACGTAACTGGAGGCCTCGCATTCCCCAGCCGTGGATGAGTGCCGCGTATCATGATATGGATGGGAGGGAACATGATGAGGCTTCGTTTACACAACTCCGGGGAGATTCGCATGTGCTACGCAAGGAAACCCATTAAGTTAAATATCATATAATCTCTAACATGCAAGAAATAGTTCTAGAAGCAGTCAATTCATATCGTACAATCGTCGTAATCATATAGGCAAGTGGGGAGGACCCAAAACTCCCCGCGAGTCCTGGGCGGCGTGGGTAACAAGAATAACACAAAAATAACACAGCGGGAATCGAGAAGAGAAAGAGAAAAATGAAAGCAAGCAACCCCCAAATGATTCGACATGGAGTCCTTGGCCGGAAGCGTCGATGTCCATCAGACACCAAGGACAGCGAGGACTACCGGGTGACGAGACTCGGGATATCCCTCTCCTCGGCTTCCAGTCCGACCATGCATATTGGCTTTCTGTCGGATGATCTCAGAAACTGGGCTGCCTATATTGCTTGGAGGCACGAGCTGCGCCCGCTCTAAAGCATCCGGAATTTGTGCTTTGGTACCTCGGCCAGGTTTTCACGCTGGGGAGGAGGCCAGCTTCCGAGAGTTTCTGTCAAAAGGAGGGGACGTCTTCTAGAAGGTCTTCGGCCGGTTCGCCTCTTCTGTCTTGCCTTGTAGGCGGCCATCGCGCTTATAAGCGTTTCCTTGCTGCCTTCCTTCGCGGCGGTGCCACCTGAGCTCAACACGGGAATGATGACCTGGCAATATCTCGGAGGCTCGATTTTCAGCTTAGCCGGTTGCTCCTCTCTTAGTGTGAGCGTCAAGTCCTTCTATACAGTCAAGACCATCTGCGCATAATCCTCGACGGCCTCACCGGCGCCGCCAGTAGCCTTTGCGAGGAGTTCCGCCTTCTTCTGCTGGACGAATTCCTTCCGTAGCGCTTCCATTTGCTGCCACGGGTCAAGGGGATACTTGGGGGAGGCTTGAGATTGCCTTGATGACAGTATCTTTTCAAAGTTATGGCCAACTGGGAAGGGCTTGGCGAGGAGGCAGTCTCGTTGGATGTGCATGGAGGGTAGGCGGACATCGAGCTAATATCAAGTCAGCCAACCGCGGACGAAGTAGGATATTCCCGACAGAAATTGGTCCTTCTGAGATCGATACTTACGTTGGCTATCGTGTGAGCATAGAAAACGCCCAGCTCATCCGCAATGTAACGCAACCGTCCCCTAACCCACGCGCGCTGCGCATCCGTGCAAAAGTCCGAGTTCTGAACGCACGCCAGCGGGAAAGTGAGGAAATAACCGGCAAGGCCCTTTTGGGAATCTTCTTCGCCGCACGCGAACCCGGAGAGATTCGCCCGTCTCATCAAATCGGGGCGTTTCAGATGCCAAGCAAGGTGATAAGGCACAGACGCTATGATATCGGTGATGGCCTCGGCGCAAGTCCGGGCGGCGGTGGCATATTCGGGGGTCGTGCGATAATTCGCGGGGGAACAGAGCCAGGCTGCGCAGCGGACCGAGGTGGATGCCAACGTTACGCGGCTTACCCTCGCCATGTTCACCACGCTCGCGATCCAGAAATCTCGGTATACGTCAACCCTTCCCGGAAACACTTCTGCCTTGGCATAGTCCCCATCCGGAACGTGGTCGTCCCACGCTACTGTCTTGTGATGCCAATACCCCGGCAAGCGCTCAAACCACTCGTCCAAGCGACGCTCGATGGCGTGAATATGTTCGATCGTTTCCTGGATAAGTTTGTTGACCTCGGGGCTCTTCACATTGGCAGTCATCAGCTTGGTCACCTCGGCTCTCAGAGCCCCTACTTGGATGCCGAGATGTTGAGACTCGGTCGCAAATCTGTCGTTGACCGCGTCCATTACCCACCAATCGACTCCCATTGCAGGTGGCTGCCCCGACGCAATGGAATGTACAATCTAGATCTACTAGTTAGCGACGCAGGGCGTTCACATGCACATACATACACGTACACACTCCCCCCAGGATCTGAACGTGGGTTCGAGGAACACTACGTACCATTTGCGTTCTTACGGTGATGAAAAGAAGAAGGCCCCTCCGGGTCCGCAGCTGCTCGCGTCCGCGGGCCTTTGCTATCTGAATTGCCCCCTCAACGTGCTTAGCCCAAATGCCCATAGTCATCTCTCTCGACGTAAGGTTCTGTAACAGCTACAAGTTAGAAGTGGACAGGCATCTGAAAGCGCGAGGTTTTGAACGACCATCATACCTCGTACAGAGCTAGGAGCAAAACTGCGCACAGCGTGGCATCGGATGTAGACGCCTCCTTGTCCGCGAGTGTTAATCGAAGAGATTTGAGGGCACGGTGATACTGAACGATGGCTTGCAGCGGAATCTGCTTCCCGCGCACATTCGGGCGATTTCCTAGAGACGCATAGGCGCAGGCGCTGAAGGCGTGGGCGATGGGGCTTTCGGGACCTGCCGCCTTCATCAGGGGTATGACGAAATGCATGAAGCCTCTCGAGCCATCCTGGTGAGGTACGAGAATGAAGTTGGATACGAAATGGCAGGTGGCGTGGTAGTCGATGGGGATATTCAGAGCCCGCACAATAGCGTCGACGGTTGGCGATGAAGATGATGAGGACGATGAAGACGATGAAGACGATGAAGACGATGACGATGTCGCAGAAGCTGGCGAGTTACTACGATCCTTGTCGGAATCGGTTGACGTCGCCGAGGCGCGGCGATCTAGAGGAGCAGCCTTGGCAGAGATTACGAGCTTTTGGGTAGCTTTCCTCGCTCTCCGTTCAGTGGCAGCAGTCTCGTTCCGATGGATGATGTCGAAATCATCCCTGTAACCAGGACATTGGCGGCGTGATTTTGCACATTGGTTACAAGTAGGCCTTGTCTCATCACACTAGAGTCGTCATTAAGTTAACCGGTTGATGTCGAGACATTGAGAGCTTGAGCGAAAGAGCGGAAGAGACGGAGACTCCGGGCCGTATATTTGAGCAGGAACGTTTAAACATACCTTGATCCTCCGAGTCCGGCACATTTGGCAGCCCCGAGAGGGCTTGCCCAAGTACACCATGGTTGGGGAGTATCTCACGGAAATGCCCTGATTCTCGCGCCTAACGATGCTTGACGATTCAGACGAAGGGTAATGATGAATGAATCGGGAATACGGGATTCACGGGTGTCCTCAGGGTTGATAAATAACTTCGAGATGTCCCTGATTATGTGTGGGCGCAATTGCGTGTAGCATGTTTTGGAGGGCTGGCGAGTAGACAAAGCATGTACGCACACTCGTTGAGAGTGTCTAACCCTGAGAGCGGTTAGCCCTGAGAAGTGTTTAACCCTGGGAAGTGTTTCTCAGACGACTGTTGAGAAGTTGATACCAGTTACAAAGGAGAATCGATGATATCCAAGAAGAGAGCATCAGTCGACAAGGTTATTAAAGGTCTAAGCACCCTGCCAGGTGCAACCCTGTTCGCATACTTCGGCCACCAACGAAGTACGGGGTATGTACATACAGGCTGCAAGTACTACCTTGTCTCGTGCATATTTATACGAAGTACGACCGGCTCTTTGCTCGAAGCAGCACACATTCTGGGCCATTATCACACTAGTGTAGTGTACCCCTTGACGCTAAACTAGCGGGGCAGGTACGCTAGGGACGGCAGAATCACGTACCACATTGCTGATTGGGAGCTCTAGTGTACCTCTACGAGATCACCAGCGTCCGCCGGAGGGTCGCGGGCGGGGCGGACACAGCTTACACAGTGCCTGGTACCTGTGTTCACTAGTGTAGAGTGTTCTTGTTCTGGGCGCAGGTACACTAACTGCACGCGACTTGTACCTGGGGTCCCTGTCTCAGGCTTGGAAGGGGGCCGGTTGAGTTTGACAGTTCCGAACAAGCCATGCTAGGTGCATCACTGCATGCTACCTCAGAACATAAACTTACAATGTAAACTAGGGGTCTTGAAGACAAGGGGGGAGGGCCGACCAGCACACTACTTCGTCTTGTAGCCCCATGGTTCAGCCTTCGGAGCAGCACAGGTCTTTTTGAATCAGGTAATCGTGGTGTGTTTCCTGGATGCGGCTGGAGTACTGCAATTTATTAGCGGAACTGCGGCTAAACTTAAGCTAATCCCTTTCATGATAGTGTAATATCATCGGTTCGTGGAGATTGTTGGGAGGAAGTATGAAGGAGCGTACGAGTATGAAACAGGTGAGGGAATGGGGAGGTGGGCAAAGTATGCGAAGTTTATCAGAGGCGGCCAGATTCCAGACCGCGGCGTATTTACTGCTGCCACGAGGCATTCGTTTGGCATTGACTGCTACAATCAAATACGAAACGAAGTATAGAGGCGGAGGCGTATTTGGAACATGAGGGACGTGCAGTAAGACCTGCTTGCACCAAGTGAAGTGCGTGATATGACAGAGAAGACCTTCTGTACTTCGTACACTATGCGCTCGTGAGTACCACCCAGCTCATGAATTGCTCATGGAGATGGAAATATGTGAGGTTCTCCGATCCTAATAACCATATACCGAGGAGATATGAGGAGAAATGGTGGGATGTGCCATGGGATCGACTGCACGGGCACAGACGCGCCGAGGCACCTGGTTTCGATGGCAGATGCCGCATGTAAACTAAGCTCAGTGAGTCGGTATCGACAGGAATACACACCCTCATGCATGCGGTATCTGTGGGTGCGTGGAGACTCTCCACAGACCGGCTTGGCTTCTCAATGCCGGCTTACTTCCAAGAAGAAGTTACACTAGTTCCACACAGAGTCACAGACTAAAACATTTGGGAAGACGCGGGGATAAGCCATTGATGTCTCTCCCATCAGGTCGGTGCGGTTGCAATCGTCTGGATGGTGCAAGTTGGCTGGATGAGAGGAGGACTCGGCGTGAAGGCAACAGAGAATTGAAGGCAACATTGATCGGCGGTGGTCACTCCAGATCCATTGATCACTTGGAGATTGAGGTCTGGGACTCGGATGGTGGCAACAAGACCTCACGTCGGGCGTTGTGGCAGTGTTGTTTGACGCCGCCAGATCTGTCGATTGCGGACAGCCAAGACAAGGGTATGGGACTCGGGTTGACAGGGTTCCGCTAAAAATACAGAAATTAATAATAATAAATCTAAGAAAAGAAGAAAAAAGGGCTTAACGTAGAGTGGAAGCCGAACTCCCCTTCGATTCATCATATTGGCTGCGAGTCCCAGGCCACAAACAGAACGACCGCAGTGCTTCCAGCTTCCAGAGACGCCTCGGCGACCCGACTGAGCGCCGACAAGGGGAAGGGAGCTCGACCTTTTTGTGCAGACCGAAAGCCTGAATGGATCGGAAGCTTCGAGATAAACAACCCCGGATTTGTCTCCGCGATTAAGAAGTGGTGGACAGACCCGTCCATGGTCGAGCCACTCCAGCACTCTCCACTGCATTAAACTAGTATTTTATCCCCGCATTGGCCGTCCTAAACTTACATTAGTTTACTTCCTAGTGTGGATGCGTGGGGACAACAACGGCGTCGCGTATGCTAGTGAACTTGGTCCATTAAAGCTATCCCGAATCGTCGATGAGGTTCAAGTTAGTGTCGACTTCCAAGACGAATTGATCTCTCTATCTTGGCCGAGACTCTGGAAAGTCTCTTTCCTCCACCTTTCTGGCCACTCCTCTAATTACTACTCATCTCCTCATCTCGACCCCTCCTTCTTGGCCGTCCTTCCACCTCCTCCTCCCTTAGTCGTCTTCCAAAATGTCCGGCTCCTGTTTTCCTGGCAAAGCGTGTTAACGCCCGTAACATTCATCGATACCTTGGCAATATCCACCATGGGGCGTCCGAGCACATGAACTCATCAATTAATATCTCGAACCCCAGATCCGCTTATTTAACCTAGCCGAGCTCAGGGTACGGGATGTCATGTAGTTTACTATACTTCGTGCTACAGGTGAAGTGCCGATCTCTGAATCCCAGAAGCGGCGTGGTCTAATTTAGGAAGTCGGCCTGGTCAGGAACAAAAGCACTGTCGTTGATCACTTGCTCGTACTTGTACGAAAGGCGGAACGGCGCAAGCTCTTCCACCCATCTTGTCGAGCTGGGCTACATTCATGGATGGTCCTCCCCGTCCTTCAGGCAACCTTAACGTACACCCACCATGCGCGTGGCGGGGTCTCTCCCCTTCATACGCTTGTGTTGTACCGTACCTACATGAAGAGCTTAAACATTTCTCTCTGCTGTGCATGCAGTTCGCGTCACGCATCAACGTTCGTTTTATTGAAGAAACACCGAAGCATCCGAGAGGTCTCTCCGCCCCCCTAGACAAGGTAGTATTCCCTGCTGTGTGTGTATAAATAGTATCATTGCTCCGTCGTCAGTGAACACCCTGCGCCAAGACGGGGTGACCGTGACAAATATAGCGAGTCCGCGAGGCAGCTCCCATCCTGGTCTCCCATCCTGGCTGGCCAGACGAAGCACGTCCCTCCGCTATCCAGCATAGCTGTTGACTTAAACTTGGAACGAAACACAGCCACCAGTGTTTCGAACTGGCGCGGTAGTTGCACGTTTTATCTTGGGGGAACGGTGGCACGGCGCCTTTTCGATTTCAGGCTTTTAAGTGCCGCGTGGAGAGAAGCTCGGTCAATATGTCCCCGACTTCCGACTGGCTCTGTGCCTTGTACCACAACTCAGACTCGGTCAGGATATACTAAGATGATGGAAAATAGGAAGAGGCGAGATGGAATGTTGTGACCTACACATACACAACACATCAAAGAGAAACTCATGCCGGGGACAGATAAAACACGCTTTGTATTGAAACAATTGATATGGACGAGTGCTTTCCCTCCCCTACTCCATGGCCTTTAAGAGGTTTCTTTTTTTTTATATTTATTTTTTTATCTTTGTTTTGTTTTCCAGGCCCTCGTATTCCTCTTTTGCCGTCTAAAAACCATACCTTCTTGTCTGTAAACAGATAATTTCGGACAAAGGGGGAAAAAATGAAGAAACGGAAGGGGGCCTGACGTCAAAGAAACGTCGGGATATAAAAGGGCCCGGCAGGCAGGCACAAGGAAAGAAACCAGTCGCAGAGGGAAAGGAAGATAGAGGAACGCGGGGATCAGATTGAGGATCGGCATCGACATCGAACTGTGAGATGTGGACGGACGAGAACCTCCGATGTGCACGCACACACTAATAGCCCACATGCTGTAGTATCTCTTCAGTTATTCTCTCTCTGTGCGCTGGTCAATGTTCAGTGTTCCTTTTCTGACAGGAAGCCCTATTACCTGCGGCTCGTTTAGTACACTGGCGAGAGCGCGCTCATAGTCCCGTACAAATCCTCATGTACTCGCACAACTCTCCTCTAGCACAACACGGCGACCACTAGGTCACTTCTTTTTCTCACCTTATATCTCTGCCCGAGGACGCTGGGCATGAACCGTAGGGACCCAGTATTCTCGATCGGTCACTGAGATACTCTCTTCCTGGCTCTTCGGCCTTCTCTTCTCATCCCCTCAGCCCTCGCATCTCCCTAACCGTTACACTCACATGGGAAGGCTGTGCAATCTAAGAATTGCTTACTAACCCTCGAACAGCCGCGACACCCCATCAAGCTCATCGTCCTTACTACCAGTCGCAGTTCCCCTCTCCTGCTGATTCGGCTCAGGAGCCTTCATAAACTCTTGCGCCATCTTCGTCCGCCCCGTCCTCTTCGACCGACTCCCGCCTGACCCTCCCGCGCCGGATAACTTGCCCATCTCCGAGATGCTCACGCCCTTGACATCCTTGAGGAGGTCGAGCACGAGCGCCCGCTGCTGCCTCGAGTGCGACGCCGGCTTCGAGATGAACGGCGTAAACCGCTGCAGCTCCGCCTCCGTAACGCCGGGGAGGGACAGCAGGATGTTGGTGGCCGTGTTCGTCAGGGGGCTGTAGTAGACAATGATAGCTGCGATGAGCGCCGCGAGGTCCTTTTGCAGGTCCACGAAGTAGGCCTCGTTGATCGAGGTGATGCACGCCTTGAGCACGTCCGACGCGATGTACTCCCGGATCATAGGGACGACTTCGGCGGGAAGCGGGCTCGTGTCGAGGTATTGATCGGCGTTCGATGAATCTGGCGGGCCTCCCCCTGCGCTGCTGGCGTTGGGAGCCGAGGCGTTATGGTGGTTGTCTGTTTGTTGCTGGTCCTGGAACTCTGGCACGATGGACTTGAAAACTCGTAAAATAATGCTGCAACACCTCGTGTCTCGCATTCTGATCGCATGTGTGCAAAAGACCAGTAAAGGCTCGACCACGTTTACGTGCATCAGACAGAACTTCCGTAAAGAGGGATACTTCATTGGAGGCTTCCCACTTTCAGGGCGTAGAGGGGGGTCTGGAGGTAAAGAAAAATGAGTTAGGATAAAAGAACACAGCGGATGATAAGAGGGGTTGGTCGCGAAAATCCGGACGAGATACTTACTATTCTTTGTCGGGTCTAAAAAGTCCGCCACCATAAGACAGGCAGTATATGTGACTTGACGGAGAATGCTCTCCGCCTTCATCTCCTCCGTCAACTCGTCGCCTTCCGCCGAGACCGTCTGTCGATTCGCTATCGCCTCCCATTCCGAGCTAATCTTCCGGTCCATCTGCTGGAAGGCTGTCGAGAGCAGCGGCGGAAGGAAGTGTTCCCGCTGCTCCACCGGACAGTCATCGACAAGATATCTGACCAGATTTAGAATGTTGACCTGCTGATGCGTCGAGAGGTACGTCGCGTCTCCCAAAAGGGCCCGCGCTAGCGGCTCTGGCAAGTCGTCGAAGCCGTAAAACTTGAAGTCCAGCCGACTGAGACAGTAAATGATGGCATAGCAGGTCTCGCGGACAAATCGTAGCGATCCTCTAATCGTCGATCCGAGACCCTCCAGAGTCCCCTTCTTGTCCATCACGCGAGCGTAGAAGTCATCCTTGCTACCTTCAGAGATACCGGCCTGCCAAAATCTGTCGCTGAGAACGCGACCGACGATAGACCGCATGTCAGGCGGTAATCCTGCCCAGTTCTCGGGATTGTGTGATGCGTGCGCGTGACTATCATCAAACGTAAAGTTAGCTACTGTATTATAGTAAATCATACGCACGGGAGGATATGGGAGCTTTCATACCTAAGGAATTGGAGGATGTAAGGCAAGACGCCCACAACGCTATCGCCCCAAAGCTTGTACGATGCCATGAAGGCACTCGAAGACTTGTCGATCCTCTCTACCGAAAAGGCGATAAAGGACTTTGTCGACCGCAACGGGAGTAACTAGAGGGGAAACAAACGACGCATGTTAGCAGGCGAGCGCAACACACATGAGCATTGGGCGGTGAGTTCTATCGAGGATGACCATACCCTGAGTCGCTCTTCCAACTCGGCTTGAAGAGCGAGGCCCTCGGCGTCGAGGTCGCACGCGCCCCAGTCTTTCACTTGATTCACCTTCCGGCTCGCTAGATATTGCTGAGCCTTGTCCAGTCCCAAGAGTTGACAGAATGCCTGATACGAAGAGATGGACTCCTTCAATTGTGGGCTCTGCCACTGTGCTTTGATGGGGTCCACAAATTGCTGAAGTCGCTGAATCTTGGTCTGCAGATCGAGTCTCGATGTCCGGTGGCTATGAAAGAAATTATGTGTTAGTTTACTAGCACCCACTTCAAGAAGAAAAAGGAAAAAAAAGGGGGAGAAAAATGCCCCTGAAATTTGGTTCATACATAATGAGGAAGAGAAAGCTCTCATAGGCCACAATGCGCTTATCATCCAAGGTTCCGGAGTTGACCATCTCCTTAACCTTTGCCTCGAGGTCATTGTAAACGTTCTAAAAAGATGTCAGTCCGAGCTCAAGTATATCGCATTTGGGGGCGCACGAAAGCAGGGGCAGCATACAAGTAAGTGGTCAGGCATCTTCGTCGCCAAGCGATGAAGTTCAATCATGCTGTCCGCCTGAAGGTCCTTGATGGCGTCATTGTAGGCCCTGTGATCCGGCTGGAGAGCAGGCCAGGTCATCAGGATATGCTCGAGGACCTTTAGCATCAAGTTGGCATTGTTATCCAGCGCCGTGGTAGAGAAGGCCACTAAAAGTTGAAGCACCCGCTTTCTAATTTGGGGGTCCTGGCAGAGTAGGGAAACAAAAACCGTCAGCGCGGGCTTATAATTGCTGTGTCGCTGAAAAAAATCTACTCACCTCAAAGTTCATTCCAAGCAGCTTATTACACCAAGCCTCGAGGTTTGTTTCCAATTCCGCGCGCTATTGTTTGAAAATTAGTACTCATCGCATGATCATCTTTTGAAGGTGGTAGGCATACCCTGTTGTCAGCTCTGGGGATTGTCCTCCACTTGACGAAGCCTTTCAGGGCGGCTTCAACGACAGTGAACTGCGCATCGATACGGAGAACGGGAAGAGAGTGTTTTGAGTATTTCGCAACTAGATTCAGGATATGTAAGTAACGCGGCAGAGCATTAAGAAGTAAACAAAAGTCGAAAAAAAAGGACCGGGGGGGGCTAACGCACCATCGAGTGGCGGCTGGCCATCGTATAGGTGTTGGAGGATGTCGTCCGTTTGGCGGAGAATATGTGCTAGGGCGTCGGTCAACTTCAATTGTACGATGAGCTCGATGAGCTGAGAACTATATCTCCGGTAGTTGCCTAAGAAGGCATGTCGCTCGGGAATGGTATCGGTATCCTCGAGCAGGAATAGATAGGAAGGATCGTGTGAGTCTTCAGGCAAGTTCTCGTAGCGGATCATCCTGGAAGAGCACACTTCCAATAGAGGTCCAATAAGATCCAGGTTGGCGGCATTTGGTCCGATATACCTGCTGCTGAGCAGGCGAGTCCAGGATACAAGGACCGGGATTGAAACGACGAGACTCTTGTTCTGGACGACTAAGAGAAGAAGGTGTAAGAAGCCAATTACATCGGTTCCCGGCTTAAGGACTGTAAACTTTCGCTCGATGTAGCTACCAAGGGAGGATAACATCTTGATAATTCAATTGGTCAGTAGGTACTCGATTGACATCAACCAAAAGCTCTGTTACAAGCGCTCACGCCATGGGGGAAGGGGGGGGAGGGGCGGCGGTGCTGCAGTGGAGTCAGCAACTCACCTCCGAGAATTTCTTAGCAAAAAGATACTTCTCTTCGTCAATGTCTTGGGCGTCGACAATAGACCATTCTGCCAATCGGCGGAACAAGTTGACCGTGTCTGCCTCATACATCGGCATGACAAGCTCCTTAAACTCCTGGTCTGAGAAATTCGTTCGGCAGTATAATGCATGAAGGGCATCCAATGAGGCCTAGAGAGTGCGAGGAGTGTTAGTGAGCTCCCAAGGAGGTTCGCGTACATAAATTGCTGCAGCAGGGTGGGGGTTGCGTATGTACGATTGTTCAGTGGGGCATAAGAGAGGAGATGTACTTGACCTACCTTCTGAACAGAGATGCAGGAGACTGCGAGGCACCGAACCATGATTGGAACGCAATTGGCCGAGTGGATGGCCTTCGGAATGGCCCATGTCATCAGTGAGTGTAGGGCGGAGAGCGCCTTCACGGCGCAAGTCCTGACGGGCTCATTGCTCTGGACGTCTGCGCCTAAACATTGGTCCAGAAACTCGGAAAGCCGCGCGAGCCAACCTTCTCCTCCGTAGCGGACCTCTGGCCCAGCCTGCCTATTGGGAAACGACTCAGCTAGGACATTCGCCGGGGTAAATATCTCCACGCAGGCTTTGCTCAGTACGCCCTCTCGCATCACGACCGCCGCATCATCCCCATTAAAGACCTCCTCGGACAGGGTCTCTAGGACAAACATGACCAGCTCCTTGTGAACCGGCGAGTCGGGTATCTCCCAGAGCTGCACGAGGAGCCCGTCCATATCCATCCACTCCGCAGCCCAGCTCCGCTTAGCGACATCCACCCAGAGTTGGGCTGTCTTGTTGCGCAGGTATGTCGGGTCATCTCGAGATACGCCGCGGCAGAGCTCCAGCACCCAGCCGCGGAGGGCGGTAGCTTCGTCGGGGCCGTACGAAGCCCATTTGTGCCTGATTGCATGTTCGAGAAGAGACAGGGCGTAGTGGCGGACGACCGGGGATTGGGATTTGTCGGAGGCGAGAGTATAGCCTTGGAGTGGGGCTTCGGCGTAGGCTTTTACCTGCTCGAGGAAGTTTTGGGCGTCTCGACGGGCATCATTCGACGAAAAGGGACTATGTATGACCTCGAGGGCTTGATGAATCTTGGCAATGCCGTCAGGGCCAGGGCCGTTGCCAGGTGCTGGCGTCGTGAGGTTGCCTGCGCCGCCGTTGAGGGGTTGGGCAGCCATTGCGACACGAGACGGGTCGATTCGACTGGACGATGGAGGGGGGGTTTTCTACCGGTTTATGCTCTCGTGCAGAGCCGGGTTAGCGGAGAGAGGAAAGTCCACCAGATGGTCAAGCCGAAGCTGTCTGCGTAGGCATCGAGATCGCGTTGTGGCGGAGGAGAAAAGTGGTGGTTTGCAAAAAATGTGTCGAGACTCGTAGGAGCTCGTAGCGTGATGAAAGAAAATGCGAGATTCGGTTCGAAGACGAGGACAAACAGGATTTGCTTTGGGTGATTCACGCGGGGAGGTGATGCAATCTCCCGACAGGATAAATCACAAGACTCGTGTGGGAAGCGTCCGCCCAAAGCCCTGCAGGATGTGCGTAATGTGGTGATGGGTTGTAGACAGGTTCCAGGTTTGGTGGTGGTGGTGGTTGTGGTGGTTGTGGTGGTTGTGGTTATGGTGGTGGGTGGCTTGAAGTATTGAGACCAGGCGAAGAAAATGTTTGGGTTCCGCTGCGGTGGTTGTGCAGATCCAAGTCGAGTTTAGTAGAAGTACAAAGTAACCTGAATATAACAAAAGCCCAGAAGACCCCCTGGAGCAGGTTCAAGGCACAAGGTATTAATAGGAACATTGATAGCTGTGCTAGGCCTAGTTTGAGTGGTCCCACCCACTACAAAGGACTCGGTGCCGGAAGTATCTAAACCTTTCGTCGTCCGGAATTATGCCCCCTCATGCACCCCAAAGTGGTATCTGTACCTTTCTCCTCAGCCAGATGCAGGTAATTGACCGATAGACCAATGTTGATCGAGAGATCGACCGTCAATTCAGTGTTGCTGTCGCTAGTGAGATGCGGCCTCCACAGCGATGACAGCATTGCCAATTAAGCAGGAACCACGAAATCGTCACCACACCACGTGCAGGCTTTGACTCAAATAGCTGGGGCGACATTCCTATCTGGATGGACGTCCACTTGTGTAGGCTTGTAGGCGACGGTATACTGCCTTGAGCTCTAAGGATTGCCTGATGGACTGGACTCGGCTGAAGTTTCTGGATGCATCAATAACAGAAACTGACCAGCTTTTTCTAGTATTTCCTGCGCTTCATGCCAGTCTATGGGGGCCAAAAGATCCACCTCAAGCCTGCCACAGACAAAGAAGCCTATCATAGAAGCTGGTTGAAACAACATTAATCCCTCTCTCATCAACAGCTTGTATCCAATCACTGCCATAATTCATCGACTTATGTTCTTCGAACCGGTAAAGAACCTCGACCGAAGCTGTCCCATCGTGGGATATTGACACATCAACTATCCTTGTGCCAGCATGCATGCATGATGCCAGAAGGCGAATCTTCCAACTTGGCTCAGATCCGCGAATCTTATCGATTTTTATGACCTTGAGCCTCCAGACACCGCCTCCCAGGCCATGATCCGCCAGAAGTCTTGTCCGCTTTAAGCCGAAGGTGGTTTGCGGGTCTTGCATCGCAAAGATCCTTAGGTTCTCGTCGTAGCTTCCCGTCATGACAATCCGCGAACCATCCTCCAAATATAGAGGAAGAGGGAGTATTGCGGTAACACCGGCCTCATGGTCTTTCTTCATTACCGCCGGAGGATAGGGAACATCGACCAAGACAGAGTCATCAATATCGGGCGGCATAGACAGTGATATATACCGAAGTACGGAGTCGTCACCGCCAGAGTATAAAACAGCAGTTTGCTCCTCATCCTCACGGGACGTAGGTGGGCTTAATGCAACGCACCAGCATTCGAGAGAGTTCGCAACTGGGAGAATCTGAGATGCGCGAATCTCAAAGGTCGTAAGATCAAGACGTACCAACCTCAATTCACCTGTAGAGGTTGTGATTGCGAGAAGATCCGGTGAGGATGGGTGCCAAGTAAAGGACAAGAACAAGACATCCTCGTCTATATCAGGTATCCGGCTAGTCGAGAGAGCCTGCAAGGGCTCCGAAGCGGAGCGGCCAGGATCTAGACGGAAAACGGAGATAGTTCCCGTGCTAGAGACGACAGCGACGATATCTTGATAGCCGCTAAGAGCCTGAAAGTGCAGGTCTAAGATGGCCGAGGGGCGGGAGACTGTCTGAATAAGATGTCTAGTCGAGGATTAGGTCAACTCCTGTCGTCCGGATGAGAAACAGGCGGGAAACGTACTTACAGCTGGCCTTCTTCTAACCGGAAGATTATGAGACTGCCATTTCGGCTCTGCGGTGCTTTGGATGCTGCTGCCTCTTGATGATCATCTTCGTCGTCGTCACCGGTTTGCGTCTCAGTTTGTTCATCCTCTCTCTTTTCCAAGTTGTACGTCCCCACCACAAAATAGCCCAGATGCGCGGGGCAAAATTCTATACAACTCGGTGGGAGATCGAGAATGCACGAGGTCTTGGAGGAGATGAGACTCCCTTCACCACTGCTCTGCTCCATATGAGCTTTGATTTCTGGTGCGGGGCAGTTTATGCGAGAAGAAAAATTTCCTCAAACAATTGCCTGGACCTGGAATGGCGAAGATGTGTCGGTGAATGTAACAGTTATTGACCTCTGATTGACTTATTATATAAACTAAACCAGAGCGATTGCTAAAAGAGGCTTTTCTCCCGGAGACTAGAAAATGCTCGTCGTTGTCGTATCAAATTTGATGAAGTTCTCTCAATTGAATCTTGCAAAGTACTGAGGTAGCTGCAGCTCAGTTCAGTGTTCAGAGGTACAGGGACTGGCCCAGGCCGCCGGTATTCGGACGGGCACGGTACGGCGGGCGCTAAATTCAGCACGTTCGATGCAACGGGCAGTCGGGGGAATCGGAACAAGCACCGCGATGTGTGGTCCAACCATCCAACTACCATCCCCCGTCCACAACAACCCCGGTCTTGGAAGGAGGGGACATGGATGAACGACCAGGTTCGTCTTCAGTGGCGTTTGTGAATGGCATATACCAAGTACTTAGGAATACCACAAAGAAGCAACACCCTTGATCAGCCATCGAATATTCAAGAGCTGCACAGTATTTCTTCGAAGGAATCGCCCAGGGGTTTGCGTGATCACACCGCTTCTGCTGCCTGGCTATCATAAGTAGCCATTCAATAGATGAGGTTTCCTACGACTGATATTGATCTATTACATCCACTTCTCCAAAATCGTGATATACCAGTGGTCTGCCCTTGATATTCAGGACGGATGGACCGGAAGATGCCATGATGGACTCAACGATGGATCTCGACGATTCAGACTTTTATGGTGAGGGGCCAGTTCCTCATCTTCTTCACTGCGGAACCCTTTCTTCTGACGATGCTGCTAAAAAAAACTAGGCGATGACGACACTGTCGCCGAATTGAAGCAGAGAGTAAAGGATTTTGACACCGAAAAATGGTGGAAGGACCAAGCAGTGGTTCCTCTCCTCCCACAGCCCTCTCGGACAAGTCCCAAGAACGACACTCACCTCCACAACCCATATCAAGGATACGACTTTGCCTGGCAATTGACCGAGACCCTCGATGACTTCTTCGCGCGTCTTCCCCCAGAAACTACCGACGTCGGAGACAAGCTGCCCTGGATCTACATCTGCAATCCTTACGTGGAGCGGGTACCCAAAGCCGAGGCCCAGAGCCAGAACAGCAAAGGAAACGAGGATGAAGGTCCCGAAGAGGATGGTAGTAATCTCACGGTAGCGAATGCCGGAGGCATGGAGAGGCTTCACCTTTTAACCGACTTCATCCAGGGAGCCCTGGGGATGGGAGGAAATACTCCTGTGGTGCTGAGGGATATTGAAAGTCAAAAATTGCAAGCCATACATGATATTCTCAATCTTGCCCACGCCTGCAAAGTGAGATGCGGCAAGGCAAGTTATGCGTCTGATATCGATGCGCTGCCCACGTCTTCCATGGCGCATATATTTCTTGTTTGATCTGATTTATCTGACTTGCGTGCGATAGTGGATGATTTTCTGTGACCCTCTATCTGTGGACGAAATCTGGGAGACTGTAGCAAGGGCCACAGCAAACAACGAGCTTGGAATCGCCGCCAAGGTTGCACCGCGGCCTGCTGAGGAGTTTCGAAGGAAGGAACGACTCATCTGCGTCTACACGGCGGACTTTCGGGATCGGCGCGATGTTGGCAGGGTCTTAAAGCGGCTGAAGGAACTGGGGCTTGCTGGTGCGAGAGGCAAGGTGCTCTATTACAAACCCGGTTCGTACCTAATTCGTTGTCCCTAGCATTTCCTCTTCTAACGAAGAACAGATATCTTCACATATCTCGGTATCGGGAGCGGAAACCCGTGGGGCATTCGGGCCTCGATCTACTCCTCTAAAGACGCATTTCCATCTTAAAGCAGACGCGATACCTGGGCTAGTGAAGAGCATATCAATGTGTTCAAAGGAGGCATCTTTCCCTCAACCAATGCACCTAAGCAAGAGCTGTGTGTGTGATAGGATCCAATGTATTTAATGCATGGGATAGTCCAGAAGATGCGAGACCACCAACGCCTAAAGTGATAATGTACATCACCCCTCGTTGAAAATGCTAACCCTGTCCATACCCCAAACGTAAGCCGTAGTGCAACGGAGGTCATTCCACATTTAGATCCAGGTAAAAACAAGAACATGTATGCAAATAATGACCGCTTGAAATAATGCAGTCACCCGTCCATACCTTAAGAGCATAGCGTATTCGAAGTGTAGATTCTGCTGGTGACAGAGCCCTCGATATACTCTCCAGGGTCGTCCTCGTCGTGGATAGACCTCAGCAGCAAGACTAGGCGATACGCGCTGTTGCCATTTAGGTAATAGCGGTGGAGTTTCTTAGACCTCAGGAAGCCGAGCCGCTCATACAAGCGCATAGCCGGGATGTTCGTTTCTTCGGTCTCCAAGACGATTTCTTGAGCGTTGCGCAACATCATGGCATCGATCGCCTTCTTTACGAGGGCAGTAGCTATGCCGTAGCCACGGAAGGATGACGCTACGGCGAGCATGGCGATGTAGCCACGTCGGGTGGGCGGAGAGTGAGAGGCATGGACGTCTAATTTGCATATGATGACGCCTACCAGAGATGAGTCTCTAGGGTCCAGGGCCTGGAAGAGTTGCGATTAGCCATTTTGAACTGAGCCATGATAAGTCTATTTTGTCACGGAGGGCTCTCAAATGACCCCACTCTCAGGATTGGGGAAAAATTGGAAGGCGGTCACGCAAGAAGGTGGCAGAAGTGTCTCGGACGCAGAACGTACCATGAAACAGAGGTGGGCCCATTGATAGAGGAAATAGCGGTACACATATATGCTGTACGGTTCGCTTAGATCCGTCGAGATGAGGGATCGTATTGAGGGTAGATATTTTTCTTCGAGATCGTGAGAATACTGAATGTACTCTAGTTCACACGGTAGCGTCCTAGGTGGTGTCGGCGTCACGTCTGCCATGGCGCTAACTTGGCCGACAGAGGGGCGTAAATCGTGAAGAGGTGGAGAAGCGGCGGGGGTTCCTTGTTCGAAGAGGTTTGGGGATTGATGAGACCTCTTATCTCCTCATTCCAGTAACTCTAATGAAGTGAATACCTTCGTACAGATATATGAGATATGAGGTGGGAGGTGTGAGACACAAGCCACCAATGCAGTCTGAGGTTTGGGATCGTGGAGAGGAGTCAAGTTGGAGGGAGCGCAGGATGGAGTCAGCTTAAGGAAGAAAAGAGCTGTGCTCCCATTCGCCTGCAACAGGGAGTGGCAAGTTTATCTGGAATGGTGGCTTCCCCTTGGCGTTGCAGCATCGAATGTGAGGAGCAGTGGAGATTCACCCTGCAGACGAGTAGCCCGGAGATTAAACTGGGATGGGATGGCACTCCGGTCCGCCTCCGTGCAGTTCGCACGCGGAGTATTAAACTATTTCGGAGACAAGTCGGGGAATGGGCTTTTGTCTGGGAACACTTCAATGTTGGATCGAGCTCAGGGCTTGGACAATCACATGTCAAGGTCAAGCGGGGCGTCGCGGGGTGTGCTAGGCCTGCAGGAAAGAGACGCAGTCTTACTTTGTAGTAGTTCGTTTTCTCGTAGGAATCGGCTCGTCGTGCCGTGGGAATAACGAAAGACTATTTATTGAACATTGAGCATGGAACGCGAAACATTGAATAGGCGCAGAAAAAGCTTTCGCTGTCTCTGGGCAGCCCAATTGCACTAGTGTCAGAAGTAGAGGTATTAGTGTCCAAATAGTGGTGTACTGAGCTCGTTGGAACTGTGGAGATCAAATTGCTTGCAGTGGATTTGGCTGCTGGTCTTGGTGTACGATCCTGGTACCTCGATGTCAGACTGAAGCTTATCACTTATCATCCCGGCGACCATTTATCAGCCTCAAGATGCTGGGTCTTCATCTTAAATCTTAAAATGTCTTATAAGAGAAAAACCACTAATAAGAGAAGTGCCCTGAAAACTGAAAACCAAGGTGAATCGCTAGTCTCATTGTCCATCTCTCTCTGTCTTTGAACCAGGTTTCGGGTGTTAAGACTATTAGTGACAACTACCTTTTGTCTCCTGTGATTGTATCGCAGTATCACCGAGACAAAAAGTACCAGGTACTACGAAGTACAGCGGCAAAGATTGCCTGATCCGCCGATAAACCAGGCAACCTTCGATCAATTGATCCATGCAAGCTCGGGGGGAATTTTTGGTGGATCATTTCCATTGACGTCAGCACAATGGCAGGAGGCCAGAGGTAGCATTGCACGTTGTTCCCTCGTTACGTTGCCATTGATTTTGCATTTTCTAGTTTAACAGCGACCTCGTGTTCCTGAAGCTACTCATTTTTGCCCTCGCCAAAATCCCAGCAGCACACCCAAGGTCAAGCCATGCGGGCTTCAATGCTGCTCAACTCAATTCATAATTGATTTCACTCTGGCCTATGCTCCTAGACCATCAGGGACGACGAAAATACTGCTCCCCTCAACCTCCATCTCTCTCTACCCCGCGGGCACTCGTCCCGATTGATCTACCCCAACACGACCCGTCATGTCTGCGACTCTTCGTCGCCGGGGTGGTCAACCCTCCTTGGCTGTTCCCGTACAGCCTGCCGAGAGCGAGCCAGATCTGACCCACCAGGCAGACGACAAGCAACATCCCGTGGAGCTTCATGCAGAAGTCGTGCAAGAGAAACCAAAGACCCGGAAACGCCGGAATACCTTCATCTTCCTCCTAGGCAGTCTGTTCGGCATTGTCGCCGCGGGCTTCTTTGCGTCGTCGAATGATCTTATAGATTTCCCCGAGCTTGGTGACTTGAGTATGGATAGCTTGTTAGACGTTCTCCCCGCTGGTCTTGTCAAGGACTATAAGGATCTCCTGGTAAGCCGTTCCCTGCACCTTTCTAGGCTATTCCCTAAGAGTGGCCCTCTCTAACGATGCTGCTCTTCTCGATTGTAGAAAGGCGAGCGGGACATGTTCGATGCCTACGAGGCTTTCTCCGTCGGCCTCAAAGCGCAGTCCGAAGGCCTCTCCGCACACCACCCGATAATAATGGTACCCGGCGTCATTTCTACGGGGCTCGAATCATGGGGCACCGCCAACATATCGCGATCGTATTTCCGCAAGCGCCTATGGGGAAGCTGGACCATGATGACAGCACTGGTCATGGATAAGGAGTCGTGGAAGAATCACATCATGCTGGATAAGATGACTGGACTCGACCCGCCTTCGATCAAGCTCCGCGCCGCTCAAGGATTCGATGCGACCGACTTCTTTATTACGGGGTACTGGATATGGAACAAGATTTTCGAGAACCTCGCATCCATTGGATATGACCCGACGAATTCTTTTACCGCTGCTTACGATTGGCGACTGTCCTACCCCAACCTCGAAGTGCGTGATAAGTATTTTACCAAGCTAAAGTCTTTCCTCGAGGTTTCCCTTGACATCTCCGGCACCAAGGCTGTTTTGGTATCTCACAGTATGGGGAGTCAAGTTCTCTTCTACTTCTTCCACTGGGTTGCCTCGGAATACGGTGGGAAAGGAGGCGATGACTGGGTAGAGAAGCACGTGGATTCCTGGATCAACATTAGCGGATGTATGCTCGGCGCGGTGAAGGACATCCCCGCCATCCTGTCTGGCGAAATGCGTGACACTGCACAGCTCAACGCCTTTGCAGTCTACGGGTTAGAAAAGTTCCTCAGTAGGGAGGAGAGAGCTGAGCTATTCCGCAGAATGCCTGGCATCTCTTCAATGTTACCGATTGGGGGAGATGCAGTATGGGGAGACGCATCGGGAGCTCCCGACGACCTGCCAGGTCAAAATTTCACCTACGGATCGTTCCTGAACTTCCGAACCGAGCCCAACTCGACGCATTCCTACCGCAACCTAACCGTCGGCGGGGCGATGGACTATCTGCTAGCGGCGACCGAGCCATGGTACCGGGACATGGTTAAGCGCTCATATTCCCAAGGCATCGCGCACACTAAAGCCGAGGTCGACAGGAACGAGAAAGATCCCAGGAAGTGGAACAACCCCCTCGAGACGAGACTGCCTCTGGCGCCAAGCCTCAAGATCTACTGCTTTTATGGAGTCGGGAAGCCGACGGAGAGGGGATACTACTACCGGGAACCGGAAAAGGCAGGCCTTTCTCGACTAAATATCACAATCGATACCGGCTTAACAGCCGACGGCATTGTCGACCACGGTGTCGTGATGGGCGAGGGCGATGGCACGGTTAACCTGTTGAGCACCGGGTACATGTGCAATCGCGGGTGGACGATGAAGCGCTACAATCCGGCCGGGTCCAAGATCACCGTAGTCGAGATGCCTCACGAGCCCGAGAGGTTCAGTCCCAGAGGTGGGCCAAAGACTGCCGACCACGTCGACATACTGGGCAGCCAGTCCCTCAATGAGCTCATCATCAAGGTTGCTGCCGGGAAGGGAGACACGATCGGGAACTATGTCGTCAGCAACATAATGGAGTATGCCGACAAGGTGAAGATTCGTGACTAAAAAAAAAATAGGCTGGCAAGCGTTGCCTGTCTCCGGTTTCTTGTCTCTCTGTCTTGTTTCATCTCTTTTCATTGTCTATTTTTAAAGGAGGAGTTGGTTGGATATCCTGTTATTCTACTGTTGTTTTTTGGTGTCTACATATTAAATTCGGATCTGGCGACGGAGTACCCTCTATTTCGAATGTATTGTATTGCGCCAGCTATCTCTGCATCTCTTAGAGGATATATATGGTGTGCTAGCTTTTGACATCTCCCCTCTCGTTTTCCCAAAAGGAGCCTAGGAATTCAATAGACTAATGGTGCATAGTGCATCTCAGCTCAAACAGTTTACATTTTCGTCGGAGAAGCCATCCGGAGCCCGATGGATATACGTAGGATGAATCGATATCAATGCTTTTGCATGAACCGTCAATGGCGAACGCATGGCAGGGCGCAGAGATCGCCATTCACCCGATCGAGCTCGACGTTTCATGCATGAGCAGCTTCAGGGTGTGCGTCTGGCATGGAATCTTTTGATCATCTTGTTCCCGACTTGACGACTGTTTAGAGTTCGTCATGTCGAAGACAGGATCTAGTGTACATGGGGGAAAGAATAATTGAGACGCAAACGGAGGAACGGATTAATGACTTGGCGCCGAGAGTCACGAAGGAATACACTAGCTTAATATTGGTGCATCGACGTGATGGGAGCTGGTCGAGGTGCATTGGATCAATCTATCAGACTATTTTCTTCGTACGAGCGGGGTGCGCCCCTAAAATAGTTTGTTAGTCGCCAAGCCCATCACTGTCCACTCTTCAGCTTGTGCCCGCAGCCTGAGGCTTCTCCTTCCCTCAATCTTGCGCCAAGTATTTTCCACTTCCACCACACTGCCAGTTGAGCACTGGTCCAGTAGTCGATTCTCGACCCCTCAAGCCACCAGACACTCTGCTCTGGGCTGATCTTCCACTTTCACATTTCCATCAAACCGCCGTGCGGCATCACCCACGCCACCCACACCAACCATACGGTAGAATTTGAGAAGACAGAGCCTTGTGACTTTTGAGGCACAGTACTCACAACATCAGGTCTCTTCTTCTCCTTTCATCCCCCAAGAACAACATCAATCCTCCCATACTTGTCGTTCGGCCACCTCCGCGTGCTACATGTCGAGTCACCACCACCCTCGACGCCGACGACCAAGCGAAGACCAATGTATTGAATCGCCTCCCGACGTATCGAGGAGTTCATGTAACCGTCAATCGGGATGAACACCGCCGCCCACCAGCCACGACTTTATCTACGACAGCGACTCCGTAACCATGACAGATCTGGATGCCACTATTGGCCTACAGAGCGAGGAACAATTCTGGCAAGGTGGGAATCAGTCCTGTTTTAGGAGATCACGAGGCACAATTCCTGTCCCATCTGCAACTGTTCTGATATTCTTGATCCGACTGCTGACTTGCGGGACTAATCCCCGGCCTAGACCTGAGCAGAATCCTCTCGACGCAATGCGATACCCACGAGAAAATCGATGACGCCCTACGCGGATGGCTCTACTTGGCCAGCGCCTTTAGGGAACAGTTTGGCGACTCGGATTCCGAGATATCGCACTGCGCTCAGCAACTCCTCCACCGCCCCATCTTCCAGGAAAACAAACAATACGTTCGCACGCAAATCGTTTTCAGCTTCCTCCAGGAGGATGATATTAGCCCACTACACATAATCTCCAGTTTCCTCCTCGCTGACGGACGAAGCGATGATACGGTTTTCGGGCGCATGATTACGGAGGGATGTTTTCCGAGACTATTAGAGCTGCTGAATAGCAATCGGCAGGTGGACTTTCGACTCCACCGTACCCTGCTCGACCTGATGTACGAAATGTGTCGCATGGAACGGCTTCGGACGACGGATCTCTTGCAGATTGACGATGCCTTTGTTGCTCATCTTCTCCAGCTCGTCGAACAAGGCTCCGGCGACTCGAGCGATCCATACCAATACCTAGTAATTCGTGTTTTGGTGAGTGGACTCCCCATGCTTCGAGAATCCAATCTTGGAGCAGCTCCTGGCGCCCTAGGCATCCACTAACACTGGGCCATAAGCTTGTCATCAACGAGCAATACATGCTTGCTTCTACCGATGCGGAGGCGGCTGGTCCTCTCTCACCCACATCGCCCCTCACAAACCGAGTCATCAAACTACTAAGCCTTAATGGCTCATCCTATCGAACTTTTGGCGAGAACATTATACTGCTGTTGAACCGGGAAACCGAGACCTCGCAGCAGCTCCTTATCCTCAAGGTCCTGTACCTATTGTTCACGACGAAGGCTACGTACGAGTACTTTTACACGAACGATTTGAAGGTCCTTGTTGACATTATACTCCGAAACCTAATGGATCTCCCCGACGAAAAAATGTCTCTGCGCCACACCTATCTCCGTGTTCTTTACCCCCTCTTAGCCCACACGCAGCTCAACCAGACACCTCACTACAAGCGAGGCGAGATCGTAAAGGTCCTGCGAATCCTTGTGGGCATGGGCAACCACTTTGCGCCGACCGATGACACGACGTTACGGCTTGTAGATCGGGTGAACAAAGTGGAATGGCTATCGGAACGAAGCGGGGATTCTTCCCCCGACTCGCCCGAAGCCAAGACTGCCCCGAAGTTCCTGGGTATCAGTCTAGCCGACTCCCGGGCCGCGAGCTCTGTTAGTGTTGAGGATGTCGCAGCCGTGATGGAGAAACCCGGCGTCAAGACTCCCAGTCGAAAGATAGAGTCTGCCGCCGCCACCCATGAGCATGAGTCGGCTGAGCGTGGGAAGATCGGCGAGGTCCAGGGTGTCCAGATACCGGTTCCGGTCATCAAGGTCAAGAAGGCCCTGCCGGAGGTTCCTAAACACCGCCACGGGGTCCCGTTTACGCAGATGGCGACCCTGCATGTTAATGGTACGAAGAAGATACCACCAAAGACGCCCCCGCCTAGACGGAGGGGCAAGCTCCTCAATTCCCAAGCCAAGGTGGAAGGTTCCGGAGTGCCAGGACAATAGGACATGTTGCGATGGCCACTACACAAGAGACAAGGGAGTTTGTGATGCCAGTAGTGCATTGCTTGCCTCGTCTCTGTACCGGTTCCGGAAGAGGGAGAGAGCTCGCGTTTCTTTGGCTACCCTCACGGCTTTATAGCAGGCCATACTCTTCCCTGTTCCCTTGACTTTCGGAGATACTACTTCATTTCTGTTCGTTTATGTTTGGTTTACGCGCCTTTAATTCCCTGCGGCACAGAAGTCACAAGCATCGCATCGCAAGGAGTCTGGATTTCTTTCTCGTTCATGTTTCGTTTCCCGTTTTCCCCTCTCCTTTTCTCTGGCGTAGTGTGGCACACTCAAGTGTCACTTAGGAAGTGGAGGAATGGCTCAAGAGAGAGGAAGCAAGATTTTCGCATGTCCATTTACAATACCCACCAGTTCGCCTGCACTCAAAAGTCAGAACTCAATTCCAAGAAGAGTGACTGTTCCCTGCAGTAATAATTTTGTCCTTGTGCTATGTGACCTGTGAATCTGACATCTGTAGAAACCTCACGAACAGTGTTGAACGACAATCGTCGATGGAGAAGCCTCACATCCAGAGTCTCTGAGCTGTAGACTTGTTTGTTCGGTGCGCATTCGTTCAACTCGTCTATGTCTCGTCGAACATAAACAGGGTGCCACCGAGTCACTTGGGCACGCAGCCTGAGACGGTCGATCCGTGAATAAGAAAAAAAAAAAAAAAAAAAAAAAAAAAAAAAAAAAGAAAGAAAGAAAGAAAGAAAATATTAATGTATCTAAGGAGAGCCTTGTTTCTCTGCCGTCTTTCGGATCGCTTCAGTCGTCCGTACTTCCGACAACGGTGTAAGTCAAGATTACACTTCGTTTGCATCTGCATTGATATTCAGATACAGTTTATTAGTAGTAGATCGGTTGTTGGACTTTCCTAATTTTATAAGAGGGCACCATCTATCGCTATTACGAAGTAAGCTCCCATTGCAAAACCAGGATTAATCCCGAGGACCCTTCCTGAGCTAGCGTCGCTTGAATCCCGCATCGCGACAACCAGGCAGGATCAATATTCGAGTCATTGATGAAGTCAGGGTCCACTGCCCCCGTATTCTCTGCACGGCGCCGGCGCCGGCGCGCCTGCGATAGCGTCCTGGACAATTAGTTGTGTACGAAGCAAGGCGGGGTTGGTTCAAATTGTCTGGGCTTGCAGACAACGTAGCACATGCAATACGTCATTGTGGCTGAGATCCAGCCGCCACCTTCCCGATGGAGGCAATTCTCGGCCGACTAGATACGAAGTGTGTCGTTCCCAGCCTCTGGCCATTGAAATAATGTAGTGTAGATGAGAGGGACTAATATTCCCAGTAGCTTGGAAGGAAGATTCACATGGGAAGAGACATGGGTTGGAACGTGTGCAAGTCTCTGGGGGACAGATCAACGTTGCACCTAATTTCTCCGAGCCACGCCTGCCACCAGACGTAGACCGCACTGCATTACGAAGTAGAAGCATGTCGATGACGCTATCGCTGCTTTCGGATCTAGCTCTACGCATATCTGGCCAAGCCTTTCGTCTCGTCGACGCCATCAGCATATCATCAGGCTTTGATGGATGGAAGTTTTATATGGGCGGGGATGTGGGAAGAGCAACCGAAAGTTCAACCATTTGATTTAGCGTGACCTGCCTGGGAGGAGGGGAGGCCTCTTCTGCTGTGTTTCTGGAAGACAGACACGTCTTTCGAATGAAAGTTTCGATGATATTGACCCTCGTTGACCCGGTATTATCCGTCCTGAGATTCTTGATAGAGATCGAGACTGTTTCTGGAGATGATTGCTCTCGCTGAGGAAATCTACTCCGTAGTACACGAGTGCAAGTTGCTTGTTAGCTCCAGGTTTCTTCATCGATCAATGTGTTGTCTTCAATGTCAGGCTGTCTCAAACCTGGCGTGACATGTTTGGTGACGCAAGTGCTGGATCAAAGATGCCCCCGAGTCCCGACTCAACTCCCCATCAACGTCGCCAATTGAAGGGTGAACCCTGAATTGCCACCGACGGAATCCGGGCCAAGAAGTGCCAAGCAAAAGATTTGCATCATCTCGAGGAACGGCTTCAAAAGACCGGCCGTCCTATCGAGCCTTGAAGTGGTTCCATTGAAACTCAAATCTCGACTATATACTCCTTCCCCAGCTAGGCGGCTGGCTCTTTCCGTCCTTTTTTGTTCACCGTACCATTAGAAACTAGTCTCGAGACCCTTTTTTTTTTTTTTTTTTTTTTTTTTTTTTTTCTTCTTTTAGATCAACCGCGTTTGTGCTTTTAGCTCGAGAAAGAGGACCAAGACCAATTGATATCAAAAATTAGTCAATTGGATCTTCCATCCTAGCTAAGCATACAGAGAGCGCTATTGCGTCAGTGCTTTTATGACGATACCTAGGGAAACGACAGCACAGCTTGAGCCTACATATTGACGCTATGGTCACCAAGTCCCCGGCGGTGTCGCCCGTCTCGACGAACCGCGAACCCCTACAGGACACCACCTCACCCACTTATAGGAGCGCCACGCCCCCCAAGAACATGGCGTCGTCATCCGCGCCAAGATCGTCAGGCTATTTCCCCCCATACTCCCTCAACCAACATCAAAATGACGAACCAAACGACGCCGAACCGCAACGAGGGATAGGGAATGATGCCGACGATATCGATACTGAAATTCATGCGCGTTACGGTTCTTCATACACCGACTACCACCGCCACTATTACACTCACTCAGCAGCGCAACCGGCGGCGCAGGAACCCGTCGATTCCACCCAACAGGAGCAGCTGCATCCAGGTCAGAGCTCCTCCCTCGGACGATCCCAATCGGCTCGAATAGCACCCCGACCGAACACTCCATCGCGCGAACACGGGGAAACCGACCAGCGGGGGAGCTCGGGTCCCGAACAGAATATTAACAATAACACCGGCAAGATGCGGCGGTCCAACTCGTTCGTGTCCAATGTGCCCGACGATATCCAGCTCGCGAGGGGCAACACTCTCAGGAAGAAGGCCTCCATGAGGCGCTCGGGCAGCCTGCGCCGGAGCAGTAGCCGCCGGAGCATGAAGGCCGGCAGCGTGAGGAGTTTGGCGCTGCAGCCCGATGCGGATCCCGACCAGATGCATAGCGCTCTTTACTGTCCCGTGCCGACCTCGGCGAGTCCCACCGAGGCCCTTGCAGAGAGGTTCCAAGGTAAATCATGTTCCTGATACGGCCTTTTCCGCTTGTCGACTCATATGGAGACTAACTCGAGGTTCTTGTTTTTTCTTTTTTTTAAGCTTGGAGGAAGCTATTGAAGGAATTGATTGCCTACTTCAAGGAGATTCAGACACACTACGAGCAACGCGCGAAAAGCACAACCAGGCTAGCGAACGCATCAAGTAACTTCAGCCAACACCCTAGCTTCCTCTCTTCGGACGGCCTCGCCGATGCCATGCAGATCATCCGCAAGTACAACCGGACAGCGATACAAGACGCCAACAGGGCGCAGGAAATCGAGCACGACGTCATCCTGGCCTTGACCGGTCTCCGCAGCGACCTGCAGCAGAAGATCAAGGAGATCAAGAACTTGTCGGGCGACTTTAAGAACTCGGTGGAAAAGGAGATGGACGGCACGAGGAAGGCTGTCAAGGCGCTTCAGGATGTCCTTGGCCGTGCGGAGCTCGACACTTCTCTTGCGACGGGGAGGCAGGATCCTTATCTGCTGCGGCTGGCTGTAGATCGACAGGTGGAGAGGCAGATCGACGAGGAGAATTATCTCCATCAGGCCTACCTCAACCTCGAGACGTCGGGCCGCGAACTAGAATCCATCGTCGTTGGCGAGATTCAAAAAGCGTATAACGCATATGCTTCCATTCTTAGGCGCGAAGCCGATGCTGCTGATGCTGCGATCGAGGAGCTTCGTCTCGGGCCCGTCGACATGCCAAAGGACCATGAGTGGGAGCGGTTCATGGATAAGAACGACGAGTTTGTTGATCCGAGTATACCGATGCGATCGCCGGAGAATATTCATTACCCTGGTCGTGACCATGTGGCTTGCCAGGAGATTCGGGCTGGCCTCCTCGAGCGAAAGAGCAAGTACTTGAGAAGTTACACTGCCGGATGGTAAGTTGAGAGCGACATCCCATTGTATTAGTTAATCTAACCAACGATGTAGGTACGTCCTTTCGCCCACTCATCTCCACGAATTTAAATCGGCAGACAAGGCACAAGCTCCACTCATGTCGCTATACCTCCCAGAACAAAAGCTAGGCTCTCACTCGAAGGAAGGCGCCTCCTCACAAAAATTCATCCTCAAGGGCCGACAGACCGGCGGCGTGCACCGCGGCCACACGTGGGTATTCCGGGCGGAGAGCTACGACACAATGATGGCCTGGTACGAGGACATCAAGGCCCTCACAGAGACGCCACCACACGAGCGCACCGAGCTCATGCGCAGCAGTTCGCGGAGCATCAGCCGCACGTCGCGGCGTTCCATGAGCAGCGACGCGGGTGTCGTCGACGAGGAAGACGAGGAGCCGTTCGCTGCGGGATCTCAGATGGGGATGAATACGGCGGTGAACCGGCAAGTCGCGCAGGAGCGCCGGCCTCAGGCGGGAGGGCGGTTCCCCTCGGATCTGCAGGTGAATGCCGAAAGGGGGTTGCAGGCAACGGTGTCACAGTCGACCAGCAGTTCCGGCGGCGGGGCCGGCGGGCGAGATGGTGCGAATTCCATCATTGCCAACGGGGGTATTCCGACTGGCGGAGTCGTCGCGGCCGGCGCTCTTGCCGGAAGCGGCACGGACGAGCCCGTCTACCGACAGAACGGCAACGGCAGTTACCAATACGGCGCGACGGCGCAGACTCCAATGGAGCAGGCGCAGTCGCACGCGGCCAAGGTGAACCGCGAAGCTGCGCAGGACGGTGTTAATCCGTACACTGGCCAGCCGATCGATCAGCTGCAGACTACGAGTTACGGCAACCTGACGATGAACCCTGCGCTGGGGGGATTCCAGCACCAAGGGACATCTACGCCTAGCCAAACGGGAAGCCTGAACTACGTGGGCCAGACTCCGTCGCACCTGGACGTTTCCACTGCCACTACTACGGAGCAGGTGTTAGTGCACTCCCCACAAATTCACGCCGCGCGGACTCAATCGCCCGCAAGCCAGCAAATCACCTCGGCCCAGACCCGCGCGTCTCAAGTATCCCCGCTTGATTCTCAAGGTCCGGAAACGGCGGTAAACGAAGACCTGACGATGAGGCACAATCTGTCTAATGGCGCTGCCCCGGCGGCCGATGGCAGCGTGGCGTCGATGGCTTTCCTCAGTGTTTCGGTCTCCGCTGGGAATCACGGAGAAGAAGGGAAGAAGGTGTCTGAAGGCCGCGTGGAGGAGATTACAGAGGCGTCGGATGATGGGGCTGCGGAGAGGCCGTCTGAGGCGGAGAGGTCGACGACGCAGGGTAGTTATCATGTGCCTGGACAGTTTCCTCGGTCGAATTCCAATGTGAACGTTACAAGGAATGGGGTGGCGACTTGATGATGGAGGCCGGTTTACTACTCATCACTCATTTTAGGAGATTCACCGAGAGTTGGAACAACAAGCCTGTTTGTGTTTATGGGATTGAGAGTGGAAAATCATTTCATGTGCATTCGAAGGGGGGGATCAAGTTTAGAGAGGGGAAAAGGGAAAATGCGATTTCTTACTCGGGGCTGTATGTATGCTGGATGCTAGATAACATTGATGTTCGCACGAATGAAGACATTTGAACAGCGGTTTCTCCTTTTTTGGCCTCGTATGATCTCGATGGGATGGTTAAGTGGTCTATAGCATGACGACTTAGATGGTTTAGAGCATAAAAGCAAGGTACGGCACCAGGAGTTTCCTTTTGGCGAGACGATCAGCGTCCTGTCTAAGGAAGAACGCGGAGAGAAAAGAGAAGGGATATCAGCATTGACCTTAGTTGTATTAGTCCCCGATGGCTAAATTTGTCGACGGGCTACTTTCTAGTATTCCCCGGATATAACGGCCGGCGGATGTCGATCTCTTATAATACGGCAGCGGGAAGCATTGAGACAGTGATTCTCTTCCCACCCCTTGTCCAGCACATACTAAGAAAGCAGCGCAATAATATACTAACAGTGGCTAGCAGTAGAGAGATATTCGGATACGCTACCCAAGGATGAAGAAGTCGTGAGCGAAGGCAATACTCAACATCAAATACTTGTGGGATCGATGATGGCTCCAAAAAAAATCCTCCAACTCCATCGACCCCTTCCTCAAGTTCCCTTACCACTTGGGCCCCGGGTCTGCCTTTAAGGCTTTGAATCCTGTCTACCAATTGTAAAGGAGGAGAACCTCCTGAGGCATCACCCAGCCAGGAATGATTTGTCGAATTGTGGTTGTCGTATAATTTGACCCTCGTAAGAGGGAGAGCGACTCTAGAGCTGGAGAGCCAATTTCCGCTTGAAAAATCCGGTAGCACGGGGTGCGGATCGAACCGGCGAGGGGTCGTCGGAGCGATCGTGGCCTTCGTGGTTCCGAACGCGTCAAGCGTCAACTGACCATTGGTGAAAGCTTGCCGACGGATTCTGATATATGAGGGATATTGGGCTGGTTTTGGAAGGGGGGGGGGGGGGGAAGGTGCTGCTCAGTGAGCTCTTTCCTCCTCTCTCCTTCACTCGCCTGCCCTTTTCTTCTCTCTTTGTTAAGTGAATTGATGGAACAAGGAACTGGAAACCACACACTTAGACCTCCTTCAAGTGCCTAGGCCGGAAAAGCGGCCAATGCACAACTGGGTGGCCTTCAGGGTTTCATCGTTCGAGTGGCGGTTATTCGGCCGGGGTTTGGGAAGGATACCGCATTCTTTCTGACTTCATAAGATCGATTCGATGTCTCTCGAGACGCCTTTTCCTCCCGTAGGGCCGACAAGCGGCATTAACTGCTACAATTAGGCTTGTCGAGGCCAGTTGTCGTTACTATCACTCAGCCACAATCAAGCGAGAGCATAAAGCCGATTGAGGCTGAACCAGCAGGAATGTTAGCAACAGGGTGGTGGCCTTTGCGGCGGGGGAGAGAGTTAGAGGTGATGGGGCTGTGAGGCGTTGGGGGGTAGGACGGCATAAACTTCGCTGGGGTCCAGTGCCGGTCTGTCGGGACCTGTGAAGGGCGACTCGTTCGGCCGTTGGTTGGTCCTTGCTTCGTTACGGGGATCCTTCTTGTTGAAGCTTGAAGGTGAAGGCGCCTTTTTCCACTTCGTTTCCCCCTTGTTGCCCAGAGTACACGCGAACTTAGAGAGTCCCAGGAGATCCATCATTGGCCCATCGATCTATCAAAACTATCACTGCGCGAGTTCGTTCGACTTCGGCACGCCAGTTCTGTGGTGATGTTCCCGGGTCCAAGTCGAGGACCCTAGTTCTTAGTTCCCCACGATTAAAATACACGACCTCGAAAACCTGGAAAGACACGCAAGGGAACAAATCAAGACCTATCGGTCATACTTCATCCCTAGGTTCAAAACAAAGAAAGACAACCACAACAAAGACCGGCGATGGGAGGTTTCTGGATCCAGTTGCCGCGACTTGCAACTGGTTCAGGGTCAGTGCGTTGCCCAAGCCAGTCCAGTCCAGGCCACTCCAGTCGCGGTGCTGTGCCACTCGAAACAGGACCGGCCGAGCGACCGCCAACAGCCGAGAAGCGACATTGCTTTCTCTAAAGCTCGTCGTCGCTTTTCCATAATACCTCGTATTATTGCGCTGTCGGGCTCGACCCGACCTTAGTGATGTAGTACTTTCACCTCCGCGATGATTGCCCGCTCCTGCATACGCACCTGGCATTATCATCGAAATCAAAGAATCCTGATAGGCGACGAAGACGAGGACCAGATGCGCTAAAGCACGACCCAGAGTTGACTGCATTAGTCTACCTTTAGGCCCAAGCTGGGCGGTTAAAACAAAAAGAAGTCTACTTCGTATGAACTCTCCCATGACTGCCTTCGTGTTGGGTGGATATTAGCATCGATACCTCCTATCTTTATCCGGACGGCCTCGAGATGCGACAGACGGAACGGCCCAAGAGGTCAAGATGAAAGGATAAAAAACGGATCGCCCTGGAGTAATGCCCGGGTCTCGGGTCTCGAGTCTCGAGTCCAGCGGCATCCCATTCTCGGAGCTTCTGGTTAAATCGCTCTGGGACAAGCCGAATGATTCTGGACAACCTTCAGAGTCTTGGTGCGGGAAGCCTATTGTTCCGTGTCGGCCAATGGGCTCGACGACTTAACCGCGCCACGAAACGTGCGGCCTGCAACGCGGTAACTAGCGAGCGCCATGACACTTTTTGGGAGGTTGGCGGAGGCGAGGTTTGGCACTAGTCTCATTCTGGCAGTATGCCGCATTCCTGACCACCCTTGTTCTCACCAAGTAACCCTTCTCTGCCTTCCTTTGACTCTTGTTGTGCTTACTTTCCACGATAGGAAGAAGTGATCGTCGCCTAAGTCGGAAAGATGGATGGGTGGCTCTTTGAGCACGCAATGAGCGGACAAAGGATCACCGCTGGAGCTCGATCTACAGGGGACCAACGACACATCCTCGAGGATCTAGGACGATAGACAGGTAGACAAACCCCGTCTCTGATCGAGACAAGGAATTGAATTGACGGGCTGGGGGGATCAGCCCTGCAACGACGAAAACTCCCAGCCCAAGCCCTGTCCCGTTGGCCAGGCCTGTCATGTTCTGCACAGGAGATCCAACTCAGAACTGCTTCCTAGTTTTACCTCGCAATAGTGTGGTTCGAGAGACGAATGCAAATCCCGCCTGGATGCGGTAATTCTTCCACAGCGATTCGAGTTTCCACTTAGCAAGGAGTGTACGAAGTAGTGCGACAAACAATATGTTGGCCCCAGGAGATTTGCTTGGTACGTGGGACGACGCAGATAATGCAAGTCCTTTCACATTGGCTTCCGATGTTGAGGAACGACAAGAGATTGTTATTATCAAGAATAACAGCCTCGCTCTTCGATGCATGAGAGGGTTCTCGCGGCCTTCGCAACAGCGATCAGTGAGTCTGTCAACCATGAGAGCGAACTTGGAGATCTCCAGGGTGCCACCCACGACCACGACGAACCAGCCAATGCTGATGGGTGCTATTTTTAGTGAAGCTGCCACAGACTTAGTGAGAACACACTGCCTGGCCCCAACATTCCAACAGTGAACCTGAGGACTCTGACCAAATTTCACAGCCCGCCAATTCCCGCTTCCCGCTTCCCGCTTCCCACCCACCATCTTAATTTTGTTATCGTGCTCAATGTCTTTCCAAAGAACCCAACCTCCTCACCAATTCGGCGGTCTACTTCGTAGCGTCCACTAGATCAATTGATTGATCGAATGCATTACCCATCACTGCCATTATAGGTCAATCACGCTCCCCACCATCTTCTCGTTGATGCATCCACAAGTCCAATGTTGCATGCAGTCCTTCGAGTCCATTGACCTGTCCTGTTCTGTGTTGTCTGGCTCAGGCTTGGCAGCACGGGCCTTGACCACCCCCAGCCGGGGTTAGGTTGCTTTTTCTCCCGCTGTCTCGTCGCCCTGTTCGAGTTCATCCTTCATCCTTCAAACTCGATCCCTGTCCATGTCCTGTCCGTTGTCCATTCATTCTCGATAGCCTGGCAGGATCGTGGGTGTGACAGGGTCCACCTGTGGAGCTGTGCTTCCTTTCTTCCTTGCAGGGGTTCAGTGTTAGTTTGCCTTTCTGGGCTCGAGGCATACATACCTGTGGACACCTTCGAGAATAACAACGAAAATACCAGCCCCCATCCCGTCTTTCCATTTCCATTTCCATATAGAGCCATCCACCACCCACTCTCTTTTTTTGCCTTGAAAGAAAAATTCCGAGTCCGATTATATACCTCGATCCGTCTTTCCATCCCGCTTTATTACACCTTATTTCTATTCTAAAGCGCTTGTCGGGAACAATTAATTGTCTTAGTGCATTCAACTAAGACTGCCTGCCTTCAACCCACTCCCCATATGTGAACCTATAACTGCTTGCCTCCCACCACCCTCAACTCCTTAGGTCTTACACGCACACGCCGGCTAACGCCTCCAACTTCATATCTCATATTTAATATCCCCGCCTCATCACGCGTGCTTCTGCTGTGGTCGTATCGTCTGGAAATGCATCATTGCTAGACGATGTGCTAGTGCGGAGGACTTACAGGGCATTACGTTAACAACACTTATAAGTGGAAACATGGAGGACCACGATATCGATGCCGCCAAGGAGAAGCGCCAGTCGCATAACTCCGTCAGTTCGGCCGCCGAGGCTATGCAAAGAGCTGCGGACAGACTTATAGCGACTACCGAGTTCTTTAGGCTTCAGCTTCGCGAGAGGCAGGAGGCGAGATTCGCGAAAAGAGAGCATGAAGAGCCTGCTTCTTCTTCTTCCGAGAAACTTCGGGATTCCAGCCCTCCGAAGGCGTCGAATGAGGCAGTAAGAGTAGTAGTCGATCAAGACCAACCTCTGCCCTTCACAAATGGCAGCTCGGACGAAGCGACTTCGAGCCCCACGACCGATCCGCGAGCGAGTCATCCGTCTATGTCACCCGGAGACTGGCCAGCCAAGGTGCCAGAGGATCTCCCCATAGCCGCCTCACCCTCAACCCCACAAGTTGTCCATTCTATACCCATCCCAGAACCGAATGCCGTCAGGATAGAGTCTGCAACCTCAACAGCGGACAGCTACGCCACGGCGCAAGCCCACGTCTCCCGCCCCGCGCCTGCCGCAGTGGCCGGTTACTACCAAACACCGTCCCCGGGCCAATATTACTCAATGTCGCCCAATTCCCCTAGTTCAGCGAGCGATATGGGAAGCTCTTATCTTACCCCGCGATATCCACCTTATCGATCGAGTGCCTCCGCCTTGAGAGAGCCTTTGACATCGGAGACGGACAGGCCCTTTCCGTCGACTACCACCAAGGAAAGCAATTCCAAGTTTAGCGACGGAAGGCCCGCTTTCTCCTTTATTCGAGAAATTTTCTTCGTCTTCGTGATTTGTTTCTCGCAACTTCTCATGTTCGCCGCTCTTGCCCAGGCCCTCGCGCCCGCTCAGAAGATCGGAGCTTCGTTTCCAAACACCGTTCCGTTCTATCTCTCCTGGTACTCAGCAGCCTACGCAATGGCCGTTAGCGCCTTTTCGCTCCCCGCTGGCCGACTAGGAAGTCTTCTCGGACACAAGAAGGTTTTCGTCGCCGGGTTCGCGTGGTTCTCGCTGTGGAGCACCCTAGCCGGCTTGAGTGTGTACGTGGAGCGCAACGGAGGAAATGGTACCCTGTTCTTCTGCATCTGCAGAGGCCTGCAGGGGATCGGGCCCGCCATCATCGTACCCAACGCCCAGGCCATGCTGGGTCGCGTTTACGACCTCGGCCCTCGAAGGAACCTCGTCATGTGCCTGTTCGGTGCTTCCGCGCCTTTGGGCTTCGTCTCCGGGGCCGTGATGGCTAGTCTCTTCGCCGAGCTTACATCTTGGGAATGGGCCTTTTTTGTCCTCGGTGCCGTCTGCCTTACGTTTACATGCCAGAGCATCATCGTTCTCCCTGCGGACGACGCTCCCGCGCCTGGCATGAGTTCGGACAGGTTTTGGAGGCTTATTGATGCCCCCGGGATCATCACCGGAGTCTCCGGTGTTGTGCTCTTCACATTTGCCTGGAACCAAGCGCCCATTGTATCCTGGACCACACCCTACGTTTACTTCATGCTCATCATAGGCGCCCTTCTGATCGGAGCCTTCTTGTACATCGAATCGGCCGCCCAATACCCCATCCTCCCCATCTCCTCCCTAACCACCACAACCTACCTCGTCCTCGCCTGCACGGCCGCAGGCTGGGCATGCTTCGCTGTCTGGATCTACTACACCTTCCAATTCCTCGTCGTCCTCCGCACCTGGGACCCCCTCCTCGCCTCCGCCGGCTTCGCCCACATCCCCGTCATCGGCCTCCTCGCCTCCATTCTCGCCGCCTACCTCCTCCGTCGCATAACCCCATACTGGGTCCTCTTCATCTCCATGCTCGCCTTCGCAGTCGGCGCCGCCCTCATGGCCACCGCCCCCGTCAACCAGTCGTACTGGTTTAACGCGTTTTTCAGCATCTTGTTCATCCCCCTTGGCATGAACATGTCTTCCCCCGTCGCTACCGTGTTAGTTACAAATAGCCTGCCGCGAGAGCACCAAGGAATCGCGGGTAGCCTCGTCGTGACGACCGTTTTCTCGGCGATATCGATCGGGCTCGGCATGGCGGGAACCGTCGTGTCGAACGTGGGCGGCGACGGGCGGGATGTTTTGGGGGGTTATAGAGGTGCTTTTTACTTTGCGCTGGGGTTGGCCGGGTTGGGGATCGTGCTGGCGCTGGTTTCGGCTGTTAGTGATATGTTGTGGCCTGCGGAGCCGGAGGAGGGAGCTGCGTTGAGGATTGGTGGGAGGAAGGGGAAGAGGGCGGCTGTGAAAGCGAAAGCCGTCGCTTGAATGATTGATGATTTCTTCTCTTTTTTACTTTGTTCTTTGGATTTCATGAGGAAAAGAATCTGGGAAATAGGAGTTTGGGACGCCTTGGGAGTTGTAAATGGGTTGTCTGGAGACCTGGACGAGTTTTGGTGTTTATGGCGGATACCCCCTTCTTTCATCTTGCATCCTGGATTTTTTTTTTTTTTTGTTTTTTTTTTTTTTTTTTTTTTTTTTTTTTTTTGTCATAACGAAATATCAATGAAATATCATGAAATATCAAAGACACGACGGACGTGCCCCGGTGTTGCTGAGAACATCCAATCTTGTGCTGATGATCGTTGCTAGCATGGATATACCATACCATACATCGACCAGGAAAGGAAGTAGTTGGGCTTGCCTTTCCTGCCACCTCACCTGAACAAGACTCTCGAGGTCGAAAACGTGGGCAAGGTGATCGCCAGATGCGGTGAGTCCGGCGCTTCAGTCAACGATTCTCGACATGGCCAACTGGGTCTTTTTTGGACCTGGAACATCGAGACAGAGGGGCACAAGACAGGAAGCACGGTTATGAACAAGGAGTCGGGAACTTTTTGGATATCAGATTCTCGTTTTGGAGCTCGAAATGGCTGTATAGTTAAACATTTGCCCAACCCGTTTGTTTGCCCTAAACGCCAGAAAAAACAAAACGACATGATAAACAAGACCAAGAAAATTGGCTGGGGAACAGAAACAACTGGTATGAGAGCCGCATAGCGTACCAACAGAGTACAAGCCATCAGCGGAGTCCGATGAACGTGGATATCTCCCCATGAAGAAAGGGGAGCCCACCACCAACTCGCGGGCATGATGAGCACCTTTCGTCTCCTTAACGACCACCCCTGCTGAATCCACCGCCGCCTCGTCCCCTTCCACCACCCCTCGAGAAACCACCGCCGCCCCCACCCCGACTAAAACCACCACCTCCTCCCCTCCCACCACCAAAGCCCCCGCGACCACCTCCCCTCGAAAAACCACCACCCCTCGGCCCACCCCTTCCTCCCCTCGAAAATCCTCCCCGACCACCGCCACCCCTACCGCCAGCGCCGCCCCTCGAAGGCTTCTTCACCCTGGGCACACCCAACACCTTAGGCTTCGGCAGGAACCTCTCCATGGGGAGCAGCTTCTCGGAGCCGATGTAGAACTTGTCGCCCTCCTTGAACGAGGCGGCCTGGATACCCTCGGTGGGCTTGATGGTGAAGAAGACCTGGTTGATGGGGCCGAGGATCTCGTCGACCTTGCCGACGGGGGTCTTGTTCTCGAGGAAGATTTGGGCGTTGAACTGCGGTACCTTGGGGTTGATGGATTCGCAGACCATTTCGCCTTCGCAGGCGTGCATGAATTTGCCCATTTCTAGGACGGTGGCTGGCGGGCCCATGTCTCGCTGTTGGTAGCCTCCGCGGCCTGTGAAAGAGAAGAAAAAAAATGTTAGGATTTTGGTTCGGCTTTTTTTTTTCTCTTCATCCTTTTCTCTTCCTGTAGACTTTGCGATTTTGGATTAGGCGGTGGGAATTAGAAAAGAAATACATACCTCCGCCGCGAGAGAAACCACGGCCCCGTGGCGCTCCCCGAAATGACATTTTGAAATTGGATGAAAAAGAGAGACTTTCGAAAATTGACTGGTCGATAAGACTCTCGAGAGCGTCGCTCTGGTGCCAGTGGAAAAGGAAGGCTGGCAGGTTCTCTCGGCGATTGCAATGCAGGATTTGTGAGAATCCGAGTCCCTAGATTTTTTTTTTTCCTTTGCGTCGAAGTGTGAGAGCTTGGAGCGATTGGGGAGATGTGATTGGTCAGACACCGTCGGAGCGGAAAAATATAGTCCCTCAATTCTGCCCCTCCATTTTTTTTGGTACTTTGGCACATTGGTACTTTGGCCTGCCCCTGTCACCGCTTTTAATGTGGGGTCTGTCTTGTTCAGTCTTGGTTCAGGTTCTCTCGATATTTGATCTGACCTCTTGATCTCTTCAACATCTTGATGGATGAGAAGTTGCCATGCTTGAGATGAGAGAGGGTGCCCTTTCCATGGCCTCGAGTGGCTTTGAGGCCTGGTGATGTCCGAGAGGGTCGGCTGTAGTAATATCAATCCATGAGTCAACGAAACACTGCCCGGTAATTCCGCGCTGGCAATACGAATTGCGACTGCTGTGATACATAATAAACCAGAGAATTCATAATTCTAAATGTCAATGACTCGAAGATCAGGAGAGCAGCAGCAAGTAATCTTAATTTCACCTTCTTCTTCTGGCTCTTCCAGCTTGAAACATTGAAGTTGGGGTCTGCTTTTCGAGACTCTGCCTGAGTCACCGCCTCCGTTCCGCACTTAAAACCCTGGGCTGAATTTTGGCGGGGTACTTTTCACTACTTTCGACCTCGATTGCTGTGCTAAGACCTAAAAGAACCAGACTCGTCTCGAATTTGATCTTTCTACCACCTCCGCCTCAACCACCTCCCGGAAGTGCATACAACACCACTCCCGTTCCTAGCACGTACGATTTCACTACTCAATTCCTGCCAGAAATCATGGCTCCAGAGAAGAAGGCGGTAGATGCCGTCACCGAGGGCGTCAAGAAGGTCGCCATCGCCGGCGGGAAGAAGGAGAAGAAGAAGGGCGGGGCTGCTGGTGATGCTCCCCAACGCCCTCTCGAGCTACAGCCCGCGCCGGAGTTTTTGCAGCGCCGTATTGAGCTGTAGGTGTTTTCATCCTGCTCCTGGCGTCGGTGTGCTTGTTTCTCTAACAATCCCCCGCCCTTCCCAGGTTCGACCGGCTCAAGAAGAAGTACGATGAAGAGATTGCGAAGAAGCCACGCGAGCGCATCACCATCACCATGCCCGACGGCAGCATTAGGGAGTAAGCTCAGAACAAACTCGATAATACGACTCGATGTACCCCCAACTCTTTCGCCGAGATACTTACAAATATTTACTTCTTCCTGACAGGGGCACCTCTTGGGAAACCACCCCCGGCGAGATCGCGAAGGGCATCTCCAACAGTCTGTACAAGCGCACCGTCGTCGCGAGGCTAGACGGCGACCCGAACAAGCTGTGGGATCTCGACAGGCCTCTCGAGGCCAACTGCAAGCTCGAGCTGCTATCCTTCGAAGACGAGCAGGGTCAGATGGTCTTCTGGCACTCCAGCGCCCATATTCTCGGTGAGGCCTGCGAAAGGCGTTTCGGTTGCTCGCTCTGCATCGGTCCCCCGATTGAGTCTGGTTTTTACTACGAGATGGCGCTTCCTGATGGTGGTGCTGTCCACGAGAGTGATTGGAAGCCGATTGAGACCTTGGTGGGCTCTATTGTTAAGGAGAAGCAGAAGTTTGAGAGGCTTGAGCTGTCGAAGGAGGACCTCTTGGAGATGGTACGCGTGCAGAGAGACGCCATGCTCGATCAAAGGGAAGATGCTGACTTCGGGTATTAGTTCAACTACAACAAGTACAAGCAGCACATCATCAAGGACAAGATTCCCGATGGCACCGTAAGAGACCACTTGGCCCACGACAACTGCGGAATCGGAATTATTTTATTAACTGAAATTTAGTACACTACTGTCTATCGAAACGGTCCCTTGATCGATCTTTGCCGAGGTCCCCACGTCCCCGACACCGGCCGTATTGAGGCTTTCTCGATCCTGAAGAACAGCGCCTCGTACTTCGTATGCCTTCCACACCTCCGCCACCACTGTAGTCGACTGCGCCTGAGACTAACGTGGAATAGCTCGGATCTCAAGAGAATGACTCCCTTCAGAGGCTTTACGGCATCAGCTTCCGTAAGTACCGGATCCAGTGATATCGTGAGGTGTTGGTCACCCCACGACTAACAAGATTATAGCCGACAAGAAGCGCATGGCTGAGCACAAGAAGGTATATAGAGACTCCCACTGATATCTTGTTGATATTCCCGCTGACCTTCTATTGTAGTTCCTTGAGGAGGCCGCGAAACGTGACCACAGGAAGATAGGTCAGGACCAGGAGCTCTTCTTCTTCCACCCCCTTTCTCCCGGCAGTGCCTTCTGGCTACCTCATGGTTCCCGAATCTACAACACTCTCCAATCGTATATCCGAGAGCAGTACTGGAAGCGGGGTTATGAGGAGGTTCACACCCCGAAGTAAGCATATCCTAAAGATCATTGGCCCCCTCGTGGTGCATACTGACAGGAACATAGCATGTACAATGCAGATCTCTGGAGGCAATCCGGTCACTGGGATTACTACCAAGATGATATGGTGAGTTCTCAAGCCTTTTTTTTTTTTTTTCTATGCATGCGTTGATTGAGACTAACTGACCATTTTGTAGTTTGTTGTTGATGTAGACAAGACCAAGTTCGCTCTCAAGCCTATGAACTGCCCTGGTCACTGTCTTAGTACGTTTCGCGACTTGTCCGCCTTACAATCCATATGCAGGCGGTATTGACAGTTTTTGACTTTAGTGTTCGGCCACCGCGAGCGAAGCCATCGTGAACTCCCTATCCGCTATGCTGACTTTGGTGTCCTTCACCGAAACGAGGCCAGCGGTGCCTTGTCCGGTCTTACCCGAGTGAGGAGGTTCCAGCAAGATGACGGTGAGTATCGAGCAGAACTGCGTGAGTAGTATCAGACGGACTGAAATCCCTAACATGTTTATAGCCCACATTTTCTGCCGAGAGGACCAAATAAAGACCGAAATGGACGGCCTCTTCGATTTCCTCCAGGAGATGTACGGCCTTCTTGGCTTCACCTTCAAGCTCAACCTCAGCACCCGGCCCGAGAAGTACCTCGGTGAGATTGAGACCTGGAACCGAGCCGAGGCCATGTTGAAGGAGTCTCTTGACGAGTGGAAGGTCAGAACCGGAGGTGTTTGGGAGCTCAACGAAGGTGACGGTGCTTTCTACGGCCCCAAGATCGACGTCAAGGTCTTCGACTCGCTGAGACGAGAGTGGCAGGTCGCCACCTTCCAGCTTGATTTCATGAACCCTCAGTCCTTTAACCTCGAGTACGTTGTTGGAGAGGCCCCCGTGGCTAAGAAGGACCAGGATCCTAAGCCTGCGGCAGCTCCCAAGCCCAAGGTCGAGGAGGCCCCGGCGGCCGACAAGGCTGACGGAGAGAAGACTGATGGGGAAAAGCCTCAAGAGAAGGCCAAGGAGGTCGCCTACAGCCGTGAGAAGAACATGCGCCCGGTCACTGCCGGCTGCGCTCGCCCTGTCATGATCCACAGGGCGATGGCAGGCAGTATTGAGCGGTTCACTGCTATTCTCTGCGAGCATTTCGGCGGCAAGTGGCCGTTCTGGCTCTCCCCCCGTCAGATTGTGAGTGGTGCCCCTTTTCTTCTTTTTTCTAATCTTCTTTTTCTTTTTTTTTTTTGCTTCTGAATACTGACTACCCCTAGATTGTTATCCCTGTTGGTAAGGGATTCTTCGACTACGCCGAGGAGGTGCGATCCATCTTCCACAAGCAGCGCATGTTTGTCGATGTAGACACCAGCGGCAACACCCTGCAGAAGAAGATTCGCTCGGCGCAGCTCGCGCAGTACAACTTCATCTTTGGTAAGTTCCAGCCCTGGCTATTTTACCTTGTGTGTCATGGATGCTAACATGATCAACCTTCAAGTGGTCGGTGATGAGGAGATGCGTGGCCGCCAGGTGAATGTCCGATACCGAGACGACACCTCCACCCAGGACCGCGGCAAGCCCGTTCCTCTCGACGAGGCCATTGAGAAGCTCGTCACCCTTCGGGACGAGAAGGGCATGTATAACCCTTTCCCGGCGGCGGCGAAGAAGGCGTAAGTAGGGTTTGGGTGTGATATGAGAAATGCTAGATGGGGCGGTGTATGTAGGTAGTCATGGTGTTTTTAAATAAACGGAGCTTTGAGGCGTGTTAGAAGTTGTCTATTCTGAACCTCGTCAACCTGTGATTTACAACGCCCAGGTTTGACCTTCTTTATTTTCCCTCCACTACAACCATTCACCGAAACATCCCATCACCTCCCAATTCCCACCAAGTAGGGAGATCAAATTAAAAATAAAGCGATCGCATCCCGAAACACTAGGAGGCTCGTTTTCCCCCCCATTCTTCTCCTCTGCTGTCGACTAGCGAGAGCATATCTCAAGCTGCTGACCCTTAAGCCTACATCACCGATTTCTCCAAGTCCGATTCAGCATCTGTGTAAGGAAAGGGGATATCACTTATTTCATAAGACGGGTTGCCCCAGTACAAAAAGCTACATGATGCGCAATCCAAGGAATCTTGCAAGACTTTCCCAAAAAAATCCAACGGCAAGTCCAGAGCAGAGACAGAGAATAAAAAAAGAAAAAAATAAAAGGGGAAATCCGACATCATCTCAGTTTCATTTCCGCTTTCTTCCACAAAGTTTTTCCAACCTGCCCTTCCCTTACCGTCTTTCATCTATGCCCATTATTCCACACACAATCGCACGCACACAATCCGCCTCTCCCACCAAACCTGGTCCGATCCGGTCCCCTTACGGCTTCGGTACCTTGATCGTCCTGCTCGTCATCAAACACCCATGCGCGACAAACAACAACACAAGCGGGTGAACCTCCAGCAAAGTGCCCTCGCCCCACACGCCAAAGGGCAAGTTCTCGAGGATCCAGCCGTTGGCGACCCAGTAGGCCATGATGGCGTCGATGCCGAGGGTGGTCGGGATGGGGGCGCCCTCGAAGTAGGAGGATTTTCCGGTGGCGTCCTTGGGGAGGGAGGAGACGGTGACGTTGAAGCGGGCGAGGCGGACGAGGCCGCAGAGGGCGAAGAAGGAGAGGGAGAGGGCGTCGAGGGGGGTTCGGAAGCCGATGGCTGTGGCTATTGTTGCGGGGGCGACGCCGAAGGAGATCTTGTGTGAGAGGTCATGGTTAGCATTGCTCTTTACAGGTCTTTTTTTTTTTTTTTTTTTTTTTTTTTTTTTTTTAATGAGAACATTGTGGGCAGACGTACTAGGTCAGCGAGAGAGTCTAATTCTTGGCCCATCATGCTCGTCTTCTTCCGCCACCGGGCCACGCGGCCGTCCATAAAGTCGAAGAAGAGGCCGAAGGGAAGGAAGGTCAGGGCAACGTATATCAGGGTGGGGTCTTGGGGATCGCCGAGGCAGTAATGTAACGCTGAGAAGATGGACAGTATACCGCAGAGACCTAGAGTTATCTGCCTGTCAGCAAGGGCTAGGAGGGGCTGTTGTATCGTAGGATCGCAAAATGCGAGCTTGGAGTGCGAGTGCTGAGTCGCACATGGCAGCCGCGAATATCGGTGAGGAATGGCACGATCGAGAGGGGAGCCCATCTACGCGAGACTATTGGGGGCTATATGCGTACCGTTGAGGAGAGTAATAGCGTCGGCGAGGTGAAGAGCTCGAATAAGAGAGAAGCGGCCTGCATCGGCAGATAGTAGAAGCTTCTGCTTGTCAAAGGCTACATCGCGAAGGAAAAAAGTCGAAAAAGAGATTAGCCTCATGTCCCGGCTCGGCCCCTACGGCTTCAAGAGTCCCCGCGCTCCGAAGAGAGAGCCGTGGCACGCAATGTCAGGTGCGTCATGGATAGCTCACCTGGCTGAGCGGCCTGGCCGTCTTTCAGTGCGGTGCCATTGGAGTTCGCCATGGCGCCGGACCGTCTCAACATAATCCCGGAACCGGCGGTGGGGGGGAGTCGGAGAAGGCGGGGGGAAAGGGAATGGAAACGGTTTCGCGAAGATATTATATCTCTATCTATATGTGTCTGTGTATTTCTCGGTCTACTAGATGTGTCGGGTCGAGTGGGAAGAGTGAGGCCGGGATCTGTGTGTGGGTGTGGCGGTTTGACTCTCGCTTGTTGGCAACAAAATGAATCAGGACCGTAGATCGACGTCAGTTGTGTCGGCTTAGATTTGACCGCTGGTCAAGGCGTCAAGGTCGCGGGTTCGCGAAGGAATTCTCGAACGTCAAGGAGAGGGCGAAGAGAAAAAGGTTAACGCCGAAGTGAGCAAAGACAATTGGGAGGTTCAGTCCTGCGGTTGTCGGGGCTTGTTTCGTTTACGTGAGATTGATGCTGTCTGGATAAAGTTGCTTTTGGAGGGTTGAGAAAACAGAAAAAAAAAAAAAATAAAGCAGGGCCAAAATTCTTGAGCCGGCTTTGGCTGGCTTCGGAAAAATGTACATGTACCGGGGAATGGGCGCTGGTGGTTGGTTGTGGAGCAAAGACAAAGCCTCAATGATCGACCTGGGATTGGAACAACAGTGATTGATGGCAGGGTCAGAACAGGGTCAGCCGGGATCAAGCCAGGATCAGCCACACTGGACGGACACTGGTCCCCCGCTCTAGCGCTCTAGCGTCAAAGTCTTGGTACATACGATTTGGGCTGCCTTGTTGCTCGCATGTGATCTTGCCAGGGTGTGTTCAGCGTTAGCATTGGCATTTTAATCTTAATTGCTGCGCAACGTTGAAGGCTTTTGCTGGGCTCAAGAGAGCTTGCCGAACCCCACCAAGCAGTTACGGAAAACCACGAAGTACCGGTACAAACGACCACTGGAAGCCCAGCCTTTTTTCCTTTTTACTTCGTACCTGGTCATTCTTTCCCGCGGAGCTGGCAAGACTAGTCGTCGCTCTCAACAAAATATAATGGCTCACAGGACCTGGCAGAAATTTCCCCTAACTTCAATTTGATGCTCTAAGCTCTTTTCGACGCTGTTTCTACTGGGTCAGGTACTTGGTAATTCTTTCCATTTATCCTTCTTCTTTGTGCTTCCTCATGCCCGGCTCGCCACGTCGACAATCAACAAGAGTAACTTATCCGGGGCCCGAAGAGTTGAGGTCCCGAGCCTACGCCCGCCAAGCAAACCGTGCGTCTTCTGCCAAACTTCGTTCACGACAAACTGGACCCTTCATGTTTCCTTTCCAATTCCGACATCGCTATATATAATCAGCGCATCCACAGCCTCCAGCGTAGCACGGGCCCTGCGTACCTACATCCCACGAGCTCGGAGGCAGCAGCAGACGACAAAATAATCCCCGAGGGCCTGGAGCTGCGTCGGCATTGATACAATATACTAGTACCTGTGTAGTGTACACTCATAGTAGTATACCACGTCACAAAAAGAATGAAGCCGCACACTTCGCTACTCCTCCGTGTGAAGTTATTGCATGACGACACATAACTACCAAGTAAGACACTTTTTGGCTCCCTTTGGCAACCATGCACGCAGTCATTTGCTCTGTAGAGAACGACCGAGAGTGATGTAATACGTCCACCATTGTCCTTCCGACACGCGCCAAACCAGATGGACGCGGCGCAACTTGGGCATGATCAAATCTGTCCATCAGCGGATACGCCGCACCACGCTATACTACACTTACACCACTTACTAGTAGTCTTTAGGTGGAGCGTGTCTCCCTGCGGAAGGGGCGGCAATGGTATGGAGTACATCAATAACTTCGTAGCTTCGACTCAAAAGAGATTGGCCCACGAACTGTAAATTGAAACTCGACGATTGCTTTGTCCATTTGCTCGTCGAAGGAAGGAGACAAATGAATTATGTAGTATGAACACTAAATCATCGAGCGAGACACATCTTAGAGTCAAGTAAAACCTTGGGCCATCAACATTACAAGTCACACGGGTCAAAGACCAAATCAAGACATTGGCTCTCTGCTGCTGCCCAAAAAAAAGCAAGCGTCTATTTGCAAGGCTCTCAGGCCCCAATCATCTAAACTCCGCAGAAAGCAGAAAAAACATGAACCGGGCAGCTTGCCTATGCGCCGTGACAAAACCTCCTCTCCTCCCTAGAGAACAAGAAAAAGAAGGAAAAAAATAAATAAATATTATGTTCGTAGTAGTGCCGATGACGATGATGAAACGGGAGAACAAAGCCGAAAGCGTGAGAGAACGCAAAAGAAAAAGATGCGATGCAAAAACAAAGGAAAAAAGTTCCGCCTAACTCAGGTTATGTTCCGCCCAATGTTCCTTTCACAAAAACATGGGATATGTGTATATACGTGTACGAGCTCTTCAGCTCTTCATGCTGCGTATGGATATCAAGGCCATGATTATAGGGGAAAAAGATAAATACCGGCTCTGAAAAAACAGTCGAGCGTCGGTCCGTACCGAAGGGGGTATAAGATGCTTGATGTAACATGGAGAGAGAGAAGGGGGGGGGGTTCATCTCTCCCGTTCTATGCCGCCTTTTCCTCAGTTTCTCTCTGGGCCCGTGGGGCCTCTCTCTTATAACTGTTCTGTTGTGTTCTCAGGTAAATTATATGTCGTGTCGAGGCAGATTTTCCTCTCTACCTCGAGACGATCAATGAGAAGCCGTCAACCCACGAGCCGCATGTGCCGGATACACCGGCGACGTTGTAGCCGCTTGGGGGTATTAGTGTTTGTCTGCATCGAAGATTTGTTAGCACTTTCTTTTGGTTCCCGTAGCAAATACAGATGGCCACCGGGAATGTTTCTGGTCGACTTACGGTGATCCGCCCTGACTGTTGCCAAAAATCGGCGACTTCCTCCCCACGCTCGTCAGGATCTGGATTCCATCTAACCACGCCCCGGACCTCACATGGAAACCGGTCAGGTACTCCCCGCGCCGGATATCTGTAAGCCAACAATTTTGTTTAGTAAACCACATCCCGGGGGGGAACACCAGAAAATTTCTCGTGGGGCCAAGAGCTTACCGAATTCGAAAATATCACCCCCGGGCTTCCCGCCCTTCTTCCCAAACATCTCCACCGACCCATCATCGAAAATAAATTCCAACCCATCCACAGCCTTCCCATGAAACACAACAATCTTCGACACAACCCTACTCTGCCCCTTCGACTCCCTCGGCATGAACACAACCTCCTGCGGCACGCTCCCCTTGAGCCTCGACAACCCCACCTTCTGCCCGCGGAAGCCCAACCGGCCCGTACTCCCGAGCTTGACGGCCGACTCCTTGGAGCAGAATGCCTTGAAGTCCGGGATGTCGACGCTGCCCCCGCCGTACGACTTGGCGCACACCTTAAGCTTAGTAACACGTTTCCCTTCCGGGACGCGGGCCCGGAGGTCTTGCTCGCTTAGGACGATCTGACGCTGCGGTATGCCGTTTTCGACGGGGTACTCTATCCACGTACGGCAAACGTCGTCGCCATCGGTGAACACTTCGAGGAACGAAATGCCCGTGGTGGCCATGATCGCCACGCTATTATTATCGACAGGGTACGTCTGGACGCTGCTATCCGGGTGCAGCACGGGATCGTTCGGCAGCCTGAAGCACGGATGGCTCCTGAACCGGAGACAATCGAGCCGGTGCCATTTACACTCGTCCTCCATAGCCACGGGGCCGCCCCTAGACCGAGTCCGCGTGCAGTACGCCTCGCGAGCCACGAACGACCTGTTGAGCGTAACGTAATCCCGGAGCATAACCCCGCTCTCCTGGTGCGGGCAGCCGAAAAGGTGGCCCACCTCGTGGAGGTGCGCGCCGATGCCGATGTTCGCCGCCTCCCACGAACTCCCCGCCTGGTTGCAGTCGTTGGCGACGTGATTGGTATCCGTCGGAGTGCAGTCCGTAAACGCCGGCACCACCTCCTCGAAACTGGCGGGGTAGCTCTGGAGACAGTGTGAGCCGAATACGGCAAGTTGCAGATTGGCCCCCGCCGAACCGCCGAGCGCCGCGTGACCCCGGATGGTCTTGGCTTCCGTGTCCCAATGCGCGTCGAGGATTAATACGCTGACGTACTGTTTCTGGCCCGGTAGCGGCTTGAAATAATTTTTGACGGCTTCGGCGGCAATGTCGAACAGGGCGTTCTTCTTCGTTGCCTTATTGTATTGCTGGGCCTTGTCGAGGTCCCGGATCTCCTCGACCGTCTTGTCTGTTCGGATAATATGCACCTTCGCCTCCGACCGCATCGTGCAGAGATCGGCGTCGCGGTAGGTCGAGCTCCCCAGCGTCCACTCCTCTTCGAACCGGAACGCCCGCCTTCCCAATCTATTCCTAAACATTTGTTCCGCTGTAAAAGCTTGCCACAAATATGCCGCCATTCGAAATTTCCGCACCGCGAGATCCAGATCGTTCCCTTCTCTCTCGATTCGCGCCGGCATCGCATCGAACGTTTCGGGTGAGTCTTTGGCCACGAGGATGGCAAGCTGTAACGGCGGAGAGCTCGTGGGAGGCAGCATGTGCAATGTGAGGCAGGAGACGTGTACGGGGGCGGAGGATCGAAGCTTGGGGTTCGTGAACTCGAGGCGTATCCGGTTGGCGCCGGGTTGGAGGTAGACGAGGGCCTTGAAGTGGGAGCTGCATACTGGCCAGTTGACTTGGGGGAACGAATCGTCCAGTCGGGTAACGCTGACGGTGCCGTCAATGGCCTGCATCGCCGGATCGCCAATTGTGCCGTGGAGTAATATCACTTTTTGGTAGACCTATGAGGTCGGACATAGCTGGTTAGCCATCATTAAAACAGGCACAGCGAAATCATGTGAAGCTCCCCGGCTCCTCCCAGCACATCGCCAGAAAAAAAAAAAAAAAAAGAAAAAAAAAGAAAAAAAAAATCTATCCTCACAGACATACCCAGGCATTCTCGCTAATATTAGAAATCCGAGGGGCATACTGGGACAGCGGCACACTTGGTTTCCTATTCAAAGGTGGGTAGTTGTATCCCAGTCCACTCATGCTCGACACGCTGTTTCTAATGCTCCCCGGCGCCGAATGGGAAGTGAGGGGAGGTCGTGGCATTGCCGGCGAGGGAGGAGCGAGAGAGTCTTTGCTATCCGGCAGGTTTAAGGATGGGTCTGAACAACTGGTGACCGAGGGCGGCGTAAGCGAGCCGGTTGTGGGAGCGGTCCCATGGCTGCCGCCCGCATCACTAGACGTATCGGTCGAAACATCGGTTCGGAAGCTCGCTCTCGACCGCCGCCTTAATTCTCTGAAACTGAATAGGGAGGGAGCCATGGCAGGCCCCAAGGAGTTTGAATTAAAGACAGCTTTGCTGCCTTTTTGCACTTGTTGTCAGTCTCAATCGAAGGGGACTCTACTCGCCGCCCGGCGAGCTACTCCTAAGAGAACCGGATCGTTTCGGCTCCGATATCGAGGTATTATAGTAAGCGGCGCAGACACAGCTCGACATTGGACCCTTCGTTTCTGTGTTTCTGTTTCCTTTCTTTTTTTTTTTTTTTTGTCCCCCTTTCCTTCTCTTCTCCGGGCCGGGTGGTTGTTGTGTCACTTTTGTCTCCTCGCTTGGGGAAAAGGGAAAGACGAGGCTCTTTGGACTTTAGGGGAAGAATGTCAAGAAAGGGAAATGAGAGAACAGGTAGTAAGTATTGACGGATCTACCGCAGGCTCGTATTACATGGCAGTGTGGGGGGGCAACCTCGCAGGATGGTGGCGCTCATGTCGTAAAGAAATGGACGAATGCATTCGGGGCTCGGAAGTCCACTTGTGCCTGGCAGCTTCCCTATTCCAGTAGTTCCGGGTGGGTTCAATGATGTTGCAGCGACACTAAATCCTGTTTCTCCAGTGTAACTTGTCCACAAGCTAATCAATTTGATCAATTCATCAGCAATAGCAACAAGTTTGGCAAAAAAAAACGTCAATAACTCAACGTTATTACATCAATCCGGGACTTTGAGGGGCAGCGAAAGATGTCCAAATGTTGTTACTTGCTAATATGATTAAAGCATGGGCCCAATTGGTGACCTTGGCTGTGGAGAGTGCTAAGATCCATCGATCCCCAAAGTGGACATTTCGAGAAATGGCGTGTGCAACTAAGCTCGTATACGGTACTCGAGGACATGAACTTGGGTACTTTCGCGCTTTGGTGTCTGAAGCTTGCAAGGCGAAGTATTACTTTTACCCACTATGCTACTCCGTAGGAGGAGGTACAGGGGTTGCAATGCTTCGTGTTCAAGTTCCCAGACTGCGAAACTGGTCCAGTGAGGAGACGAACTCGTATCCGGCTATATTTCCGGATCAGTTTCTTTGATTCTAACTTGTACAGCCTGTCTTTCAGCCCATGAGCAGAGACGACTTTTGGCCAGGCTCTGTATGTATGTCCTCGAGTTCGAAGAAGAAGAAAATTATGAGGACACAAAGTTGGGAGACTTATCCCTCGATGGTGTGTGTGTGTGCTGGGGAGCGGATTGGTAGACGAGGCTTTCGATGCTGCAATGACAGAATCGATAACCGAGAGTCCTTTATACAGCTAATAATAACAGCGGGAGCCAAGGATACCACCGTCCACTATGCATGTCGGGGCAGCACAGCACCCAAAGCGACATAGTGGCTGACAATCGACCGACAGGATCAGATCAGCCATCATTACCAGGCTCGGCTGCTGTCGTCCTCCGTATAATCCACCGTTGATCCATGCACACCGCAGTCCAGGCCCTTTTAGGCCAGGCTGTCTGGGCAACGGTGCAACCCACAAAGGTTGACGTGCGATCCTATGCAGGACACTATGAGTATTTTAGATGCTTTATGGTGTACGAAGTACTTCGTACTTGGTAAGGCTCTTATGATGAGGCTTGTTCCAGCAGCGGGAATGGTGCGCTTGCACTATTGTTGTGTGCCTGCAGTACTCAGGCATAAAATTGTGGGTAGAGTGGAGTTTGATGTTTCTGTATCCTGTACTTAGTAAAATCTAAGAGAGCAGAGAACATGACGTTTTGTTGTCAGGTATGAATGAGTCCCTCAAGGTAGATCGGCCAAGGCCCAATGTCCTCGCAGTACGCGTCGCCTGCAAGAATATACATCGATCGAGCACATCATCAAAGCCCGCTCAGCTTAGCATCTTGAACATCAACATTGACATTGGCATTGGAAGAGTTGATTAACGTTTTCAGTTTTTGGATATTTCTATTCCAATGTTCTCTTTAGCTTCGAGATATGCCCGTCATCGGGGTCATCCTGGCCTTGGCCTGATCTTCAACAGTCCTTTGGGTCCTGACATCAGGTATAAAATCAGATCACATTTCAAGTTTTGCCTCGGGATTTCCAATGAAACGCAAACGTCAGATCCTCAATTTCCTGTTCTCCATGTCGAGTACTCTGGTACGTAAACAAGGATCTATGCACAATTAATGTATTGACACAGCTAAGAATGAAATAAGCATTAGTTTAATGTTATGTTACGTTATGACGATCTCGCATTAGACTCGATGACCTTGACTTCGACTGGTCCACATCAGTTGAGAGAATTGCAAGAAACCTGTCTAAACTATGACGTATGCATCCAGACGGCGGCTTGACAATTTCGATGCCATTGACGCCAACATCTACATCAGCTGAAAATATGCAACTAATATCAATAGCAACTAGCAAGGACCAGATTTTGCTCCTCCATGTAATTCTCCGTGGACAATGTCAATCAATCCTCTGCCTATGTCTACACGCGAGAACTATTCCCAACCGGGCACACCACCACATTTTATAAGTTAGGAGACCCTCGATCAGCTCCCTTCTTGCGTCTTGGAGACAACTCCACGCCATGATAAGCCCCGTCCTGGCACGCCAATTCAGCTTGAGCTTCGGCCCCTAGCGTGGCTCGCCGCTATCCTGCTAGAGCACGTTCCTGTCGATCCAATGCCCCCATGCAGTTCCAGGAAAGAAAGAACAAAATCAAGGCTGTGGTTGCCAACACAACGTGGATAAATTGGCCAACCCCATCACTCCCACGCGGTGGATAAAATGAAAGCAGGATTGATCTAAAACTTCCCTGTTTCCTTATCAACTGGTGGGGAATCGGCACTTTTTCGCTCCCCGTCTCCCATGATCCCATCTCCCAACCCCACGGAGCGCAAGTCATTTTGTAGAAATCCCCGATCCGTCGGTCGAGAGGTCGCGAAACAGAACTGGGCAAGGCGCACTCACGCATCACGAACGAGGAGACTGCAGATTAAGCCGGTAGAGTTCCCTCGAAAAAGCCTCTCCGGGTCTCGATCAGCTGCTTCCAACCTGTTTGGATGGAGCTCGTAAGAGGTTCCCTCTCAATTTTCACAAGGTAAGGAATAATCCTCTCGCGACTTCCCTCCGCAATGGCTCTATCGTCAAGATACAGGAAAAAAAAAAAAAAAAAAAAAAAAAAAAAAAAAAACCTTCGGCCGAGAAGCTCGGGCAACATTGAACACTGCGACCGGTTGCCAAGTAGGCATCAGAGCGCTCAGAGTGTTAGATTGAAGTTTTGGTTCCTGTGCAGAAAGTGAACAAGGGTAGCCTGAACAAGTCTTTCTCTTCTTCTTCTTCTTCTTCTTCTTCTTCTTCTTCTCTTCTTCTTTCCTTTCTTTTTTCTAGCAGATTAGCATCAATTTCAGTCTTGCGATTCTAAGTTGAAAATTGCCGACTCACTGCAACTAAATGTCGTGTTGTCACCGACTCGAGTCATTGAAAGCCTATGTTGAAGCTGAAAATCAACGTTCGTATAGGACTTGAACTCAATGGGCATTATGAGGCAGAACAGTGAGAACCACTGGTGGTGAGGAAGAGCAACATTGGAGTTTCCCCCCCGGCCATGTTGTTGGGAAGGCGAGTTCACCAGTCTAGTTTGAAGCTCGACACCAATGTAGATATCTCGGAAGGCTGTTGACGGTGCTCGCCGGCCGGTCCATGGCGCGTGAAATTTGACCTTGCTCGTAGCCTCATTGTTCGGGGTCTGAAGAAAGACGGTGTCTGGGGTTGCGGGAGAATAAAGAACAAAAGGCTGTTATAATAATTACAAGGCGGAGCTTCACATTTCTCAGACAAACTATTGGAGTTTGTGAGCGGAAATGCTGAAGATGACACTTCTCGATAAGCGCTAAGGCTGCTCCTAGAGAGTCGAGGGGAGTTCGATTCGATAAGAGTGCAGGACATAAATGTTACTCAGCTTCTATGGTCCATCGCTAATATCACAGAACAGGCTCGTTCTTAATAGCCAGGCATTCACGCCGTGCCAGCTGCACCTTGGTCGCCCTGCAGGATGCAAGCCCACTGCACTATCTTCAGGGATAACCTTCCAGCGCATTGGAACCCTCGGCGCCTCATAAAACACAGCCATTATGCGCAACAAGTTCTGTGCATCCATTGTGACGGTCAAGAGCGAGCCAATAGACAAAACTTGCACGGTGGTTTGGAAAAAGAGCCTTGGATCACGACCGTGTTAGCATGTTCCTCTCCGTATCAAAAGCCTGATCTTGAGACGTTTACTTTGTAAAAGTGTATGTCCATCCCGCGTACTTCGTACTCTGTCGTCCAGGCAAATGAAAGGGGTCCTGGTCGGAGGGCTGCAGGGATGTAAATTGGCCCGTAGAACCCTTGTCTAGGCAACTGGTTGCTAGCGGGATGACGGCGGTTTGTCTCGACTGGTGAAATGAAGCAGATGACTCGGAAAAGGATGGACACTGATCTTTGTGTGGTGTGAATCAAGTGCTTCGTTCTCTGTATAAGTGGACATCAGTATCGTCTTGGTATTATTACCACACCCTCAGCAAGCATCCCAAGCCAGGTTCAAACCTCGAGAATGGATCGCAGATCTCTGTTCCCAGGGTCACTTCACAGTCCTCATAGATTAAGACACGAAGGTCCCGAATATCTTTCCACTTCTCTATTTTCCCCGGTATGCCGTCCCTTCACCGTCCCGATAGTTGCGTCGTACTTGTATATTAGGCTGCGGTCGAAACATCATCCAACCTATTAAAGCATCAAGGAGCTTTTACTTTGAAACTTTCTTAACATCACTCAGCCGTCCCGCCCTGCCGGCAATCGTAGCGGGGGCTCTAGTTTTGAATCGCCTTGTATGCGACAGCTGTATCACTGTCATAGACTAATTACCCGTGCAGAGCGAGCGAGCCGACACGCAAGTCCCTGCTGTCCCTTGCATGACTTCCCATTACGCAGGCCGCTGGTAGTATATTTGAAATGTTATCATGATCGCTGCTCAAAGACCCGGCGGCTCGTGAAGGGTCTTTTTGGAGAGCGAGTCGGAGCCTCGGGGGGCAGTTTGATGTGGACATCGATTCGTACACATGGGCACAATCTGCCCGTTTTACACTGTCGGAATCGCTCGTTGCTCCCTCCGTGCTCCTCAAGTACATTCTGAGATGTCAAGAGCAGACAAGTACTTCGTCAATGTTCACACGAAGCCCGGGATAGCCGCCCATTATGACGCTCTACGAAGTAGGCATGAGTGTTATTGACCCGCTTTCCACTAAGAGAAGAAGTTGATGCTGACCGGGGCTCTGAGGTATGAAGGACTGTGAGATTTGAGTGTAGACTTTACTTCGGAGAAGGCATTATTAAGCCATTGGGACTCCAAAAAAGGAAAAGATAGAAAAATAGGGGGAAAGGATCGAGATGAGCATCTTTACTGACTGGGCTTCCATGACCTGAAGGCTGAAGGAGATGGGGTCTCAGCCCTGGGAGAGTCGCACAAGGAGGCAGCCCTGTTCGCAGGAGCCGAGAACACCAGCGATAGGCTAAGAAGCTGACTTTATCGAAGATGTTGAAGTAACAAAAAAAGAGAAAGGGACTTTGCCCTGCAGGGATGCGGCCTCCTCATCGAATGGTATCTCTCCCTGGCCCGGTAATTTACGCAGAGCCGGGGGCTTTGCGTTGTTACAAGGTCTTAATTGGTTGTTTGTCCGGGGTTAACGAGCGAGTCCAGGCCCAGTGTTGCATCTTGGCTTTGCTCATATCCACCATTCTCAAACAATGGATTGCTGGTATCTTTGTACGAAGTCTTGGTACATGTAAGATCGAGTGGCGCAAGTTACGAACAGTGGTGATGTCAAGTGGAAAGTAGTCTTGGCCAGTTAGGCCATTTGCCAATGAATCAAGAAGAAGCTGGGGCAGTTGCTAAGATTTCGCTAACAGTTTTAGGGGCTGCCCAGATATTGAAGGAAAGAAGTGGGCATCACCTTGAAGAGGCCGGGGGATTACGCCGTCGCTCGGTCCCATCCCTTGAAGGCTTCGACGGCACAAAATTCCAATTAACCATAGATCCCAAGTCAGAGTTGTGTGCTTGTACAAAGTATCAGTACAGCCGACTTCGAGAACCACAAGCGCTTGGTCACAGCATATGCGAGATGCAGTTTCGAATGCCGCTGTCGTCTCTTGTCTCTTCTCGGCGACAGCATGCAAGGAAGCTCCCCTCACCGATTAGCAGCAATTTGTACCTGCGTGCAGAAGACTCGCGTCAATGTCGAGGAAGTGTGTCGTCAGGGCAGACTGCTACTTCACGGCGGAACAGGCAGCACGGGCAACATTGAAGGGATAATGCAATACCTGAGGCAGTGTATGTCGATCAACCGACTCTTCACTCTCCGTCATGATCACACAAGCGGGTCAGTCCCGGTTTCCACAGGAATCGAATGTCAAGTTCAATTTAGCAGCGAGATATATTACCGGGTGTGTGAACAGTGAGCACCACCTCGTAGGGTCTTGGACCGCCCCCAAATGCTCCGGGAATTGATGCTCGGTTGCTACTTGTCCATATTTGATATAATACACTGCTTGCTGCAACTGGCACCTGGGAAATCACATTCCCACAATCTGTGAGACACCGGTAATTCTGGGCCGGAATGGAACTTGCTTGGACCCTCTGGTGAACCCTCCACTTTGGCACTTTGGCACCCTCTCAGCCAGGCATTGGTGAAGCAACGAAGCAACGCTGGCGATTAGCGTACCACCACCCTACTGGGTGGCACCTTCCACCCCCATCCAACAGTGCAAGAAATTTTCACCTCCACTTCCAGTTTCTAGTCTCCAGTCTCCAGTCTCCAAAGTACAATTTGAACTGTATCGCTGGTGCATGGTCTCGGTGCCTTTTTTTTTTCAACCTTGGATTTGACGTGCATGTACAATCGAAGCTTCAGAGTTTTCCGATTCTCCATTTTTTTCGTTCGAGAGAATCCCGCCATCCCCGGTCGTATTGTGCCGGATCAATCATTAATCGCCGCCCATTGAGCTCTGCACGTTACTCCAGATACAATACCTATACTGACACAAAACGGAAATTGCCCTTTGGTCAGCTTACCTCTTCACCCCCCTCCCCTATCCTCGGTAGCCGCCCACCCACTTCACCACCATCATTCACACCAAGATTTCCGACGCACACCGCGGTGGCCCTCTTCGATTGTCGAGAAAACGAATGCCTCGGCCGTCCGTAGGTGCGGCCCATGTTACAATCGCAGCGATGGACAATATGCACTCGCAGCAGAGTATGAACATGTCGTCGACATGGCAACAGCAGGATTCAGTCGCAGATAAGGTGTTGAAGAGGGCAGAAGTTAGCAAGGTTAGTTACGACAAGAACTCTCACCCTCACCGAACCAAGGGGCTATGAGACGAATGCGCTCGAGAACCCCCACCCATTCACTCTACGAAACACCTCGTCTGCCCGCCATATATCTCTAGGCCAACTCCTTTGCACTTTACTCCTGGGACAATCGCCGGCTGACACAGGTGCCTCGTTTGCGTGCACGCCCCGTTCATAGATTGCTCGACGACTACAGAACCGATTAGCGCTCGCGCAATTCAAAACCAAGCATGGCTGGGAAGATCTCACGCTCGATACCATCGAACCCAAAGTCGAAGAGGAACGCAGGCGGAGGAGGCTAATCGAGGGAGACGTCCTTTCCGACTCGTCCAGCAGCACATCCGATATCTACCCCTCACGAACTCTCATGAGCTCGCCTCTTAAAGCCCCAGGCCCAATGTTCTCGGACAGCATCGGGCCCAGCACAGGTCACCGAAAACGGAGTTATATGGGTTCGCTAGAGACCATTGATGATCTTAGTCCCAGCAAACGATACCGCCTCTCCCCCTCGACTCATAAGTCGTTCCCTTCGGGACATGCGACGTGGAAGGATATGCACCAACTAGCACAGTCATCGCCAATTAAGCCAAGGCGGCAGCAGCATTTTACGACTCAGGCGGGGCCAAATGTTTCGTTCCTCACATCTCCCGCTCTCCTCTTGCAGTCAGATGATGAAGATGACATGTTACCAATGCATTCGTTCAATGTTGGCCCTCGCTCATCTCCTCCTCGAACACCGCCCATGCGAAGCCGCCCTCTCAACGGACGCCGCAGTAGAGAAAGGTTGAACGGGAACGACCTCGGTGGTGCCGCAAAGACTGGTGAAGAAGGTGCCGATCTACTACTTTACCTCGCGGCCTCACCTTCTCCTGCTGTTGGTTCTCGGAGGAACATGGAGCCCCCGTCCACACCCCCGCCCAAGAATAATCTTGCTCTTCCATCATCGATGATGGTGACGCCGGGAGGCAGCGGCCTTTTCCCCAACACCCCAGGGCAAAACTTTGACTTCTCCGATTTCGTCAACATTACACCAAGCCCGGCGCAGAAGCCTTGGAAGACGCCAGTCACTCTTTCATCTACGAGAACGCCGCTCAGCGTGGCGAGGCGGCGGCTAACCTTTGATGAGCCACTTGTTTAAAGTTGTTCCATATTATCTTATCACCCCCTATACAATATCTGTTAGGGTCTGTCCTTAATCCTTCATGCTATCACGACAGCCAGCCGCAGACCGGCTTTACTTGTTTATCGGTTTCTTGTTCCGATTGTTTTTGCCTTTCTTGTCTTTTGGATCACTTGCTCTATTGGACGAGCTCCTCTTCCTTTTGTTTCTTTTTTCTTGGCCATACGTTCTTCTTGGACATTCCACTTCTCAACCTTTTTTCCTTTGTCACCACTACACTATTTGCTGATTCTTTGGGGGAGTTTTCTGGCGGCGGGCTGGCAGGCGTTGACATTGCTCTACTAGACGCTCGACGTACGGCGGAGGAGGGACATCGGATTGCATTCATGTCTCGTCCTCCCTTTCTCACTCCCCCCCCAATCTACTATTGTCTGCCCGCAGCGGCATCTTGCACATATTCCGATCATACATATTTGCGCACTGCATGTTTCTGGTTTCTTCTTTTTTTGGTTATATTTACGTTGCGGTATTTTTTCACTTTATCCTAATTCCTATCCCGACACACGAGGTGGCTGGGAACATGGGCAGAATTTGGGGGGGATAGCGACCATGGCCAAAGGAGCTGAAACGGATTGACCGGGCCCAAATTTCGACGACCCCCCAAAACACCCGACTTTTTTGGGGATCTTATGACAGAAACCCCACAGGAGGACCGACTCTGGAATGGAGTGGAAACGAGGGAAGGCGAAGCAAATTTTGCTCGGGTCCAATTAACGATCGATCGGATGCAAACGCAACGACCAAGATGGGCATCGTGGGGTGGGGTTCGAGTTCCCCGAGCCAGAGAAGTGGGAAATATGGCGTTTCCTTGGGTCTCGCCACTTTACGCGTCAAAGAGACGCGTCTCGACACGCGAATCTACCCCCGAATGCCGGGAGGAGACGCGAATTTTCGCGTCGCGCTTTTTTCTTTTCTGCATGTCATTTATTGCGACTTGATAGCCAATCAGATTCCTCCGTTCCGAATTACTTTGTCTCTTTTGGTATTTTGTGAAGTGAAGACTTGCATTAGCGGGGAAGTGGAGGAGGTCGTAAGGCTGGAAGTGACCTGAGATTTGGCTTCATTTCTTCCTTCTTTCTTGGTAGCTGCAAGGGATTTTGTAGGGTACGCTTCTTGTCGGCGTTTGTTCGGTGGGAGGAGATTATTGGAGAGGGATCGAGCTGAGGCTTATTATAATCACAGCTTCCAAAGGGCGGCGAACATGATTTCTTGTGCCTGAAAGGAACGAACAATTTCCCTCCGCCACACTCGAGTATCCTCGCCCTCTCCTCTCCAGCGCGAATCTCTGATATACCACCACCACTCAGAGTAGGACAAGCCCTTCAGGAGGTCAAGGTTCTCTGGCGTCGTCGAAGCCACCATCTCCATCTCGAGACCTGGTGCAATCGGACCCCAGGATTCTTTAACACGGATGGTGGCGTATCCATCTTTGACATGGCCAATTGGGAGAAGATAGCACCCGCTGCACTTGTTGTACTTAACGTAGATTTTGGATCGATTCGGGCTTCCACCTGCCGCTTCAACAATGTAACACTGGATTGTCGGATTGAGGCAGATGTGTCATTCAATATATTTTGGAGATGCGCAGGTAGTTGTGGGGACGTGCAGCTGAGACAGAGAGAGCCAACGTGCAGCTCGGGAATGAAATTCAGCGACATGGCGGCATCGCTTGGCCTTGGTCTTTCTTGCATGTTCTCTGTCGAAGGGTGGCGATCAATGGATTGTTGACCCGGGACGAAAGGTACACCAATGATTGCTTTTTTTGGTCGAAGTAACAGAACAGGAAACGGGAATTGTTGGGCGATAGCATTTTTCATGTAGGAAATAGGGAAATGGTTTGTATGAAGTAGATAGGATATGCGATTTTGTTTGCTTTTTCCAGGGTACTACAAGCAAGAGTGACGATCTTCGGAGGATGGAAGGAAATGCACGGCGCGGAGCACCGTCTCTTGACCGATCCCGGCAAGCATGTGGGCGATGTTTCGTTTAATAGCCCAGATCGGTCGGTTCGGGAGTGGAATGGAGGAAGCCAGAAGGTTTGAAAGTGCTTGACAATGTGCTCTCGACATGGGCTAGTTGTATGACGAAATACCCAGGACGAAATGGGTCGTCACAGGAGGACGAACTTGATGCTGTTTTCGCAGAACTATTCGGAATGTATACTAAAAGCTAGAGCACCCGCCAGCTGACGCTAAACACCTACGTCAATGTCAGAGTCTTCTTACTTGTGGCATTTGTCTCCGTTATTATTGCCCCCGGCGATCAACTGGGACATGCTCGTTCCTCTGGTGTGCCTTGGTCGGTTAGCAGTCTTCGCGTGGAAGCAGCGGTTACGGGACCCTCTCGGATTGGGTCCCGTCGTATCGCAGTACGTCCTTGACAATTCCATGCCACGGTGAAGAGCACAAGATGCTCATGCCCTAGGTGTCCGGGCAGCTATTTGGCACAAACCCCCCATCCCTCGCCAGCATCGACCCTCGTCGGAACATATTGGAGAATCTGGCCTCTTGTGGATCTAGCAACAAGTCTGCACTATCCGCTATAGAACAGGAGACCGTCACTTCTGGTACAAGAACCGGCCGCTCCAGCTTCGACGACGGGAGAAGGATGCCTGCTCTGGTTCTCTTGAGAAAGGGAGGGGGTTCCGGTTTCATGCATCCACTAGTCTTCAAAATATATTAAAGGATCTGCTAGAGGAATCACAGGAATGTTGCTGGCCGTACATGGGACAACTCCAGGGCAAGACACTGGCCTTCGAGGATAGAGATGGAAGGTGGACGCAAATACAAGGAGACATCCGGCCGAGGTCAACAGTTTCGTCATCGTTCGCTTCCCCGAATCATCGACGAAGGTACAAATGAGAGCAGTGCGAAGAGGCGAGGTAGGAAGTGTTCTCAAAAAGTTGAAAGTTAAACAGAAACTCGTCAGCGCGTGTGTGGCGTCACGTCAAGTGCCTGCCCAAGATCGCTAGCGGCCGGATCACAATGTGGGTCGTTGCCATCGGAGCGGCGGCCCGCACAACACGTGCCAGGTCCTAGCAACGTCACCTCAAGAAATAGACCGAAGAAGGCCTGGATGATTGAGCAAAGGAAGAAAGGAACGCGGGGCAAGCGTAAGGAGGGAGAGTAAGATGAGTCCGGTAAGTAAAGATCGAGACATATGAAAGAACAAGTACGAAACATGAGAAAGTAACGCCCTGCTAGTTGAGCAAAGACGCCGATGACGATACTGCGCGCTCCTCGAGCTCTTTATTCGGCGAGTCAACCATGGCCTTGCCCTGGAAATTCGGCTATCTCAAGCTCGATTGTGGATTGTGCACAGTGAGTCGTGGGCTGTTCTTGGCGGCATGAGAATGCCTGTTTTATGCACCTCCAGCAAAGTATAAGAAATCGAAGCTGGCAGCCGGCCCATTGGCCTAATACTTTTTGGACTATACCGTGACCAGGACGGGTTGAAACGCGCCCTCTCAACGCCGGCTGTCCCCGTCGCGCGTCACTCTTCATGCCATTGTGGACGTGGATCTGGGTCTTGTGTAGCCTGGCTGTTGGCAGCGATATGACGCCTGGTCGTGGCATGCGGCACTTTACCCCGCCATGGATTTGAGGCGAGTAGAGTCTCGCCATCGTCCCAGAAATGCAGCCAGGCACTGATTGGATGACCGGGCTAACCAAGCCCACCATGCCAGAAGCGCAGCCTGGTCCATCTATCCAAGCCCAATTGAAATTTGTCGTCGGGCTTCCCCTCCCACTCCATCCAAGCCTCACAGACATTCATTATCGAGCAATACGAGCTTATCCAAATCCAACGGACATTCATGGCCGAGAAACACCAGTCGATCCAGCGTCGGCTCTCACCAACCCCAGAAGAAAGCTCTCTATAGGACTACCAACAAGACTAACTGCGGTGCCTCGCCATGGCTGACCCACTTTCTGTAACCGGATCCGCGGTCGGCATCGTGTCTCTCGGTCTTACCGTCTCGAAGGGACTAATCAAGTACATCGAAGGCGTCAGGGGCAGGAAATCGAACACTGACAACACCGCTAGAAAACTCAAATGTCTTCTTGACTCGCTCAATGTTATCAACAGCCAGATTTCCGACCCCAATTTCCGACCCAAGCAAGATCTTCTCAGTAACATTGAGAGGTCAATCCAAGACTGTAAAGACTCGATCGGCAAGCTTGAGGCCGAGAATAAGAAATTCCTGGACCTTCCCATGGACAGCATCCCAACCGTCGCCCGCGCCGGGCTTCGCCGTGTGGCATATCCCTTTAAGGAAGAGACGCTGAGGAAGCTCGAAGGCGATGTTGAGGCGGCTATCTCGTGCTTGAAATTGGCACTAGACGCCCTACAGAAGCATGATAGAAACGAAATGAAGTTATTACTCGACCTAGTCAGAGCAGACCAGATCTCATCGGACATCCGCGACTGGCTAAAAGGGCCTGATGCCTCCATTGAGTACAATGCCGCCTGCAAGAAGAAGCAGGAGTACCCTAGTACAGGGCTCTGGTTCGTCAAAGGAAAGCCGTTTTCCTCGTGGCTCGAGAGTTCCAATTCCCTCCTGTGGCTCAACGGCTTCGCCGGTAGTGGCAAGTCAGTGCTGTGTTCTACAGCTATCCAGTCCACCTTCAGCCACCGGGGCGCCAACAAACGCATCGCCATTGCCTTCTTCTTCTTCGTCTTCAACGATAAGTCAAAGCAGGATGTCTCCGCAATGCTCCGTGCCCTCATCCTGCAGCTGTCAACCCAATTGGAGGATCGTGGTTCTCTCCTAGAGCTGCACAACCGCTACCGCAACGCTTCACCGCCCGACGATGCTCTTGTCGAGTATCTTCACCAGCTCATCAGCATGTTTGACCACGTTTATATCCTTCTAGACGCACTAGACGAAAGCCCTCGGGACAAGTCCGGGAAGCGGAAAGATGTCCTTAACATCCTCGTCGAGATGCAGAATTGGGCGGAGCCCGGCCTTCATCTGATGGTTACTAGTCGCGACGAGCCTGACATTCGCGAAATGCTAAGTGCTCCTAAAGATAAAATAATTTCGATGTGGGACAAATCCGTCGATCACGACATTGCGACGTTTGTCTCCAAGCGTCTCAGAGATAGCAAGGAATTTCGAGTCTGGGAAGACGATTATGACAAGATCGAAACGGCATTTACCTGTCGTGCGAAGGGCGTGTACGTATTTCCCCGTTTCCTTTTGATCTACAGGAATTTACTGACCCTGCCATTGCAGATTCCGATGGGTGGAATGCCAATTCAAAGCCTTAGAGAATTGTCCACAATCCGACGACGAGCTCGATGAACTTTTAGATTCCCTACCAGACTCGCTGGATGAGACCTACGAGCGAATACTTCTAAATATTAACCCGAGATCGGTGAAATATGTCCAGCCTATGTTAACCTTACTTTGCTACGCCAAACGCCCGTTGACGGTACCCGAGCTTCGTGACGCCATTGCCGTGGACCTGAGCGAGCCGCCTCAGTTCAAACCAGGACGAAGATTAAAAACGGTTGACGCGATCCGCCGAATTTGCCCCGAATTTATCGAAGTTGACGAGCAACCCGATGGAGAGCCGCCCACCGTACGCATCGCCCATTTCTCAGTCCAGGAGTATCTTGAATCGGGACGACTTTCCAGCGAGATCGCCAAGTTCAGTGTTCAAACACAGGACGCCCATACTCAGATCGCCTCTATATGTCTAACATACTTGCTGAAGCCTGAGTTACATAAATCGATAAATCCGAAGGAAGAGTATCCACTGGCACTATACGCTGCAAGAACCTGGCACGAACATCTCCTTGATGGATATAAAACTGATAATTTTGCGGAATGCCAAATTATGTGCCTGTTTCAGAATACCAAAGCATTTGAGAGTTGGGTTACTATATGGAATATTGACGAGGAGGATGGCAAGAAGCCTATAGGGGAGATTCCATCGCCTATTTACTACACTTCACTTATCGGCCTTGATTCAGTTCTCACGAAGCTACTTCATAGTAGAGTTGGAAATATTTCCGATGTGAACGCCCAAGGCGGCGGCAGGTTCGGCAACGCGCTGCAGGCGGCATCACTTGGAGGCTACGAGGCTGTCGCGCGGCTGCTTCTCGAAAAGGGCGCCGATGTTAACGCCCAAGGCGGCTACTACGGCAACGCGCTGCAGGGGGCATCATCTAGAGGCCACGAGGCCATCGTGCGGCTGCTTCTCGAAAAGGGCGCCGAGACTAAGGGTAGAAAGTTGTAGAATAACGATTTTCGATTAAATAAGTAGGTATGATATATATCTTTTCTATCTCTGTAAAAGAGGGTCCTCGGGGACTGCGCCAATATATACTTTGCAATCTTATTTCCGCCTGATTCGAGAATATGCTAGAACTCTTATCGCATGTAGTCGAGATGAGACGGTGGCGAGTTAATGCGGATTAATTGTAAACTAAGAACTGACGGCGCCGATAAGCGGATGCGGTGTATCGGAGTCACTACGTGGTATCTTTAAAGCTATCTGCGTGGTGTTAAAAGACGATGGGACTTATCGTGTCCGCAGTGGCGAGTGAAGGTGGTGCTGGCAACATTCGTTCATCGATATGCAGTATCTCAAAGTTACGACTCACTAGGCACGAAAACAGACAAGGGATGGAAGCAATGCCGTACCCTGCAACCGAACTTACGATCTTGCAATGTATTCCCACAATCCCCCCTTCGAAATCGTATACTCCGACCATGACATCGTGCTTCTTCCTCCTAAGCAATCGCCATAACTGCGGCTGGGACGAGTGACTTCGATGTTTGTTGCCTAGCGGTATCATGTATCGCGTCTAACTAGGCTTTTGGGCCCACCTATCGCTTCATAGGTTACATCATCCCTTAGAGATATCGCTTTCAGGTGACCAAGGGAGCTTCTTCACCGGAATGATCTGTTGCTCCAATGATTTTGTTCGGTGGTCCTCATTAAGAGCGGCATGGGGGATGTTCGAAGAGGATTTCTCGGGAAGTTGCCGGGTAGAGCTGAGGATTTCTTGGGAGACTGGTTTATGGCATCGTCCCTCCGAAGGTACATAGGCATTAATGGAATATATTTCAGCAGCCATCGGAACAACATGTCCTAGACAAGCAATTTGGCTCGCCTGTGAGCATCCTACCTCTATTGCGAGGCGAGGGAATACTCTGAGCACAAGTGAGGTGAAGTTACTGCATTCGCTACACTTGCAATTAGTATTCCATAGAATCTCAGGGATGATAACAGTCCGTACCAAGCCGACCTAGTTTCGTCCCTAGGCTAGATAGATGAGTAGATTGAAGGGTCGAACGCCCGTTGTCGTTGAATCAGGGTGGCCGCAGAAATTAGTGCGGTGTTGATTGGTCGACTCGGGCATTGCGCAACCAGGGTTACCAGACCATAAAACATCTCCTATGTCAGGGTGGTCGAATGATCACGAGCATCCTAGTTCCGGATGGAACGCGCCATGGGAGCGCCATGGGCTGAGAGACCAAGGTGACGAGTTACTCGACAACATTCATCGTCGGCATCGCGATTCGGATAAAAGTAACTCCGGTCAAAGAGATCTATCAACGCGCAGACTTGGTTAGAGTTTGGCACGCAGAAAGGGGACTAGATGAGCTTGACGAACCTCTCGGTTTCACAGACAGGCCACTGCTCAAGCATATTGTTTGGAAGTGGCTCAGAGTTATCCGTAACGTTGTTCCTAGCGGAGGCTTGGGCTGTTGCCGGATCCAGCCTTATGGATTGAAAGCCGTGTTTCGTCATAGCTAAATGTGAACAATGCGGCAAGTGTCAGTCTGGGCAGCTCTGCGCCTCGAGTCCTACGGGGAAATCCCCGTTAAAACAGGTCCTTATGTTCACTCCAAGGAGGGTATCAGAGCCGTCTGGTTAACAATGTTAGCCGTCACTGGGACTGTACTTGACCTACCGCTTTGCTCGTCGTCCGGCTGCCCGCCGAGGTAATGAGACAAGGAGGCATCTCAATCACAACCCATTCTGCTGCGTTTGCCAATCGCTCGCTCGTTGGGATTCTTTTCCCGAGCTTGTGTAACGACGAATGAATAATTAGCGCTTTGGATCAATATCTCACGGAAGCCATGGACACGTCGTCAGCCTAACACTCCTTGCCGTGCCGGGATGTCAGGGAGGACCGAGGGATACAATCTGTAAATGGACCAGAAGCGAGAATTGAGGTGCCACAACTCTGGTACGAAAAAAAATCGACTACCAAAGGCGATCATCCAATTTTGTTAGACGCCCGCAAGTTGACGATGTTTCTCTTTCCTGGCCTTGTCGAGATGACGTTGCCGAATGGCCCCGCAGAGCAGAGCCGCAGGGGCTTGGGGTAGCGATGACTAATTGGGAAACCCACTGCAAAGGTAAAATGGACGGATCTGGAAACATCATCCCAATTTGAATCAAGACTCGAGGATGAGAGAATGGATCTGTCAACACACCCACTCATAAACGCTTCGCACAAGCACGACCACTTTTCAACCATTCAATATCTGAGACTATCCTCATTCCTCCCGCGGATCGATTCCCAATCCTCGACCCCCATCCAATGCCCACTCCTTCCCATCTCTCTTCAGTCTAGACAAAGAAAAGGCACAAGGCCGAGAAGCCAAGACGTGGAGAGAGCCTTATTTTTCGACGCTCAAATCAACCACCAACATAAACTAAGAACAAATCCCATCTATCACACCCACAAAAAAAGAAGAAGGGAACAAAGGAAATGTGAAACAAGTAGGAAACCGAAACGCTAGAACTCGCTCGATATTAAAAATAGAGGTAAACAGCATTTGATCGTTTCTGCAAAAGGAAAACAAAAAAGGAATTGATGCGCAAGACAACATTCGTCCTCGAGGAACTCCTCATTTTCTCGGGGAGTCGGATCATGGATAAAACGAAATTGTGTCGGAATACAAGTCTTGGAGATAGAGTGAGCACAAGGCCATTGGAAAGGTAAGTGCGGGAGCCGTCTGCTCATGCTTATCGAACGGAAAGTGATGGCAGAGAAAAAGGTAAGGATGGGTTGGGTATACACATAGCGAAAGTAAGGAAGAAAGCGTATCCGCATCAACCACTGGTAAAAAAAAAACTCCCAAAAGAAACGAAGAAACATAAAATCCCCAGCAAGAACGCCCAATGCCTAAAACGAAGACCATCCCCTCACAAAATGCATCTTTTCGCTTACTCCCTTACTTTTCCTTCTTCCCTCCTTTCGCTCTCTTACAATGCCTTCCCTACGCTCCCGTCACTTCCACCCCTCTGCCTCGACCCCGGCCTAAACCCTTCCGTCGGGCTATCCCACCGCGTCGACCCAGGCCCTACATCCGGACCCGGATCGCTCCAATCCCCGAGACTGAATCCACTCGAGTACTTGGACGAGTAGCTATCCGTCCGTGTATGCACCCTCTTGGGCTTGTTGAGGCTAGAGCGAGGGTCATTGCTACCACCACCACTCGTCATAGTAGCCGTCGTGAGATCCTGCCGACTGCCGAGCAACTCGGGTCTCTCGAGGTCGAAGGGATCGGACCGGAACTTATTTCGCTTCGGGCCGAGGTTGTCGACGCTCACCACGGACTCGCGGTAGACCGAGTCCACGCGGTCGTTGCGCGGCGACGAGTAGCCTCCGGCGTTGCTGGGCGTGCGGCCGCGGCCCGGAGCAGGGTTCTGACCGAGACCGCGGGACCGACGGACATCGGCGACGTAGGTGGTTGGCGGCTTGATTCCGCCAGTCTTGCTGTTATCCGGTAGGGCGTTGGCGTCCGAGAAAGGGTCCACACGTGGAGATACCGCCAGCGGCGCGGGCTTGGCGGAATCATGGGATAGCGCGTTCATATCGGAGAAAGGGTTCTTTGGCGAGTCGAAGCTGAGGTTGAGTCCGCCGAGGAAGTGGTTCGAGGATCCTACGCTACCGTTGGCTAAGTGGTCGGCCTGTCGCTTCTGCGCCTCGCGCTGAATATCCTTGTCGTCCATGCCGAGGAGTGTCAAGAAGTCAGGCTGCGACGACCCCTTGCGCTCGCTCAAGTTCCGCACGGCCGCCGCCGGGTCCGCATCCATGGTGCGGTCATTCCTCATCTTCCAGTTGAAGTTCATGTCGGCGGTAACCCTGGACCACCAGTCCTTGAATCGGTCCTTACCCGTCACTACATCTTTGGAGCCCGAGCGCGTCGAAAGCGACGAAGAGTTGCTTCGACTGTGCAGAGACCCGTCGTCCATATACTGCGAGTTCCCCCTGTTGAGATCGACGCTGGGACCGCTCTTAGACCCTCCCATTTTACCGCGGAATCCTTGCAATTTCGCTCCGACGGCGGCCTTGAACTTTTCGGCCTTGGGTGTGGGGCCGACGGATCCCCGCTCGATAATGTACGACTTTTCGCCATTGCCTCCACCGCCGTTAAACGTCGTGGGTTCGATGGTAAGCGGCGTAAGGAGGGAGCTCCTCCTCTTGTTGATGGCCTTCTTGCGCCAAAACCAGAGCAAAAAGGCAATGATGGACACGACAGCGACGCCACCAGCAACGCTTCCGGCTACCACCGCCGTAGGAGCGCCGGATCGGCCGCTTCCGCCACTAGTTACCGTAGTCGGAGTGGCATCGACCGCACCTTCTCCAACAACCGCCGCACCACCGTCGAGACCGCCTACTGCCGTCGTGGCCAGGTTTCCGTTTACAACATTAGGAGTCGTTCCGTCGGGAGTTACGGGCGCTGGTGTCGGGGAGGGTGCTAGCTCCGGTTGCTGTTGCAGTGATGGTTGCTGCTCTGGTTGTTGTGGTTGTTGCTGATTCGCACTATCTGCTTGTTCAGGAACGGCTGCATTGCTGTCATCAGTGCTACTGCTCGCAAAGGCAAATGAGGGGGTAGGTCTTTCAGGTAGAAGAGAATTCTGTACGCCTTCCGCCACAGTTGTAGGGCTAGGCAATGGAGAAGGAAAGGAGAGGAATGAAGGAGACGAAGCAGGAGGGATGTTTATGGGTGGTGGAGGAGGAGGAGGAAGAGGAGGAGGTTGTTGAGCCGCCTGCGTCTGCTGTACAGGCGGTTGCTCTTGGGTTTGTGCTGGGGAATCTGTTGCATTGTCGGGGGATGGAGTGTCTAGATTTGGGGAAGATCTCGTCGTACTCGCTGCTCCTGCATCACCTTCTTCCGACTGAACCTGGACGCTGCTCGAGCTGTCCGCGTTCGCCGCCGGTGTAGGCGTTGATTGTATGCCTACAGCGCCACCGCCATTGTTTCCGCTGGGCGCCGCCGCCGCCGCTGTCGATGCCGCTTGTGAAGGCGCCGCGTTTGTTTTCGGCACAGCCGTGCATCGCCTTCCGTTGAGGACGGTGATGAAAGCCCCCGCCGGGAGGTTCTGGTCTGACATTGTCGCCGGGACGTTTTATGGATACAAGAGGAACACACGCAGTGTGCTCACTCTCCCCTCGCTCTCTCTCTCGTAAAATGCGAGTCCAGTCGCAAGAAGAAAAAAAAAAAGAAGAATGTGTGTGATAAGACAAGAAAGCCCACGGGGCTTGAAAAGAAGCGAAGTTGAAGGAGTGGACTTTCACCGAATCCAAACTCCTTGAGGAAGAAAAGAAGAAGAGAAGAGGATTCCGGTCGAAAGCCTCGCGCGGGAATCGTAGTCGAGGGGATTTCGTAGGATGGGAGATCGAGAGATGAAAGGACGAAAAAGAGATCCGAAGCGAAGAAAGAGAGAGAGGGAGGGGTAAAGCAACGAGAAGCGTAAACGCGGGGAAAGCGGACAAGCAGTAGTATCGGGCCTCAACTGGCCGTCTAGAAAGCGGAAACGACCATCGAGGAAGATCGTCTTGGAGAGAGCAGGCGAGGGTGTGTGATTCGAAAAATGGCGACTAGCGGCTAAATTGGCGATGGAAGAAGAAGAAGAAGAATGGCAGGACTTTTGGCGTTGATGCGGATGAATTTGACAAGATTCGGAAAGTGATCAGTGGTAGCAGCGGAGATCTTGGAGTCTTGGGACGGATGTTCACGATGGAGAGTGTGTAATTTCCCTGAAGGGGGGAGGGGAAAGCTGGGCTAGCAGACAAGAAGCAAAGCAATTTCGTAGAGGACATCAAGCATGAAGCATCGAAAACGATGGAATAGAAGAAACTTGGGAAGGCTAGCCGCAAGAGGTGGAAAAGGAGGATTTACGTTCCGTCCCCTCATCGACGGTAGGGATCATCGACTTGATGGGGGAGGAGTCGGTTCAGACAACTGGGCCAAGATGTCTCACAATACCAAATTGAGCAGAGAGCAAGAGCCAGCTGGGAATAGAATCAATGTTACTATGGTTTCCGTGAGTATAGAAGAGTAGCAAGGCACACACGCCTGGGCGGAACCGGGCGTGAGCTGACATTGAGAGAGGTAAAGGAGCAATTGCGAGTGCAAAGAAGCGATTTGAAAAACAGCATGAATCAAGGTCTTGGCACTCTGATTGATCGATGTCAAGCCATCGTGGGATTGGCTCGGAGAATAACTAGGTGTCTGAGGAAGTCTATGGGATCCGTCGATCACTAGGGAGGCTCAGCTACGGAGGGAGGGGTGAATCCCTGACCTCTTACAAAACTGAGGCACGGAAGATCTCAGGTTTGACGAGGGTAACGCTGGGAGGGTGGTCGAGTCAAGGTGGTGATGGAGGGGAGAGCGTGCCTCGTGCAGGTGCCCTTGCCTCTGACTTTACCCCCTGACACAACCTCCAATGAGCAAAGCACCAGGGATTATCCGGAGTTGACCACCTCGAGCCTTCGAAGTGAAGGGAGAGGCGAAAGCATCGGGAAATAATCAAATAAATAAATAAAAATCGAATATGACTAGAAGAGTGTGATTACGAATAGCTGGCGATTTTTATTATTTTAATCTCGAACAGTCGGTGAGACTTATCGATCAAGGAGCGAGTGTCCGTCTAAGAAGTCGTTGAATGGCGTTGTCGATTGTGGGCCTGGATCAATGCGGCGTTTCCAAACGTGAATCCTCCGTTGCAAACTACAAATGTCTCATGCCCCTGGATTATGTCATGGACTGTGGGGTAAATCTCGCCATTGATATCGTGACTTTGGATTTGGAGCATCAAATAAACAACTCTTGCACTCTCCTGGGTTGTCAACTTCTTAATGACGCCCTCCGCTTCCTCATAATGTTGATGTCCAATTTATGCCTCGCTTCGCCATCTCGTCATTGACAGCGCTCCAGGGTATCAAGCCTCAAACTAACTTGATACTCCCATCAATACTGGTGTCATCCAGACTTGGGTCTCTTGATGGCATTCATTACTTCGTACAGAGTAACTCTCGGGGTTCTCGAGCAACCAGATCACGGCCTGGACGTCCACTGCTGCAAACGATATGCCGGAGCCACAACTGCCGGTGTGACGCGGATCCGGGGTATCCGTCGCCTGGTGAGGATCCCGAATTTTCGAACAATGTCATCCTCGACGCAACGCCAGATGGACTGTTGTTGGCCGCCGCGTGATACCCAACGATTTTTAAGATCAGTGCTCTCGGATGCTTTCCCTTCCTCGGCACAGATGAAAGTCGTCGTTCATGCGCCAGATCGGTCGCCTTCTCTACTATATATCTATATCCACCAGCCAGTGTGTAGCGTCGCATAATCATGTGCACATGTAGTTATGAAATGCTATTCCGCTGGGGATTTTTGCGAAGAGTAACAAAAGACATATCCTCTCAAGCTCGAGGGATTCGTCCATCACAAGAAAGAGAGCCTCAAAAATCGAGTCCAGTTACGGACCACGCATCAATCTTCTCGAGGTCCATGCCACCATCAACTGTTAGAGATTTGTGTGTCTGAACCCTTCTGATCCGAGCCGCGTTTTATGAAGAGTGCGGGGTTGCACCGAGAAAAGTGAAATCCTGGGTTTGTTGGTGCGACCACTCTCAAGCAAGATGCGGAATTCCTCCTCCCGGATAGGCTTGGCAGGAGGATTTGAAGAATATCAACGAATACAAACAATAGCGTCGACGAAGCCCGAGGTAAGACTAGTCCTCGAGGCACAGGGCAGGAGAGTTGTGCGTTTTTAAAATATGCGGTTCCCGCTACCTTTGTACAAAACAAACACATCCCGAGAACACGACTTCAAATGCTTCAAAGAGACTCGGTTCAAACGAGAACAGCCAGAAGTGGCTAGGCTAATAATGATGGACGAAGCAGTCAAGAGTCAGGACAGCACTGGCTAACTAGCCTAAGAAACGGGGCGGGAGGAAAACCGGGTCGTCCTCGACGTAAAACCCAAGCCATCTCGATGTCGGCTCTAAATATATTACAAGTGCGTCTGATCCGTCTCGCTAGCACGTTAATTGACATCAAACGGCTTTTAGTCTCAGCTCTACCAGTTGCGGACATCAAGATGCTAACGTCTGGCATCAATATCCTGTTGCTAGCCTACCCGCCCGCCAACATCGGCCCATGACACTAGGCTTCACCTGGAGCAGCGTTCTTGGCAAGACTCACCTTCATCGTGAGCTACGAAAGTACTTATGTTCGTTTGCGTTCGGCTGCGTCCGCCATCTCCACTGAAAAGAAGCATGCGACTCTGCGGCTGCACCCAGCTAGTCCCCCGGGCCTTCGCATTGGTGCCTCGGGCGCTGGACCTACTGCCAATCATTCCCCCCAAGCGTAAACAACTGGCGTCTCTTGCAGGTCGGTATCCGCAGTTACCCTTTTTGCCCGCAATTCAGGAGAACAACAGATGGCCACTGCCTGCCGCAATCGACAAATCGACCTATTACGCCGGAGGTTGAATGCTGAGATGTGGCCATGGGAGGCGTTGGTATTACCCACCACACAAGCCAAGGCTGCAACGTTGTCCGAGGAAAATCGGATGCTCTTGTGTTCAATGCTCTCACCTGGGCTGTAATTTTATTAGGGTTACTGTGCTAGTGCCAGCAGGAATGGGAAAATGGGCCGAACCGACTTCACTTTTGTGCAATTCCATGTTGTCCTGTACTTCCCCTCCAAGAAACAGGATTGATTTGGAACTTTGGAGAACTTCACTCCTTCTGTAATTCTCGAACTCGACCAATAGCCTCATTTGGCCCATTCCCCCATTTCCCCCTTGTTCCTGCGTTCTCCGAGACAAGCAGGACAAGAACCATTAAGTTCCGGGCGAAAGTCTGCTGGTTCTTGTATTTTGTCGTCCGGTCCCATCTTCACCCCGCTCTAGAAGGTAACTTGAGCGAGTTTATGAGGTAGATTTCATCAAATGTTATGTTCTCCCTCCCCGTCTCTCCCTCCCCCGCCTTCCCATAGCTTCCTCCCCCGCGCGACCGTGACCGCACCTTCCAAAACCCCCACCATCAATTGATCACTCCAATCACTACGTCGTACGTACGAAGTACCTCAACTGCGAACGAGAAGCATCACCTCCACTACCACCACTTTCGACCACCGCCTTTTTCTGCTCAACTTCCAATCCCATCCGCATTGGACAGATTTGAGCCATTCGCCAACACGCAACACACCTCATACCTCGTCTCGCCGCCTCCTTCGCCTCCATCACCGTTCTAGCATCTACACCGCTTTCCACCGCCCTTTTAGCCCCCCTGAACCACACAATTGGGAACCGGGGTTGCTATGTTTCGAAGCTCTCATTCAACTCCTCATCGTACAACTCTCCTCGTCATCACCATTCCACTCCGCACGTGGGTCTCCTGAGCTTCGTATGTCTCGAATCTAATACCTGCATACCTTACGGCCTTCCCACACGCCAATTGTACTGCCAGGAAGACTAAGGAGGTGTTCAGGCAAACAAAACGAAGACCTAGTTAGGCCTTCAGATACCCCTAAACTTACGCCATAATTTGGGTTTGGTTACAGGAAACGAGGTCGCTTGGCCCCTCTACCTCGGACAATGTTTGGCATCAGTTTGCCTTCTTTGGGTAAGTCGAGTTCTCAACAGGCGAATTCCTCTATTCTTAAACCCCTGCTTTCATACATTCCTCGGATACTGGGACTTCACTTGAGAGAGCTCAATATTTCTGTTTCTGTGTGTGAATGCCATTGGTCCTGTACCACACGTTGCTGGCTCTCTGACGGACGCTGCCACGGGAGATCGTCATCCAACCTGTCTCGGGAGCCTCCCTGACAACATTCTTCAGACCCCGGTCCGGTTCCCTCACCGGTCCTCACACCACAAGTAATTTTCAACGTCACACAAGGCCATAGCCATTTCGTCTTATCTTCATGCTAGTCAGTGCTGCATTAAAGGTGTGAATGAAGTTATCGCTCTTCATGAATAGTCATTCCACCACCCCATCTTACCTTTGGGGGGGCTTGGCTGTCGTGTAGCGACTTGGCCACGTTTTACTATTAAGTTCCTAGTCCTGTTACATTTTGAGTATCTCTTGACGCTCGATGAGTGCTATTATCCGTGGTTTCGATCTTTTCCTTTTGCCTCTTTTTTTCTCCTTCTCTTTATTTTTTCACTTTGGGCATTCTTCACCTCATCTGAAAGTCGCCATCTCCTTCTACAAATGCCACCTGTTTCTCAAAATCTAAACATCTTTTGTTCTAGGAAGTGCTGCACGCCCCAAGGTGGACCCTAAGGATGTCCCTGCACCGACTCGGGTAATTTTCCCTCCGCAACACGTACCCGACTCTTCCGAAACCGGGTCGGAGGCCGTGGACGGCGCTGCTCCGCCGGGCTCCGCGAGCCTTGTCAAAACCCTCCAGGCGATATGTCGCCCTGGTGATATCACGGGCACCACCTTTGACGCCTTTGGCTTGAAGACGTTCTACGATGCTACCCCAGCGGAAGTGGTGCCTGATCCTTCGTACATCCCCGATTTTTCGACCTGGGATAGCCTCACTATAGACGAAGCTAGGGAGAAAAATGCGTCTACGCGACTACCGTTGAACAATGGAAACTTGTCTCCCGGATGCCAAACCTACGTCGAGCGAAAGTCAGAGCTATCAATTCCGAATCAAGATGCCTTCCGAACTGTCCGACGCTTGCCCGCTGCCAAAGGCAAGCCTCAGCCAAGGCTAGGGAACTCGTACGAGTTCTTCCGTTGCTTAGAGCTGTTTACTACTTACTGGGATGATCCGACGGTACCCCTTCCTAAGAGCTCCTCGGAGGAACCTTCCACCGACCCTTCCCTTCCGGCTAGTGATCCTGCCGTTGTAGGTTCCACATCTACTTCTACTTCAGATGATAATGATGGGTATTACCGCACTATGACAGGCACGGCGATGCCCGCCGAGCATCGCCATGCTCTCCTATCCTCCTTCATCAGACTCGTCGCATACGATTTCGGCTGCAATGTCACTACGCCCCGTGCAGAACCCCGACTTCAACTCTGCACGCCGCTTTCTGCGGTCGATCCGGGCCACCAGCCTCGCAAGTCCTACGTTCCGTCCGGCTGCATTTTCGTCTTCCGCACGCCCACCAAGCGGGAGCACGCTAGAGCGGGTATGGTCGAGGGTCCCGTTGCCGCCGTTAGCGCGCGAGGCACCCTGAGCCTTGATTTAGAGCTTGAAAAGAACCAAGATCTTGCCAGGGAAATTCTCGCCGCCCTCGTCACGGCCCAGCACCGCGCCAGGGAAGGAAAGACGGAACAGCGCTTCGGCGAGGGCCAGTGGTGGACCACAAAGAAGAGGTGGGGAGGTGGTCCCGGCGGTCCCATCGGTCGAGAAGTCGACAAGGACGACGTCGTCGGAGACAAAGACGCCTCCTCCCCTCCGACGAAGAAGCCCCGGAAGACCATGGCTGTGTACGACAACTACCGCATGATCCGACCGCCGTCGCTCTCGTGGGACAAGAAGACGCGCTACGAGGCCATCGGCCGACCGGCGGGCGTGACGGAGTACGACGACATCTTCGTCATCAGCAGCTTGTTCCACCACGTCAGCGTCCTTCGGGTCCGCGTGCCGCAAAGGTTGCTCGACGTGATCGAGGGGGCGGACGAGGAGACGGTGAGGAGCTGGGGCGGGCTGGTGCTCTGGAGGAGTAAGTGGTATGATTTCTTCGTTGCGGAGGAGAGGATCCAGGCTATGAAGTTACTTTGGGGGGTTTTTGCGTATCAGATGAGGAAGACGGATTCGGAGGATACTGCGATGGAGGGTTGAAAGAGAGGAAAGATGAACCTAGATCACGGATGGTTGCTATCGAGTATAATGGAGGCCCCCGATTGGAGGGGGATTACTATTGAGAGAGGTCCTATATTTCTTGACAGCTGAGTTTGATTCATATCATGGGAGTGCGACAGTAGGTTGCATTAAGATTTTCGTGGCCCATTGGAGAGGGACTATTATACAGAGTATAAAAGCATTGTAGTTGAGATACATCTAGAGTTGATTCGTATTCGAAGCTTGACTTGGAAACATATTTCGTTACCTTTGATGATCCCCTCGCAAACGAAGTCGAGACCAAAGTCCGCCAAGGACTTGTCCGCATGTGAAAGATGGATCCCACAAAGGTCTTTCTAGGTGGAAGGCGACAGACTTAGGGTTTACAGATCCATGTTCCACCAAGAAGATATGCACCAAAGCAATGCTGGTGAAGTTACCATCGTCTCAGAGCTGGAGGCAAGGAGCTGTCGAGGCCAAACTTCGGCCATGGGCCGAGATATAGGAGAGTGATTCTTCATACACAGGTTTCAGAGGGGGTTGTGAGTGCGAGGGCGAGCTCTTCTCAAAGCACGCCTATCATGACCTCTTGGTGTGATGTGTTGTAGCTAGTTATTGAGTGAGGACATAAACTCATCTATTCTCTTCGAAGGTCTTGAACTCTAACAGGCTTACTTTTACCAGGATCAAAGACAAGATACCGGGCACTATCTAACGCACTTCTGCTTCATCCTCTTCTTCTCCCTCTTTTCTTCTTTTTTTTTTTTTTTATTTTATTTTATTTTATTTTATTTTTTTCTCTTTTGATTTTTTAAATCCTTTTTCTTCCGTTTCTTTTTTTCACTGCTCACGGCCATCAGGATTCCCCCTTTATCTATGACGAACAGGACTAACATCAATATCTTGCGTGTCCTTCCTCGGCCCTCTAAGGTGTCCTTCATTCTCCTCTGCCCACACGATTGGTTTGCTTTTTCCTTCCTGGCTCTTGAATCCTGTTATAAGCATGGGGAGTGACGATCCCAATGTGTTGAGGTGTACTTCCTAGGGTAGCATCAATGTAGTCAGAAGCTGAAACGGTTTCTCGGTGAAATACAAACGTTAATCAACGTTTGTGTGTGATTTTTCGGTGTGGTTACCCAAGGTCAGCCTGGAGCCGAAAAAGAACGTCCAGCTCTGGGAATAATCCTAGATGAAAGGGATCAACTACGGGGTATGAGGACTCTACAGGTTATACTTAACCTTGGCTATCTTTATTACTACTGATCGATCTGCTGCCTCTAGTCTCACAATTGATCTTCAGAGTGACATCTTTTGCAAATACCTTTGACATGAACCATTATTGATTTCCCTCCTATGATTGAAAATGAGTATTTAGATAAGGAGGCTCTGCTTGAATTTTCAAATATCATCGTCGTTGCTCTGAGTCCAAATTGGATTCGAGACTGCGAGTACGAGTAATCAATATCAACGAGATGCCAGGTAAACCTAAACGTGAAGGCTGCCTCAATGGATCTTACCGGGATTGACGTAATACAGCGGAGAACGAAACAATGAACCAGCAACAATTGAAGAGCGGAATCGAAAAAAGTCATAGTTCGTGCCATGGGAGCTGAAGCCGTCCGAGCTACGCCGAAACAGGACTGCGAAGGTGCCACAAAACCCCCGAAAAGCCATGAAAGAGATCGGCGCAGCAGCTCATCACTACTTGATACAGAAACTTTACCCAAGGAACTCCAGCTTTCTGAGAGGGAGCGTGTAAGGACACCCTAGCCTGCTTTAGGGCGATCCCAGTGCCACGGGTCCGGGCACATACATCATTTCGTGCTTTTCAGCGTTCCTGGTCGGTCGTTGACGATGAGCGCTAAAATGAAGACTCAACCCCACGGATCGCCGGTCCACCAAAAAGCCGCGTCGTACGACCTGTAGCCGGGCGATCAAGTGACTGGGACCCTTTCAATGTTCTCTTTTTTTCAAAGCCTGTCTTCTCATTCCCAGTGACATCCAAAGTAGATCATCAAGATAGGGAATTAAAAAAAAAAAAAAAAAAAAAAAAAAAAAAAAGGGATCAGTCCGAAATATGACCGCCAGCCGTTACATCGGAGGAAAGGCTGAATTAATCACTACGAAGTCATTTAAAGCCTCATGGGGATAATTCCCAATGCTGAGCCTTACCGGGACAGCTGAAGACCGTTTAAAAGATCTCTCATCTGGACCGTGAGGGGCGGGATTGATGCTCGGGTCTTAACGCTTGGCTCTGGTTGGCGAGGAAGCGAGGAGGCCCGTTCAAGATATTTACCGCCATTGCGCTGGCCCCGGGGAACGGGAGCTTGTAATCGCGAGATTGTAGTGCTCCGTATTTTGGAGGTTGGTTGAAAGTAGTTTACTAAAGGTAAGGTACCTCGTAGCCCTGCCTCAGCTCACAAGGGTCCTTGGCTCGGGGACCGTCAGCTGGAGAGGGCACGGAGATGACGCAATGGAAGCCGTGATGGGCCGGTTCTGGGACCGAAAAGCTGTCAATATGGTGTTTTTTCGGTGCTTGAGCTAGCCTGTGCCTTCTGCACTAGACCTTGTCTAGTATGTTGGCCGTGCTTACATCCGTGGTGCAGTGTGGTTTACTTTGTCGTTTATGTAGGTCTGGATACCCGAGCCAAATCTAGAACATATCCCGTCGCTAGAAGAATCTGTGGTGTACACTACGCTGAAAATACATCAATTCCATGTTCGGGGTCCGGCAAGTACTCCGTAGGCCGGGCCCTCCTCTGCGCATCTCCACGTTCGTGATGGGGAAAAGGAGAGTACGAAGTCTGATCAATGCGAGAATTCAAAGTAAACTAAGATCAATTCGTCCGTTTATGGGTACGTCCCTGCTCAGGAAAGGCCATCTTGGGCTCCCGATTGGCCTCGACCCGCCGTCGTCCAGGGGTCCTTCATTGAAGCTCAGGTGCGCCACTTCCCGCCACCGCACATCGGCTTTGCCGTGGACTTGACCCTTCTTGGAGGAGATCGTCCCGATGCGTCAAACCTTCGATCTTCCCCAGGGGGGCCCCCTGCCACAGTTCGCGCGATTGGGGCTTTAGGGGTCTCGAGTTGACGACCGGCACGTCATTGAGCAAGGGTTTGTTTTTTTCTCGACAACGTTGGAATCTTGGTTTTGCAAGATTGAGCTTCCTATCCGACCTTGACAAGTATTTTCGTCCAGAATGCTACGTTCGTTGATTAGAGGATGGAGTCGGATAATTTGGTCGGTTGCTTATCCTTTCGAGATCAATGTCAATTCCTGATCCTTCACGCTGGGGCAAAGGAACGAGCAATATTATGCAAATTATGTACAACCAGGGAGAAGCTTTCGGATGAGCCCGGGTCAATGAGAGCATACAAAGTAGTTTCAACATCAACAACAGTGTTACAAAGTACTACAGCTTCCCATGAAGAGGCGACGCATTCCCACCACCGCCCCGATCGGTTCCTGGGCACAAACCACCAGCCGTTCGATCGAAGAACATCAAAGAGTCAACTCCTTGTGAACTGGCTAGAATGGAAACGTTCCCTCGTGGTGCGGCAGGCGCTAATTGACTACCCAGGAGGGAACCCAAGCAGGTGACCCCTAGAGTTGCTGTCGAATGAGTACAGCTAGGCTCTAGTGCACCCCGTAGTCGCGTTGGCTGTGGACGCGTTAGTACTTAGCTGGTTCCGACTACTGCTAGTAAAACCGTGAGCTTTCTTTTTCGTCTCTTGGTTGATTCTTTTCAGCTGGTCTTGCCCACGTCTTGTAGGTACACACCCTCTAGCCCGGAAAGAAGAAAAAAATTGTATTGGAGTCTCGACAGTTTCTTTTCCCTTGGTGTAACTTTTGTACTAAGTCCTGCCGGGGCGGAATGGACCCCAAGACTCCAAGAGTCCGGGTCTTCGGTTTCGGATTGCGGTATTGGGCCGGGGATGCTGCCGTGGGATTGGTCGCTGCTACGATTATTCTTCATTACCTGTAAAATTGAGAACCATATTTTCTTTCTTTGTCGTTGACACGAGTCGAACTTTTTTTTGGCGGGATTTGGCGGCGTGCTAGCGGAGACGCTTTGCATATGTTTAATTATCATTGAAGCCAGTCGAATCCATTCCTTTGGCTAGCTCCGATGAGCGGCTCTGTTTCCCGAATGTCTTTTGAGCTTTTTTTCGGCCCCTTCGAAGCCACGATTGTCGACTCTCCTACTTCGTGCTTCGTGGGACACGGCTACATCAGTCATGTCAGCTTTTATTGGCCCCTTAGGTCTCACCATCTCAGGATGATTTGCACTTGTAAATGGCCCCAGCGGGATCGGGCGGGAGGTTCCTGTCTGTCGGTTATTGCGTCGCCTAATATTCCCGCCCCCCGCTCTTTTGGCATCCGTCAATATATTGACGAGTTGGCCTCGGTCCATTCGCAGAAGCCGGGGCTATGGGTATCTCTCAAGGTAGTCCCACTGGAGGACGAGCACATATCGTATCAAAGATGTGGTTACGAGTGTTGAGAGGCTTTATTTGGAATTAAGACGTCGAAAAACTCTGACCTGCAGGAACGAGGAACGATTCTTGGACGGTTGTACCATGTCAAGGACCAGGGTTCGAGGAGCTGGATTTCCCAGCTCCGTCGTATTGATGGGGGTTGTGAAGTTGCTGGTTCCTGGGCTGAGGTCAAGGGGGTTGGAGCTCTGATACTTGGCCAGCTTGAGCAATATCACAGCTTGGAATATTGAATATTTCATCGGAGGAAATCTTCGTTAGTCATCAATATTCTCAGGTCAAGTACTTCGTCAGTCACGAAGTTCGAAGTTTGAAGTTCGAAGTTCGGATGGCAAGGGTCTTGGGCGCGGCAAGTGGGATGATGCCGCCCAAGGCCGACAACTATGAACCAGCATCTATCTAACAAGTTGCCTTTGAATTCAACAAAATCAATTCGATCGATTGATGTTGATTGCCAGCACCGCAACAAAGATCCCCGCCTACCGGAGATCCCATTGTAGGGTTACATTTGGACCCGGCTGCCATCAGAATTTTGCAAGACCCTTGAGCGACCGACCACTGGCAAATCATCATTGTCACATTGCCATTGATGTGATGGGTAGTCGGGCTCAATGATGATCAATTGATATTACCTTATCCTTCGTAGTTGTGCCGACTTCACCTCCTTCGCCCAGGCATCAAGTTCGAAGTATGGATGTATGATTTGACAGCCTGTAAGGTTGAGAGGTCCAGAAGTTGAGAGGATGAGACGGAAGAAGTCCCCGCACGACCGTTGGCAAAAGCGTAGGATGGCGTGGCCCCCTGTTCTATAACTTGCAGATGTGCATGCATCCATCGATTCCAGGCGACTGGTCTGGATTCCGGTTGGGGGAACTTATTCCCTCTGTCAATCTCAACTGCAACCGTGTGTGATCGAAGTGATGCAAGAGCCCCGTCTGGCACCAACGGCTCTGTTGTGGTGGGCAGCCATCAACCTGCCCAACCGTTATTTGGCGCCCATTCGCCATGAGGTGTATTCGGACGAAGCAGGCCATCAAACGGTCGCCTTGAATGTGATGTGTTCCTTTGCCGTTTACACGATGTTACGTCGTGCAAGGTCTAGCCCAAAGGCCTCGTTATGATTCTCCAGATGCCGAAATACGTCAAATCTTCAAACTGCGCATGTAGGTGGGCCTGGTTTGGATCTGGACATACTGGAGGATCTATGATTCGTGGCCCGGCCCCGGCTAGTAAGACTAGAGCCCGCAACCACAAGACTGGAGAGAAGTGGGCGAAGTGGGCATCCTGAGATATGCTCGGCAATCTCTTCCTCTGTGCGTCGTCGTCTTCGTACTTCAAGCTCCCAAGCAATGGACTAGGCAGGATAGGCCGGTCTTTGTGACATTTGATGGGGGCACACTAGGCGTGGACAGGGCTATAGTTTAGCTTGAGGTATCAATTAATACTAAGCGGCACTACTTGTTTCGCACCAGAGTGGCAAGGCAAGGGAGAAGTAGAGCGAAAAGGAAAGTGAAGGGGTGTGGAGCACGAAGAGGCAGGGCAGGAGGAGACTGCCAAATGCGACTAGACTGGCCCGGCAAGCATCTCGTCGACTCCGTAGCGGAAAGAGCGATGAATCCACAGAAAGGAAGAGAAGACTCAGAACATTGAATGCTCTCAGTGCTGCTTTGCATACGCTACACTACAAATGCGGAGCCTCCATTTGGTGGCTAATTGTGGTGAATTTCCAACACCCTCCAGGCCAGGCGACTATTTTCCCCAACGAAGTACGAAGTGGTGTACATGATAAGTACCACTCCCCGCCCGCCCCCTCCTCCCCCGTTCAGTTGCGCCTGCACTTTGCAGCCATTGATGATTGCAGCCCGTGAAAGTACTGCGATTGAAGTACTGCAAGTACGCGAGTACCTCGACTTCGAACGGAAGGTCCATTGAATTATCAATTACCGCTGGTACCAGAGCTTTGCACAAGGCGAGGCAGGTGACACCCGAGTTCAGCAGCACCGAACTATTACTTCCTACTTCATCCATCGACCTCGACCTCAACCGCGACCACGCTCTCCTCTCAACTCTTCTCTCAACCCTCCCGCTCCCTCCATCCCCCTTCTACCCTAAACGGCCATTGCACGCCATCTGATCGTTCCTTGGCTCAGCCAATTTTCATCCCAGGTTCCTTGCTGGGTTCCCTCCCAGACCCAGCTGGCCTTGCTCCTCGTTGTCGTGCCTGTCCTGTCCTGGCATCCTGTCTTGCTTATCTTGCTTATTGCCGTGTGTGTAAAAGACACCGTCCCTCCCCCGCCTGCCGGTCTTCTTTCGGACTTATTCCGACGATCTATCGGTTCCACCTTGTCTCTGTGGCTGGCCTTCAGCGATTCGAAAAGTTACTAGATTACGAGGGAGAAGTGAGCCGGAAAAAACATATCCTCATACATTTTTACTATCCGGTTCTTCACGTCACCGTTGTGTTGCTTGCTTCATTTCCCTGTTTCTTCCCTGGACGTTGCTGGTCTATGCCATTGATCTAATGAGGCATTCTGGTCGTAATTTGAACATCCCTTCCTACCACTGAGAACCGAACTTCAAAAGAGTCAATCCAGGCAATCTCCACCGAAGCCTCGAAAGCGATTTACGCATCTTTTACTATCCTTTTCTTTTTTGTCGCCTCTCGTCATTATCTATCTGGAACCTCGGCTTGATTTCCCATCTCTGGTTGTGCAGTTTATAGAGTTCGCGAAAATTTCCAGTTTTCAGCTAGTCCGAGGACGAGAATACCTCTGTGGTCCACAATCTTTCCCGATTCCTGCCGTCAACGCCCTATAATTCGGGACGAAGCTCCACCGCATCCGCCGCATATTCCTACCTATCCTTCCTCGCTTCGATTAGCAGGCTAAGAATCTGCACTTTCGCTTCTTCCCTTCAGCCCTGTGACCGCCGGTCGGCGCGCCGCCGATATGTCGGGATTCTCGGGCTATGGTGGGGGCTACGGTCCGCCGCAACCTCCCCCAGGCGGTTACTACCCGTAGGTCTCTTCATTCGGCAGAAAACCGCAGGCTCAAGTCTACCCTTCTGATACCCTGGATGTGCCGGGTGACGAGGCTGCCTAGATGTGGAGAGTATGGTTCTAACTACGTGCATCTATAGCCCGCACACGCAACCTCTTCCTCACCCTCAGCATCCTCCCTACACCCTCTATCCACAGCCGATGCCGCCGCAGTTTCCCCCTCAGGTACCTTTCGGCTACCCTCAGCAACAACCACCGCCTTACGCATACGCTCCCCCGGTACGTATTCTCGCCGTGGTGCGGAACGAATGTTCTCTGCGACGATCATCAGAGAACTAAGACTAACACTACTCACTGGTAGACCACTCTTCCGCAGCAACCCTACCCCCCATTTGCTAATCCCTCTCCGCACCCGGGCCAAACTAGTCCAACGAGTGAGTATCCATTCTTTACCGCGCTCGGTGGACAAAGAGAGGCTGAACCAAGCTCTACCACCCATCTAGCGGGACCCCTTCCGCCACAACAGCAGCAGCCACCTCGAGGTCAACCGCAGCAGCAGTCTCCAGGATCTCAGGCCGGTAGCCATAACAGCGCGCCCCTCCCTCTCCCTCCGACTGGCGCGCAACAATTCGGCCACGGCGCACCTCCCTCCTACGCCTATCAGTACTCGAGGTGTACGGGCATCCGAAAGGCCCTTCTTATCGGTATCAACTACTTTGGCCAGCGTGGCCAACTGCGGGGATGTATCAACGATGTGCGCAACATGTCGGCCTACCTGGTGACGCACTTCGGCTACAAGAGGGAGGACATGGTTATTCTCACAGACGATCAACAGAATCCCATGAGCCAGCCGACGAAGCAGAATATTCTGAGGGCGATGCATTGGCTAGTGAAAGACGCGAGGCCAAATGATGCGCTGTTTTTCCATTACTCGGGTACGTGCATATCTGGAGGCAAAGAGATGGAGACATCCCTCGCCCTTTCCGCTTCCGACGAAAACCTACACGCCCAGGTTATGGTGTGGGTGAGACGCGGTGTTATGGAAAAGTACTAACAATTATCTAGGACACGGAGGGCAGACGAAAGATCTAGACGGAGACGAAGTAGACGGATATGATGAAGTCATTTACCCTGTTGATTTCCGACAAACGGGACATATTACCGACGATGAGATGCACCGGATTATGGTCCAACCTCTTCAGGCCGGCGTGAGGCTCACAGCTATCTTCGACTCGTGTCACTCGGGTACCGCCCTCGATCTTCCCTACATTTACTCGACGCAGGGAATCATGAAGGCACCCGACCTTGCAAGAGAAGCGGGTGAGGGCCTCCTCCAAGTTGTATCGTCTGGTAGTCTTAGCGAGGCGGCCAACGGCTTTACCTCTCTGTTGAAGAGGGCAGCGACGGGCCAGGAGGCTCACGAGAGGACGATGATGACAAAGACGTCGCCTGCTGATGTAGTGATGTTTTCGGGCAGCAAGGATAACCAGACCTCGTTCGTCGACTCCGACTTCTTGCCCCCCCTCGCCTGCATAAGAGTTGTTTTTGCTAATGTCGCCCGTTTAGTGCTGACGAAAACACCGGTGCCATGTCCTGGGCCTTTATGTCGGCCCTCAAGAAGAATCCCCAACAGAGCTACGTCCAACTGCTCAACAGCATCCGCGACGAGCTCTCCACGCGTTATACGCAGCGTCCTCAGCTCTCGTGCAGCCATCCTCTCGGTGCGTGGTCTTCATCTTTATGCGTGTTTTAGTCCGCGTCCTCTATCTACCCTTGCCATCGCCCCAGCACATGACGCCGAGCTCCGCGGTCGCCATGGTTTTCCTGATTCTACTTTTCCTACCATGTCGAGTTAAAAAAAAGTTATTGTGCTACAACGAACATTATCTCTGACATTTTTTTGCCCTTTCTTTTTATCTCGGAACAGATACCGACTTGATGTTTGTTATGTAACTCTTCTCCCCCGAGAGATTGTTAAGCCCGAGTGAGATGGAATGAGATTTTAAGGCAGAGTGATGAAACATTTTCTTTTTTTTTTTGAGGCCTATCGACCGTCTATCTATTGTAATAGACTCCCTTTGTGTTAGAGGTGTTTTGAGTTGGATCTCCGAGAGATGGAGGAGTTCGTTGGGGCATGGGAAGGTTGTATAATGTGACTACCCCCAATGATATGGCTGGATGAGGACACTCTGACTCTGTACTCCTTTGGTGCCATGTGCCGTTGAGCCAAACTATATGAGTGTAGATACTCGAAGTATTCAGCTTACTACCACTTGTGGGGAGGAGGTTACAGAGAGGATGAGGGAAAAGGTTAGAGGAGTTAGTTGCTAGTGCTTACACGAGAGAAAAGAGAGCCGCCTCACAATTCATCACCAAGATGGAAGGGTGAGCGAGGGTGAATAATAACAATCATAAACTCTTTCATAAGAAAACTCCAACTAATAACCGTCTCGGTATCCTATCTTATCCCAATACTCTAGACAGACCAGGAAAAGAAAAGAAAAGAAAAACTCTAGTCTGTGCGAGGGGGAAAGAAAAATAAAAGAACCCATGAATGCTCGAGCTCATGTCCGATGCCATTATCCCACAAGGCCTCATTGCAAATGCATAGAAAAACAATAGAACCAAGAATTGCTTTGCCAGTCAAACAACCAACCTCCAGAACCCCTGCGGCAAAGACTCGAACAAAAAAGAAAGGCAGGACTCAAGCAATAACACCCCTGCCACCAAGCCCCGACTGCCTCCCCGCCCTCCTCCTCCTCTTCATATCATCCACGCAAGCCGCCAACCTCCGCCTCTTCTCCTCCTGCTTGGCCCAAGCGCGGGCGGCGATGCGCGCGCGGGCGATGAACCGGGCCGCGAGGGCGACGGTGCGGAGTGTCGGTCTAGGGGGCGCGTCGGTGGGTGTGGATGCTGCTTCGGATCCGTCCTTTGCGAGGAGGCGTTGGCGGCGGGTGGGGGGAGGGGATTTGCGGGAGCCGAGGAGTTCGGTGCGGATGCTTTCTAGTTCGCGGAGTTGTGCTTTGTTGCTGTAGGGGGAAAATTAAAGTTAGTACTGTTTCGGGGGGGAGGGAAGACTTAAGAAAGGGGGGGGGGAGGGGGGAAAGAAACATACCATGCGTTGGCGACGTCAAGCTGGAGCTGAAGGAACTTCTTCGCATACCCAGCATCAGCGCGCAAACCAGCCTCACGCTCCCACCTCTTCTGCATCCACTCCATCTGCATAATAAGCCCCCGAATCTCCTTCTCGTGCCTATGGTCCTTGTCCATATCCTTCTCTTGGTCCGCCGCAGCTGCCGCCGACGACCTGACACTGTTTACCGCCGTCCTCTCGCTAGAAGCCGACAACCGGAGAGCCCCGTTGTCGAGCTCTCCGACCGCCTGCGCCGCCTTGAGCGCCTTGACGTCCCGCTGGAGCTTCTCGGCGCTGACGCGATACGCCGCCCTCTCGCTGCGCGCACGCTCGAGCTTCTTCCTCAGAGAGGCCTCGGCCGCCAAGAGCGACTCGATCATTTCCTGCTGCTGCCGGACGTCGTGCTCAAGCGCCTCGGTCTCGGCTTGCTCCTTGCGGAGGAGGCTCTGCAGGTCCCGTCGCTCGGCGGCGTTGGAACTGTCCTCGGTTGTCTTCTTCCTCGTCGTCGCCGCCGCCGCCGCCGCAGCGGCAGCGGCATCGCGCTCGGCCTTTTCCAGCTTCTGTTTTAGCTTCCGGACGAGACGCTCGTGTTGGGCGGTAGCCTCCTCGGATTCGTTCTTGGTATCCTCGAGGGCTTGTTCGAGGGCGAGCCGCTCATCCTCGAGCTCTTCGAGACGCATTTGCACTTCCTTCGACGACTGGGAAGCTTTCCTTTCGGCATCGCGGAGCTTAATCTTCAAATCGTTCATCGTCTGATGCGCGGCAGTAAGCTGGTGTCGCAGCTCAGCAATCTCGCTCTTCCGGATCGAGCCGTTAGAAATCGACCCCGGGGACGCAATCAGCCTCGACATCTCCGCTTCGTGAACCTGGCGCTCGAGCTCCGTAATCTGCCTCTTGAGCCCCCTCACAACGTCCTTGTGCGCCGTCTCCTTCTGGAGGTAATCGAGCTCCTTCGCCCGGGCCTCTGTGAGATCCCTCCGGATCATCGACAGCTCGCTGTTACCCTCGCCGGCGAAAGCAGGGTTATTGTTGCTGGAGGCGGTGGCGAGCTGCAGCTCGTAGTCGTCGACGCGTCGCTGGAGCTCCCTGATGGTGCGGCGGGCGGCGGCGAGGTCCTGGTTGTCGGAGGATGACGATTGTCGTAGCTTGGTCTGTAGCTGCAGGATCTCCTCGTTGAGTCGCTCCTCCTCGCGGGCGGCGCGGTCGATCTCCGCGTCGAGGGATTCCTCGATGGCGCGGCGTTCCTCGGATACCAGCCTGTTCTCTTCTTTGAGTCGGCGTACTTCGTTGTCGAGCTTGATCTTGGCGGTGCGGAGGTCGACCCTCTCCTGGTCGAAGCGGTACGTTTCCTCGCCATGCTTCTGGGATCGGTGAAGCTCGCTCTGGAGCTCGTCCCTCTCGGCCTTGACCTCCGCGAGGGTGGACCGTAGTGAATGCAGGTCGATGTTGGCCGTGGCAAGCTGATCTTGAAGGGTCTGCTTCTCTTTGGTGAGTTGGGACAGCTGAGTGGACGTTGAACTAAGCTGATCGCGAAGCCTGTCCAGGGAGCCCGATGTTGCCTGGGCCGTCTCGTGTGAGGCGTTAGTAGCGCTCTTGGCAAGGTCAGCGGCGTGACGAAGAGTCTCGACCTCCCGTCTAAGGCTCTCACACTCCTTCCTGGCCTTGTCCAGGTCCTTGCGTGACTTATCGGAGTTGTCGTCGAGGGCAGCTTGGAGCACGTCCACCTCGTCCTCCAGGGAGTTGACCCGCTCGGTCTGGGCCTGGAAATCGAGGTGCGACTGGCGAAGTTCGTCTCGTACACTGGAAATTTCAGTCCGTAAGTCGGTCAGCATGGCCTGGCGGCTATCGAGAGTCTGCTGCAATTCCTGAATCTGCCGGGTAAGGATGGCTTCCTCGTTCTTATGGCGTTCCGTCTCGCTCTGGATAGCCTCCTGAAGCTTCGTCTCCTTGTTGGATAAGGTTCCTTCAGCCTCGCGCAGCTTGTCAATCGTCTTCTGCAACCCAGCTGCCTTCTCCTCGGCGCGATCGCGCTCGGATTCGAGAGTGCGCTTCTCCGATTCCCACTTGTCGCTGTCATTATCGTACAGGTTATCCCTCTCCCTAATCTCGGCCTGGAGGTCGGAAATCTCGTCGTTGAGTCTTTCGATTTCTTGTCGGTACTGATTCCTGAGATCCCGTTCGATATCAAGTGCGTGCTGACGTTCCTTGCTAAGGCTATCCTCGAGCTCACTGATGGAGTGTTTAAACTGGGTGATTTCTCGTTGTAAGCTAGTAGCCTCGGATCTGAGAGTGTCGTTTCTGGTCTCCAACATGCTGATCTGGTCCTTTTGCGCGTCGAAATCCGCCTTCAGGTCGCCATACTCAGATTTGAGCGTTTGCAGTTCGCGGTCAGAGGAATCTCGCTCCCTCTTGCCCTCCCTGAATTTGGTCCTCAAATCTTCGTTTTCCTTATGGCACTCCGAGAACTGCCTCTCTAGATCCGCATAGTCGTGACCGGCCTGGTCTAGTTCGTTCTGTAGCCGGGTAACCTTTTCCTCGATTTGGCGAGACAGACCCTTTGTGACGACAGACTTGTTTGCCATCTCTTCTTGCAGCTCTTCAAGATCGTTCTTGGCACGCTCCTTTTCGGAGATGGCGTCGGCGAGCTTGTCCTTCATCTCATCAACCTGGGCCTCGAGGACGCGAACATTCCGCTCTAGGTCATCAATCGTTTCGTGGGCCTCGTCGAGTTCGTGATTGTTCTGGGCCTTTTCCTCCAGTCCGATAGCACGACGCTGAGCCGCTTTCTTGTCAGCCTCCGACTCAGCTAGGCTCTTTTTTAACCGCTGAATCTCTTCCTGCTGCTGTTCTATTAAGTCGTCCTTTGCTTGGGCATCACCGTTAAGCTTATCCTTGAGATCGTCGATGTTGTCCTCGTGCTCGCTAATGACTCGGTCTTTTTCTCGGATATCCGCTTCGAGGTCCACAATCTCGTCACGGAGCTTGTCCACGCGAGCTTGATCCTTCTGGCCCTCGCCTAATTCGTGTTTTAGGTCCTCGATTTCGGCTTCCTTGTCGTCGAGGATGCGTCGCAGTTGTTCCAACTCCGCCTTTTGGCTCTCGTCGGCATACTTTTTCTTGGTGCGTTCTTGAAGCTCCAACATTTGTTGCCTAAAAGTCTCTAGGTCGCGTTCGGCTGTGGTAAGATGTTTCTTGTATCGATGTAGTTCCCTCTGCATTGTGACTTTGTCGACCTTCAGCTCGGTGTTCTCCTTGAGAGCGGCCTCGCTGAAGCCGGGGCCAGCCTTCCGCAAGGCCTCTTCGAGGAAGTGGATCTTGAGTTTTAGGCCAAAATTCTCCTTCTCGATCTTATCGATTACATTCTCCTGTTCCCTCAATGATAGCTGGTTGCCGTCTTGTAAGGGTCCTTTTCCATTCCCGCGTCGCGTCGGGAGCGCCATGGGTGTTGAGGCGGTACTACTGCTGTCTACCACGGGCATTGTCGCATCGGCGTATGATTTCGAAAACATCGATACCTCTCCGGCGGGGACCGGTGTAAGGTCGCTGTCAAGCGTGTCGAAGGCGGGCGTCGCGGGGACTCCATTCTCCTTGCCAGCGCGACGCACACTTCGCGTTGCTGACTTGAGCATTGGGGTAAACTCGGCGCCGCCAAGATTCGCCGGGAGGTTCCGCCGGTCATGGAATGGTGCTCGACCGCGCGGCGTGCGAAGATTTAGGCCGCCTGAGCGGCCGTTTCGAAGTTGGTTGAGGAGGTTGTTGCCATCTTTGGGAGGGGAGAGGAAGGAGGGTTCTTGGGTGATGTCGAAGTCGGGGCGGCGGCTGAGGTATGTCGCGTCTCCTGGGTTGGTCCGAGGAGTGTCGAGACTGTCAAAGCCCGGCTGGACCATTGTGCCGGTGTTGACAGCAGGTGTGTCGTAGATGCGGTGTGTTTTCGAGGCGCGTGGTGAAGACGGTTATCTCATTGACACGTCGAGTTTGGTAGAAATATGTAAAAAATAGAATGACAACAGTGGCTACAAGATATACCACTCTGCTATCGACAATAGCCCGCCAATATTTTCGACATGGAAAAGGAAAAAAAAGAAAAAAGTTGCTGTCTTGGTTGTGACGTGAAGTTGGGAGCTCTGATGATATGCTGGTGGATAATACTTTGTATGGATGGTGGGAGAGGAATTGGAGCGCGTCTTGTTTACTTCAATCCCGATTTGGACTAGCGCAGGAATTAAGTGGGGGAGACAGTTTGTTGTGGCTTGGGGTTGGTCAAGGTCTTGTCGGCAAGCCGGGGGGCTTGGTTCACACGAGGATTTACCGGAACAGATGTGTCAGCAAACTGAAGAGGGAAAGAGCGAAGGCACTTGGATTCCTGCGCGCTGAATTGTACAACAAACGAGTTATTCTTCCCATTTCCCCTTCCGTCATCATGTGAAGAACAAATCCTATAGCTGTTGAATATTGACAACAACTAAGCTTGATTGCTGATTCTGTCCTCGACATCGAGAGACCCGCTTGGAAGCTTGAAGCAGGGTTGCCACATCGTCAACATGGTCGTCTAGTTGTCAATAGCCCATGCGCCAGATTCGTAGAGAATCGAGCAAAGTGGTATTAATACGGCCCCAATTACATCGGAAACCCAAGAAGCTACAAAATTTGCCTACTTTTTTGTTGGTTCTCGCTCACATATCTGCAGCGCAGCAAGATTCCCAAAATTCCTGTCCGATATTTCAAGTTCCATTGGAGCTATCATTCGATGGTTCAATATTAATTTTAAGAGCACCCCACCCGATCAATATCTGCAAGACGACGGTGCCACGACATGATACCAGACGTTGAAGTCTAGTATCAAGGAGGGTGACCCAGGTAACATGTGATCATGGAAGGCGTCAAGACGTAGACGTGGTCTTGCATTGATCCAAGTCAACAGCTCCTTGACACTTGGCAACGGTGAACAAGATGAAAAGACGTAGCAACCAGTAAGGTCCGAAATGCACGGCTATTTTAAGTAAAGCGCAACGCCTTTGGGTTGCAAGATACACTACTAGACCTGACAACAATCGGTGAATCCTCGTGGTCTCCAAGTACGAAGTAGTTTACTCAGCAAATGGTTGGAGCACACTCGCCCCTATCTTGCGCCAGGAAAGAACGAGTAAGTGTAAGCGGTCGTCTGGCTCAGGACCAGGGTCTTCAGTTGGAGGCAAACCGTGGTAACGGGTGGTGGGGCCATCGAGGCGTGGAATTAAGAACGAGAACCTAATGGAATTCACCAATCAATCGATATATGCGAGCACAGTAACTGCTCCGGGCTCTACGAGCAAGGCCCAACTGAGGGAAGTCATGTCGTAGTCTACCTCCATTTCTTGGAAGTTCGGTTCGGCGAGATTGCGGATTCGCCACTTCTGGACCTATTGATTCATTTAGAGGGAGAGAGCGCAACTGCAAGGAATGAAGAGCAAAGTCCGCAATACAGAGTACGGAGTACGTAGACCCCCAATACAATCCATGTCGAGCTCGTCCTGTTCCTTTGGCCCTACGAACTAGAAGCAGTACCTTATTTTAACGGTGCCTAAAAGTTCCAAGGGTCGTGTCTAGAGTTTAGAATTGAGTTTAATCATATCCAATGAGGAGGAGATCTGCCCCGCGATAAAGGATCGATCGCATGGGAACTCTTGGAGCTTGGGAGCTTGGTGGGGTAACAACCCTCCTCCATTGTCCCCCTCTGGGCGAAGTACTGATCATCGTCCTTCTTACAAAGTGTGTGGACTGGACGTGAGAATTGTTCAGGACCCCCAATCACTCGGCATTGTGCGGCAGGACACGGCACGATGCCAGATGACCTTGATCGACCCTTTGATCAGGAGCTAAACAGCACTTCATGCTTCGGAGGGGGTTGCATTCAACGCGGCCCCCGTAATACATGACATCGGGGGATACTTTCAGCGAGTTGTTCGGAGTTCGGATGCAACACTAGCGACTCTCGGAGTGGCTGCATGGTGGGTTGCAGGGTCCTCCGAGGAGCTCTGTTCATCCACGGTTGTGTCTGGCAAGCTCTCCACTGATGAGCCCGTTCGTCTGAGTATTTTTTGGTCGCGAGACGTCACATGTGCAACAGAGGTTTACTTCGTATAGAGACCTCCACTGTTTTGAGGTTACTCTTTGAGAGTTTGTCTTCGGCGGTTCTCGAGTACCGAGCGAGTTTACGCTGCCCGATCCGATTTGCATTTTCACACCCACCTATATCGCACGTCTTATTTTCAAGATGCATAATCGACCTCCCTAGCTGGTCTCGCCCTACCGGCCATGGTCATCATGGGACTGATGAAACTGTCCGCGCAAAATATATATCTTTGCGACGAAACCACACTGGCTTTGCATTACCGACTTGACCAGACTCCAAACTCTGAAGCACCCCGCCCGAAGAGGCCTAAGGGGTTGCATTAGCCTCGCAGCCATTCATTCCACGAAGCTCCCTTGAGGGGCCGGAGCTTGGACTGGTGGTGGACTTGTAAGCTACAAAGGACGAAGTACTTAGTAGTAATAATAGTGGATAAGAATGATCATGCAGCTTGCCTCCTGCTCCCTCCCTGCTCTATTCCTCTTTCGAAGCTGCACGCATCGTCTCTGTCGGTCTCTGTCGTGTGTTCTTGTCCATTTTCCTGGTAGCGGAACCTGGCGTCCATTCTCTAGCGCCGATCACCCCCAAACCGTCCGGTCTTATAGCCCCCACCCCTCCACCTCCTCTTGTCCCTCCCAATCTTCATCTAGATTAATAGTAGGGAGCCTCAGTGTACCTGTGTATCCCACACCCGGGTCTCGACTTGTCGCCTTCCTATGCCATACCGAGTACATACTTAATAACCCTTGTTTCTCGCTACGCTAGGCTGCCGCCTCTCTCCATGCGTCCAGACCAGTAATAGCGCCGAGTAGGCAGGATGGGAGAGAAAAGACCTACTTCATACAGGAGCTGACCCAAGATAGGTGTTCTGCTGTGGGTCGACGATGGCATCTGATTGATGAGAACAGGGGCAATACTTGTAGAGTCAGGTGTCGAAGCGCTGGCCGAGTAATACTTTGTGAAATAGTAGATATTCGATGCCTGTGCCACGCCGTTCTCTTCCCCATCTATCTCCTCGGTTTCTAATATTTGAAGGGGCATTTACACTCGGGCTGTCAAGGCAATTACCAATTCTCCTGCAATCTCCTGGCGCCAAGTCTTGCCTTTGGCTGGAGTGCTGTCCAGTGACCACCAAGACTGTTTGGACCACTGGAAGACGAGCATTGGCACTCGCATATCCAAGCTGGGCAATGCTAGGTTTTAAGAGAATACGAGGAAGATATTCTCACTGATCTTGTTCTTCGAGACTTGCCACAACTCGATATTTAATCATTGCGATACCCCCTCGGCCTTCATCCCAGTGGACGTTGAAAATCGAAACCTTGTTGACACCGAGCATCCCATCCCCCTTTTTCATCTCTCCTTCGCATCGCAATATCTCGTGTCATCAGGCAATTGATTACCGATTATCTCTCCAACCTAAACAGAGCAACCTGTCCCTGATATACGAAATATAATCTCGGCGACCACAATCAGTCTCTCCCGTTCCCATAGCATCTTTCGATTGTGCCGAGTCCTTGCCTTGCCAGCTCCATCTAAGAAAAAGTCGAAAACGGCCGTCCCGCCCTAGAATTGCCAGTCCCACGCGGGTTGCGCGCAAGGCGGTTCCAAATATCCGGGTCCTTCCATTCCCGTGTTGTGTCTTTGGCGTTACAGGCAGGGGAGGATAACGTTCAATTCATTTTGGGGGGCGCCACCGACACCGGCGAACACCTGAAAGTTCGCGCCATCAGCGCCTTCCTTCGCCCACTTTACACCAAGTCAGCGCACCTGCCCAATTTCCCAGGTCAAGCTCTGCTGACCTCATCGTTACGATTACCCCTCCGTCGCAGACTCGCCCTGTCGCACATCCCTTTGGCCTCTGCTCACTCGACCGCCGCCTCGCATTGAATTTATTGCTCGACCTCTTCCTCCTTAATTTCCTTTTTCTTTGCTTTCCCCTCTTCTCCCTTCTTCGACAACACCATCCGGATAGCCACATGGAGGCGGAAGCGACGACACAGCCGAGGATACCGGCCTCGCTGGAATTGTTCCCCAACGAGATCATCCTGCACATCCTATATTTCCTCCCTCCAGAGGACAACCTCCTCTGTTTCCAGCTGCTATCGAAGCGCCTTAACGACCTCGCGAACAAGCCGTTCCTGTGGAGGCACCACTGCAGCAACGCCTTCAAGTATTGGAACCCCGACCACGAGTTCCAGAGGAAGCTGGAGGGCCCGGTGTCCGACGTCGACTGGAAGCGGTTGTTCATCTTGCGAAAGCAGAGGAACGCGCGCATAGCGCATCTCTTTGACGGAATACTCGCGACGAAGCTCGGTCGGTTACGGAAGTTCGAACAGATATGCCATCTTGGCTACGATGCGAAGGAATTCTTGCTAGACCAGTGCCACGTCGACGACTCCGTTGAGGATGTTCTTGCTAGGAGGTAGGATTTCTTAAACCAAAACCACCAATTTGCCAGCGAATGAATCGCAAAGAAGCCTTGAGCCCAGAAGAAGGCAGCTTGTAAATGATATCACCATCCGTCTCCCTGAAACATATTTAAGATCCATGGCGCGTGTTACGAAGGAAATACCCACGTGAGCGGCAAGGGAATATTGTATTAACACCCCAAGATGCGAAGAAAGAGAAGGTGAATGAGAATGAGAGAGGATAGATTGGACAGTTGTTCTTTTGGTCTCAACTCAGAATATCCAGCTAGCAGCCCGTTTGTTTTTGTTTTGCTTGTCTTTTTATATTTCCTTACCTCATACTTCGGACGCTTGTAGCTAAACTAGTCTCCCTCCTCAGGTATCACGCAAATTCAATATTGGATAGCATCCACCGGGAAGTAGCCATTAAAGAATGGAAGTCATTCCCCCGAGATATAGAGATCAATAACGGACATGACACCGTGCAGACGGCTGGCGGTCGCCGCTTGAATACGACAGTTGAGCGGTGCCTTGCCGCCTTTGACATGTTCATCCTCCATGACCAGCCGGGCGATGTGGACGAAGCAAGTAGCCCCCCTCCCCTTCCTCCCCCTCTGTGCCCCACTGTCCCTTGCCGAGATCTCCTCCGGGCGGGTGGGATGGCTCGCGGTTGCCCGCTGCCCTGCTTGAGACCGGCATACACTATCATTGGTTGATTTGCTTTGACGACTGTGATTTCTAACTTCGACTTTAGATCTCACAAATGCTCGACAACCTCGCGGCTCGATTTCGTCGTCTTCACCCGGATTTTGACGACCTATCAACAAGAGACAAGGCTCTGACCTTGAATCTCTGGCTGCGATCACAAAAGTTACTCGGCATGGACTCTCCTGGCCGGAATTACCGCAGGTTACGAAACTGCTTCATCGGCCAAGCTCTCCGATACTCGCCTCACCAATCCCTTCCTCTAGTATCGAGTGCCATCTACTGCTCCGTAGCCGATAGACTCGGATTCGATGCGCGGCCCTGCCTCTTCCCTAGCCACGTCCACACATTAGTATTCCCTCCCTCGGGCGTATCTCTCGATGGCGTGCCCCTCCAACCGGTAGAGGATAGCGATGAACCCCCTCCTCTCCCCGAGGGCATGCATCTAGATCCCTACGGCACGGACGAGGAGGTTCCTAAGAGCTACCTTCTAGCCCTGCTTGCCAACTTCGGCTGGCAAGCCAATGCCGACGTCTTCCTCTCCTCCGCGCAACCCCGAAACCTTATCATGCGCCTCGCCCACAACATCCGAGCGGCTTTCACCCCCGACCTATCCGGCCCCAACCAGCCCGAACCCTACGTCCCCGCATCTGACACATCCCGCCCCACCAGCGGCAGTAGCGTCATCAACCGCGACGCCGCCCTGCTAGCCTTCATCTGGGCCCGCCTGATGCTCCTCCCGCCCAACGGTCTCGAATGGGTCGATTCGCTTCACCGCATCTTCGACCGCCTCACGACCTCGTGGATCGGCGACACCTGGCTTATCGAGAAGTACATCTGTCCCCTCTACGATATGGCGGGACCTCACGGTCAGGTCTGGGATAACCCCCGGAATCTGGTGCAGACGAAGAGGGACCAGGATATGGTTAAGCTGCGCGTTCGGAGACGGAGCGAAACGACAGCGAATATCAGGTACAAGGTTGGTCAGGTCTTTCGGCATAGGAGGTTGAACTTTTTGGGCGTTATTACGGGGTGGGCGGATGATGGTCCGCCTGTAGCGCCGGAGGATATCATGGCGCCAATTGTCGATACGAGCGAGAGCGGGACCGTGTATTATACCTGCATGTGAGTTTACACCACAAGGACCCTAAAGATCTAGGGGGAAATGCTAACTTAGTGTGATTAGGCGCATGGATTCCCTCAACCAGGTGAAGGTTCTCCAGCACACTATTCTCCCGGTCTACGATAGGGCTCAGATCCCCGACGAGCTGTTTGAACTTGCGGGGCTTTACTTTAAACGGTTTGATAAGAAGACGTGCAGGTTTGTCTCGAATATTCGGGAAGAGTATCCTGACGATTAAAATTTGAGTGTTTATGCCCATGGAGGAATTCGGGGGATAGGCTCCCCATGTCTAGGCGACGAGAGACTATGTGCTTAACAAGTTCAGTCTCGAATACAACTATATTTACAAAGGAGATTTTTATTATAGAATGGTGATGTTGATATATTTTGTCTTTTTTGTCTTGTAAAACGTAAACATCATCGTAGGAGCTATAGGAACTGGAAGACAGTCGGATTGTGCCGATATATCCGTAAAAACTCTTATATTGAGTGGTACCTTCTCATTCTCTCCTCCGGAATAGAAGCATGAAGAGTATGACCTCAATATGAAAATGATAAAAAGCAAGCCAACAAGTATGGCTCCAGGGTCAATAGATATCGATCCTAGACATCGCCAGGATGAACCTCTGCGCATCCACACACCGTCCACAGCCACTTAGCAAACAAAGCCAAAGCTAACAAACACCCACCCCCCTCCTCACCACCCTCAACTGACTTCTTCTCCCTAGAGAAGGAGGAGGATGAGGATGAGGTGGTGGTGGTATCCGAAACAAGACCCCGGGATTCATAAACCATACCATGCTCAAGGCACCGATATTTCTCTCGACGCGCTGCCGTGCCACAGCGCCGCTCCTTCCGCCAGCGAACCTCTTCAGAATCCTACGTAGCTAGGTCCTCCAGCAGGCCCTTCTCCGCCAACTTCTTCACCCAGGCGTGGATGGCCGGGGTATAATCCTTCTTGCGGCCCTTGACGGCCCTTTCGGCGTCCTCGACGAAGGCCACCTCCTTTTCGTAGTCTTCGATTAGGTGCCTTAGGCGGCTGAGGATCGAGGCGTGGTAGTCTACACAGCGCTGAGGTAGTTCGGTGCATTCGTCAGAGAGGTCGCTGAGGATGGGTTCGAGGTCTTGGGGGAGGGGCGCGGCGGAGATTATGGCTTCGGTTAGTTGGAAACGCGAGAGGTCGGGGTTGGCTTCGAAGAAGTTGAAGGGGTGGGAGCCTTGGAGGGTGGTCCAGTCCTTTGTGCAGAGCGGGGTGAGGCGGCGGAGTTCGCGGAGGGAGTGGATTTGTTGGGAGATTTGGGCGGTGATGGTGGGGATGGGACTGCGGGATATGGCGACGAGGTTGAACTCGAGACCTTCGTCGTATTGACACATTCTGCTATAGAGATGTTCGACGGCGTCTGTTTCCCACGACGTGGGGTCAATGGGGCCTGCATTCTCATTAGTATATGGGTGTAAATCATGCGTAAATTGAATGGGCAACGGAGGGTTGAAACCTACCGACTTTCAAAGGCCGGGATCGAAGGCCGTCAAGCTCCCACAGGGACTCGTTGACGGGAACATAAGCAACGTAGTGGAAACCGGCATCAGACTTCGGGGCTTTCTTCTTGGTAGGCTTTCCCTTCTTGGGTTTCTTGGTGGCTCTTCGCGCCTTCTTCCTGTACTCCATGGCCTTGTCATGGAGCCACAGGTCGGTATTCAGATGATCCATGCGTCTGTTGAAAATGAATCAGAATGTATGCAAATGGAAGATGTATGAGGGAGTACGAGACGGCGGCGGTTACATATGAGGAGATCGGGGGAGACTCCAAGATAGTCCCTACCTTGTGAATGAGTTATGGACAGTTCTCATGAATTGGTTTTCTGCGAGGGCCTTGCCGCGCCGCGCACTGCTCATGCGCTGGGTCGCCTCTTTGAATCGCCGCAGCTCTTCTCCTAGCTCCACTGCAGGCGAATTCATGAGAATGTTGATCATGGCAACTGTCGCGCATGCATTATCAACCGTCTGACGAGTTTCCCATGTTAGGCAAGAAGACAGGAGGACGATGGAGGTGGGGAGAGTCGTGCTTTTTTTCAAACTTACTTGGTTTGCGAACCAGACATCTTCGGTGTCGGATTCTTCCTCGACGTCCCAGTCGTCATTAACGTACTTGAAAAGGAATACGAGGCCATAAACCGGTTTCCTAGAAGAGGTGGGCATCAGACATTGTTCGAGGAATCAGTGTCATGGACAATACGCACGGTAGGAGAGCCAAGTCGCCGAGATCAAAGAGTTCTGTGACTTTGACGTCTTTGACCTGAAGGTCGCGCAAAATAGTATTGAAGAAGGCCTGGGTATAAAGATGTTAAAATGACTGGAGGGATATTCCAAGAGGCGATGTGGAAAGTGACCAAGGCTTACAGGATCAGACTCGAACTCGATCCATCCTTTCCATTCACTGAGCTCTTCTTGAGTCAGGGGAGCAAGGGCTTCTTCGAGGAGGTTATCTGGGATTGGAATGTCACTTAGTGGGGGGTCCATGAGGGCTGATGATGCCGTTCGCTTCGGGTTACGTCTGGCCCCAGCCGTAGCACTGCCGTTTAGACCAGGAGCACCAGGCTCTTCTTTCGGCAAGGCATTCCCGACTGGGTTCTGGTTTTCGGTAGAAGCATCTGCGTCAGGGAGATTTTCGGGGAGAGGTGAGAATGCATGAACAGAGGCCTCGGGTGTAGTAGAGCGATGTTCGTTGCTACGTCTGTTTGTCTCTCCTGCACTCTGGCTGGTAGGTGAAAGCGCGGGGTTAGGTGAGGCATGTCGGCTAGGCACAATCTCGTCTGGCGCGATGGATTGGCTAGATTGAGGTAGACTTGAAGATGAGGGCGAATCCGCGCTAGTAGGGCTAGAGGCTGTCTCGGGCGGCGGCGACATCCTGCTTGATTGACCGCTAGTATAACACAGGTACAGAGATGTGGTCTGGGTTGCTCTGGTAATGGCCGGAGTAGCGGCTGAAGAAGGATTTGGTGAAGCTGGAAAGTTGAATCAATATATGGCTCTGGTTGCAAAGAGGAGGTGGCTTTGGTGGAGTTGCAATTGAGATGGAATGGAAGTAATGATCAAAGATCAGGATCGCGAAACGGCAGACTTGGAGAACAATGGATGAGAGAAACTCGAGTCTTGGATCCTGCAAGGTCGAGATTGGGCCGAGATATTCTGGTTATTCTTGGAAAAAGAAAAAAAAAATGTTAAAAGAAAATGATTCAATATTGATAAAGGGAGAATATGAATATAAGTTGATGGAGTTTCTGCTGCATGCTGGGAAGGAACAACTAAATCGTTGAATAGCTTATTGAAGCCAAAAGAAGAGAAAGGAGGCATGTACTCACTTGTCTAAGTAGGGTCGTTGTTTATCAAGACCACAATCTGCAACTCTAAGTCCAACATGTTAACCATGGATGGAGACATTGAGGTAAGGCTCGGAGGCCGAGGTCATTTTCTGAGCGGAACTGGGGAGATGGTGAGGCTAAAATATCCAGTGATTGTTTTACATGGTGTGGAGTAGCTTAGACTCTGGGTAGACCTCAACTCCACATTCTGCTCATACAATCAGGAGAGTTGTCATATGTATAGATCATAGAAACACTTTTAAGACCCTGGTGAGCTCCCTCTATCAACTCTTTTGTTGCTTCATCCCCTGTGAAAGCGAAGGTGAAAGGTCAAAGATGAAAGGTGAAGCTTCAATGTTCTGTTGTTCCTAGCTCAAAGGTGGTCATAGCTTCCCAAACTGGAGAGGAGGGAAGTGCTTTCGGCTATTATGATTGGGCGAAATAGCAGAGAGGCATCAATAATTATGACCAATGAAAACGCAAGAAATTTCCTCCCCTCAGGACTCCATCCTGGTCTCTCAAGTCAAAAGTACCAAGTACTCGGGCACGTTTGGAGGAAGGTCGCGTCCAGGCTACGTTCAATTTTGACGTGAAGCTTCAATTTTAGTAAATTTCGTTGCTTCCAAACAACCAAACGACGACCCTCCCAAGCGTGCACAACGCGCGAAGCCACATCGCGAGGACTCTTGGACGCCTCCCTTCACCCCGAAATTCCCTCGAGTCGTCGAATTCCCGGATTACGGCTGTTTGCCCGGCTTCTCAATGATATAGCCATCTACTGTTCAACAACCCTCAACTAAACAAACAGCTCGTCACCGTCAACACACCACACCACGGGGAAGGCCATGGCGTCGACACCACGCCCGAGGCCGGGGCACTTCCCACAAACCCCAGCGAATGGGCCCCGTGCGAACGGAAGCCGCGCGAACAACCCTCGTGACAGTACTGCCAGCCTCGATAGTGGTATCGGTGGCAGTGGTGGAAGCCGACGAGAAAAGAGATATTCTCTCCCGGACGCCCCCGAGGCGAACCCAGTACAACCCGCCAACCCCCCCGTGATACCGGTCACGGTGATCGATGCCCCGACCCAAAGATTCTACGCCGCGGCCGTCTATGTTGCTCTCCTCTGCTGGAAGCTTTATGATTGGATCCACGTAGTAGAGAACCACGAGGTGTCACTAGCCCTGCTCGTAAAATGGAGCATCATCGACTTCATATATTTGTTTGGCCTCCCCGAGATGAGGATACCATGGCTGGAGCTCTCTCAACAGGCTGTCTTGATCCTCTATGCGGGTCACTTTATCATGAATTACATGTTGATGTTCGACATTCCCGTAAGTCGCACGTTTTACCCCTCTCGCCAGGTTTCGCTGAAGCATGCTCACCATGGCTCTCTTTTAGTTGCCTTTCCAAGGCTGGCTCTTGGCTGCAGGCAAAGCCTTCTTCGACAAGGAAATGGCTCTCTCTGAGCATACCGTTCGCGTGTCCAACATTCTCCACAACGAGTCCCTCATTATGGGAAAGCAGATCATCAACATTCTACCCGAGGGGTATGTAGCAGTGCAACCCCTCCCCTTCGCGCGCCCTCATGTTTGGTTCGTTGATTGCTAATTTGTTTGTTCGTGTAGATCCGCAGTCTTGAACCCAAATGGTACGCCCTTCTGCATCGGACCCGATACCCCGTCTGCTCGACTCCCCATCCGGTTCAACGGGACTATGCCTGTCGAGATTGAGCTTCTCCGTATCGACTTGGAGACGTCGCATCAGGAGGCCGTTAGGCTATCGAAGCGAGAGGTGGCCAACATCGTCAAGGAAATGAAGAACCAGATGTTGGATTCCGGTTCAGAGGAGGCCGAGGGTTGGTACACCGTTAGGAAACCGGGAGTCTATCGCCTTGGCCAGGTTCTGGACGAATACAAGCTGGAGGTCCAACGCACAACTCGAGATACCTACGTCGTCCCCTGTCCGAAGGCGAGCTTCCGCAACCCGGATTCATCCAATCGGTGCATTCGCGATTTGTCCGATCTCTACCTCGATGTTGAAGGAACGGCCCCTCTTAAAATCCTCTACGGACGAACCGTGAACGGCATCGATAACGGATTCCACTTCCAGAGCCTACAACCCGAAGGTTTCACCTCGCCTCTAGTTTCGGCCCCGTCCGGAATTATTGCCACGGATGCAGATATCGATGATATCTCGTGGGTTCGACCGGCTAAGGTCCGCGTCCCTCTTAATGAATCGTTGACGACCGCGGGTGATTGGCAGTACGTTATCAACGAGGTCCATGACGCATTCGGAAATGTCGTCAACTACACTCCATCGCCCGATGACCTTGAGCCTAAGCCACGTCCTAAGCATCTGGTTCAGAACTTCTTCGTGAACGAGCGCCCTCGAGCTCGTCTTCAAGGTTGCGATCTCCGAAACCCCCTAAAGGTCGCCAAGGGCCGCGCCACTAAACTACCTGTCAGCATTGCGATGGCCGGTCCGGCTAGGGACGATACCGGCTATTCAGTTGAATGGCGTTTCACTCCGGTTGACAAGCTCACCGACAGTGGGGATCACGGCGAACACCCAGAGTACGGCTCATTCAATGGAAAGAACTCCAAAGAGGCTCCCAAGATTTCCCAACCTGGCTTGTACACCCTGACGACCGTGACGAGCAAGTACTGCCAAGGTGAAGTCGAGGAGCCATCTTCCTGCATGCTGTTGAATCCTCTCGAACCCCAGCTATCCATCCGTGCTGAGGACATCGCGGATAAGTGCGCCGGCAATTCCGTTGGTCTTCGAGTCGATCTTGACCTCATGGGTACTCCTCCTTTCGTGGTGAGATACGACGTTATCACGAGCACTGGTACAAAGCACGAGTTTGTTGAAATCAAGGGTCTCCGACACCAACTTGAACTTCGACCAAAGGAGGCCGGCAAGCACAAGTATGTGTTTAGGGCTATTGATGACGCCGTATATTCTGGCCAAATCCTCTCTGGCGAGGGTATGACGCTGGAGCAGGATGTCAAGCCCGCCGCATCTGCTACCATCCTACACCCCTCGGGCTCAACGACCGCCTGTTTGGATGACGAAGTTGACGTTGACATTATGCTTCTCGGAGACCCTCCGTTCAGTTTGGAGTGGGAGATTGTTCACGACGGAAAGAAGAAGCCTCTCAAGGTTTCCGATATCATGGAATCTACCTACAGGATCAAGACGGCGCCGTTCACCAAGGGTGGCGACTATGTTCTTGCGCTCAATAGCGTGCAGGATAAGAGTGGCTGCCGCACTTTCCTGAAAGATGAACTCAAGATCTCAGTGAGGCGACAGAAGCCCCGCGCCGGCTTCGGTCTCATCGAGAATAAGCGCAGCGTTATGGCCGTCGAGAACACCAAGCTTGAGCTACCCCTACGCCTCCAGGGCGAAGGCCCCTGGACCGTATCCTATCGTAACAGGGACGTTGATGCTACCTTGGAGACGACAATTACCAACCCGAACGGATACATTCCGGTCAAATATCAGGGTATTTACGAAATCATTGATGTCTCGGATAGGCAATGTCGTGGATCCGTGGACCCTGATGCGTCCACTTTCCAGGTTGGATGGGAGCCTCGTCCGGATATTTCTCTGGCTGTTTCTCGTTCTATTTCGGGCGAGGGCAGGGTCTTCATCAAGAAGGACGTTTGCGAGGGTGATATTGACGGAACGGATATTAACCTTAGTGGTAAGTTGATATTTTTTATGCATCCCAGCCAGGTATTTTGGATGCGTATGTACTAATCCCAGTTCTCAGGACGTGCTCCTTTCCATGTGGAATACGAAGTCCGCCACACAGCTCCAACTGGAAGCGGTACATCGATCCAAAACAAGAAGCTGGATGTCGCCCAATTTAAGGCATCCATTCCCCTGGACACTTCGAAGCCCGGCACCTATGTATACCGCTTCCACTCGTTGGCAGATAATCTCTACAACAGCGACAGGAATTTCAGCCCATTGGTGCTCAAGCAAGTGGTCAATGCCAAACCCACCGCATCCTTTGTCAAACCCGGATCGTCATTCAAGTACTGCATGGCGGAGCAAGAGAAGGAAGACGTTATCCCCATCACCCTTACCGGTCAGGCTCCGTTCTACGTTGAGTTGGAAATCAAGCACCATAGCGGAGTTACGCCCGAGACGTTCACCATCCCATCCATCGAATCCAACTCGTACGGCATCCAGATTCCTCGCCGCCATCTCAGGCTCGGCACGCAACAAGTCAGGATTCGAACCGTGAGGGATTCCCGCGGCTGCCAGCAGACGTACGATCACGGCGGCCCCTCTGTCCAGGTCCATCTCTACGACGCGCCCGCCATCTACCCTCTCGATACCCGAACCGACTACTGCGTCGGCGAGCGCATCGCGTTCACGCTTTCGGGCACGCCTCCGTTCGAGATTACGTATGACTTCGGCGGTAAGAGGATCGCCAAGAGTCCGACAACCAACTTTAGGCGTATCGCCGAGAGCCCCGGCATATTCACGGTCACCAGCGTCTCGGACAAGGCGAGCGAATGCCACGCCGCCGTCAACATCACCAAGACCATCCACCCCTTGCCCAGTGTCCGCATCAGCCGCGGCAAGCAAGTTCAGGTCGACATCCACGAGGGAACCGAAGTTGATATCCTGTTTGAGTTCTGGGGAACACCGCCCTTCGAATTTACGTATACTCGAAGCTCAAATGCCAGGAAGGGACATCCTAGCACGGTGCTGGAGACGAGGCACGATATTTCGTACGACGCGACCAAGATTGTGCGGGCCTCCCTTGAGGGCACGTACGAAGTTGTGGCGATCAAGGATAAGTACTGTGCCTTTTCGAACCAGCAGGTTGAGAGGAAGGATGATAAGAAGTTGCTCAAATATTGAGGCGGCTGTAATGAGATACCAAGGACTAGAAGAAAGGAGGAGAGAAGAGGAAGAGGAAAGAAAGAAAAGAAAAACGGGAAAGAAACTTTTACGAAAATTGTGAAATGGAAGGGGGCAGGCTGGGCTGTCCATAAAGCTGAGAGGAAGCAGCAGATGGTGTAATTATCTACTGAGCATTGTTTGTTTACATGGCACGGCGTTTTGTGGGCGGTACATATCGGATGTTGGGATAGGACAGCTGAAGGCATAGAAGCAAACCCCAATATCAAGTCGGATTATCTCTTTTGTACACGAAATCGGTTGTCGGATTCCATCGACCATTATTGCCTGTCTCGAGGACTTTGCTGTGATGAGGACGGAGGAGTTTGTGCTTCGTAGATTATGTACAGTTTTATCAGGTCACGATAAGAAAACCGCACTGTATTCACCAGCTTTTTTTTTTTTTTTTTCCTTTTGCATCGAACTTTGTTTTTCGTCCTTGGACGAGCCCCACGTAGAAATTGAGCTTTCTAACTGTCGAAAAGAACAACCACCACGACAAAACCATGGAGTCGAGTCCGAAACGGCGCAGGATGTCCAAGGATGGCGCGACCTTGACGAAGACGGACCTGACGTTCAATTCCGAAGCGGCGGCGCAGATCGCAACGGCGAGTACGTTTGTTCTTGGGGCGGAGGAGCTCCTTCGGGATGTGCAGGTGGATTATAAGAAAGTTCTGGGGGACGTGGACAAGGTGCTTTTTAGGTTGAGGGAGGTGATTGAGGGGATTGAAGGACATGAGGCGATTTCGGTACGTGTTGTTCCCTTGGTCCTGGGGAGAGGGTGTTTTTATGGGAGCTGAAATTTGGGGACCGAGAAGAACTAACTTGGAGAACGACGAACAACAGATTCCCGAAGCTACGAAACGGATCGAAAAGAAGCACAAGATCGTCATTCCCTGGCCGTTGCCCAAACCCAGTCCCGACGCCCCCTACAAATTCGCCTACGCGAAACCATCCCAATACAACGTCGTCGGCAGCTACGTCTCGCGCACGATGATCAAAGGCCAGCCCCGCCACGGCGTCGACATGGTGATCGAGATGCCCAAGGAGCTATTCCAGGAGAAGGATTACCAGAAGATGCGGTACTTTTATCGACGAGCGTATTATCTCGCCAACGTCGCGGCGGGGATCAAGAGGGAGCTTGGCGGGGAGATGGAACTGTCGTTTGAATATCTCAATGATTGCCAGTTCCTGCCGGTGCTGGTGTTGACTCCGGTCGATAAGAGTACGAGGGGAGTTGTACGGGTCATTCCGTGCGCGCCGTCTGGGCTCTTCAAAAAGTCGAAGCTGCTGCCGTCGTGCAACTGCAACCAGAGGGGATCATCGCAAGACCGGCCCAAGGATAAACTCCCGGGCACCCCGTTCTACAATTCTACGCTGAAGGCGGAGGATACTTTCATACCATATCTCCAGGTTCTCACGCTTGCGAGGAACGAATGCCCGTCCTTCGATAAGGCCTGCATCCTTGGTCGCGTGTGGCTTCAGCAGCGAGGCTTTGGGAGTTTGGTATCATCGGGCGGGTTTGGCCACTTTGAGTGGTCCATTATGATCGCTCTTCTCCTACAGATGGGCGGTCGGAAAGGTCAAGCAGCTCTATCTTCTTCGCTCAGCAGCACCGCGCTGTTCAAGGCGGCGGTGCAATTCATCGCTTCTACGGATTTTATTTCGAAGCCGTTCCTTTTCAGCTCGTATAAGCTCGGTGCGGATGCCGTGAAGGAGGATGGCCCTGTCATGTTTGATCCGGTCCGACAGCTCAATATTCTTCACAAGATGACCCCTTGGTCTGCAACTTTACTCCGGATGCACGCCAAGTCTACTCTGGACTTGCTTAGCAGGCCTCTAGAGGACCAGTTCGAGCCGACGTTTATCGCAAAGGCCGACCTTCCTCGACAAATGTTCGATACTCTGGCGGAGATAACAGTTGACCCTGCTGAAGTAGATCTGGATCTCGGCGGGGACCTCGGCCTGGTTAGGTTCCAAGCTACTCGAGTGTACAATGTATTGCACGAGGCGTTTGCTGATAGAGCAAAACTTGTGCACGTCCAGTGGGACCAACCACCGCCCTGGCCTGTGAACGCGGCCGTGCCGGTCTCCGGGGATAAAATTAGCTACATTCGCATTGGTATTAGTTTCGATCCGGTCCACATGGGCCGCACGATGGAGTATGGCCCTCCAGCAGAGGAGCAAGTTGAAGCTACTAAATTCCGGAAGTTCTGGGGTCCCAAGGCTGAGTTAAGGCGCTTCCAGGACGGTCGGATTCTCGAGTGTGTTCCCTGGGAAGGTAGCGGGCCATTTACTCTCTGCCGAAATATCATGAACTACATTCTCGTGCACCATTTGGGACGCGGGGCTATCCCGCGGGTTCTGAGCACGGGTGTCGAGGATATAGGCCCGCCCATCTCTCAAGTGGCCGTCTTCAACAAGGTCCTCGAAATATTCCGGGACTTGGAGAAGACGATCCGCGAGCTGGAGGGCATGCCGTTGCAAATACGGCGGTTCTCCCCAATCTCTACACAAGCACGGTACGCCTCGAGCTCTGAGCAGGACTTGGCATCTCCGCATTTCCCAGCGCTGGAGGTTGTCCTCTTCTTCGAGACGTCGAACCGCTGGCCGGAGAACCTCGTTGCCGTCCAAGAAACCAAGCTAGAGCTTCTCCTCGACATCGCCCAGCGGCTCCAGGAGACCTCGAGCAGCATCGAGACGTATCTCGGTCGGGACAACGTGGAGCTCGGCATCGAAAATCTGGGCTACTTGGATGTAGTTCCGGTGGCGCCCATCACGATCAGGATACGCGTCCACAGCGATATGGAACGGACACTACTCGAGCGACAGGCAGCTAACATCACCTTCAGCCCTACGATCCGAGCCGAAGCCGAACAAGCCCTCGAAAAGTTCAAGTGGCAGTACGAGATCCTCCCGCTGCACTGCCAGATCGTGTCGACGTTCTGCACGCGCTTCCCGGCGCTCCAGGCGACTATCAACATCGTCAAGTACTGGTTCGAGAGCCAGATGCTGTCGTCGCACTTTAGCACGCAGCTCATTGAGGTGATTGTGCTCTACGTCTTCTTGCAGCCGCAACCTTACAGGGTACCGAGCTCGGTGTCTACGGGTCTCATGCAGGTGCTTTTGTTCCTGTCGCGCTGGGATTGGCGGGACGAACCCCTCGTCGTGGACTACGATAGCCACAACATTTCGGCTTCGGAGCGATCGGCCATGTACAAGAAGCTGGAGGAATGGCGGAAGAGGGATGGAAACATGAAGAGCCACGTCCTCTTCGTCGCGACTTCGCACGAAAAGTCCGGCGAGGCGTACACTAGGTACGGAGGACCGTCGAGGATGGCGGCCATGCGAATGACTGTGCTAGCCAAGGCCGCCACAAAGCTCGTGAGACAACAACAGGACTTTTCAGCCCGCTCACTCTTCCAGCGCTCGCTCGAAGTCTACGATGTCGTGCTCCACCTCTCCGAGAAGGAACTGAACCGGGTGCTCCGCGCGGCCGGTAGTAGTAGCGCCGTCGCCGCCAAACCCTCCAAATTCAAGAACCTTGAGCATGCATCCGGCCTCGCGGCGATGCCCGTGGCGACATGGCCGATTGAAAGGTTCGTCGAAGTGCTGAGGGACGTATACGAAGAGACGCTGGAATTCTTCTACGGCGACCCGCGGAACCATAAAAAGGCGGCGATTGGGGCCGTGTGGAAACGGCGATCGGGTGGTCAGCAAAAGTTTCGGGTCGGGCTGCCGTATAATTTTCGACAGGCCGATCCGTCCTCGGATAAGGTGGTGGTAGATCGGACGGGCATCTTGGCGGAGATTGCGAGGATCGGAGGGAGCCTGATTTCTGAGGTTGAGGAGACTTCGATACCGGAGGATGTGGGGATGGATTGATGAAGTGGGTTTAGTGTCCTTTTTTTTGGGTAGTCAGTTCCTCTCTGCATTATTACTATGTGGGAGTAGTGCATTTTGCGAGCACGCTTGATACCGAGTCGTAGTGTGCATAGAGAAAAAAAAAAGAAAAAGTATAAATAGGAAGGTGATGGCCAGGACTTTTTGAGGATGCAGACGATCCAAATCTTGGAAGGTCAAAATGCCAATTTGGCCCGTGGACCCTGAATAATCGGCAATGACGTTGGAGTTTCTTTCCGCGTTTGCTTTCCTGGTCCTTGTGCAGGAAAGCTGCAGAACCAGGAACTGCCGACACTTTCCGGCGCCGAAGCCGGTGGTGGGGCAAACCAGGCTACGCCCACTACAGATTGCCGAAGAGTGAACCCGACGGTAGAGGGGGCGGGGGCCAAGGGCGGACTTTCCGCATAAATTGTATCAATCGGGTCAATTTGATGTGTAATCCACGGAGTAATTCTGAGGTACTTGAGCACATGAAGTAACTGAGCTGTCTCGGAGGAAGGCGTTAGTGAACGGAGTAATCCATGACTTCACAGGTGCCCATACTTCTTTAGGAACAGGGGGAGGCGGGGCTAAGAGAAGCTCGGCCATTGGCTGGGGAAGGCAATCGTAGGCTTCTAAACGAGTTCCGCTCTCTTAAAGGGGGGATTTCCGACAAAGCCTTTGGCAGCGGCGTCTTCGGTAAATGGAGAACGGAACTACGAAGTCCTTTCGCCCAGTGAGTCGCTTCCCGGTTCCGATGGGGGTATTTATAAAGAGTTTGGCTATCCTCGGTGAAATTCGGGGTAGCTTCCCCGTATTTTTATTTTCCCTGTAGTTTTATTGTTGACGATTTTTCTTTTCGTTTTTCTTTTTTTAATTACTTTTCCGTTTTCGGGAGGAGATTCAATTGACGGACGAGTATTAGTGAGAAAAAGAGAAGAGAGCACCTTGGTGGCTTTTCTGATTTCCTTGGGGAACTCCTCGTTCTGATTGAGCAGAATCCTCTGTCACAAGCTTTCCACAATGCCGTCTTTCGGATTGTATGCGCGGACGCTCCGCGCCTATGCCCACCATGGCTCCAACGTAAGGATTCCTCCCAAAATGAAGAAAAGAGCAATCAATTGCTCTGCATAAGCCTTGAAAAAAGGGACGAGAAAAAAGGGAGAAAAGGCAAAGAAGCTCTTTTGAATACTGACAATGCTGCGCTCCTCCAGCCCGTCCCCGTCCTCTCGCGCGCCTTCTCCGCCACCGCCCGCCGCGCCGAAATCAACAAAGTCTACCCCTCCGCCAAAGCCGCCCTCGCCGACATGAAGCCCAACACGACGCTCCTCTGCGGCGGCTTCGGCCTCTGCGGCGTGCCCGACACACTCATCGACGAAGTCCTCGCGAAGCCTGAGATCGGCGGACTGACTGCCGTCTCGAACAACGCTGGAACGGACAAGTCCGGCCTCGGCAAGCTCCTCAAGACGGGCCAGATCCGCAAGATGGTGGCTAGCTACATCGGCGAGAACAAGACCTTCGAGACCATGTACCTCACGGGTAAGGTCGAGCTGGAGTTGACGCCTCAGGGTACGCTTGCCGAGAGGTGTTCGGCTGGCGGTAGGGGTGTTCCCGCGTTCTATACCCCTGCTGGTGTGGGCACCGTTGTGCAGACTGGTGATCTCCCGCTTAAGAACAAGGCCGATGGCACTCCCGATGAGTTTTCTTATCCCAAGGACGTCAAGGTTTTCAACGGAAAGCCTTACGTCCTCGAGCACAGCATCGCGGGAGACTACGCCTTCGTCAAGGCGTACAAGGCCGACAGGCTCGGAAACTGCCAGTTCAGGCTGGCCGCTAACAACTTTAACGGCGCTATGGGCCGAAACGCTAAGATGACCATTGTCGAGGCCGAGCACATCGTCGAGCCCGGCGAGATCGCCCCCGAGTCCGTTCACCTCCCCGGTATCTACGTCAAGAGGGTCATCCAGAGCACGTCGGAGAAGGGCATCGAGAAGTTCACCTGGGCCAAGGATGAGAACGACGCTGATGCCAAGTCTGCCCTCGGCACTGGCGACACCGCCGCCAAGAGGGAGCGCATCGTGCGCCGCGCTGCGAAGGAGTTCAAGAACGGCATGTACGCTAACCTCGGTATCGGCATGCCCATGCTCGCACCCACCTTCGTCGGCCCCGAGGTCGAGGTCCAGCTCCAGTCCGAGAACGGTATCCTCGGTCTCGGCCCTTACCCCAAGAAGGGCGAGGAGGACGCCGATCTCATCAACGCCGGCAAGGAGACCGTCACTCTCAACCCCGGTGCCGCCGTCTTCGGCAGCGAGGAGAGCTTCGGTATGATCCGGAGCGGACGTATCGACTTGACTATTCTCGGTGCTATGCAGGTTAGCGCCACCGGTGACCTTGCCAACTGGATGCTTCCCGGTAAGGTTAAGGGCTTCGGCGGTGCTATGGACCTTGTTAGCAACCCCAAGGGAACCAAGGTCGTTGTTACCATGGAGCACACGGATAAGAAGGGTAACCCCAAGATTGTGAAGCAGTGTGCTTTCCCTCTTACTGGCCCTGCTTGTGTCTCGCGTATCATTACTGAGTTGGTAAGTTACAATTCCCTGGAATTTTACTTCCCCTTTTTTGAGCCAAAAAGTGTTTTCGGGGAAGGAGTTTTGAAGCTAACAGGTTTTGTAGGGTGTTTTCGATGTCGACTTCAAGACTGGACTTACCCTCGTCGAGATTGCTGACGGTGTCACGGTTGAGGAGATCAAGAGCAAGACGGAGGCTCCCTTCAAGGTTGCCGATGACTTGAAGCCCATGTTGTAAAGCGGACGTTTGATATTGATACCACGGGATGGACGAGCAGGCTGAGCTAGGGAGGGAGTGAGTGGCGAGAGCAAGCACAGCGTCGTAGATACTCGAGATCAGGGGAGTTGGAATTTTGACACTTTAGAAACCACGGTCTTGATTTTTGGCGAAACTGGCCTTGTTCGTTTTAGAGCATTCATCATTTATTGTTTGCATAGTTTGGAGGTTCAAATACATTTTTGGAGTTATTCCTCATATAAGTTTGCTCTGAGCGGCGCGAAGCGAGAACTGGGCAGTTTCGATGTTTTCGTTGAAAGACTTCGAGGTCGTCAACCATGCGAGAAGGCGTCATCGACAATTAATTGTGAGGCTGCTCTGGTGACGGATGTTGACAATGTAGTGGACATGGACATCAATGATGGATGATCTGGATATGGGCATTGATCAATTGTGTGTTTCCGGATAATCGCTAGGGAAATTCCATTGCTGCAAAGTGGTTGCTGTGTTTAATGTTGTTGTTGTCGTTGTTTCTTGGCTGAACATTTCAGGTGTTTGGTGGTGCTTTGAATTTGGAAGGAGCGAGGGAGGCTTCAGAAAGTCTTCGAAATCGCACATCACCAACTTTCAGGGAAGGAGCGAAAGAGACAACTACTAGGGTCAACTAGCAACAAAGGAAGAAGAAAAAAAATAAACACTGCTGAAGTACGTGTACGCATCTTCCTTTCAGGTCATGAAATCTCCCAGATCCCACACTCTTCTCCCCTTCTCCCATTACACTGCAGTTGGATTGCCACCTTCAACATAACCACCAGCATTGAACATCAAATTCCTTTCATCAATCACTAATAAACTACTGTCCATCATTCATTTACTTGGTTTGTATTTCCCTACTTTGCCTCCTAGAAAAAGGAGTCAATTCTGCTGCTGCGATCCCTGGTCCCGGATCTCTACAGCTGTTAGCAGATCCACAACCCCTGCACGCATCCCAGATCGCGTAATAGTGCCTGGTCACACAGCTAACGATGATAATAGGTAAACATGGATGATTTGTATGATATTTACGAGGACGATGCGCCAGACGATGATTATTACGATATTGATGATGCAGATGATGCATATGGCAGCGGTGGAGACGATGTGGATGAGTATGATGCTGCTGAGCAAGATAATGCAGATTCCGATGATGAATTCCTGGCTGGAGAGGATGCCCCGGAATTCTTTTACTTTTCGAATAATCCTCCCTACTTTCATCTCGGCCCCTCGCCACAGACTCCCCCTCGGACGCCCCCTCGTGTGCCTCCTACCGTAGCATCTCAAGCCCAGGATGCTATCCAGAGCGGTAGCCCTACGCTCCCTTCCCCGGGATCTGCCATATCCGGAAGAAAGTCATTTATGGACATGGTTCTCGATGTGGCTACTTCGAACCTTGATAGCTTGGTTCACAAGAAGCTGTGGTATTCGATGCCGTCAAGCGTAGTCCTCAAGGTCTATCGGAAGGCAGAGAAGAAGAACAAGTAAGTTTTACAACTGCCCATCCATACAAATCGCCTAGTAGCTGCCCGTTTCTAACGTTCGGGCCTTCTAGGCTTTCCATGGACGCCTGGGGTCTTCTCTCTGGCATACTGTACGATACTCGGGACGAGGCGGAGGACGTTTTCCACCGAGAGTACCGTTTAGACTTGCCTCCTCGATATTTTGCTTCAACTGACACGACGAGTCTTGAGCGGTGCCTCGCCCCCGCTGTATCCTTGAGTTTCGATTTCATCACTCATCTCATCATCAAGGACACTTGCGGTCTTAGTGCACGAGAATTTCTCTGCATTTCGGATATGAAGAATCTCGGTCTCTTGAGAATCTCGGAGCCTCGTTCCGACCAAGAGTATGTTAACAACAGTCTAGGTTCGGTGGAACGACGCATCACAGACCGAGTCATACGCGCCTGGTCGGAGAAGGATGATCCCTTCCCAGTCTTGAGAATCTTGCAGTTCTACAGCTGCACCGAGATTACTCCCGAGAGCATGCGTTATTGGTCGCGCTTCCCCGCACTTGCCGTTGTCACAGTCCGGGGCCTCCGTAAGGTCTGGGATTGCATCGAGGAGGGATCCGTCGTGCATGGTTGGAAGATCCCCACAAATCCAGATGACCTGCAGGTGTTGGCTCTGAGGTACATATCCACTTGTCGAGATTTTGAGAGTGACACCATGAGAACGGAGTCGTACGCCGCTGCCTGGGCCATCGCGAGGACCAACGCATCAAAGCTCTCTCTCCTGTACGGATCGAATCCTGTGGCCAAATTGCAGACGCCTCTGCCCGTGCGTCGATGGAATGGCAGAATGCCAACCAACTCTACGAAGGAGACTGTCGCGATAAGTTCGATTTATTCTCCGTGGGGAATCCGCACGTATGCCGACAACCCGATGTGGTGGCTGTACGCTGCACTCGGCTACATTCTATTCAACGACGAAGACCTGAGGGCCAGGAACCCGGACATAGGAAGCCAGTACTTTGCCCAACGCACCTACCTCCTTCCTCCCGCCCCCGTCATGACGGTGACTCTGTGTCCCACCGGCGACCCACCTAAAATCGGCTCGCCCACGATGTTTCTCGACTATCAGCACGTCAGGGCGGCCCTCCACAGTGAGGCCCGTTTGGTCAGGTACAGATTCGTCCGGAAGGAGTTCTTTGATGACATTGCTACGCGTGAGCCCGGTTGGACTCCCGGCACGTACGAGGAGGACTACTTGAGGGATGACGATGATGCTTCGGGATCTAAGGGATCCGAGGGTTCCATGAGTTCCAAGAGTTCCAAGGGTGCTGGCTCGTCTGGTGGTTCGGGATCTCAGGCTAGGAACGAGGGGTCGATCCGGCGGGGTAGGAAGCGTAAGCTCGGTGATGTCCTCGCTTCCTTGTCTGGGATTTGATGGGTGGAAGAAGAAGGAGGAGCGTGTATGGCAAACGTGTTGAATGTTTGGGAGGGCAATCTTTTTCCTCTGCTTGAGGTTTTACGGCGCAGTATGAAGGGGAGTAATGAAGGGGAGTATGAAGGGGAGGGAGTATGAAGGGTGGTACGGAGGGTAGTATGAGGGGCAGCGTGAAGGGTGGTGTGGAGGGTGGTTGAGATGACGGTTATGATGTCGGGAGCGGGAGCAAGGTTGACCTTTTTAAGGGCAAGATGTACGATACGCATGTGTCTGGAGTTATGTGTTGTTTGCAGAAACAGGGCCGCTCACTGGAGCGAGGGTAACGAACCCGGAATGTACAATAGCACAGTATCATGAGCCAACGAGCAATGATGATGATGATTTCAAGCCATAGCCAAACCTGCGTGCATCGAGCCTCCAATCGTAGAACCACATCTTCAAATAGAGGCGCCAACCTCAAGTGGCACCTCTGGCCTGTTCCCAGGGCAATGGGGCTATTTCCTCCGATAGCATTCTCCGACGGTTTTCGGACGCCGGTCCCATTCAACAGAGCCAGGCGAATCAGGCAGACGAACACCTGTTTATCCTTGAAGATTCTTACCATTATATACTGGGTTACTATAAAACGGGCATGTCGCGCAAGTTATATTTCTCAAGCACCTCATGAGCGGAGAGATCCGCCATTCAGGAAGAGGGTAAGCAAGCGATAAAGTAATTCTCTTTAATCTCTCCTCCAGTTTCCCCTCTAGAAACAGCCATGGCAGAAAGAATGAAAGCCAGAGTGAATATGAAGGATTATTGATTAGGTTGAAGAGAGGGAAAGGAGGAAAGAGAGAGAGAAACGAAATGTTTCGGGGACGTTGCTATATGGGAGGAATTGGGGGAATTTTTTTCTCCAGTTATATCACGTGACTATTCGGATCGGGTCGGAGTAATGTTTCCACGATGGACGTAACTTGGCTCGGTTCGCTTTTTGATTCCTTGCATTCGGTTGGATTGACGCACGCATAATGAAGGGGTTGAATTGGTCGCATGAGACCCTTGGCTTGGCGGCACAGCAACCCACCAGTCCAAAGTCCAAAGCCCCCAATCCAGGCGACGAGATCTGGAAGCTACTTCGTAGATAGCTGGCTGGTTCCAGAGAAATCCTGCCCAAAGTGGAGACCCTTTCTCTGACTCATTTGCTTTTTCATTCCGCCTCTGCGCGAAAGAGATTTTAATGCAGAATTTCCTGAATTACATTATTATACTACAGTTGTGGTGCCACTGACATTCGGCGATTGCATCGACATCAATGGCTATTACGACGGACGACTGGGCAGGGGCGAACAGACCTGGGCGGCGTTGATGGCGGGGGCGGGGTTGGTTTTTTTGTTTACTTGCGTACTTGCGTCACACGACGAGATGTAAACGGTAGATCTTAGCCAGGGGGTCATTGGTGGTGTACGCCACTCAGGTCAGGTAAGAACTAAACTAAGTAGCTTACGAAAGCTGAGTGTGCGTAGCGTATAGTTTAGTTTAGTTCGCCGGGACGCTGGAGGGTTTGGTCATGCTCTCTTGTTGCTCCAACTCAAACAGGGAGAGGGGTGAGTTTGAACAAAGGGGGAGGGAGGGGCTGGTTTCCCACTTGCTTGGTCGGGAAGGAATTGCACGCGACAGTGGGATGTGGTGGGTCTTGGGTTGTCTTGCAGGAGAGCAAGTGGCTTGGGTGCGATGGGCGTATGTAGGCATGTATGTAGGTATGTATGTAGGTATGCAAGAGGCCACGGCCTCGGTCAATGTTTAGATGGTTGATGTCGTGTCGTAGTTGAGAGAGAGCACTCGAGGTGATGATGGTTGGTATCGGGTGAAGGCGGTTGGGCTGGGTTGCACATTGTGGCCATCTCCATCTTGGATGTTTTTATGCGATCATTGGGCTTGGTCGCATTGGAAAGGGGACTCTGGAGTTGACGTGGGCTCGATGAATGGATGGGCTGGCCGGCCGGCTTGAGGCGAGTCGTTTTCGGGTTCTGTTGGGGGCTAGTCTTGTGGTTTCCTGTCTTCCTGTTCGAGTTCAGCCTTCAATTCGAGGGGTCGGTCTGTTGATGCAAGCTGGCGGAATTCACAAGTCGGGCCGGGCTGAATGGTTGTCCTCGCTTACTTTCTCTCTTGTTCTGCTTGCATTCCAGGCGTTCAATGTTCCCCTCTACTGCTTGCCAGGCCGACTCTGTAGATGGTTTTCAACTTGACTGGGATTCCCCATTCAGAAGAAAGCAGACCATGATCCAAGGTCGAGTTGGGTACCGATTGATGTGATGTCATTGTCCAAAGCTCGGGACAGATCGAAAGATTCAAAGTAGTACGCAGTGCGACTAGTTTAGAAGAGAAGTGGCGGCTGGAGAAAGATCCAAGGGTTCAAGGGCTCCATTATTCCTCATCTTTCGATGTTTGGATCGATGGAATGTTGGAATCACTTGGAGATTCCATGACCGCCTTTTCCAAGAGTCACTTGATTCTACTATTTTTCTTCAATTCTCTTCCACCCCGCTTATTTTTAGTATTTTAGCTACAAGTGCAAGTATCCGTAGAAGAGGCAGAAAAATCACAAGGAACATTGCACATTGAACCGCCTCATTCGACCAACTCGTGTCAATTTGATCCTATTCAGTCAATAATAAGTCTCTTAGGCTGCAGGGCATAAATAGGAACCGAGCCGCCAGTGTCGCCTTTCGCTTTGAGTCTCGCCCTCGCCCTCTTACAGAACACAACCACCCCGCATTGATTTCATCAATCACCCCGCATTCCCGCATTCACGCTTTCATTCCATCCTCCCACAGTTGAAGTCGCCATTCAGTCAGCTTCACTCTCCCACTCTCAAACACCACTTGTACCCGTCCCTTTTACTTCCCCCCTCTCTCCTCTATTATTTCCATCTCCCGTGCCCTCTTACTTCCTTTACAAAATCTTCTCTGTGATATATCTATTCTATTCTCCTTCGCGTCTTAGCTCCCTCTCTCTCTCCTCTTCTCTTGTACAACCTTCCGCATCTCAGATACCCAAAATGGCTAGAGCTGGTGCTCCCCCCGGATCCAACTCCCGTGGTCGCGGAGGCAAGTTTCGGAAGTTTACTCGCGGTGGTAAGTCTTCTCCAGCTCTGCATTTCGTTTCAATGGACCTGGTATCTTCTTCTCAAGGCTTTGAGCCTGTCGAAATCTCTCCGCTCTACCCAGCCCTCCCTTGTCATCGAATCCGCTAACACGTCCTCTCCCCACAGGCGGCAAGCACTACTCCCGAGACCTCCGACCCCAGGACGAAAACGGCAATGAGATAAGCATGTGGTCCGAAGACGCCCAGAAGCACATCGCCGGCCTCTCCTCCAACAGCGAAGAAGAGTCCGACGAGTCCGGCTCCGAGGACGAGCGCTCCGGCCAAGCCCTCAGCCGCGAGGACCGCAAGAAGGAAAAGAAGGCCCGTAAGGAGGCCGCCATAGCCCGCAAGAACGCCCAGTCCGTGCAGGTCGGCGACCTGCCCCCCTCCGACGACGATGACGACGACAGCGAGGACGGCGATATGCCCGCCAACCCCAACCATTCCAAGGCCGCGAGGAACCAGACCAAGATCGTCGACAACGTGGCCGACGACGTGAGCAAGCTGGCCTTGTCACCGAATCGGAAGGAGAGGGAGTCAGCTGATGCTCAGGCCGCCAAGGAGAGGTATCGTGCTTTGCATGAGCAGGGGAAGACGGATGAGGCCAAGGCCGATTTGGCTCGTTTGAAGCTTATTCGCGAGCAGCGAGAGGCCGAGGCCGCCCGGAGAAAGGTGTGTTCAGAGACATATCCCGCTTTCATTTATTTTCAGCCCATTTTTGTGTGAATGATTGCTAACCCTGCTTCCCCACCTTTTCAGGCTGAGAAGGAGGAGAAAGACGCCCAGGAGGCGGCTAGGAAAGCGGATCTGGAGGCCAAGCTCGCTGCCATCGAGTCAAAGAAGGCTGGCAAGAAGTTGAAATAAGCAAGGTCTTTTTTTTGATCCGGGCGGGCTCAGGGGTCAGGAGGATGGAACCAACAAACCATCCCAAAGCGGGGGATTAAAGTGCCCTTCATTCTTATGACGTGCATGAATTTTGGCGATACTTGCATTAGGGCCGACGATGGGGCTTGGATGGGCTATGATAACGGCATTTGCATATTCACCGCCTCGACAGCGTCTCTTTCTTTCGACAGCAACTGGTCGAAGCAGATCCAATAAATTAAAAGATAAAAATAAAATAAAAATAAAAATACATTCAGAGGCATATGATATGATAACCATGACCGTAAAACTATCCGTTTCTCTATGATAACTTTTGATACCTGTAAAATCCTATTCCCCCATCCTTTTTTGGTGTCCATATCTCTGGATCTCGCACTTTGGCTTCGCGTATTAGTCGTCGTCCATTTATATGTCAGTCAAGCAAAGAAGCACAGCGGCTTTCACGCAAATGGTTGAACCAACCCGTGTTGTTTTACATTCCAACAATACCATCGGCCCCCACACTCTCCTTCCAAAGTTCATCAAAATCAACGTTCTCCTTAGCAAACATCTCCCTAATCTTCGCCGCCACCTCGACCTGCTTATCGGGCCCAAATCCGCCCGGCCGCGTGCTCTCAAACTGCACGATCTCGATCCACCGGAAGAACAGCTGCTCCTTATCGAGAGCCACCAGGGCGTCCCTAAAAGCGAAAACCTGCCTCCTGCGCTCCTCGGCGACGGCGTTCTCGCCGCCCAACATGTCGAGGGATAGCCAGCCGTGCGTCTTGTCGTGAAAGAGGACGACGCAGCGGAAGGCATCGAGGGGGAGGTCTTTCTTATCGACTAATTGGGTGGCTTTTACCATGAGGGCCCAGTCGAGGTCCCATTGGCCGTTCATGGTGAGATAGCCCGTCTTCTCTCGGATGAGCGAGGGCGCCGTGGCGGCGCGCAACACGCCCAGGAACGTCGACTTCATCTCGGGTCTGTGAACCAGGGCGTCAAGATCGCGATCCCACTCCCGGCTTCTCCGGATATATATCTCCTCCTCGCGGAAGCCCACAGATGCGCGCCACCTCACTGGATTCCCATGCGTGCGACCGGCGCAAAACTCCACGGGCCACGGCCACACAAAGATGAAGAGCACGAGATCAAGCAGCATCGACGCCGCGCGGGCGAACAGCTCCCAGCCGATCTCCCCCCACGTGTGGATCGCCGGATCGAATGTCGTCTCGTTGACGTGGCCGAGGGCCGATTGCCCTAGCTTGTAGTAGTAGGGGACGATGTGCTGGGCGCGCCAGAGGAAGAGGGCGCTGACGGCGAGGTTCATGGCGACGGGGACGAGGAAGACTTTGCGCTTGAGCTCTTTGGGCTTCTTGTCGGTGTGGGCTACGTAGACGTGGGAGGTGTCGAGGTGTTTGGTGAAGTGGGTTTGGAGGGCTTCGGGGGCGGGTTTGAACGGTTTCGGGGGAGGGTCGGTGGTGGACTTTTTGGAGGAGGAGAGGCGGATTTTGTCGGATTTTCTTTTTGAGCTGGCCATTTTGAGCTAGGGAGGGAGGGCGGACTGGCGCGATGAGCGATTGTTGATGAGATGAAAGGTGTTATAAAAGAAGAGGGTGTGGACCTTTCATCAAGGGCCAGGTTTTTCTGGCTTGTGCATGCGAGCTCTGGACGCTTGGGCCAACAGGGAGAGTCGGAATATTCCTTGATTCATGACATCATCCAGGTTGGTCGAAGTCGACACAGATATCTTGCCATGCTTGCCAATTGCTACTTTACAGTTGTTTTATGGACAAAATCTATAGATAATCCAGAATTCCTAGAAATTCCCGGTCTCCGAGAAAAAAATGATAAGGAAACAAAGGAACGCAGAATTGTCCTGAGGTTGGCTTGACTGGGTGGTTGTGCCTTTGTTTGTACCTGGCAATTTTGCCGAGTATTATCCAGCTGCCATTGGTCCAACATAAGTCAACTTTTTTCTCGACGTCGGACGACAATTGAGAGGCGATAATACAAACGGCATCGCCCGGTCGCAAATGGAACCATGATTTCAAGAGGAATATGGAGGGTAGGACGTCCATGGATTTTTCGCTCCTCAACTTTTGTTTACGGAACTGACATTTTTGGAAATTAGAAGAGACGGAACCTCTACATATGCTCCCTCTGTAACCGCTTGCCCGCCACCCGAACACCTGCCGCATTCGCCCACGCTCTACGATGGACGAGTTCCGATTCTTCCTCCTCTGACAATAAGGGAGGTCCAGCGGTGCCTAAGTCTACTGGCTGGGGTTCATCTTCTACTTTCGTTCCTCGGACACCCAAGAAGACGACCGAATCCCATGACCTCTCGCCGGATGAACTGGCGGCGCGTCGCGCTCTGCAGCCCAGTTCTGCTTCCAACGGACAAGGACCTAGGTCCAATTCGCAACAACCCCGGAGATCGAACCAATATTATACCCCCAGGGCCGATTCGAAAAGCTCTACGTCGCACAAGCCTAACTGGGATGGGCCAGCAAGTTTGAGATCTGGGAATGGAAACAACGCCGCGGGACAGAACCGCGGTGGGGGCAACCGTCCTCAGAGGCGGAATGATAGGGGTCGGTCGTCATGGGGGGGTCAGGAAGGGGCTAGAATGGCGTCGCCGAATGTGACCGGTGCGGACGATTTTTGGAGTCTTTTTGGCCCGAAGGGTTCTGGTGATAAGAAGGGTGGTGCGGGAGTGAGTGCGGAGGACGATTTGCCTACCTGGAGTGGGCTGCCTAGGCGCCCCTGGAACAATAACGGCTACAGCAGGAACAATAATAATAACGACAATTCAGCGGATGTGAGCCAAATTAGCCAGGGAGCTTGGGGCCGCCTCTCTCAAGCTGGAGGTGGTGGCACTGCTAAAGGCCAGCAGCGGTCCAATACTTCTCAGAAGGGAGGGACGCGACGAAACCAAGAGTCCCAGGCTCCCTTCCGGCGTGCTAATCAGCAATCGGAGTCCTCCAACACTTGGTCAACGAACTTCGGCCAGGCGGCGGATTCTAGGAGGACAAGTGGACGGAACTGGACCGAGTCATCGCCGTCGAAGAATGCTTGGTCCTCGGGATCCAACCAATTCCGAAGGAGCCAGCCCGAGAATGAGGTACCTAGTCCTGTCGAGATGACCCCTCCCGAGCCAAGCAGATCCACCGATTCAGACTGGGGTTCGAGGCAAGCTCACTCCCTCGAAGCGGATCGACATTCGCCAAGGCCTAAGAAGTCAAGGGGGGCTAGGTGGTCAAACAGACGCGACCAGGACGATGAAGATGGGTATGATGAGGACGCTGAGATCCTTGCCGAAGAGAGGCGACGTCTGAAGGCGGAAGAAAAGGCCGCCCGAAAGGCTAGGAGGGCGGAGAAAGAGGTGGAGACCAAGGCGCAGATATTCCTGCCCGAGTATATTGGCGTCACTGACCTTGCTAATGCTCTCAAGGTCAGAGTTGGCGACTTCCTCAAGGCACTCGAGCAGCTCGGCTTCGAAGAGGTCACCGAGGATTCGATCTTCACTGGCGAGACGGCCGGCCTCGTTGCCCAGGAGTTCGGTTTCGACGTTAGCATTGACGATGGCGCGAGCCGGGATATCAAGCCCCAGCCGCCACCGGAGGACTGGGACAGCGTGCCTTCACGACCTCCCGTGGTTGCCATCATGGGCCACGTCGATCACGGCAAGACGACCCTCTTGGATTGGCTCCGGAAATCATCGATTGCTGCCCAGGAACACGGTGGAATCACCCAGCACATTGGCGCCTTCGTGGTTAACCTGTCTTCTGGTAAATCCATCACCTTCCTCGATACTCCCGGCCATGCGGCCTTCCTTAGCATGCGGCAGCGCGGTGCCGAGGTGACAGACATCGTCATTCTCGTTGTCGCTGCTGACGACAGCGTCAAGCCCCAAACCCTCGAGGCGTTGAAGCACGCTCGCGATGCCAAGGTGCCCATCATCGTGGCCATCACCAAGGTCGACAAGGAGGATGCGCGGATTGCCCAGGTCAAATCCGATTTGAGTAAGCACGGCGTGGAGCTGGAGGAGTACGGCGGTGACGTGCAAGCCGTCTGTGCCAGCGGAAAGACTGGCCAGGGCATGAGCGATTTGGAAGAGAATATCCTCACACTATCGGAAATTCTTGATGTGCGGGGTGATCCTGACAGTTTGGCCGAGGGCTGGGTTCTCGAGGCGAGTGTAAAGCCTGTCGGAAAGGCGGCCACCGTTCTCATTAAGCGTGGAACGCTACGCGTGGGAGATTACCTCGTTTGCGGCACGGCGTGGGCCAAGGTTCGAGTGCTCCGAAACGAAGCTGGGCAGGAGCTCCAAGAGGCCCCCCCTGGCACGCCTGTCGAGGTCCTCGGATGGAGGGACGAGCTTCCTAATGCCGGAGACCAAGCGCTTCAGCCACCGGATGAGGCGCGGGCGAGGGCGGCTATCGACTACAGGAGGGAGATGAAGGAGCGGCAAAAGACTTTGGATCACATCGCAGAGACAGAACACCTACGCCGACAGGCCGAAGCCAAGGCCGAAATCGAAGCCGCAGTCGCTGAGGGCGAAGGGGGATCACAGGAAGCTGCTGAATTGGAGCCCAGCATGACCACCGTCAACTTCATCGTCCGCGGCGACGTCGTCGGGTCCGTCGAAGCTGTTTGCGCCACCATCCAAGAAATCGGCAACAACGAAGTGCGACCCAAGATCCTCCGTTCCGCCGCGGGCCCCATCATCGAGTCCGACGTCGAGTACGCCAGCATGTCGCGCAGCGTCATCGTCAACTTCAACAACCCGATCCCGGGCCACATCAAGCACCAGGCCGAGGAGGCGGGCGTCAAGATCATCGACCGGAGCGTCATCTACCACTTGGCGGATGACATCAAGGCTGAGCTGTCGGCGCAGCTGCCCGATAGCGTGTCGCAGAGGGTGCTGGGCGAGGCGGAGATTCTGCAGGTGTTCCCTATTAATGTCAAGGGGCGAGTGTATAAGAACATTGCCGGCTGTAGGATTAGGAATGGGGCTCTGAGGAAGGTGGATACGGTGAGGATCTTCCGGAAGGGAAAGAAGATATTTGACGGTAAGATTTTTTTTTCCAGTCTTTTTCTTTTCTAGTTGTTTTAGATGGCACTAACTCAGATATAGGCAAACTCGAATCTTTGAAGCACGGCAAGAAGGACGTTTCCGAGATGAAGAAGGGATCCGAGTGCGGTCTGGGCTGTATCGACTTCCAGGACCTCATGGTCGGCGACCAGATCCAGGCGTACGAGGAGGTCCGCGAGAAGCGAACGTTGTAGAATTACTTGTATTATCATAATCTCCTCTGTTATGTAACAACGCAAAAAAAAAAAAGGGAAAGATGTAAGCGAAACTGGGTTTGGTTTGGTGGTTGGATTTCAGTCAAACGTCATGTATATATAGATACTTCCATCTATAGACGATAGAACGGTGTAGAATGAATCAATAGTTCGAGGCAAGTCACGGCATGTTTTTCGCGTGAGCGATGGAGTCTCTATTGGTATTCCCCCCCCCCTTTCTGGTTCTTATCTATTGAAAAATAGTACAGCCGGCCGGGCTGGGTAGCTCTTGTCTGTTTTCAAATGTACTTCCGCGTCCCAGCAGCATTGAGCGTTATCGTCTTGCTTGAAGCCGCACGATCTCTCTCCTTCTTTAGTCTCTGGAGCCCCAACTTGTCAGTGTTGGGAGTAGCTTCGATAAGCTGGTCGAACTCATCATCATCCCCATCATCAACCTCGGAACCGGAGGCGGATTCGGCTTCTTCCGACGCGGGGCGTTGTTCTTGTGGTCGAGGTATCGTGGCTGGCTTCTTCTTGTCCCCCCCCGTGTCGGCGAACGCTTTTGAGGCGAGGACTTTGCGTCTTATTTCCGCCATGGCGGCGGCGTCGTCTTCTGAGTCGTCGGATAGTTCGTATCTGTCCTTCTCTTCTTCATCTTCGCCGTCCGGCTCGTTCTTGGAGACGGGCTCTGGCTTCTTTCCAAGGTATATGCCGTCTATCTCGTCGTCGTTTTCTCCCGCCGCACCATCCTCATCATCTCCATCTTCGTCTTCATCCTCGTCCGAATCCGGCAAGATTCTTCTCCTATTCACGTTTCCGCTCTCCCATATATCCTTTCCGTCTTCCTCCCTATTGTCACTATACTCCTTCTCCAACTTCTCCATCCACTCCTCCTGCGTCCTCTTCACACCCTCCTCATCCGCACACCCCGCATACCGATTCAACAGCGCCTCATTAATCTCAAGAAACGCCTCCCCATACGCAAAAGGCTCCATAATCTGCCTCGACCACTCCTCCTTCCCACAAATCCACATAGCAGCCGCCAACGCCTCGGCGCAATTCAACCTCCACGGCTTCCCGTAATTCACCGTATTCGCCGCCACGAGGTACGGCAAGAGTCTCTCGCACTTGCCCCCTACTTTACTCCATTGGACCTCTTGCACGCGCGCCCACGAGCACTCGACGACGGCGACGCCGAACTGCACGAGGAGCTCGGCGTCGGCGGGGGACAGGGTCTTTTTGCCGTTCGGGGTGATGATTACTCCCGGGTAGCGCTGGCCCACGTGCAGGTCGCGCATGAGGCCGAGCTTGAGGAGGCGTTTGCCGGAGCAGCGCTTGGGGTCGCAGTGGCCTAGGTCCCAGCAGGCGGCTTTAAATTCGGGGGTGGAGGAGGAGGAGGAGGAGGCATTGGGGCGGGGTCGGGGGGGACCGTAGTGGGGTTTTTTGCCTTTGGTGAATTTGTCCTTTTTGTGGCGGACCATTTTGGAGGTGGGTGGGAATTTTCCGGGGGGATGAGAGTGAAGGCGGGTGAAAGCAGGCGGGCCCGGGTTGAATCGAGAGTATATGTGTATCGAATGTGAATGTGGGATGAGCATGAACCCGATCCTAGCTTGTAATGTTCCTCTCAGAAAATCTGGATGGAACAAGAAGAGCTCGACTTTGACCCCACCACGACCCAGGAAAGTGACATCAATTGAGGTACCTTTGTACCCAGCCTGAGTGTGTAATTAAGAGGTACCAACGGTGGCGGAAAGGAAATATGTTCTTCCGAGACTCTTGTCGTTAGGGGCGAAGTCACTATTTGACCAGGGGCCTCCGTAATTATCGTCTGGGCATCCTGAATCGTCGTCTGAGTCGATGCTCTAATTTCCAACGCACACGCAATGTGTTCTTTGCACCTGCTAGGCAGTCACATTTGCCCAGAACTCTCTCACAGCTCTCTCTAGTTCTAGAGTGTAGTTCCTAATAAGCCCCCCGAGAACCGTCCCCGTACTATGGCGCTTTTGTTGGCCCCCACAAGCCAGAAACTCCCTTAGCAACTCCCGTCATCAATAGCTGCAGGATACCAACTGCACTGAACCCCCCACCCCGCCTCCCCCGAGCATCAATACCAACGTTCCCTCCCCACCACCACCACCACCCCCTGGCTTTCTCGAACGACTTCCTCCGACAGCCAGCCTGGTCCATTCTCCCTCCACCCAAAACCTGCACCGGAGGAATAAAGGGAAACAAGAAGAAATAGAAAAAGACTGACCACGATGGAAGCGGCTTCGGCAAGAGCGGCAGCTCGCGATCGGTGGAACGACTTCGGCAGGTCCACGCCGTCGCAGCTCCAGCGCTTCATCCAATCCGCCTGCAGCCCCGAGAACTTCGAACCTAACCTAGCCCTATGCCTCGAGATCGCCGACCTCGTCAACTCCAAGAAGGGGACGGCTCCGCGCGAAGCCGCCAATACCATCGTCAGCTACATAAATCACCGGAACCCCAACGTCGCGCTCCTGGCCCTGCACCTGCTCGACATTTGCGTCAAGAACTGCGGGTACCCGTTCCACCTGCAGATCAGCACCAAGGAGTTCCTCAATGAGCTCGTGAGGAGGTTCCCCGAGAGGCCGCCGATACGGCCGACGAGGGTGCAGATGAAGATTTTGGAGGCGATTGAGGAGTGGAGAGGGACGATATGCGAGACGAGCAAGTATAAGGAGGATTTTGGGTTTATTCGCGATATGCATAGGTTGTTGAGCTACAAGGGGTATACGTTCCCTGAGGTCCGCCGTGAGGATGCCGCTGTGTTAAACCCGAGCGATGTGAGTTTTTTTTTTTTTTTTTTTTTGCGATTCTGGGGGGGTTAATGTAACCTTTTGCGATGGGATGAATTAGACGTGCTGACAAGGAGTCTAGAACCTCAAATCCGCCGAGGAAATGGAGGAGGAAGAGCGCGAGGCACAATCAGCGAAGCTCCAAGAGCTTATCCGCCGTGGAACGCCACACGACCTACAAGAAGCCAACCGTCTTATGAAGATTATGGCCGGATACGACACGCGATCGAAGACGGACTACCGAGCGAAGGCCGCGGAAGAAGTCGCGAAGATCCAGGCCAAGGCGCGGCTTCTCGAGGAAAGGTTAGAAGCCTTTAAGCCAGGCGACACCATGAAGGAAGGGGATGTGTTTGAAGAGCTCGCTTCGGCGCTTTCGAGCGCACAGCCCAAAATTCAGAAGATGTGCGAGGAAGAATCCGAAGATCACGAGGCCGTGGCAAAGCTTTTGGAGATCAACGACAGCATACACCGGACGGTTGAGAGGTACAAGTTGATGAAGAAGGGCGATCTGGATGGTGCTGCCAAGGTTGCGAGCGGAGCGCCGATATCGACGGCTGCCTCGTCATCGAAATCTGCGGCGGCCGAGCTTTCACTTATTGATTTTGATGCGGATACACCCACGACGAGTGCGGCTCCAGCTGCACCGGTTGCGTCGACACCTGGTGGTCTAGAGGATGATCTCCTCGGTCTCAATATTGGTGAGCCTGTGCCAACAAGTTTTGGTCAACCGGGAAGCATAGCGCTGGGCTTTGGTGCAAACACTGGTGAGTCATTGCATATCCCTCTTCCGATCATCCAGTTGCAAAGCTCCTAGTTGAAATTCTAACTTTGGATAGGCATCCCTGGTCCCGCATTGCTCTCATCTGTAACGCAGAGCAACAGCGCAGGGGCACCGCCCTCGCCATTTTCATCCTTCATCTCTCCCTCGGCGTCTACCTCAGCTACGCCCCAACCCCCAGCACAACTAGCTTTCAGCCCTCCCCAGCCTGCCGCCGACCCCTTCGCTAGCTTAATTGGCGTAACGTCACCTGCCCCTACCTCTACAACGCCTGCTGCTCCCGCAGCGACTGCCAGTAATAACGACGATGACGAGTGGGCGTTTTCCTCGGCGTTGCCTCCTGAGCCAAAGGAGTACAATGCACTAGTGAGCGATGCGGCTGTAAAGATAGAGATGAAGGCTGCGAGGAATCCGTTCGACCAGAATTCTCTCCGGGTCATCTTCTTGTTTTCTAACAACTCTTATGAGCCGATTACCGAGCTGCACTTCCAGCTGGCCGCACCAAAGGTGGGTTATTTTTTTTTTTTTCCATTCTTTTCTCTTTTACTTTCTCTTTTTACAGTTGTTACGTCAGGTGCCATGATCACTGCTAACATAGATCCAGGTTTATGAGCTCAAATTACAGCCGCAGACGGGAAGAGCACTGGAACCTAGGCAGATCGGTGGCATACATCAGATTGTCATCGTCCATCACCTTGGTGCCAACGACAAGAAGGTCGAGTCGGTGAAGCTGCGGTGGCGAGTAGCCTACAAAGCGAATGGAATCCAGAAGAAAGATATGGGAGAGATCCCAGAGTTTACCGTTCCCTAGGCGGAGCATCCGTGTCCGTGTTTGTGGTGTGGTGGATTCTAGGCATCCTTCAAAAGCTCGCTGGGAGTGAAAAGGGGAGGGAGGGGGTGTTCAGTTAAGCGGGTGGCAGGGGTTAGTGGTTTATGAGGCTGCGGAAGGAGGCAAAAGCGTTGTTATAGATTTCGTAAAAGTAGTTGTTACGATGAGATGAATGAAGCCAAGCCTTCTCTTCGCTGGCCATTTTGATGTTCAGATATTGATTCTTGATGAATGTGGAGTTGGTACATGGAGTGAGCTTGGTGTTGCGATGACTAAGTGTATGAGAGCTCCATGTCCCGAAGCTCGAAATTGAATATCCCACAACAGCTTCGCCTCTAAGCGTTGTTCCTTTTCCAAACCTCGCCTCTCTCCCCAAATTTGACCCAATTCGCCCGCATTTCTTTACCAAATTACTGCGCAAAATCTTTCCGCGAATTATATTCGATCTCTAGCTGTTCCGAAGTAATATTTTCCACATTCCGCTCCCTTCCGCGATGCCTTCAGACGACGAAAGACGCGACACCAACCGCAGCCGGCACAGAGACGACGAACCCGAATCCAGAAGAGACCGGAAAGATGACAGATACAGAGACAAGGAAGGGCGCACGAGGGAACGAAGCTCTGAACTGCACACCACGGCGTTAGTAGAGCGGCGCAGGTCCCGCGAAAGTCGGAGATCCAAATCTGCGGAACGGAAGCGGTCGCGATCGCGGTCTCCTGGGGCGTCGTCGTCACGGAGGAGGCGGTCGCGAGATAGAGATGGGGATCGACACAGGGATTCCGATAGGAAGAGGCGGCGATCTCCCGAGGGAGAGGGTCATCGAAGGAGGCGCGACGAGAGGGAGGATGAGGAGGGATCGGGGCGAAAGGGGAGTCCCCTGAGGAGAGGCGGGCCGTTGCCTTCCCAGGGAGATTCGTTTGCGCTCACATTACCCGACGCGCCAAAAGAAAAAGAGAAACCCAACTACAAGCCCACGGGGATCCTGGCAGCGGCCTCGAACCAGGTCACGCAGGCCGACGGGACGGTCATCACGTTAAAATACCACGAGCCACCCGAAGCAAGGAAACCCTCGTCGCGGGAAGATTGGAAGCTATTCGTTTTCAAGGGCAAGGACGTTGTCGACCAGGTCGATTTGAATCTGAGGAGTTGCTGGCTGATCGGGCGGGAGGCGGCGGTGGTGGATTTCCGGGCGGATCATCCCAGCGTGAGCAAGCAGCATTGCGTGATACAGTTTAGGTACGTGGAGAAGATGGACGAGTTTGGGGATAGGAAGGGGAGGGTGAAGCCGTATCTTATTGATCTGGAGAGCGCGAATGGGACGGTTTTGAATGGGGAGAGGGTGGAGGATCGGAGGTATTTGGAGCTGAGGAGTAAGGATGTTATTCGGTTGGGAGATAGCACGAGGGAGTATGTGGTGATGGTTGATAAGAGGTGACGAACACTCGGGGCTTTTGGTATGGGGAGAGATGATGCAGTAGAAATGAATGCATTCTCCTTTTCCTTCCTTGGTTGAAAAGGATATCAATGCTAAGCCTGAACACCCCTAACTCTGTGGTATCCCGAAAAACTATAACAAAACAAACCCAACATTGAAACCGATTATACCTGCCTCCCTTGGTATTTTCTTTTTGCTAGAACGCCATGCCACCCAACTAAATCGTACCTTAAAATACACTAGAAAATGGAAACAGAAAGAAGAATAAAATCATTACAAGCCCACTTCTAAAGCAAACCCGCCCGCACCATGGAGCGGTACAACACCTCACTCTCGTGCAGTTCGCTGTCGCTACTTTGGCCCTTTTCAGCGTCTACCGAGTTCATGTCTCGGAGGGGAACGGACTCGGGCGGCGGGCTCGGCGAGCGGTGGGGCGTGTCTTTTATGTAGGGCCGGATGGAGGGTAAGGTGCCGGCAATCGTGGTGAGGGTTGCTTCGGCGACGCTCCAGAGGAGGATGTATGCTCCGTGGTCTGGAGGCGAGAAGGGTTGGCGTTGTTAGCTATAAGCTCGGGAGAGGATTGGGGGTGAGTAGTCTTACAGGTGACGTCGCCGTCTTCAAGGTGAGCGTACTTGGATCGCTTGATTAAGGCAGCAAGGGCAGCGCTGAAGCGGAGTTTGAGTGTTAGTTGGAGAAAGTGAGAAAGAGTCAAGATTGCGCAGTGCTCTCCACTTACCATACGCCAAGCGCAATGGCGACAAAAGCTCCGATTCTCTCCTTTGGTTCAAGTGATAGCCGGACAGCAATGCTTGTCGCTATCAACACGAGGACTGTATTCAAAATAAGAGAGAAAACTGCTCCTCGTCAGCACCAGCAACCATTCAAATACCCAAAATATCAACTTACACGCCAACAACCTCGCCGCCGTAACAAAGCTCCCCAACGAAACGCAAGAATCCCCGCCCGTAGAGCAATACACCTTGTCCACAGGGATACTCGCCAGCACTATAGCAGCAGCCATGCCCAGCGCCGACAACGCCACAACAACATCGAGGATCTTGCGACGTCGCGACACGGAGGGGACGTTGGGCTGAAGGACGGCGACGACGAACAGCTTGCTCCAGAAGATGGAGAGGGTGACGAACATGTCGGCGAGGCGGGAGACGACGGCGATGGAGAGTAGGGTTTCGCGGGAGTGGGTGGAGGCGTGTTTGCCGTGGCCGAGGGAGATGGCGCGGGAGGAGAGGACGCAGGAGAGGAGGAGCATTGCCTAGGTGGGATTGTTTAGTTTCCTCCCTTTCTTTTCTTATCTCTTTCTTTTTCCGTCCATTGTTGAATATTGTTTGTTATTTCGAGGTGTATAATATCGCCAAGTGGATTTGATGTTCTTTGTAACACCGAGAGGTCAAGAGAGCAAGTAGAAGAAATGAATAAAATAAAAATAATAAAATCAACTTACACTCGAGACCAATGCCGCCCACGTAGCCCAAGATTGTTGGTTTCTCGCCGGTATCCTCGCATTCCTGTATTCCCTCACAGCAACGGCACCAATTGACATGGCTAACAAGTTCCAGATGAGAAAGTAGGTCCTCGGCCCCCGATCCTCACTCTCAAAGGACGCCATATCCCTCACGAGATGGAAGATCCTTAACGATCTTAGACTCTCCATCTTTTTCTTTTTTTGCATCAACCCTCTTCAGAAATCCGCAGAGAGACTGAGATTCGCCGCAGGCGAGGGAAGAGCGGGGTGAAAAGTCTAATAGAATTGAAGTTTTTGCGAGAAGTCAAAACAGATGTTTCTTCCCAGGCTCTAGAACCAGGGGTGTGTGCAGCAAGTATATTAAAATCTGGAGAGCATTTCGAACGTTTCTGTTTTCGATCCTGCGGGAACGAAAAGATCCAATTTTGGTGAAGGGGGGGTGTGCGTGGAAACTGTTGCGTCGCATCCCCGGAGCTTGTCCCGAACTATTCTTTGCCCTTCATCCTCGAGTTCATCTGTTCGTTGTTTAAAATTTGCCAATGCGCATCACACAGGAAACAGTACCACGGTCCCCCCCTTTCGAACCATTGATCTCTTCTTGCGGCGAGAGTTCCCACACCCAGTTCATGGCGCCACACCTGTTGGCGGCGGCGCTCAGACGGTGTCGCAGGGCGGAAAAGGGTGAAGGTTGGGTGCGACGTCAATGGAGGGAGAGAAGATTGGGGAAGCTACTCATCCATCGGCTCAGGCAGGGATTTCGTGGCGCCCTGCTCGGTCCCTACGCCAGACAAAAGGACTATTGGTTCGGGGACGGGACGGGGAAGGCCAGATTTCCGTTGGCAGAGTCGATTCTTTTATGACAATGCTACACTGCACTGGACTTTCGTGCATTCCTGCGTTATTAGCCGAAGGTAACTCTCTTCCTGCGAACTGGGAGAAAGGGAAGGTCGAAGTTAGGTTTATCGGAGCGATTCCGATTCCCTCACTCCCCCTGCACCCTTCAGCGCCTGGTCCCATTAAATGATTTACACGTATTTATTTCTTGATGGTAGTCCCCATATGTTAATGAGGAACGCATTTTCAACATTATTCGGCACCTTTGTAGGAAGGAATATGGATCTCTTGAGATTGACAGCTTGGTCCCGTCCTTGGACAAAGTCTTCGACCCCCATCAGCTAATGGAGATGGGGCATCATTGATTCTGGATGCCATTGCGCTCGGAGCTCGCTGCGAGTGGGCTAGTGGTGTTGTCCTCACAGGGCGGCAAGCCTGGAGTGGCTGTACGATTCCCCTTCCGGCTTAGACCTAGAGCCTGTCCTATGAAGCATCCAACTACGAAGGAAACTAGTGATGGGTCTGTGTGTCGCTCGTTCATCTCCCAGCGCCCAGCGCGGTATTATTCACACTGCCTGCAGTGTTGGAATATGGTTCGAATTAAGCTTGAATTATGGTTGAGTGTTCGTCTTGAAGCGGATTAGTGCGTAGAGATGCTACATCTCAGCTTCTCGTGCGAGCCCAGAAAATGACGGGAACAGTCTTTTGATTCCGCGCACTTCTTGGGATCTCTTTCCCGTTTGTATTAATTGGTAGGATTGGAAGCATACGAAGTTCGTTCATTGCCCCGGAGAAGAAATCGAACTCGGAGAACGAAGAAATTAAGGTGCTAGCGGACGGAGCAGTAGTTTGGCGTTGACAGGCTCAATCCCTGTTCATTAAAACGTTTTGTCTTCGGAAATCCAGGGATTCGCACTCTCGGAAACCGGGGAAAGATTGTCCACTCGTCTGATGAAGGGACGGATCAATTTTGGGGTCTCTCTTAATGAATGTGGCAATCGCGTGTCTCGATGGAACCTCAATGTTGCGCAATGTGGGGAACGAACTGGCGGAGAGGATTACAGAGGTCTTATTCGCCTGGCACCGCAGAGAATGGATGAGGCTCAGGGGAACCATCATCAATGGTCGGTTACAAAGAGTAAGGTTCTTATGGTTGCATTACGACGACACTTTTGGCGTCTCCGAAATGTTTTCCTCGTGAGACCAGAGCAGGGATCACAAGCTTGAGTTTACGAAGTAAACTTATATGGTTGATTCATGATCACAGTTGCCCAGGCTCAGCGAGCTCACTGATACGCGCCTGGCTAGAACAGAAGAGGCACGTGCTGTTCCCGTCTTCTTTTCCAAGTCTGGAGACATATTCACTTCAAGCGATAGGTTCGTGTATGCCCACGATGTATCAGCAAAACGTCCAGAGCCAGATACATCGACGATCATACTCTCGGAGAGGAACTCGAGCTTCTCACTAAACACCTTACAGCTTTCGGTGTCTTACGAGTCGATAATATGCCGTTCTGCGCGGAGGCGAAGAAGGTGGGGAGTTTAAAGAGAGTGCAGCAAAATCGGTTGGAGGATAGAGTAAATGGGAAACTTCCCATGTCCCTCTTCTCGCGAGTTATTCGGGGCTGTTGATCCTGGGCACTCCGTTCAACGATCTTGCTCCAAGAGTTTGCAGAATCTCCCGTGCCATCATATGCGACGCCCTCAATAGCAGAACAACAGCAGGGCCGTAATCCTCTCAAAGGGGCGGATTCGGGATCGGCCAAGGCTTTCGCCGTGTTGTCTTCTCCCTGCCCAGTGCCTGATATTGGCGTCTTCTCGATTCGGCATCAATATTCGATGGTTGACGCCAGCTGAAGAGTAGGGCCCCTGGAGGAATAGTGTCTACAGCCTGCCGGGGCGCTCTGAGTTTGACACGTACGCGCGGAAAATTGAGGAGGGCCATGTGTTTCGAACAACTTCGCTTTCGTCGCTTGCTTTGTAAAAACACTTGTGAAAGCCAGCAGTCTGAGGAGGCTCTGCCAAAATGCAAAACCCGTGCCCACAACCGTTCGGGCGATGCGGACCAGCCTCGCAAGGAAAGGAGCCTGGATATCCATATAAATTAATAACTCCCGGTGTTGACTGGGCGACAAGATCGTGAGAGCCGCGCAAGCTTTATAGAGTGGCGTTGCCCACTTGCGCGTGAGTCAGTTCCTACTGGGTGAGTGTATCGATTCTTCCGGCCGCCTGTTGAGAAGGCTATCTGAGAAGGATCACGTCCTGGGATGGAAATAGATGTGCAATCGGCATCGAACTCGAAGTGACCGGTGCCTTACCGAAATTGGGCTGTTATTACAAACAACCTTAAACAAGTGAAGGACAAGAACAGGGCCACGGAAGCCTCGACTTCGAGGACACCGTCAAGGTATCTCTTGATGCTTTGATGTTAGTTCGTATTCAGAAGATCGTGGACGACATTCGAGGCCGTCTAGGCTTCCAAATTAATTTGCTTACTGCCCGCAAGGCACATTCACACACCTCCCAGACTTAGCGAGGCTCGGCATCAATCGTACTTGCCTTTTTCAGCAACCGATGCGACTGCCAGCTGCGATCAATTTGTGCCAGCCGATTGATGAGGCTCGCTTCCGAGAATAGAAGATCTGTCCATGTTAATTATTACTTCGCTCAGATGAAGGAGTCGCATTCCACACGAAAACAAATTGCCTGGCATGGATTACTAATTGGTTCCCTCTCGTCCTTTGTGGAGGCTGAAATCCTGCTTCGTATTATTAGTTGATATGTCAATATGAGCCCAGTCTGGATGACAAGCGGACCGGCAGCGGATATGCAGGAGGGTGGTGGTTGCCGTGGTGAATCCACTCACACCTCACACATCGATCAATCAAGTTGAACGAGACTGACAGTTCAGTCCGGTCCTCGAAGATCATTGATGGAACAGCGGGGTTGGACCCCTCGGTTCGGGGCGCAGGGCAGAAGATGGCCAAAAGCGGCGAAAGCTGGGCACGACGAAGGAATCGGTCGCACTGAAGTGTTTCAGTGAGTGCCCGCAATTGATTCTCTTCAGGGCCCAGCACCGTCCACCATTGGATCACAGGCGGGGGCGGAGCGCTTGCCCGCAACCACACCGCATGAATCACTAGTGAACTAGGGTCCAGTCCCGATCCCTGTGAATAAAATTGGTGGAGGGTGTTGCCATTCGTTTCTTGTCCTGTTTCCCACAGTGCTCTCCAAATGCCTGTCCTTGGTAAGCTTAGCCCATCAAAATATGATGTTCACACCCGATCCTCATGCCACAGGCGAGCGAATCGTTCGGTTTGGTCACAAGTCGTCCTGGTCCTCCTCGCCTCACTGCCATTGCCATGTAAGAAAAAGGTGGGAAGTCGACTCCAAATCCCGGCAGAGCGGTACGGCCAATACGAGCACTGAGAATAGCAACTTCGCGGTCTCTGTGTGACTGGATAACCGGGCGGGTAGCCTCCCCGCCAGACCATACTGCTCCCAGATCATTGGTTTTGGGGGGAATCGTGACCCTTGTTTGTGTACACACGCACACACACTCTCACACACACACTTCTTCCACGTACACTTTGGTAGTGGCTTTGCGCCTTCTTCTAGAGAAAACAAAGGAGGAAATAAAAGTGCCGAATCAAATCGATTCATTCTCGAGATTTTGAAGGACACGTCAACAGAAGTCGCCGAGGAGTCGTGACATTTTCTCATCAGGCGTGTGTTTGCCCTGGCTGTTATTCCCCCGTCGAGGAAGTTTCTCGACAGACTCGCCGTCCACATGATTTACTGGACTAGAGCACTTTGATGCTTCGTCGCACAAGTGTCCCTTGAAATGCCCCCTGCTTCGTAAGACTTGGGATGCGAGATGATGGAAGCCTAACTTGAAAATTCGTCTGCCAATCGAGAAGTCTCCAGAATCGCCGGTGATCATGTTCGCCTGCCAATTATATGCCAATTATACGGCTTGCAGAGCCGCCCACGACGAGCCTTAGACTTGTGTTTTGGATCAAATCGATCCTCGTCGCGCGCACAAGTGGGCGCGAAATTTCGACATCACTTTGCGACCGGTATTTGGTCTCGCTTGGGTGGTTATTCTTCCAAGAGCCGCAGGTTAGGACTCACCTGGGTGGGCAGGCTGGGCTGACTCGCGTCGTCCTAGGTCCAAGGGCACTGCCCCCTGCAGCATAATATAAACCCCGTCTTTCCACCCCGGAATCCTGCTGCATTGTTGTAATGAGTTGTCACCCTGCAAGCTAAATTAGTTCTTTTCTCTCCCGCATCTACGCATCCTTCTAAATAAGCGTTGAGAGCTCCAGCTCTTCAAGCCTAGTACAACCATCTTTACATCAGACCCGGACTTATCTTTATTTTACTCGGGCCCTTACCTGTTTATAAGTCGAGACGAATGATGCCCCCACCGAATAACTCCCTGCCTCTTCTAATATGGTAGGTTTCTTCTTATATCTGTGCTTTCCAGGTTTATGATCGCCGAAGCTACCCCCCTTGGTTTCCCCTCACTCCCCGCTTCGTGATCGCGTCTTGCAGCCCCCAATACTAGACTTCCTTCTGCCTTCTCCAAAATCTTGAGCCAGTCTTCGATCTTCAAGTGGACAAGCTGGCAGTGCAGCCTTTTTAACCTTTTATTATATTTTTGTATCTCCACCACTCCGGTCTCTCTAACATGGCATCCTAGGCGTCTCTAAACCCGAAACTCATCAAGCGATTCGAGACCACCGCGGTCTATACCCATCCGAGCGCCACCGCTGACATCGTATTCGTTCACGGTCTCAACGGCAGCCCTGACCATACCTGGACCGCCAAAAACAATGTGTTCTGGCCGCTCCAGCTCCTTGTGCCTTCGCTTATTCACACCCCCGCCAATGTAATCGTGTACGGATACAATGCAGATGTCGCGTCGTGGACCAAGGATAGCTCCCCGTCCGAGAACTTTATCTACCAACATGCCCAAGACCTCGTCACTTCTCTCACAACCCATCGGCGAGATGCCGGTACAGCTAGGAATCCCATCATTTGGGTCTGCCACAGCCTTGGCGGGATCCTGTTGAAGAGAGCCCTTTTATATTCCAATGATCTCAGGGACCCGGACCTTGAGATCCAGCGCTCCATCTACATCTCTACCTACGGAATAATCTTCCTGGGTACACCGCATACCGGCTCCAGCTTGGCCCCGTGGGCCCGCGTCCTACAGGCTATGTCTGGGGCCTTACCGAAGAAGTTTCTCGACTCGGAACCCGTCCTTCTCAAAACGCTGAAGAAAGACAATGTCGTGCTGCAGGAGATTAACAATCACTTCCTCGACATCTACCAGCGTTTCAAGATTCATATGGTGCGCGAAAACAAGAAGACTGACCTCAAATATACAGTGTAAGTCTCCCGTCTCATACTTATACCTACATTATGTCTCCGTGTCCCAGCACACTTGTAATCTCCGCCAACAGACATTGCACTAACTGTATTTCTAGAGACTACGTCGTCGATTCTCAGTCGGCAGGACCTCAGCTACCTGGGGTGACTTATTACAGCATCGAGGCCACTCACTCGACCATGTGCAAGTTTGAAACCGCCGACTCGCCTGGCTACTCTAATGTGTCCAGCGCCATCCGACAGTGGGTTCAAGAAGCGCCGGACTCCATCCACACAAGGTGGACGCTCGAGGACGAAGAGAAGAATACGCGAGCCATCAGCGCGCTTAACCAGATGGCAAAGCAATTAGTATGTTACTCGCCGATCCCGTATCTTTATGTGTATCGTGCTAATCTATGATAGGGAACCGCTTCCCCTGCGCCTACTCCTGGTATGCCACACATGGCCCAGCTCGACTCGAATCCCTTTTTATCTACTAACATCAATTCAGCTATCGGCTTCCAACCTCCATCTCCTCCATCTCCAAAGGATACACTTGTAGCTCAAGAGACTCTGGTACCTGTTACTCCAGAGCCATTAGCGACCGCACCCAGCGAAATACCTTCCGAAGTCTCCAAGGGCAAACAGCCAGCGCCGCTCCTCATGTATCCGTATCAATTCAAGCCCAATGCACACTTCAAGGGCAGGGAGCAGGAACTTGCGCAGCTTCACTCTTACCTGAGAAATAAGAACCGAAGGGGTCTGGGCACGTCGGCCGTCCTTCTCCAGAGCCTTCCCGGTGGTGGCAAAACCCACCTGGCCCGCCAGTATATCCAATTGTACGGTACTAGCTACAAGGGTGGGGTCTTCTGGATCCGCGCGAGGTCCGAACAGGAGATGGAAGACGCATTCTGGAAGATTGCCAAAACCAAGATCATTGAGGACGCCGCCGATGAGCCATGGAAACAAAACCTTCTCGATCCGAAGCGCATGGTGAAAACCGTGCGGAACTGGTTTGAAAGTTTTGAGGATTGGCTCATCGTATTCGACGGCATTCACTTTGATAGCCATCGTGAAGCAGCGTTTATTCCTCATGCCAAGAACACCAGTCTGCTCTATACCTCGACGAATAGGGCTGCCATCGGAGACTACAAATTCGACAACCCCATCCTGATGGAGCTAGGGCCTCTCAGCAAAGAGCAGGCAAAGGAACTACTTCTCGAGGAAATGGGAAAACAACCGCCTTTCTCCAAGTACGACCTTTCCGACGCCGAAGAGGCGGTAGAACTTATGGATCGACTTCCGCTTATGATCCACGTGGCCGGACAGCACCTCAAGATAACGCGAGAACCCCTGCGCAAGTATACGCGCGCGTTCAATCATGCGCGTGAGGCGGGCACACTTGATGCGTACGAGAACGTAAAGCAGGACCTCGAGCGGCGTGGTGCGATCGAGGCTCTTAACCTCATGTATATTCTGTCATTCTTTGCTCCGAACATCCCGGTTGAGATGCTGGCGCTCGGTAAGTGTTTCAATCCCCTCTCTCTTCTCTACTCCTGCGTCTTTCCCTCTTTTACTAACAGTGAATGCAGGTCTGGGCGCTCTAGACAAGCGCACACCAGTCAAGGCTGCCGATGCCTCCAACCGACGAAGTCTCAACTACACTCTCAGTATTCTGATCAAGTACGCGCTCATCGGACGAAATGAAGAGGATGACAGCTCTTCGACGTCATCACCAAGCAAGAGGCGTCATCGTGGCATGGCTACCGATCATTCAGACACGCTTCGGCTTCACAGCATCATCCAGCGCTTCTTCCGGACGAAGATGGGCGCGCCAAAGGAGGTTGCGTTTTGGCTCGAGCGCGCAGTCGCCGTATTTTGCCGTTCTTTCGACGTTGCCGACTCGCGCATAAGGCGAACCCCTGCCGTCGGCCTTCCCGAGGACTACAGAAGATATTCTATCCAGGGACAGCAAATCCTCGCTCATGTCGACAGGCACACGAAGAAGCACGCGGCCCTTGTATCCTGCAGAGTCTCGGTCATAGACCGGCTAGACATGGTGGAACAGTCCATCGCGAATCTCACAAGGGCAGTTTCGAGCGACCTCAAGAGCCGGCGCACCGACAGAAGGTCCGTATTCGAGATGTCCTCGAGCAGCTGCTCTGATTCGGACTCCTCGCGCACGTCCGAGCGGTATACACCTGACCGTGAGGAGGATGAAGGGAAAGGGTGGATGATTCATGAGGAAATGGCGGTGCTTGAATCGCCCGCACCGTACGACGACTTGGGTCATCATCCTTGGGACGAGTTTCCTTATCCACAAGTCAACATGATGCCTATGCCACCTCTACCGGAAGACATGGATTTGTCCGACACAGAATACATCGGAACTCCTCGTCCACGGCCACAGACAACATTCAAGAGCAAAACCAAGGAAGACCTTGTCAATCACAGGACGGTCAAGAAGATGGAGGAGCGCCGTTATCACGACCGAAAAGGGTCGATGCGGTATGTGAAGGGAGGACCATATTCTGACGTCCGCGTCAGCGTCAACGTTGATCACGAGCCCCCCAAAGCCAGGATGTTCAACTCCATGCCCTCGGACCTTACGGAAGACGAGGTGGAGGCTGCAAAGGCGGAGCGGGCAAAGAACAGTAAGGCGAAATCACAACTTCTCCGAATCTCCTCGAGCCAGTCGTTGGGACGTGGCAAGGAAAAGTCGAAAACATTACCGAATGGAGGGAATAAATCAGCGTCACCCTTCCTCCAGTTCTTTGCCAAGGCATTGAGAAAGAGTCCGGTTGCTCAGAGTGATGTAACCTGGTCTCCATCGGCTAGTACCGTGCGGGTCGGAGAGCACGATACTCCTCGCCCGGAGAGGATGACACCGTCAACGCAGTTCAGCCCCGACCCCAACATCCAGTCGCCGTCGCATGGCGGAAGCCCACCCATTCGCACTCCAAGTCAAGATAGTTGGGCATATCACCACGACCGCATGTCAAAATCAGAGCTAGTGCAAGGAACGACATCGCCACCGTCGAGCAACCAACCGAGCAAGACGGGCCGGAAGCGAGGCGACTCGGCACCGCCTGTCTGGCAGGTCCACACGAATGAGTACTTGGACGATGAGGACCTCCGAGCCGGGCTACCAGTTGACATTGGAGCGAACCCACACGCAGGTGACGTGACTGTGTGGAATGTTAATCTTCGGCCGACGGGCTACTCATCCCAGCCAATGTCGAGACAGACCAGCGACAATCCCAATACGGGGTCGAGGCAAGGTGCTACGGCACAGTCTCTCGGTTCTTCCTTCCCGCCTGCGGTTTTAAGGGCGATTCCACTCAGTGACCGACCACCGTCCCATATTGAAACGGAACCTTCGCCGAGGCTCGTGACGCTAGCGGACGCGGGGCCGTCGAAGAACTGGGAGGAGCGCCACGCGATTCGCGGGCGCGCGAGGTTCAGCAGTAGCATCCCCGCGTCTCGCTTGAGTCACATGTCGCCGAGCCGGATCTCCAACGCGACAGGGTCCAGGCCCGTCAGCAGGGGTGAAGACGAGGGGCCTGGGTCTGGGGGGATTTTGACTGGGAACGGGAGCTTCGTGTCGTTTGGGAATAATGCGACCGAGGCCCAGAGCCAAGGACCGCTGGTGGAGCATGACGAAGAGGAAGGCTCCAGGACGCAGACCAGGCAGACGCAGCAGGATAGGGATCAAGCTCTTCTGGGTGTGGGGTTAGGGATCATCGAAGGGTAGGCGTCTTGCAGGATTCATTGTTTGCATGACCCATGCGTCTTTTTTTGCTTGTCCTTTTCTTTTTTTTTTTTCTGTTTAGGCATTTTCATTGGATTTTGGGAGTGATTTTAATTGGTATTTTTTGGGAACATGCAGCTTCGGATATCATGGAGATACCCTCTAACCCTCACATATACATTTATCGATAGACATAGAAGGGCCTCGGAGTATATCTTCATTTCAATACATGCTTTCAATTTTCAAGGAACAGGCTCTTTCCTCCCTTTCCCTTTCCTTCTTTTTAGAACCCCTTTCCCTATTTCATTGTTGCAAAGCAATCCCACTTCTCTTGCGCATGCTCACACCATTGACCAAAGTTTGTAGAGCCACGCAGCCGCGGCCGCCAAACACTCCCCATGACACTCAAGCAAGGCACAAACGTGTTCCTTCTCGAAAAAGAAACTGGGAAAGTCCCTAGGAGGTGAACGACCCAAACAGGAAGACAGCCATTGGACATTTACAGGAGGATCGAGCCCCGATGGGCTTGAACCAACAGCTGAGATTAAGAGTCTCGCGCCTCCCTCTCTTCAGATTTGGGGGGGGAGGTTTGGGTATATGAGTAAATTGGCTTCTGATGAAGGATTAATTGGTTCTTGCCTCCCCTGGAAATCATCCCCTTCCTCACATATTCTTCCCGACGACACATGCTTGAGGGGCCTATTGAATCTGCAGGTCCTATTCGGAAGTAGGCACACGCTGCGATTGAAGTGAATCAGCTGTTTGGCAATTCTGATTGTTTGTGAATAGGCCATCTGGTGATTCTGTTCGGCATGTGGCTGGGATCAGCGCGGCCGGGAGGGTCTATATAAAGGACCCAACCCTCTCCCCATCCCCATCCTCATACCTAAACCTTTTCTCTCCCAACTCATCCAGACCCCAGATCGTGGTTGACTCTCGCCATGGACATAGGCTCCATTCCTCAATCTTTTATATATTCATAATGACCTACCAGACGATCCTCAACTTCAACGTCATACTCTTCCCCCACACCCTTGGGTTGACGAGTAGCCTCTCCCACATTTCACCCTCCAGCTACATTTATAGCTATCTCGGCAGACATCACGCTTTTGTTGGTAAGCCTGCCACATGGGCCAATCAGCCCTTCTACGAATGATGAAGCGAGTTACGCCTTCAATGAACGGACTATGTTGGTGACGATTCGAAGCCAACGATACTGTTGCAAAACCTCTGGAAAGAGATGGACCTTGTCTTCTAGATGGTCAGAAACGATGGCTCAAGCTATCGCAATCCGACACAATCGGTGCGTTTCTGCACTCGAACTAAGAAGCTCCTCCACCAGTCATCGGTGGAGGTCCAGAAAGGCGTTCAGGCTTGTCTTCAGAACGTCGCTCTCGGCAAGGACCTTTGCCTTCGCGAAACTGAAGGCGGATGCACCGTACCGCTAGCCAAAGTCTCGTGCCTCACGTTGTCCTAAAAATCACGGTATATACTGCATTTGGCACGTCCTATATACATGAGGATGACTATGGAGTGCGCAGGTTCTGCCTTCACGGTGGCTGAAGTAGACCTCCATATTCACGAAGGAGCGCCTGGTCCTTGTCTGCGTCGGCTTTCGCAGCATCGGAAAAGACGCACTTAAGTCTTTGCACGCAATTTAATCGACGAATCATACTTGGTAAGGAAAAGGAGAGTAGGATCGTCGAGCCCTGTCTTCTGCGCCAGACCTTCACAGCTATATATACACCCTGTGGACACAACACTCATACGATGACCTACAATGCCTTCTGCCACCCCGTCCTTGACGTTTGCGGTACGTCAATGCGCCGTCAAGTGATGATGTTTCCAGCCATTGGGTTCGGGTGATGGCGAAGCGCTTCCAAAGTGTTGTGCATCCTTTTTTGAAGCAAGCCAAGGACTTCTAAGATTCCGATGGATGAGACGAACCGTCCGCCGGTCAAGCGGAATTATGACCGTCTTGAGTATATACTTTTGGGCCCGTTCAACAAAGGGACCTGGACCAATGTCTTGAAATTCAGTTGGCCCGAGGCTGTTTAGATCTTCATTGATTCTAGGATCAGCAGGCCCAACCGTGGTATCCCTTCGTCACATCCCATTGGCGGGGGCTGCGGCAAACTCGCACGAAAGAAGGCCGACATTGTGGGTGTCTATTACCTACTACCCTTCAACCGTCCATCCGTGGGCGCCCCTCCTGCGGCTTGCTCACAGATCGGGTCCATTTCATCGTTTGCATTTCATTCCTCTTTAGTGATCGCCGAAACATGGAATGGGTCCACCGTCGTGTCCCGGTTGGCCCACCCTAGAACAGATTTCATTCAAGCCCGTGCTGTCTAGCCATATGATGGAATACCACAAAGAGCGAGAGTTTCTGTATTAAAGTGCGAGGAGCTTATGCCTTGCACTACGTTAAGTAAGTCACGGCAAGAAACGATCTCCTGTTTTCGCTAGGACTGCCCTTTATTGTGCCACACCTAGTCCTAGCCCATTCATCTCACGATCAGTAGGCGGTTTGTCGCCGCTGCCGTTTCTCTAAACGGCGACCACGTCAACGCCTCAGGCTGGCCTACAGCCTCTCAGCCAGCGGGGCCGGTTCGGAGTCGCCAACACGAATCCAGACAGGCGGGACGATTTCGTCGGTAAATTCGCCTGGTTCCTCGCACCCTTCATGCTCCGGTGCCCAACCGACGGGACGTTTGGCAGGCAGCCCGTCGATAGAATACCACTTTCGACTCGCTCCACCATCATTCACTGCGCTACCTTCAAATGCGTCCCGAGCGACATCGGCGAGATGGTGAACGATTTCAAGGACAAGGTTCAGCTCCAGACCAACAACGAAGCTGTCATGGCGAGAAGTCCCGCCGGCCTGCGTTCTCTGCCGTGCTCCTATTCGCACACCTTCCCCTACTCCTCACTGACGCCGACGCGAAGTTGCTTCGCCAACAATTCCTCACCATATTCGAGTCCGACAGCATTCGCGCCGAGCCCAGATCGGGTTCGCTCCTCCCTGGAGGCCAAAGAATCTCCTTCGGTGGCCTCACTCAAAGGCCCTCAGTACTACCAGGCGAACGAAGTACTCCGCAATATTCCCCAGACGCGTTGAACAGACGAGCCACGGCGATCGTCATCCTGTCGTGGGCAGTGGGAAGCTTTATGGCCCGGGACGTAGGTGCTGGTGAATATTCACGCCCTTCGGCTTGGCCCTCGTCCTGTTCTTTTTGCTATGTAGTCCTCATCTTGGAGACTAGCAGGAGAAGAACAGCAATACCCATGGCTGTTTTTATTGGCAGTACATGGCTCAGACGCTCTGCGCGTCTGCACTTTTGCCCGAGACATTTTGATCCCAACCTCTACCTAGGGACACGAGAACCATGGGGTGGATGGCAACGTGCCTTTGCACGGCGTTGTCATGCAGGAGAAAGAAAACCCCTTGGCGCAAGAGCCGAAACAAACTCCGATGGAAAACGTGACCTAACCATTGGACAACTCGACAAGGACCCTCGGCTGCTCTTTAGGTAACTACACAATAGCCCTGTTCCGTTGTTGTCGGCCTGCGAGCTCGGGGTCCAACAGACTTCTGTATATCTTGATCATAAGGGATGTGGTCTTACATATGGACCATAAGGGATGTGGTCTTACATATGGACCATGTCTCACACTTTGATTCCTTGCCTGGTTCACCAGGTGTTGGACAAAGCAGTGAAGCTGCGTTTCTGGTATCCGCGGGGCATGTCAGAAACAAGATGCCGAATGGATTCATTTCTCGAGGTCTGGCTTTCCGCGGGTGTATGACCGAGGATGACCGGTGGTTTGACCCTCCATTACACGAAAATGTCTTGCGGGCGATAGGTGTACCCCATTGCATTTCTTTTTGCCTCGAGAGACGCGGTGCGTTTGTCTCCTCCCGTGGGATGAAGACAAATAGCCAGCATACGGCGGGGCCAGATATACAGTCCCTGCATGGTAACGAATGCTTAAGACGGCGTATATAACTTAGCTCGCCGTCTCCTTCTATACTCCGGTCGGGATCGCCTATATCCTTTGGGGTGTCTTAGCCCCCCCAGGAAGCCCTGGTCCTACACTAGCCGGATGAGTGCCTAGCTGTCCTCCAGATCAGTGGCTGGCAGCTTGAGGCCTTCTACTGTAGCGACCTATAATATGCCGCCCTTGCCCTGCCCGGCTGGAATATCCTTGTCATATAAGGTGCTATCAACGCCCAGCAGGTGTTCTCCTACTGGCCCAACTATATCAACACCCTACTTATCCAGTCAAGGGGTATCGACATCCATCCGGCCTGTGCCGAGTGCTAGAGGCTATGCCACCGGACCAAACAGGCATGTGATGGAAAATGCCGTTCTAGAGATGAGCGAAGTTCGTCATGGCCGACATATATAACTTACCAAACTTCGCGCTGGAAGCAATATCGTTGCCCTGGCGAATATATGCTGCTCCGATCCAGCCCGAAGAGCCCGATCGTAGCGGACCGTCGTGAAGTTCCGGCGGGGAGGCGCCGTGTATAAGTGAAAGCCATTGCTGGGATCACATTACCGCAGACTATATACTGACAGAAAGGATTGTCAATAGGACGGAGCCGCATGCCGTGCAAGAAATAGCTCACCAAGAGACAGCCTTGAACGTCCCAATCTCCCTTCGGCCCGTGGTTACAAGATCGACCTACACCTCTCGTGTATTCTCTAATGGCGAGTTGGGTCGCCAATAAGACGCCCAGACTGTAGACTGGGCAGCTCGTCCGCTTCCACAGCGACCCGGCAGTCCCTGATGAGCCAGTTACTGGGATCGTCTCGTCGTGGAGCTTCTCAACTGCAGGGACGAAAATGATGGAACAAGCCATCGGCCGTGCGACTAGAATCAACCAATATATTCCAATATTACAGGCCATTATCGGGCTTCGAGGACCCCCTGACTATGCAATTATCGGGAAATTTTCAGCGAATGCCCGCCTGGGTCAATATAAGTTCAGCGCCGACCGTGGAGGCAGGCCGTTCATCCACAACATGACTGTAGCAGGATTATATCTCTCCAAGTGGGAGAGAGGCAACCGCCGTGATCTGCTTACACCCTCCTGGACTCGTGCGTATATATTACAAGTGTGGAAGCGTCTTCTACAACGGGGGCGAGGAAATGCAGACTGCGTGCGGCATGTGGAGCTGTTTACTCGGCCGTAGGCGTCCCGCCTCATCCAGGTCCGGCACCCCAGATATCGTCGTCTCCCCCTTTTCCATCTGACTGCAAATCCAACCAGCCCTCAGCAAATAAGACGTTGGCAACGATATTTACTAGCTCGCTGTTCGCCGCCCTGTCTTCTCCCAATCATCCCGATTACAGGGGTCATCGCCGGTTTCTCTCCTAATGGCCAGGCCATATCTCTATCAAGTCAAGGCTTAGATACCGGGATAGGGGCCTGTTATAGTCTCGATTTAGGTGCTTGTTTATAAATATATGATGAACTAAGGATCATCGCGGAAGTCAAACAGTCTCATCCCGGGGTTTAACACCCACGGGATTCCGCACCCCCTAAGTATCGAGATAACGCTGCCAAACCCAAGGCATCTCCTCGAGCGGACGACTCACGCGGAAAGGACGCTGTTCAGAACTGTAATATCTGTACTAAATATTTCTGAAGTCGATTAGAGTGCCAAGGCACGCCCAAGCTCGCAGCCGGTCGCAACATCCTTTTCAATCCACTTTCGGTTTTCTCGAGTTTTCTTATCCTTGATGATTGGTGAGGCAACGATGCGCGAATGGCCGCTACAGAGTGTCCGAGGATTAACTTACTGTTTCTTTGGCGCTGCTGTTATATATCCCCTATATCCTCGCATCTCCTCATCCTACGAGAATTAACGTGGCCTACTGGATGGGAGTGGACTCGAGGTGGGATGTCAAGTAGGAGACAACCATCGACCAGAGTCACCTCAGCTCTTTCCCCGTGGCCGACTTTTCTTTTTATATATGGCTTTTTTACTGGTATACCTGCGAATTCGTCGATCGAAGAAAGCTTGTGGAACAGAACTACCCGCGAATTACTTCATCTTCTGCCATCGTGAATCGTCACGAAAGGGGATACTTCCCTTGGTATAAGGCGTCCATATATAACCCTGGAGACGTGGGGATGATACCACGCCCACAGACTCGCCAACCAATATACAGATGTATATTTTATATTTTGCCAACAAGCCTTAGGCCATGAACCTTGGCGCTTCAGCATTGCCTCTTCCAAAGGATCAGTTTCAGTTTCGAAGTGGCCATAAATAATTTAATTCTTGTGCCCCGGTTTCTTCCCGGGTTCGAAGCCTAAGACAGGATTATCCCTTGGAAGACCGTTGATTAACTGATCCCCAGCATCAGACAAGTGTGGACTTCGATTGATGTTCGGGGAGGTCGTTAGGTGGTGACCCATTTCGAAGCCGGCCGCATGTCTTAGTGCCCGACCGGCTTCGCCTGCCCGCTGATATACACACTGCGGGTTCTTCTGCTCGGACACTGCTTCATACTTGCAGGTAATTTTGGTGGATCCAGCTCGAGTTCTCGAAGAACAGCGCAGGCTCGCATAACGTATACGTTTGTATATGTCTCCGGATGCCTTAAAACGTTTTCCCCCACTCAGCAGTTACGAGAACAAGCGGGAAGGCCTGGCAAGATTAATAGAACGATGCCCGGACACGCTCCCCGATGACTTTTTCGGCTAATTCGAAGGGTTGAGGCGTATGAATCAGGACCGCGCGAGATCTGGGAACGTGGAGGAAGAGACTAGGCTCCTGATTTATCATGCCCCCCCAAGGGAGTTCAGAGTCATCCAGCGAGATTTGGGAACTCTCATTACCCAGGCCCGAGTTTCTTATCTAGCCTCCGATTTTGAGGGTTGTTGTCCGAGTTAATAGAATGGGTCGTAAGGATGTGGTCGATGTAACGGGGACAGGCGGCTGTCTTGCGTGCCCTTCGAAGCGCGCGAGGTGCATGCACTCCCAATGCCAACATCGACCGGGCCTTTTTACGGGTGTGGAGCGTCGATCTATGGTTCTGCAATCACAAAAGACAAGCGGAAAATAGAAACAGACTCCTGAATCTGGGGGTGGTTTTCCTCCCTTTATATAGACCCGGACCGCGAACTTCTCGCAGCCCAATCCGATCTGGTATGTCCACCCGGAGTTCCTGACATGTCTACGGGTCGATCCTAACTAGTGATAGGGGCTTGCTCAGATGAAGTGGTTTTCCGCCCGCACCGGATGCTTAGCAGGAGACCTGCCAAAGGATGAGATGCATCATTGCGGTAGCGAGGTATTATTTTCGACCGCGGAATTCATGCCTTGAATCGAGGGTGGAGAGGCTCCAACGGGCAAGTGATATCCCGAGAGAAGGGAAAAGGGGCGGACAGGCAGGACTTTTCTCCACTAGGCGGGGTAAACTACATGCCCCCTTGCAAACGGTCCCCCAAGTCCATACGAGCGCCCCCACTCCAGAAGAGCTAGACCAACTACGACTCCGCCTCCTCAAAAGTAGGGTCCATACATTAGACGCCCTTCAGCCTGGCCCCAACCTCCCCACAGCATTGGAACAGAAGGTCATCTCCTCCAAACTATCACAACTGCCTCCGATGGACGAGGAGTCTCTCAGGCTTGTCATAGACGCCCTTCGAAGAAGAATCCCTCCCCCCATCACCCCGCCCACCGAGACGCCCTCCCGCCTATCCTCGCTTATAGATCAAGACATACTCCAAGAGTCCCTTCAACAGTCGAGTGCTATCACGGATGCAATCGAGGACGAACAGGAGAGGCAGAGGCCCATCCAATCAACACGGCAATCCTTCGTGCTAACGTCGGTCGTTTCAGAGCACCCTCCCCGCGAGGAAGATCTGCTAGAGGCTTGTGGTGCCCTAGGCCTGGACGACTGGACTAACCTGTCCATCAACCCCACAGACCCCACCCTAACCCTCATGCCGCACCAAGTACTCGATGCGTATTGGATGCTGCAGAAGGAGCGTTCCCCCCTACGTGGATCGCTTCTTGCTAATGAAGTGGGAACAGGCAAAACCGTGACCTACTTGTCCCTCATCCTAATGGCCAGCATAACTCAGAGAGAGGGGCCATACCTCCCCACCTTATTGATTCTCCCGAGCGCCTCGACGGACGGTGGTATTGCTAAGTCTTTGGTCGGCACGATCCATTCTGCGCCTTGAGGCTGATCTTGACCTTCTTTTGGGTCCGTCGGTTTCTTCAGGAAGCCACGCGCCATGACCTTCTGGTGTCAACGACGACACCGTCTGCGGAATAGTTAATCAAGTTATGATCGAATTCGCCTGTCAATTATTCGTCAATGCTCATGAAGCTTGTGCCGCCGGGCGCGCTGGCTCCCAGCACTCCGTGCCCCGGGCCTTGAAGATGGAGAAGTAAGCAATTCGAGGCTCCAAGGACATGGGAGACATAAATCCTCACTAAAACAGGATCTATACAACAATACCAATAGCACCCAAGTGGCAGGCCCTCCTTGCAGCACACTATGAGAGATGTTTCTGTCAATTTCTTGCTGGCCACGATAACGGAGTTCGAAACCCGCGTGAATGGGCGTAAAGTATATTCTGTGGATTGACGATGGTGAACGATGGCGACTGAAAGTTGAGGCTGTAAAACTCCACGGAACAGCTGGGCTTCGGCCAATCGGCAGTCACAGGCCGACGCAGCCCCTTCCCTCCGTTGCAAGCGGACAGAGAACACTGAACTCCTCTTTGTGTGCCTGCCTGACAAAACCGTTGTCCTCCCAGGCAGGGTGTACCGCTATGTACCATCGTCCCTGGGGAGCTCTCATTTCATGCGTGGTCGGGCATGTTGTTCTGTCGATGTCGCTCCCAAACTTCTCTCCTTGTGCGATTGAGCCGAAGTCCGCGGCTCGTTTTCAACGCTGCGATGGAACCGCCTCAGGCTCCAGGGAAATACCAGGCATACTTTACCGAGTCTGGAGCTCAGATATTCACAATCTATATATGAACTGGGAAAGCCCAAACCTCGCCGCGAAGATGGCGGCTTTGTCCGCTGCGCCGTCTACACTTAGGCGGTGATGAAGAGTATGGCGATGTAAGCCAGGTCAACACGGTTATTGCTGGGTGCTTCCACGAGAACAATAAGCCTCCCTCCTACAAACACTGCATAGCATATATCTAGATATATAGAGATCCATATATATCTAGATGCTCCCCCTTCCACTCCCCCCGCCCCCTTACGCAATGGCCAGCATCGACCCCGCCGCGACAGCCGATGTGCTCTCCAAGACGCTGTCCGAGATCACGGAGCATTCCCAAATATATATCCATCCCAACGCTTTTCCTTTCGCCACGGCGGCGATAAGACGAATCCTGTCTTTGCTTACCCAGGCATTGCTCGCCACCATGTCCCTGGCCGGTTCTAGCTGACGCGACGTTGAGAAGAAACATGAGAAATTTCAGCCGCCCGTTCCGCCCTCCGCCGCCCCAGCCGGACCCCTTGTTGACGATCGAGTAAGGACAATTTCCCTCTGTTCCTTCACGTGAAGCAGTCAGCTGACACGGTAACAAGCTTGGGTCCCTCGCCTCGGCCCACCCGCCCACCACAGACACCACTGGTGGCGCCCCCGACCCTCTCGCCATCACCAACGCCGCCCTGCCCCCCGGCCCGGCCTCTAGCCCTCCTACCGGCCCGAACCCGGTCCGTCGCGCCGCCGCCGCCAGACTACATCCTTCTTAGAAAGATGGTTGAAAGGTGGGGCAACCGTTGTTTCTCTCGCGGCTGTGGTTACAGGAGTGGTGTTTGCAGGTCTTTCTTATTCTAGAAGGAACTAATCAATATTATATTGAATGCGGGACGGGAAGTTCTTTCTTTTTTTAATATTCATTATTAAAATAAACGATCATTCGCGATGGGTATCAACCGAGAGCAGAAGTCAGTGAACGACGAGTATTCCTTCCTCCTCTTCACCCTAAAAGTGGTCGTAGTGCACGACGCAGAGCGATAACACACCCAAGCGCAGTCGCGACGATGATGGCGCCACGCCGAATCTTCGAAGGCGTAAGACCGACCACCACGACAGGCGCGAGATGTCCTAGAAGGACTTCGAAATCAGGAACATTGAAATTGCTAAGATCCGGCGTTGGATCCTCGGCTGCCGACCAGCGGGGATTTCGAGGCCGCCCCGTGGGCCCTGTCGCCCGATATACAAGGGTACTCTGGGGGTAGCATAATACCGTTAGATCCTGTCGCTGATCAGGGCATGGGGCTGCAGAAGCTGCTATCTGATATCTCTTACGATTGCACGGTCTCCTAACCCCGGCTCGAGCTCTTCTGCAGCACTTCTTGGGCTTGGCTGAGGCGCTTGCAGCACACCACACCTTACCACGCTGCACACTAACACATCCCCCATCTTTTTACCGTAGGCGTCGTAACCAAGACCGTGGAAAACCAACACTTATTAGAGGCTCAGTCCTCCCTCCGGCTATTGGCGATGATTGGAGTCTTCCTGGTTGTACGGAAGGGGTACTCGACATATCGCGAATTAGCCATGATCCGCCTAGCATTCCGGAACTGATACCGCCAGCGGCTGCTGTTCCTAGTCCGCCTGCAGTCCCTGCCCAGGCCGGAAATCCTTCACCGCCCGCCACCCCAATTCCGAGTGCCGTTTGCGAACCGGACCCACAAGCTGGTCGGCGAATATGATACCAAAGTCACCCATCTTGAAGCCTCTACACTCCGTTCTTTCTCCGTCTCTACTCTGCTACCGTTGGCTTTGTCTGGGTTCCGGCCAGATTTCTCCAGAATCAACGAGATCGTTTGCAGCTGGGCCCCGTTAGACTAAGATCCTCATCAGTCTTTTCCCATCTATCCCATTCTTCCCACAACAAGCACTCGGGCTGCTCTCTACCTTTTCTCCTTTCCAAACCTCGCCCGCTTCTCTATTTGAGTCGTTTCCTCTACTTAGTCCATTCCAAGCATCCCCTCATGTTCGGCGGGTATCCAATTCACTGATCAGGATGGCAGGAGATAGAAACGGTACCGAGCCCTATGGGCAGGAGGAGAAAATGCTTGGCATACACGATATCTGGTTGCTTGCCTACACTTTGACGACCCTGCCCATTGGACGACTATGATCTGGGACGAGGAGACATTTGAATTGTACCTATATGATGCTCTTTACGACAGGCTAGACACCAGAATTGCTATCAGTGTGGAAGCATGGGCGGCGCGAAGAAAGGAAGGCAAATCTGACCAATTCGTTGTCGTCTGTCCTACTCAGACAGCACAAGGTGGTTGAGAGTGTGGCCTATTAGCCATCGCTAACGTATTTAACTTCTTTCGACCCCCGTCAGCTGCATCTCGCGCTCACGATCAATCCAACCGCTAGCGTTCTGCCCATAGGGTGGGCAATTGGGCGCTTGATGGACGGGATCATGCGGGAAGAAACGAGCAACTGGACAAATTGGTCAATTCTTCCATCTCGGCCTTTCTCTAATTCATCCATCCAAACACCCACACTCCCACCATTCTTCCCCATCCTACCCTCTACAAGCTCTTCTTTATTTCATCCTATCAAGTATCCCTACTCTCCAGTTGGTACGAGGTTGACGGCGACTGAAAGAGGGGGGACGTGCCGGACGAGGCGCGGTTGCACAATCCCGAGGACCATGCGATCATAAGCGCTGCTTGCCCGTCGGGGGCACAAGTTCCGGATACAATGCCATTGCGTGCCATTGCGTGCCCGGCTGGTTGGCACGTACGCTGGCGAAGAAAGTTTAATTCCCAGCGGCCTATCTAAGTCCGTCTCACCTTCGTCTCATTTGTTACTCTAGACCACCGATGCCGTGGTCATTTATTGGTGAACCTACCCAACTTCCTTTCACAACAGACCTACAACGTATTGCTATTCAAGATCGATCACGTTAGGGGCACTTGTCTCCACGGAGACTTTGGTCGAGAGTGTACTTACTGTTTAGTAATGCAGAGAAGCCACCAGCTATCAAGGGGAAGATCGGGGCTTTGGTCTGATTAATTGGCACTTTGGCGCTACGAGGCTAGCAAGGGATACATCGCGGAAGCAGGGGCAGTCAACTACATTAACAAGGTCTATATGAATAGAGGCCACGATGACGAGCTAGCCAACGTCCTCAAAGCCATCGACAGCATCTAAAGGAACAAACAGGGGCCGCTAGCCAAACAAGTGGTGCTACCCATCGGACTAGTCATCGATCGCGCCCTTGACACGGCTAACTCTGCCAAGAATGAGAAGAAGAGCAACTAGAAACCTTGGAGAAAAGAAACTATAGATCTAGAGAAGATCCTGACTCTGCGCAAGCTGATGCCTGCCGTATGTAACCTACAAAAGGATGCTTAAAGGCGACTCTCGGCGGGTACAAAGCTCTCGTATGGGAATATGAGGATGCCCTGACCGATTTCCACCACCATGGGCGCGCGACATCGGGGGAGACCCATACACCCCCCGTCCCTCGGTCCTACGCGCCGCCCACCTATAGACGAATCAACCAAGCTAGCCTTGGGCGACTCAGAAACGGTGTACGTGGGCAGAACTCGTCGACAATGCAGAGCAGCGCATCGAGCGCGCTCGCCTCGCTATCGGAAGGGGGTCGGCAATCATCTGGCTAACGTGGAGGAGACGAGGGCCCTGAGGGAAGCCGAAGATTCACGGTGTAGTTCAGAGGTATTTTCTTCTCTCTGTTGTGCGAAACATTGGTTCTCAGGAGATGACGGCGCAGTCAATAAGCGACATAGCCCAGTTCAGCGCCAGTGAGTTCCGCTTGTGTATGTCTTCTCGACATGCGCCTCTAAGCCTGAACTTTGGTTCTCCTTCTCTTCTGCAGAATCGACGAACTGCACACATCTGGACACTCGAGTGAGAAACCGATACGTGGGTTCTATTACCCGGCAACTTCTGGAAAGCAACCATTCACTTCTGCCAAACAAAATGACCAGTGTGAGACATTCACCATTGTTGCCACTTATGAGGCACAAGCAACACGCCTAGGACAGATGCTTGGCCGAAGTTGATTGAAAGTCAGAGACAAATGCCAGTCGTGACGGGCGCAAAAGGAGGGACCCAAGTTTCAGTAGGTGAGGTGATATATTGGGACACAATTCTTTTGTGTCTCCTAGTGCAGTAACGAATACCGATGGACACGGTCGACGAGAAATGAGAATCTTGTCTCAGTCATCTGTCACCTCGTCGACGATGGGGAGCCAGGATCGAGTTGGAGCGGCGGACGTAATTTCCTCAACTAGACGGGGCTCTCTACATGAATCTGGGCATCAAAGACATGGTCGGATCTTGTGATCTCGGCTCGTCGCCTTCTGGAACTATGGAGACCGAGCACGTCCGGCATCCTAGCTATCAACGGCGTCAAGTATTATATAAGGTGTCGGTATGGCACTCGACTTGAGTCCGCTGTGCAGCCCACAGCGTCCAGTAGATGGTGGAAACTACGTCAGTCGGAAAAATCATGGACAAGAAGCAGTGCCAACTCTCGCCGAGTGAGGACTTTGAAAAGCAGTGGTATTGATACAACTATTCACCCATACCACCTGCTCAGTAAGCCTCAAAAGCTCCTAATCAGCAGCCAACATGGTGGTGAGAGCACTAGTACTGTTGACGGATGGGGCGATGGTTTTCCTGCGGATGCAATGAACCGGATCACAACAAAGCTTACGGAAAATAGGAGCCTAATCAGAGACTCCCTATAGCTCACAATCAGCTTTGTCGCAGCCCCAAGCAAAAAAGCCGTAGCGCCGTCGAAACTGAGGGAGAATCCCAACTTCCAATTACGAGGAGGCGCAAGGCTTCAGACTGGGTATCTGGGCCTGAGCTCGAGTCGGACTCCGACTGTCTCTCACTAAAGGAGAAAGCATCGACAAAGGCAAAAGTTGGTTGGCACAGTTATCTTGTCCCTTCCCCGTTCGGCGGAGTCTAACATGGCTTTGGTTACGAATGTTCGAGATTCTAACTCATATTTCTGGCATGCCGGGTCGTTGTGACGCTGAAAGGAGTCCACAATGAGAGGGGCCTTATAAAAATCTTCTGCAGCTTGAAGATAGAAAAATGTTGATACCCCAGTGCTTGGGTCTTCTATGCGTGGGGATTCGACAACAAAAAGGGATTTCTCACGACTACGCATTCGACATCCGGTGCTTCCACACGGATAGTGGTGGTGCGTCATCCACTACCTAATACGGAACGATTATCCTTCGACCCCCGAAGAATCAGGGACTGAATTTGCGGTATGAGCATCTTCTTATCGTTCCAAGTCGTGGTTTGGCTGGCGAGATGGAGGTGTCATCTCTAGTAGAGACCTAAGTTTGGTATCCACCTTCTTTTGCTGCAAGGTAGGGTGCCTTGGGTCGCTGCTAGGATCAATCTGTTTCCTGTCGTACCTAGCAAGAGTGTCAGCTGGTGTTATAATATGAGTTCAGAGGAAAATCAGGCTGGTTGATCACAAACTACTTTTTGTTGAACTGAATCACCCACCCCTGCCCATCTTGGCGAGGACTCCTTCATAACACGTTGGCTTTTACGGCTGGTTCGGGGTTCCTTCTAAAGCTTCCCCTCAAAAGATTCTACTTACAACGCTCATCGGTTTCTCGACGGGATGGCGGATCCTGTGATGAAGAGATCCATAGAGAACCGCTCAGACAAGAACAGATGCGATCGGCAAAGAACTGGTCCCCGGCACCGTTTCCCCGCATGT